TTTCACCAAAAATTTCAAATATAGAAATTAAAAATATTTTACAAATTTTAGATATTAATGACACAATCTATAAACAAACAGATAATTTCTATAATAATCAAATACAAAAAGCTAAAGCACTAGAAAATTTTGTACTTCACACTAAGGAAACAGCGCCTTTTAAAATTAAACACAAACTGCCGTATTCATTATTAATGTAATCATTTATGTAAATACTTCGACTTACATTTTCCTTAGTTAGTAAGCTTTTTTATTGTATTTAATATTTTAATAACTGTTGATTCTTTAGATTTTATTTATATAATAATCATCTAATGGGTTTTTTACAATGGACCTTTTTACCAATATAAGAATTCATGAAATAAGAATTATCTTTAGGAACTCTATAATAAGTGTAAACTAAGCTAAATATAAATATTCTGATAAGTTTATAAACTAACAGGTGCAGAATTTAAATCTATAAATTATGTATATTTTCTTATTATATTACTGTATTTAATTTGATAAATAAAGAGGTTTTAAAAAGCAAAAAGGCCGAGCATCAATAACTTTTGAAAACAAGATTTTAAGAATCATTTCTAAAGCGAAACCAAGAACAAGAAATTCAAAAATTAGAGAAAAATTAGATATCGACGAAATTACTTTAGATATCCTAGACTTAACGTACAAATTTTACAACTTTCAAATTTCGGAAAATAAAGCATTAGATAATATTAGGATGTATACCAGAGACACGGCTCCATTCAGGCTGAAACACAAATTACCGTATGCGTTAATTATATAATCTTTTTGTAAACGACATATCTATTTTATATAAAACCACTGTTTATTTTTTTGTTAAAGTATTTATTTAGTTTATGTAGTTTTAAGTTTTAGAATTAAGAATAGTTATATTTTCCTAGTCACATAGTTTTTTAAGTACAAAATTTTCTAATGGGGTTTTTTAATTACGTAACCTTTTTACCCAAAGAAAGAACACAAATACTACAAAAAACACAAACAACAGACAACACAATATAGAAACATTCAGACAAGTTTACATGCATAACAGGCGCTGAATATAGTACTTTTCCTAAGTAAAATTAAGAAATATATGTATTTTTTTATGTAAAAAGTATAATTTTGAAAGATAAATAAAGATGGTTTTCAAAGTCAAAAAAAGTCAGCCGAGCATCAATTCACTCCGTATTCTCATTGAGTTTACACGTGTTTGTCTCTGAATATCCAAAATGCCTCCTAAAGCAAGTGGAAAAGCTGTGAAAAAAGCCGGCAAGGCTCAAAAAAATATCACCAAGACTGACAAGAAAAAGAAGCGCAAGAGGAAGGAAAGTTATGCCATCTACATCTACAAGGTGTTGAAACAAGTTCATCCCGACACTGGAGTCTCCAGCAAGGCCATGAGCATCATGAACAGCTTCGTCAACGACATCTTTGAACGTATCGCTGCTGAATCTTCCCGCTTGGCCCACTACAACAAGAGGTCCACCATCACCTCCCGGGAAATTCAAACCGCTGTCAGGCTTCTCCTTCCTGGTGAACTTGCCAAGCACGCCGTCTCTGAAGGCACCAAGGCTGTCACTAAGTACACCAGCTCCAAGTAAATCTAAATCTTGATCTCCGAAAACAATCGGCCCTTTTCAGGGCCAACAAATTTTTTTACGAAAGAATTAATTTTATCTTTAACATTTTTAAGCCAATATAAGCAGTTTATTTATTTTTTCCATCATTATATTTTAAAATATAATACATTTTGTGCTAAACTGCTAACTATAAATTACTTTAACAATTGTCTCCGGGAAAAGCTATTTTTGTCGTAAATAATTAAAGTGTATATGTACCGAGACCGCGAGACCCTTTTTTATGTTGGAGATCAAAAATATTCTTATGTATTTTATTATAACCATATAAGTATTATTCTTGAGTATGCTGCTTTGGGAAAACCCAAAAAAGTATTTAAAAAAAGTATTTCATACATAGTGTTTATATTATTGAGATACTCAAACAAGAATTTGAGAAGAAGGAATTAATTTAATTTAGTCATGCTTTTTCCAAATATCTAAATATTTCCATTTAGAAGAAATAAAAAAATAAAAGATTATGTTACATCAATTGTTTAATATTTCATTATTTACGTTTAGTGCGATTCGAAAGTAAAGTCGAGCGAGAATAAAGTCGCTCGTTGCAGGTAGAGTATAAATTCTCCTAAATTTTTTTTCTCCCAAAAACACAAACACTATTTCTTAGAGATGAGAATGTTTGGTGAAAATAATGGAATCTGTAACAAGCATCATCAACAGGTCTCCCTAATAAATTTAAAAATACAATTCATGTCAAATTTTAAAATGTAATATTATTAAATGTAATTATAATTAAATTAATAAAACTGTTGCACCCTACTCTAGTGACAATTTTGTGACTTTTTTATTAAAATTAAAAGTTACTAAATTTTTACTAGAGCACTGACCATGGACGTAAGAAGTAAATGGACCCAGCACAAAGTTGCGGGGTGGGGACTCATGTAGGTAAGAGGAGAACTGTTCAGTGCGCATGAATTGGTGGAAATTCTGTGATTGGTCGAACATTGCGTCGTGTATAGCAGACGATGCAAAATGGAAATCGACTATTGTTTGTTGACAATGTGTCTAGCGGTTTTAATTATGCATTCTATTATAATCTTAGAATAAGTAAAACATGGTAAAAAAATATGAAAAATGCATTATTAAAACGTGTGAAAATTCTCGGACTATTAAAACAAATGGAAATAAGAAAAATGTGACATATCACAGGTAAGTATTTATCTCGTGTTTCTCTGTTTGTTCACGGTACAGGTTATGTTTTTAACAATTTTTATGTGACATTTTTTAATTATTAATTTCATTATTTATAGAAATAGTTGATCATATTTCTTTTAAATGTATCTATTCATAATTTATTTTTATTAATTTTTTTATAATTCATTTTGTATTATTAATAACATTATTATATCGTGTTATATTTTATTTATTGCATATTGTTTTGTATTTGGAAAATATCTGTTTCATATTAAATATTTACAGAAAAATGTTATTAATTAATTTAATGGACACTTTTTTGAAAAACATATTTTTTTAGATTGAAATTTACGGATTTTATTACAAGTTACTTTTTATAATTATGTTATTCGTTTAAATTACGCGCGCCGGCGCAAGCGTACTAAACGGCCAATCAACGTACTTCCACCAATGCCTCACCCTTCACCGAAGATCGGTTTTACCCCCCTTGTCTATCAAACATACAACGTGCTGGGTCCATTTACTTCTTACGTCCATGGCACTGACACTCGAAAAAATCAATGTCTACAGAAACAATAAAAAGCAATTATCAACAGGAAACTATTTTTTTGTCTTGAAAACATGTTTTAAAAAAAAGAATTCCAAAGTTAGAAAATTTGGTGGCCCTGAAAAGGGCCGATTGTTTTATAAGATGACAGGAAAATTTAACCGCCGAAACCGTAAAGGGTGCGGCCTTGACGTTTCAAAGCATAGACGACGTCCATGGCGGTGACAGTCTTCCTCTTGGCGTGCTCGGTGTAAGTGACGGCGTCACGGATCACGTTCTCAAGGAACACTTTGAGAACACCACGAGTTTCCTCGTAGATCAATCCGGAGATACGTTTCACTCCACCACGACGAGCCAAACGACGGATGGCTGGCTTGGTGATACCTTGGATGTTATCACGCAAAACTTTGCGATGCCGCTTTGCTCCTCCTTTTCCCAAACCTTTACCTCCCTTTCCGCGACCAGTCATTTTTGCAGATAATAAAGTTCGTACGTCAAACTCGAACGAAGAACAAACTGAGAATGCTTTTCCAGGGAAGTGAGCATTATTTTATAACATCGTGTGGCACACATCTCCCACCACAATTTCAATCTACCAATCGTGTTGCTAGTTTCCCCTCCCTTTTGTTACTTATTGAACAACGGAGTCAAAAGTCCATAAATACAGCATTTTCCCCGCCGTACATCATTGTTTTGTTAGTCTCCGAACTTACAGCATCGTCATGGCACGTACCAAGCAAACCGCTCGTAAATCCACCGGTGGTAAGGCACCAAGGAAACAACTCGCCACCAAGGCCGCCAGAAAGAGCGCGCCTGCAACTGGTGGAGTGAAAAAACCCCATCGTTACAGGCCAGGAACCGTCGCTCTCCGTGAGATCCGTCGTTACCAGAAGAGCACTGAGCTCCTCATCCGCAAGCTTCCTTTCCAACGTTTGGTCCGTGAGATCGCTCAAGATTTCAAGACCGACTTGCGTTTCCAGAGCTCTGCTGTAATGGCTCTCCAGGAGGCTAGCGAGGCTTACCTCGTCGGTCTCTTCGAAGACACCAACTTGTGCGCCATTCACGCCAAGAGAGTCACCATCATGCCAAAAGACATCCAATTGGCTCGTCGTATCCGAGGAGAACGTGCTTAAATTTTTTATAACACCTTCCAAACACAATCGGCCCTTTTCAGGGCCAACACATTTTTTTACGTTGAAATTATTTTGGTTTAACATTATAAAAAATAATTTATTAAGATAAATTTGAAGCATTTTACTTCTAGTTTACAAATATTTTGATATGTTTATGAACTATTAGATAAATTATAACTAAATTATCATTTTGTCTAAATATATTTTATGGAGTTAATGATTAGCTGATCAATTTACTAAAAATTGTAGTTGGATCAACTACAAAAATACTAAAACAACTGCAAAACATCATTCTATCAACTAAATTCTTATAGTGAATTCTACTTTTTAAATTGAGTTGAGGACCTATTGTACTAGGCAGAGTACTTAATTGTAGTCCAATCTATTATAATTTTTTGAGTGCAGTTACATTAATTTAATATGTACTTGTAAATTACAGCATTTATCTGACATATTGCCTCGAAAAAATAAATAAATTTACTACAAAAAATATTAACAAAAACATGTTTCATCAAAAATAATAGGAGAAAAATTAATGTTGTCCCTAAAGTTCTGAATAAATTTTTATTTTGATTTAATTGTATTATAAAATAATACTTAGTGTAATTTAGCAATTTATTTGTATTTTAATAAAATATTTGTTGAAAGAACAAAACAAACCATTACGTAAAAAATATTTTGTGGCCCTGAAAAGGGCCGTTTGTTATCGACGAGTTGTGAAAATGTTACTGTCATATAACATTCCCTCCTTATTTTTTTGCAACTTTCTTTGCCACTGTCTTTTTGGGTTTTGGTGCAGCTTTCTTGACGGCAACAGGTGCCTTTGCTTTCTTGGGAGAAGCCTTGGTCACCTTAGGCTTGGCAGTGGTAGACTTGGCCTTTGGTGGTTTGGCTGCAACCTTAGGAGTCTTTTTCTTCTCGGCAACAGCTTTCTTGGCCTTGGCAGCTACAGCCTTCTTCGGAGATGCTACTTTCTTAGCCTTGGATGCAGCAGCTTTAGGTTTAGCTGTAGCAGTCTTGGTTTTTGCCTTGGCCTCAGCTTTGGCGACATTCAATTTGAAGGATCCTGCAGCACCTTTTCCCTTGGTTTGAATAAGCGTCTTGTTGGCAACAGCAGCTTTAAGATACTTCCTGATAAAAGTCGCTTGCTTCTCAACATCAACTGCATAAGTACCAGCAATGTACTTCTTGATGGCTTGTAGAGAAGAACCGCCTTTTTCCTTCAAAGCTGTGATAGCTGCAACTACCATTTCAGATGCTGGTGGGTGAGCGGCTTTTGTGCGAGGTTGCTTCGCCTTAGGAGTTGCCGCCTTCTTAGGAGTTGCAACTGCAGGTACAGCTGGAGATTCTACTTTATCTGCCATTTCGAATAAACAAAATATATTTGTTGAATATTTAAAGAAAAGTTGAATAAATATTCTAATCCTCTCAGTGCAACTGGCAAGACAGAAATGAAAATTTCCACAGGCGATCGATGACTTAGTGAACTACACGGACGGTGAAGAAAGACTACTCCGCTTGTGCGTCGCATGCTGTTCAGAATTTGGGTAACATATGTACTGCTTTAAAAAACTTCTTATTAATTTAACTATTAACATTTTTAAATGAGGTTATAAATCACTTTGATTTCAATTGAATACTAATTGTTACTTTAAAGAAAAAGAATTTAATTTTGATAAATATATTATGTGTCGGTAAAATTGTACATATACCAAGACTATATTTTCTATACTGTCTCAAATTATTTTGCAAAAATGTAAAACAAAGAATTCTAATTACTCTTTTTGTAAATGGAGTTTAATAATCTATACTTTATACTATTAGCATTGCTATCAATATATTGTTAGTAAATTTTTAAATTAATTTAGATAGTGAAAAATTACACAAATAAAAAACTAGTTCAAACTCTATGCATCGAACACTGTCAATATTACTTTGAATAATAGGTGAGATACAAGGTGCAGGATACAAGATGTGGGATCCAGAATGTTTGATACAAGATGTGGGATACAAGGTGCAGGATCCAGGATGTGGGATCCAGGATGTGGGATCCAAGATGTGGGATCCAAGATGTGGGATCCAAGATGTGGGATCCAAGATGTGGGATCCAAGATGTGGGATCCAAGATGTGGGATCCAAGATGTGGGATCCAAGATGTGGGATCCAAGATGTGGGATCCAAGATGTGGGATCCAAGATGTGGGATCCAAGATGTGGGATCCAAGATGTGGGATCCAAGATGTGGGATGCAAGATGTGGGATCCAAGATGTGGGATCCAAGATGTGGGATCCAAGATGTGGGATCCAAGATGTGGGATCCAAGATGTGGGATCCAAGATGTGGGATCCAAGATGTGGGATCCAAGATGTGGGATCCAAGATGTGGGATCCAAGATGTGGGATCCAAGATGTGGGATCCAAGATGTGGGATCCAAGATGTGGGATCCAAGATGTGGGATCCAAGATGTGGGATCCAAGATGTGGGATCCAAGATGTGGGATCCAAGATGTGGGATCCAAGATGTGGGATCCAAGATGTGGGATCCAAGATGTGGGATCCAAGATGTGGGATCCAAGATGTGGGATCCAAGATGTGGGATCCAAGATGTGGGATCCAAGATGTGGGATCCAAGATGTGGGATCCAAGATGTGGGATCCAAGATGTGGGATCCAAGATGTGGGATCCAAGATGTGGGATCCAAGATGTGAGATCCAAGATGTGGGATCCAAGATGTGGGATCCAAGATGTGGGATCCAAGATGTGGGATCCAAGATGTGGGATCCAAGATGTGGGATCCAAGATGTGGGATCCAAGATGTGGGATCCAAGATGTGGGATCCAAGATGTGGGATCCAAGATGTGGGATCCAAGATGTGGGATCCAAGATGTGGGATCCAAGATGTGGGATCCAAGATGTGGGATCCAAGATGTGGGATCCAAGATGTGGGATCCAAGATGTGGGATCCAAGATGTGGGATCCAAGATGTGGGATCCAAGATGTGGGATCCAGAATGTGGGATCCAAGATGTAGGATCCAAGATGTGGGATCCAAGATGTGGGATCCAAGATGTAGGATCCAAGATGTGGTAATTTTGATGAATCATTATCTTCAATAGGGGCAACCAATTCATCTGATTCGATCTCAGAAGTTTTTGTTTTTTTATTAATTATATTTTCAATATTTGTATCCGAGGACTCACTAAGTGTAGTAGTTTTAAAATCTATCTCGTCAACAATAACATCGCGAGCAGTGATAAATTTACTACTATTTACATCCCATAGTTTATAACCGCTAGGCTCATATCCCACCAGGATGCATTTAAAGGATCTATGGTAAAATTTTCTTTTTCTACTCTTTTCTAAAACATATGCAGTTGGTCCAAAAACCCTTAAATGATCCATCTTAGGCTTTTTATCATGCCATAATTCATATGGTGTTTTGTCATTGGGCAACGCTTTAGTTGGTAATATATTAGTTAAATATGTGGCTATTAAAACAGACTCACCCCAAAATATTTTTGTAAATCGGAAGTGATAACCATTGCTCGTGCTTTTTCAACCAATGTTCGGTTCATTCTTTCTGCGGCACCATTTTGTTGTGGGGTATAAGTCACGGTCAAATGATGACTGATTCCTTTTTCTTTACAAAATTTTTGGAATTGGTGGGATAAATATTCTCCCCCATTGTCACAATAAAGTTTAACAATTTTTAGATTGAATTGTGCTTCTCACTTAGGAACAAAATCTTTAAATGCTTCTAAAACCTCTGATTTTTGAGTTAATAAATAGGTCACTGTTTAGTGGGTGTATTTATCTATAAAATTTACAAAGTAATTTTTGTTATTTATGGTGCTCGGGGTAATTGGCCCACATACATCAGTATGAATTATATACAGTGACCTATTTATGAATGTTCTATCTTTTTGTTTAGAAAAAGGGAGACAGGTTTGTTTAGAGTAAATGTAAGGTTCACAAAGTGAATTTGTCGGATTTAAATTGCTAATGTGAGTAACATCATCCGATAAATTGTACTTTTTAATTGGACAAAATTTGTCAGAACTAATATGGCCTAAACGTTTGTGCCACATCTTGTAATTAACATTAGTTTTAGTACTCACATTTGCATAATTTCCATAGACATTTTGAGAAAGATTAAACTTTCAAGTGAATCCTTGATTAGTCGTAATTCCTATTGAGCCTCTTCTTGTTGCAGTTATTGCCGTGTCACTTTTAGCTACAGATAATTTTAATAGTGGATCTAGTGTTTCACAGTTTTCAAATACATCACAGCGATTGATTATATGATGGGTTGCACCAGAATCCAATATGAAAGCGATCTCACTTTTACCTTGTTTAGGCAGAAAAGTACTGTCTAACATAAAGGCAAAACCGGTGTCTTGAACTGATTGCACTACAGGAGTATTTTGGATTTCATTCATTTTCTTAAAATAATAGCAATCCCTTTTGATATGATTGGTACGACCACAATGTTCGTATTTTTGAATTGTCTATTCAGCGTTGTTTTTGTGAAAATTCGGATTTTTAAAATTCTTTTGTTTATTAAATTTTGCTTTGAAATTGTTATGGTTCTTTTTTGTTTGATGACATGTTTGATTTTGCGATGATTTGGAAGACGAACCTTTTTGAGTGTATAATACTTTGGGACTTGTATTATTGTCTGCTTTCAATTTCACCTCATGATCAAGTAATCGTGTTTTAACAAAAGAAAGGTTTAGGTTATTTTCAGATAAAGTCTCAAGGGCAGTAATAACACCATCATAGGTATTTAGTAGTGTTAGTAGTAGATGTGATACTTTATCCAATTCATCTAAACGTGCACCAGCAGATATGAGTTCTGCTATAATTTCATCAAAGCGTGAATAATGATCCAAAAGATTTTTATCAGTCTGCAATTTCAAATTTAATTATTGTTTTCGAAGGGCAAGTTGCGTGGCAAGGCTTCGCCGTTCATAAATGCTGTCGAGATTCGTGAAGATGTTTTTTGCAAATTCCTCATCTTTTGCAAAATTTAAAAAAGTGTCACTCAAGTATTGGATTATTGTATTTTTAGCAATCATATTTTTTTTTATTCCAAGAATCCGTGATCCGTTCGGGAATGTCTCTGTCAATTACTTCGAGAACATTTAATTCGGCCAAAAGTGATTTTATGCGAAATTTCCACACACTGTATCGGTCTCCATTGAATGCTTGAATGATCCTTTTGTTGTGTGAATTATCCATTGTTTATTAAAGTTTTATAAATTAAGTACTTTCACAAGTCACATTACTTGAATAAAAGGCCCGTTTCACATGTTGTTACAATTGCAAACCCTGCGCCAATCAAAATGAATCGTCTATGCCAAATTGCCAATCAACAACGTTCACAACCAACAGACGAACTGAAAATCAAAATTTACATTTGAGTACCACTGCTAACTCTAGCGTTAACTCTGAGTGAATGCCGAAAACACCCTATCACAATTCTACACTTTGTCTATAATAACACTTTTACGTACACTGGGCCCATAACCTGTTGAAGGTTATGGCTTTAAATAAAAAAAGAACAAATTTTATTTAATGTTCTCTATTACACGTTCTGAAATCAACTAACAAATAATACAAGAGAAAATCAGGTATAAACTACAAAGGTACAAAATACAAAAAAAAACATCTGGTGAAGGGTTTTTCCCTTTTATGACCGCAGGTACAAAAGTAAATTAGTTTTTATTATTTCGAATTCCGAAGGGCCGTTCACTCTCGAATCAGTAGTTTTTAATGCTTGAAATCAACATTTAGATAACCTTACATAATTAACATATTAATGTAATCATGTTCTTATTTCTGAAATAAGAAAAATTGAATGCGAATCATTTTTATATATTAGAATCATTTAGATTAAAAAGGAATCACTGTGTGAAGAAAATTTAAGTATGCTTAAGAAGTGAATCAAGCTGTTTAATCTGGGAATCAAGCCACTAAGGTGCGAGTCACCACGTTTTCAAGCGAATCAGTTTATTTACGAAGCGAGTCAAGGCAAGCAAAAAGTAATCACATCGCCAATGTAAGATATAGACGCGTTAGGGTGCAGTCGCATGTGAGCAGAAAACCGAAAGCAGAAAACGCTTTTCATGAGAGTGTAAAGGACAGAAGATAGCGCTATCCTTCACACTCTCAAGAAAAGCGTTTTCAGCTTTTAGTAATTCTGCTCACATGCGACTGCACCCTTAAACGACAATGAAATCTATTGTGGACTTAGCCTTACATAGCATGCTTTATTTATATCTAAATAAATATAAACGTGTTTGTTTAATATCCTCCTATTTCATTATGTGAATTAAAAGACAGGAATAATTATTCAATTAAAATATTTGAAAAGAAAAACAAATTAAAAAATAGATTTTGACTGCTGGTTTAAATTGAAAATTATAAATAAAATTTAACAGAATATAAAAAATTAAAAGATTATTTACAATTGGGTAATATTTTTAATTTAGAAAAAAAAATCCAGAATGTGGGATCCAGAATGTGGGATCCAGAATGTGGGATCCAGAATGTGGGATCCAGAATGTGGGATCCAGAATGTGGGATCCAGAATGTGGGATCCAGAATGTGGGATCCAGAATGTGGGATCCAGAATGTGGGATCCAGAATGTGGGATCCAGAATGTGGGATCCAGAATGTGGGATCCAGAATGTGGGATCCAGAATGTGGGATCCAGAATGTGGGATCCAGAATGTGGGATCCAGAATGTGGGATGCAGAATGTGGGATCCAAGATGTGGGATCCAATATGTAATATTTAAGATGTGGGATACAAATACAGGATCCAAGATCCTACAGTCTAGATCCTACAAACTATATCCTATATTCTATATAGGATTCTACAGTCTAGACACGTGCATTCAAATGTAATGGCACATCTCTTTTTCAATAATAATCTCAGTTGTCCTTTTGTTCCAATAGGGTGCTTATTAAGTATAGAGTCAATTAAATATAGATATTTTTCGTTTGAAGCAGCTGAGTATCTCCTTGATTTCTCTATTTACAGTTTTTACTATGAAGCATTATGAACTTCAGTATCTTAATAATAAAACTAATTATTGTTATATAATTAAATAGGAATGAATTGTTTTACAGATCAAAAGAAATTGCTTCGTTAAAAACGAGTGGTGGCCCTGAAAAGGGCCGTTTGTTTACAATCATCCTTTGAAAATGTCACAAGAATAACATTTTCACCTTCTTACTTCTTGGCAACCTTTTTTGCCGCGGGCTTTTTTGCTTTTGGTGCTGCAGCTTTCTTCGGGGAAGCTTTTGCCTTTTTTGGAGCAGCTTTAGTGGTTTTAGGTTTGGCAGCGGTGGATTTTGCCTTTGGTGGTTTTGCCGCAACTTTCGGGGTCTTCTTCTTTTCGGCAACAGCTTTCTTGGTCTTGGCTGCCACAGCCTTTTTCGGAGAAGCTGCTTTCTTAGCCTTAGGAGCAGCAGCTTTGGGTTTAGCAGCAGGAGTCTTAGCCTTGGGCTTAGTTTTACCTTCAGCCTTGGTGACGTTCAATTTGAAGGATCCTGCAGCTCCTTTTCCTTTAGTTTGGATCAAGGCCTTATTGGCAACTGCAGCTTTGAGGTACTTTCTGATGAAAGGGGCTTGCTTCTCGACATCGACTTTGTAGGTGGCAGCGATGTATTTCTTGATGGCTTGCAGGGAAGAGCCACCTCTTTCCTTCAAAGATGCGATGGCTGCATTAACCATCTCGGATGCTGGTGGATGACTGGCTTTAGCGCGTGGCTTTTTTGCCTTTGCAGCTGCAGCCTTTTTAGGAGTTGCAACTGCAGGCGCAGCTGGTGATTCTACTTTATCAGTCATTTCGATAATGAAACTATTCGAAAAAAAGTTTAAGAACTCTTAAGATACTCTCGACGCAACTGGTGAGACAGTAGTAATAATTTTTTCAGTCGATCGGTGACCTATTGAATTGCACGGACGGTGAAGAAAGCCCCCTGAGCTCTTAGGCCGCTTGCCGTTCGAATTCTTGATAACTTGGGAACGACATTCAAAATATTTGTCAACTTTTAAGTGTTAAAGCTTTGACATATTGTTGTAAATATTTTTAATTTCAATTTTACGATTATTGTACTTTTTGACTTATAAAAAATATATTATATTTTTGTACCATTTTTCGGTAAAATTTAGCATTTTTCGAAGCTCTGCTTTCAGCTGTCAGGCGTATCAAATTTCGAAAATTATAAATAATAAGTCAACAAATTCTTTTATTAAAAATTTAATTTTTTAAATCAATTCTCTATTTATTTCTCGTTATGGATATTTAATTTATTTTTTTGTTAACAGTAAACTGAAGGTCTTACGAGTTGTTAAAGTTGAGCATCAGTTCTAACTTTTGAAATGGAAAGCAAACGTTTAGAATGGATGTCTTGATCAATAATGAAAAAATTAAAAAATTGTGTTAGCATTGCTATATGTATATTTATAAATTTTAAACATGTTTTTTTTAGAAATTTAATTTTAACTATAGACGCAAGAACTGCAAAAATATTTTCGCGCGTGACGATTATAACTCCAATATATTTACTACTTTTAGCATATACATATACTAATGAATAGAATGAATTTTAAAAGTGCATTTTTTTAGTGTAATATAGTATATTTTATATTATTTGAAGTTTGTATTTAAATATTTATTAATTAAATAACAAATATAAACATATCGTCTAAATAATACAGCGTTGCCTTCCAGGTTTTCTAGACCATTTTAAAAAAATCTTAAATTTGAATATAAAATTGTTTTGATAAATGTTTAACTAGTTATGACAAAAAATAAAAAATATTTTTATTAATAACGATGGGGAGCAATAATAACTTATTATTAGATTAACAGTAACATAATAAATGCAATGAATAAATAATAATAATAATGAACTAAATTAAATTATAGTTTCTTTAAATTTCATTTAAAAATAAGTGTTATTAAAATTAATTGTAATCTTGAAATAAAATAAGCAGCATCATTTCTATTACATAACATTAATTGTAATAAATATTTGTAATTAATTAAATACTTCTATTTAATTTGTTTTACAAAGAAATAAAAAAATTTATTTAGTATTTAAAACTTTTAAAAATTTTAAGACAAATTATTGTAAAACTATAAAAATAAAAAACTATTGTTAAAAGAGATATCTATATTGAATTTAAATCATTTAGATTTTCTTCAAATTAAAAAATTTCGACTCTTTTCTGGATATAATAATATCAAAATACAGAAAGAAAACATGATAAATTTTTAATTTTAAAATCATACCTAAAATAGTTATGTAATTATTAGATTCCTTTTCTAGAAATGGATGTCTTATAAATATAAAAACTTTCTGTAACATGCTATGTATAAAGAAAATTGTAAACAATATTGATTTTAATCTTGTTCTTGCTTATATTTATAAAGATTACTAATGTCAACTAGAAAAATAGGATGGTGAGCAGGTTTTACAAATTTCGTCTTTTCCCTGACCAAAAAAAAATTCTGTGTTGTTTACAGACAAGATACGATTTCGACAAATCGATTGGTATATATAAAGTATAGTTTTAATTTAAATTTAAAGAATTAATGAAAGTTAAAAAATAGAAAATACAAATTTTAGCTGAAAAATTTTATATTTATTTAAATTCAAGTTTAAATATAAAATAATTGTGTTCCTTGCATTAAAACGAATCGATATAATTGTAAATAATTATAAATTATATATTATTTTTCATTAATATTTAGAAATTTCGGTTAAGATATGAATCTTTGATTTTTTAACTTCCATTAATTTATTAAATTTAACTCAAATGTATAGGTACTCAAATGTTTATACATATATTATTATATTATTTTTGTATGTTTATTTCAATGTTAATGCTTTCTCCACGAGGAAGCAAATTTTTTTACTGATCGTAAAGAAGAAGCAAAATGTTCATGTAATGAACATCTGAATTTACAACTTGTTCTTGCTTATATTTATAAAAATTACTAATGTCGACTAGAAAAATAAGGTGGCGAGCAGGTTTTACAAATATTGTCTTTTCCCTGACCAAAAAAAAATTCTGTTTCTTACGAGTAAGTATATACTAATAAAAATTGAAAATATAAAATTATAAGTAAATAAGAAATAAATAAATATACTGAAAAAAACCAATATATTTGACTACCATAAACTACCCTGCCTGATACTATAGTTCCTCAACTGATTTTAAAAAGTTGCGTGTAGTAAATGAAACTAAATAAGTAGACAAACTATAAAAAAATATCTGAAACGAACAAGAGTACTTCAACGTAAAAAAATGTGTTGGCCCTGAAAAGGGCCGATTGTGTTTGGAAGGTGTTATAAAAAATTTAAGCACGTTCTCCTCGGATACGACGAGCCAATTGGATGTCTTTTGGCATGATGGTGACTCTCTTGGCGTGAATGGCGCACAAGTTGGTGTCTTCGAAGAGACCGACGAGGTAAGCCTCGCTAGCCTCCTGGAGAGCCATCACAGCAGAGCTCTGGAAACGCAAGTCGGTCTTGAAATCTTGAGCGATCTCACGGACCAAACGTTGGAAAGGAAGCTTGCGGATGAGGAGCTCAGTGCTCTTCTGGTAACGACGGATCTCACGGAGAGCGACGGTTCCTGGCCTGTAACGATGGGGTTTTTTCACTCCACCAGTTGCAGGCGCGCTCTTTCTGGCGGCCTTGGTGGCGAGTTGTTTCCTTGGTGCCTTACCACCGGTGGATTTACGAGCGGTTTGCTTGGTACGTGCCATGACGATGCTGTAAGTTCGGAGACTAACAAAACAATGATGTACGGCGGGGAAAATGCTGTATTTATGGACTTTTGACTCCGTTGTTCAATAAGTAACAAAAGGGAGGGGAAACTAGCAACACGATTGGTAGATTGAAATTGTGGTGGGAGATGTGTGCCACACGATGTTATAAAATAATGCTCACTTCCCTGGAAAAGCATTCTCAGTTTGTTCTTCGTTCGAGTTTGACGTACGAACTTTATTATCTGCAAAAATGACTGGTCGCGGAAAGGGAGGTAAAGGTTTGGGAAAAGGAGGAGCAAAGCGGCATCGCAAAGTTTTGCGTGATAACATCCAAGGTATCACCAAGCCAGCCATCCGTCGTTTGGCTCGTCGTGGTGGAGTGAAACGTATCTCCGGATTGATCTACGAGGAAACTCGTGGTGTTCTCAAAGTGTTCCTTGAGAACGTGATCCGTGACGCCGTCACTTACACCGAGCACGCCAAGAGGAAGACCGTCACCGCCATGGATGTCGTCTATGCTTTGAAACGTCAAGGCCGCACTCTTTATGGTTTCGGCGGTTAAATATACACATCATCATCATCATTTATACACAATCGGCCCTTTTCAGGGCCACCAAATTTTCTAACTTTGGAATTATTTTTTTTAAAACATGTTTTCAAGACAAAAAAATAGTTTTGTTGATATAATTGATTTTATTAGTAAAAATTTCATTGTTTCTGAAGACATTGATTTTTTTGTGTCTACAGGGGAAAGTTTTGAATTTAGCTAGCGCTTAGCTACTAGTCAGTGTTCCAGTGAAAATTTAGTAACTTTTAATTTTCACTAGAGCAGGGTGCGGTAGTTAAAGAAAATTATGGCTATTTGGGAGAATTGGGATTGGTTAAACTTCAATACGCCATCTCGAGTTTACCTACTTCGGAAACCATTTTTCTTTTTCGTCTTTCTTTAATTACATAACACGATAGAAAAAGATGTAAAAACGAAAATTTCTTACGATGTAGGTAAATGTCACTAGACTGCCAATTCCAATGGAGAGATCTATTCTAGTTGAGTAGATTTTAACTAAGCAAAATTTAGTCTTACAGCAAGATAATATTTCTTGTAAGAGACTCCATTTTGATTGGTTAAAATCTATTCTAAAGGCGCTTGTATACCTCACCGATCCCGAGTATACTTCTGTCGTGTACCATTGGAGTAAAAGAGACAAAAGATATTTCTGTCTCTTTTACTCCAATGGTACACGACGCAAGTATACTCGAGATTGGTGAGGTATACATGCGCTTTAAATCTGCTCCATGTGACAGCATTGTTACGAGCCGAGTTACCTTTTATTACGCAACTCTAATAATGGAATATGATTGGCCGGATTCTCTTTAGTTAAATCCTTTAAGGAGGTTATAGCGGAAATAGAATTAACGTTAGTAATTTAATGAAACTTAGTCCACTATTAGATAAATGTTTGAAAATTATGTAGCTAAATTTTTCAGACCTCTAGGTTCTTGTGAAAAAAGTTATAAGCGTTTTTGTTTTTTAACAATTAACATTGTGTATTTGTGTCTTATCCTTATGGGAATTAAGTACTTTTTCATAACGTATTTACTCACCACAAAATAATTAACATTAGGAAATTGATGAAACTTTTTTTAATACAAAACAGATATTTAATGATTAAGTATCTGTTTAAAAAAGTATTAAGTAGGTAATAGGTATTATTATTAGTATTAGGTTCTTTTGGGAGCTGCAATTAATTAATTTTTAACAATATTTCACGTTTTATACGTTAATATACGTTAATGCATGCTTGATCATGCATATTAAACTCAGGGTTGCCAGAGTTTCAACGCGCCGAACCGCGGATAGACGGCACTGACGTAGCCCAAAAACCGCAGGAAGCTTCAAATATTTACAAATTTATAAAAAATTTGTAAATAATTTTTTTTTAATAACAATTTTATATATATATATATGAAAAAATAGATGTAAGACTAATTTAAAAGTTACTTTTTTTATTTCTTTTTATTATTATGCTAATAAAATTTTTATTTTTATATATTAAATAACTTTAATATACAGGTATCGCAGGTATTAAAATTTTTCAATAAAAACTGAAACAACATTTTAACATGAACAGGAACGTAAATTTAGAAAAACGTAGCACTGGGAACCGATGAACACTTTTCGAAGTGATTTTCAAACAAATCCACTACAAGGCGCCAATTGACAGTTTTCATACTTTTAATGATTTACTATTCGATTTTCTAGTATTGTTAAAAAAAATGTCCTAGTAGCCCAAAAAAGCAATTTTATAAGAAAAAATAGCCCAAATTGCTACTTGTAGCGAAACTGAAATTTAAGCCGCGAAACATTCCCAAAAAATAGCCCAAATCGCGCTTTGTAGCCCAATCTGGCAACACTGATTAAACTGCGTCAGTTCGTCGAGATATTTCGAGTTCAAGATATGACGTCAGAGGCCTGGAGGGACATCAAACAGACGAGACAATGTTATTCTTATAGGGAAGAAAATTAGTTTCCACTTTCATCAATTTTATTCATATTGTAAAGAAATAGATTTCCAAAAAGTAGGGATAAAATCGCAAAGAAAGGGAGATCTGTTATATTTTGCATCTTTTTACAATTAGATTAAATTTTTGTTATAACAATAATAGTTTTTATTATAATTTGTTATCAACAATTATTATTTGACTTAATTTACATAACCTTTTTTGAATTTTGGTTATACGACGATTTTTAAGAATAATTCACTTCTTAGATTTAATTTATTTATAATTTTCTATAATTATTGTTAATTTTAACAAATTTGTATTGGGATCTCTTGTACTGTAAGACGCTCTCTGGTGAAAATTTTTGTAACCCTCGAGAGTAGGTCGTTTTGTCTAATTTTGTCCAACTTCCACCAATCAGCGTAGGTTTTTAACGTGGTGTCGAAAAATGGTACCACTGAGTGGAGGTTAAATGATTAAGCCACGCCCCACAAGAGATCCCAATAATAATCTAACCTAACATTAAAATTATAGTTGTAATTATTTAAAATTTTAATTATTTATTGTTAAGTATCAATATAATTTAATTATTGGTAAATTGTATGAAATTTTAATTGTTTATTTTTTATAATTTTTATTATTAATTTTACTTATATTAATAATTTTAAACAATAATTAATTATAAATTTCGACAATTACTAGTTTTTATTAAAATTTAATATAAATTGTTAAAAAATAATATTTTAATTATTTATTAATAATAATAATGAAATTAATTATTGAAGTTAATTGTTATTAAAAATTTATATTATTTCTAAAATATTTTATGCATTTATTCATACTATATATGTTTGTGAATTTTAGTATAATATATATTTTCGGAACCTAGACAAATTTTATTACAAACAGAAGGAAATCTTGGCGACAGGGACTCTCGGACCTGTCGTAAAAAAAACGATAATGAAATGAAAAGGACCACTTAAGGTTAGGTACACGTTTCATTATTTGCTCAAAAAGAAAACAAGAAAAAAAACATACATTATGAGTCGGTGAATAAAAAGAAAGAACATGATTTTTTAAATAAACAAATGTTTTTTTCTTTTAAAAAGATAAGGGACGTGGAAAAATTAAATATAGAAAAAAAATAAAGTTGAAAAAATGACCAGATGTAACAATAGCTTTTTACCACGAGAAATTTAAAATACAATGGTGGAAAAAATAAATAAACTAATATTGGCTTAAAACTGTTAAAGATAAAATTAATCCTTTCGTACAAAAATTTGTTGGCCCTGAAAAGGGCCGATTGTTTTGCTGGAGAGAAGATCAAGATTTACTTTGAGCTAGTGTACTTGGTGACAGCCTTGGTGCCTTCAGAGACGGCGTGCTTGGCGAGTTCACCAGGAAGGAGAAGCCTGACAGCAGTTTGAATTTCCCGGGAGGTGATGGTGGACCTCTTGTTGTAGTGGGCCAAACGGGAAGATTCAGCAGCGATACGTTCAAAGATGTCATTGACGAAGCTGTTCATGATGCTCATGGCCTTGCTGGAGACTCCAGTGTCGGGATGAACTTGTTTCAACACCTTGTAGATGTAGATGGCATAACTTTCCTTCCTCTTGCGCTTCTTTTTCTTGTCAGTCTTCGTGATATTTTTTTGAGCCTTGCCGGCTTTTTTCACAGCTTTGCCACTTGCTTTAGGAGGCATTTTCGATTTTCAGAGAGAGAAACAGTACGTCTGAACTCAACGAGAATACAGAGTGAAATGATGAAAAAATTTGAAAATCCGTCCTTTTACGTTCTTCCCCTGAACCATCCAAGCATGTGATTGGTGCGTGCACTCAGTGTGAATACCCACCACTCATTGCACTGAGGGAGGGGGAATAGTGGTGGGGGACCCTAATGGAAGAACGTAAATAGGCGATTTTGACGAAAATTTTGTATTATTCAACCAACTATTGAGTTGTTCGTTTCGTTGCTTCTAAACTAAATCGAGAAAATGTCTGGACGTGGAAAAGGAGGCAAAGTTAAGGGAAAGTCAAAGACTCGTTCCAACCGAGCTGGACTTCAATTCCCAGTTGGTCGTATCCATCGTCTCTTGCGCAAGGGAAACTACGCTGAGAGAGTTGGTGCTGGAGCTCCAGTCTACCTCGCAGCAGTAATGGAATACTTGGCTGCTGAAGTTTTGGAATTGGCAGGAAATGCCGCTCGCGACAACAAGAAGACCAGAATCATCCCCCGTCATCTCCAACTTGCCATCAGGAATGACGAGGAATTGAACAAACTTCTATCTGGAGTCACCATCGCTCAGGGTGGTGTTCTTCCCAACATCCAGGCTGTTCTTTTGCCCAAGAAGACCGAAAAGAAAGCTTAATTTTCTACCCACATCCTCTCAAACAATCGGCCCTTTTCAGGGCCAACAAATATTTTTTACGTTTGATTATTGAATTCTTTACATTGTAAAATTATTTTGTATATTGAAATTTAATGAAAAAACAAATTTTTCACTATTTAGGAAAAAAAAGATAAATTTTTTGACGTAATGTATAACTCCTTCCTTTTTTGTTTTTTTCTTTCACACGTGTTGCCATGACAACACGTGTGTTAGAAAAGGACAGAAAAGTGTAGGCATATACGACCAAAAGTGTACACTCGTAGCCAGAAATGCCTTCATTTTTTTATTTTCAATTTTTCAAAAAAGAGTAAAAAAAAAATTGAAAATAAAATTGTTTATAAAATTATTAGAAATATATAACATTTTATCTTGAGAAATTTAAAAATTCTTTTGTTCTTTTAGTTACTTTTAAAAATTTTAATTAAGCATTAAGGGACTTGCACAATCCTTTCTTAAAAAAAAAATTGGTGCACTGAACTCGATAAATCTCGAAATAAGGAACGCGAAAAATATCGAAATGAATGAGCATTGAGAATGTGAAATCTTAATAGAAAGGCGAAACGTATATCAAGATTAGAAATGTATAGGTTGAGCTGCAGTCGCTTCTTTCATAAATGAAAAATGAAAGCTATTATTTGAATTTATCAGCTTATTTGTTTCTGAACACGTCAAAATTATTTAGATTAATTGATAGTTTTAAATCAACAGATTGAAATGAAAAATTACTCATTTCAAAATAAGTTAATATATTGCGTTTTTGTTAATTTTTTATTAAAAAGATAATATCAAAATTATCCATTTTTTTAAATATAAAAATATTAAACAATTTTTCATGAATAGAAAATATAATTACAAATTAATTGCATAAAAATTGAATTGATTATTTATAATTTATTATATAATATATATTATTCGAGTTGGAAATTATATTAGAAGGTAAATTATTATTTTCATTAATTAAAAAATTTGAAAATCAACTTAAATTCAATATTTTGAAGAATGGGAGCATGGTCGACGGAGGCGCAAGTTATGGCGCACTCACACCTTTTTGGCTGCCTGTCTGCCTGCAGGTTACCATGGCAACGCACAAGTGTGAGTGAGACAGAAAATTTGAATATTCAAATTTTTAAATTTTCTGTCGCACTCGCTCTCATGCGTTGCCATGGTAACCTGCAGGCAGCCAAAAAGGTGTGAGTGCGCCTTTAGAGTAAAAGAGAGAGAAAATATTAATTCAATTCAAATTTTCTCTCTCTCTTACTCTAACTGCTGCCTGTGCAAGCAACCGAGGTGTGTAAGTACCTTTACACTGTGGCGCATGTGCAGAATATTTTATTTCGAATGTTTGTAACGTTTGTAAATTGAAGGTTAGTTAGTTTTGCAGAATTTGTTATAAAAATAATCTCAAATGGAGATTAATTTATTAAGTAGACACTTAAAGAATTTCAAACATCAGTCTGTTTAATCTATTTCTGTAGAAAATAGATTCTATGATAAATTAGAAAATAGTCAAGAGTAAAAATATATTTTTCTATAATTGAGCAGAGAAAGTGTTTTTGTGTTTAATATTGATAATGTCGCGCCAGGATGCCGATATCGACTGTGATAAAGTATTAGATAACAAAAATATAGACTTAAATAGTTATAGAAAACTGGTAAAGTCTTATATTGATTTGGTGAGTATTATAATATATTACATTATTGAAAAAATTATCCTCCTAACCTCACTTTTGAAAAATAATTCCATTATAAAGTTTTTCACGAATTTTTCATTAAAAAATTTTTTACTTTACTTTCACAGCATCTTTATAATGCAGCTTTATTTTGGGCTGACAAGGTTTTATCCTTGAGTAACGGTAATCCAAAAGACGTCTGTATACTTGCACAATGTATGTTTTTATTAAAACAATATCATCGAGCAGCTCATCTCATTAGAAGTCGAGGTCTCGAAAAAGTTGGTATTTTTTCTAAAATTTCATCATAATTTTATTAAATGATAAAAATTAATCATTTCTTTTTGGTTAAGTTTACTTTTCAGTATATGTTACAAATTTTTAATTAATATTAAAATTTTTTTTCTCTCAATAATTTTAGAAAGACGTCATGTGCCACTATTTGACAGTTCGAAGTTTATTGGAAGCAAATGAATTTACTGAAGCTTTGTCAGTGATAAATGAATTTGAAATTTGCAACAATATGTCTCAATTAAGTGCCAGTTTTGTAGATCATTCAAATATTTTAGACACTCCAAAAAATGTGAGTTTTCAAAGTGAATAAAATTTTTTATTCTAAAATTACAAAATGAAAATAATTAAATTGTTTTTTGATCGTATAATTATTAAAATTTCTACATTTGGTGAGAAAATATTTTTAAAAAAAATTTTTTTTTTTTTAGGTTCAAAGTGCCATTCTTTACGTAAAAGGAAGAGTTTATGAAGCAATGGATAATCGAGCAATGGCGACTGATTGTTATAAACAAGCTCTTCAATGCGATGTTTATTCATATCAAGCTTTCGAAGCTCTTGTTCAAAACCAAATGTTGTCTGCCGCTGAAGGTAATTTTTTTTTTTCATTAATACTTTTTTTAGTCTTTCTTTTGTTTAATATTATTCTTTCTATTTCTTTGGATTTTTTTTTTCTATTAAAAAATTTTTGTATTTCTTTTTGTTTTAGAAAAAGAACTTTTGGAATCGTTACCTCTAAGTGAACAGTGTACAGAAGGAGAAGCAGAATTTTTACGTTTATTATATGATAGTAAACTGAAAAAATATCAAGAACCAACGGAAAGTCATACGGTGACTTCTTGTGGAGTTATGGGAGTTCTCGTCACTGATCGATTAAGAAATAATCTTGACATGCAAGTTTCAGAAGCTGAACGACTTTATTACAATTGCGATTATCAGCAGTGTTTTACTCTCACGGAAAGGTCAGTAAATAAAATTTTTTTTTAAAATTTATTTCAAAATTTTTATTAATTATTTTATTACAGTATTCTGAAGAAGGATCCTTATCACAATGGCTGCTTACCTGTTCACATTGCCTGTTTAGTTGAATTAAAAAAAACGAATGGTATGTATTTCTACTTACATTAAAATAAAATATTTTCTCAATTACAATTTGCAATTGATTTTAAAAATTATTAATGAAAATATATAAAAATTAATTTTACAGCTCTTTTTTATTTGGCTCACAAATTAGTGGATTTTTATCCAGAAATGGCACTCGCTTGGTTCGCAGTTGGTTGTTACTACTTCAGTATAGGTAAAAAAAACAAACAAATTTCAATTCATTCAATTTACGTTTACTTTTTTATTTCTTGAAGATTCACAAAAAAAAAAAAAAAAATAAACGTGAATTTAGGTAAAATAAATAGTAAAAAAATAAAAAATTACCATTCTTATGAAATAAAATTTGTAAAATATCAGACCTTGGATTGTACGACTTTTTTTTCGAAATATTTTCCAAAATAAATTTGAATAATAACATTTTCAAAAAAGTGTAAAATTTAAGATTATAAAATCGCGTTGTGAACATTTTATTTTTGATTAATAATATCACAAAAATATAAAATTTTCTTCGATAATATTATGATTAAAGAAATTATAAATTCATCGAGTTTAAATATAATATAAAAACTATATATTTTTTAATAATATGTCATCAACAATTCTCAGATGATTTTCAGTGAGTCGACTTTATGTTTTTTTTTTAAACGAAGATTTTTGAAATTCTTGAAAATTTGTCTCAGTTCAATTTTGAAATATTACCTATTTAAATAAAATTTCTTGATAAATTCATATCCATTTATTTTTATTTTATTTTATTTAAAATTTTTTTTTTTTAATTTTAAATTAAATGATAATAGAAATAAAATATTTATAAAATTTTAAAAATCAAATTCAATTGTTTATAAAAAATCTTTTAAATATGTAACTCTTTTAAAATTCTTCGATAAATTAATAATTTCCAATTAATTTTTATCAATTGTTTCAATTCAAATAATTTTTATCAAGTTCTTTTAAAATTCAATTATTTAAAAAATAACTTTGACAAAATTCTAAATTTATAAATAATTCAATTTTATTTAAAAAGGTAAATTTTTTTTGCCCGAGGACTGGAGTATATAAATATGAAAAAAGATATTCAATTTATTTATTTTTCTTTTTTTAAGGTAAAAGTGATCCGGCTAGAAGATATCTTGCGAAAGCGACAGCCCTTGATCGGTTATTTGGCCCTGCTTGGCTTGCTTATGGACATTCATTTGCTGTTGAAAACGAGCACGATCAAGCAATGGCTGCCTATTTTAAAGCATCGCAACTTATGAAAGGCTGCCATTTACCCCTTTTGTATATTGGACTTGAGTGTGGATTGACAAATAATCTTAAACTCGCTGACAAATTCTTCCAACAGGCACAAACTATTGCTCCTAATGATCCATTTGTCATCCATGAAACGGGAGTTATTTCTTATCACAATGGAGAGTTAGTAAAACAATATAATATTATTTATAAGAAAAAATTTTTTAATTTTAATTTACATTTATTTTCAATTTTTTTTTTCATTTTAAAAGAAAAATTAGTTTTTTTTTTTTTTGGTTTAAAATTTTACTAAAGAAAAAAAATAATTTTTGTGCCTAAAACAATGAAATTTTATTATAATTTCTATGAATTATGAAATAAGCTATTTATAACTTATTATTATAATTATTTATTTATTTATTTTTTTTAATGATGATAAATGATAATAAATTGCAGTTACAAGACGGCAGAACGTCAATTCAAAGAAGCAATGAAAAAAATTCAAAGTGGATTGAAAGATGTGATTTTACCAAACAAATGGGAAGCCCTTCTTAATAATTTGGGACATACTTGTAGAAAAATGAAAAAATATGACGAGGCTTTAGAATATCATCAACAGGTAAAAATTAGTTTTAATTTTTCTTTTCTTTTTATTTTATAAAAAAAAAATTCATCTATAAAAATAATTATATATAATAAAATAATATATAATTTATTAAAGAATATAATAATTTTTAACAGGCCTTGGTTTTAAATCCATTGAATCCAACGACTTATGCAGCAATTGGATTCATTCAATCGATGATGGGAAATTTACAGGACGCCGTCGATTCTTGTCACAGAGCTCTTGGTCTCAGAAGGGACGATACATTTACTACTACTTTATTAGGCTATTTAATGGAGCAATTAATTGACGAATCGCCTCCCTATTTAGGTGATTTGCTTTTTTAATTATATATTATTAATTTCAAGCATCAGAGTAACCAATTTTTTTTTTTTTTTTTTTTCTTTAAAAACAAAATTTATTTTTTAGATGCACCTCTTGAACTACCACCGTATAAATTTCCTGATACTAAATTTCCTACCGAGTCCAGTGAAAATCCATTAAATACTGTTGAGGGTCAAGATCAAAATATGGATAAATTGCGAGTGAATTTATTTTCCGCATGGGGCGAAGATTCAGCGAAAGTCGAAGAAAATTCAACGGAAAAAATTGAAAGATCCCGTGATTCTCTGGTAAATTATTCATCGAGTGATATGAGCTCAGAAGTGGAAATGTTGGATTCATCGACCGCTCATATAGAATATAGCTGAATTAATTTATTTTTCTATAATCAAAAGTTTGATTGATAAGATTTCATGTTTTTTTTTAATTATTAAATTTTTTTTTTTAAATTTACTGCCCTTTTTTAAAATTTTTTTTAAAGAAAAAATTGAAAATTAAATTTCTTTTTTGAAATATATTTCCAAATAACATTGTGCTATTATTTTTAATAAAGAATGAAAGAGCACAATTAAATTAGTTTATAACGATTAGGTATTTCGAAATTTTTTTTTTTTTAACTCCAATAAAATAGAAATTTTGGTGAAATATTTATGTATAAATTTATTGATTTAGAATGCGAAAGTTGTAAGTATATAAATTTCGAATTCTTACCATAATGTTTGAGTTGCGATAATTTATTGATCTCTGTAATTTATAATTATAAAAAATACAGTTTGTTATTATTACCAAATTTGAAATTTTCTTTTTTTATCCTCTCCATCGTTTTATCAAAAAAAAAAGAATTATTTATTTTCATTCAGTTGAAATACATTGATTATAATTATTTTTTAAAATTTATTTTAGAAATATTTTATTTAAAAAAAATATTCATTTTTTTATTAAAATAAATTTTTTTATTTTTTTTGTTTAAAAAATAAAAGTAAATAATGACTTTTTTTAAATAATTGAAATTGTTAAGGAAAGTATTGAATTGAAAAAAAAAATTATAAACAATATGTATTTTATTAAATTTATATCTTAATCGATGTTTCCATTATGTTTGTTCATAAATTCATTATCGATTTTATGACAGAAAATTTTAGTTCAAAAGAAAAGAACTTCTTACGAAACAAAGGATTGAAGGTTTTCAAGGAAATAAAAATTCATTTCCGCTTTGATGCTTTTACGATTTTGTTTTTTTTTTTAAATAAATCCGTGTTTGGTAAATTTGTAAATATTCACTAAAACTATTGCAATTAAATTACAAGAAAAAATTAAATATTATACATTTTTTCTAATCAAATTATAACAATAATACAAGTAAAAAAAATATTTTTTACAATTTTATAATCAAAAAAGCAATTGTTTTCCTTCCTATTCGATGATTGGTTGAGAGCTTTGAGCATTTCTCTGATTGGCCATGTAAACAAATAAATGCCGATGGAAGTTTTACTGTTTTTCTCGAAAATAAAGTTTATAAAATACATGAATTCACGTTAGGCGTGATAAATGAAAAAAATAGTAAAATCCCTTAGAGAAGTTTTTAATTTTGCAAATGTATAGTAATTGAAAATGTTTTCTTGAAAAAAAGTTTATAGAGAATTTGGCGCACAGAATTCTTATCTCAGCAATTGGCAACACTGTAAGCACGTTTTGCCAAATCTCGCCGGCCGGATGATGGGCTTTGGATCCTCAGTTCGCGGCAAGAAACGACAACGCGAAGAAGTTTTATAGTGAAAAAGTGAATTAGAAAAGCAAAAAAAATATTTTAAGGGAAATAAAAGGATCCGACATAGTGTCATTAGAAAACTAAAATCTACATAAATGGACTGGTGCGGAAATTAAACGACCGAACCTCTTTCCCATTCAAAGGGTCCGACTGGTTCACAAAGTCGTCATTTTTTTTCCTTTCTATGTCCCTTTTGTTTGTCCTTAAATTAAATATTTATTAATTTATTACGATCCCCATTATTTTTTTTTTCACTTCAAAATTGTTCATTCCAAAAGAAAAAAAGTTATTTTTTTTGCCGAGAAAATAGTCAAGAAATCAAGATGCCATCGTTATTTCAACAGGTGAGAAAGATCAAATTTTTATTTTTAATTCTGTTTTTTTTATTATTGTTTATTTTTAAATAAATATATTAATAAATTAAATAAATTCTGAGAAATAAATTTTTAAAAAAAAATTTGTTTTATTGAAATTTGTTTAAAATTTTCGTTAATTTAAAGTAACATTTGTGACAAACCACGTTTTTTCTTAAATTTTTAACTCCAAAATAATTACGTAGAAATCTAATCCAATTTTTCGATATCTTAATAGGTATGTGAAGTTAGTTTCATTTCTAAATGTAATTTTTTTTTTTTTAGAATAAAACATATTTTTTTCTTTTCGTAATCGCTGTTTACGATTAGATGAATCATTTCTTGAATGCAAGATTGCAGGTTGCAACTTGATTTCTTTTTCAGTTGAAAATTTTTGGTTGACAGATAATTTTCTTTCAAGAAATATTTCCCACGTTCATACTATTAGTAAGAATTTTTTTTTTCTGTATCATTTTCTGAGAACTGTACCTTCTAAGCTTGGTATACGTGATACTGTGTTTGTAAACACGACCCAAAGTATGAACCTATTATTAATGAGGTAGTGCGATTCACAAAATGTTCGTAATCAACTATTTTATGGCGCAGTTATAAATTGAATATAAACTAAATAGATATTAACTATTTTAACAATTAATTTGTTCCAAAAAAATGGGGGGGGGGACAGGGACTCGAAGAAATTTTAGAAAAAGAAATGAAAATACTTATTCTAAAAAAAAAAATTCTCTCGAATAAAATAAAGTTTCATTTTATTATATTCAAGGTCATTTCTGATTTTTTCCGAAATAAAAGTTCTACATTTGGGAAAATTTATTCTTTTTTTTTTTTTTTTTTTTTTTAATTTTACATTATTTTGTATATTTTTTTGGTACATGATTTATTATCTTATTTTATTACTTGTGTCTTTTTTCTATCTACTGGTCTAATGAAAAAAGAAATCTTTTAATATTAGGCAAAGAAAATGAATTTTTTTCAATATCTTTTTTTTTTTTTTGCTTTCATTTAAATAATTTTTATTAAAATAATAAAAATAAACTTTGAAGTTTTTTTTTCAATAACATAAATTATTGGATATTTAAAAAAATATCTTCAAAATTATTGAAATTTTTTTCAATTTTAAATATTTTGTATACACTGTAAAAAAAAAAAGTTATATATTTAAAGTACTGGATTAAAAAAGAATTAAAACTTTTTTTTATTTTCATTTTAATAAAAAAAAAAAAATATTTATAATATTTGTAGCTTTTTTACGTCGATGAAATTAACGTTTATGATGAATGATTTAGAACATAAAATATATTTTTTTTTCTATACAAATTATTATAATTTATTTCAGGAACAAAATTTTTGCAACGTTTCTTGATTAGCAAAAATAAAAAAAAAAAAAAATTTATGAGCAAAAAATTTTCTTATTTTCCGTGTGAAAAAAAGTTTTTTTTTTTTTTTTATTTTTAATCGACGTTCTTTTTTGACACCTTGTACATTATTATAGGTATTAGGAACTTATTTTCTTAAATAAACTATATTATAATACCAATAATTTTGTATTTATTTCCCAGTTAATTAGAAAATAAAATTTTGTATAGAGAAAAAAAAAGAAAAGAAGTATTGAGGAAAAATCAATTCACAATAGTCATATGGGAAAACTGAATTTTCCTGGAATTTCATTGTAAACACACGTTTCCATGGTCTTTGAAAATTTGACGCCTAAATTTCCAGAAATATAAGCTTTTTGTCTATTCATGTTTCCAAGTGTCTAGTCTGATTTTCATTTTCGAATATACATATTCCTTTTGTAAACAAATTCTAATTAAACGTAATTATCGTTCTCAAAATAGTCTTTAATTATTTCCAAATTAGAAAATTTCGTCTAATTTTAGAATTAATTACTTTCTTTTTAGATCTAATTAATTTCAGACAATTTAATTAATTATAAATAAATTAATTGTTTTTTTTTTATTTTTTAATTTAAATTTTTTAATCAAAAAAATTATTTAATAACAAAACAGACGTAAAATGAAATGATTTTTTTTTTTTAATAGAATAAAATTTTTTATTTTAATGTGAAATAAAAAGTGATTTTTTGTTTGTTTGTTTTTTTTTTTTATTAACATAATATAATGTTTATTTTCAGTTATCCTCATATGAATCCGATGGGGTATTTGGAGTGGAGCCTCTTTTAGATCGAAGTGATACACAAAATTTGCAACTACAATCTCACGACAATCTTCAAATTGCACATCGTGAACGTGATCCATTGCAACAATCGGAGCAATTGCAAATTTCACAACGAGAACGAAATGCCGATCAAATAAAATTGCAAACACCAAGAGAACGTGAAACAACATTGTCGCTTCTTCAATCGACACTTGAACGTGAAAAAATGCAGGTTCCACATCCAAATCGTGATCGTGAACAATTGCAATTTCAACAAAGGGAACGTGAACTTGAACGCGAACAACTTCAACGGGATAAAATGCAGCATCAAACACGTGAACGCGATCACATGCATCAGCTTCAATCAATCAGCAATCTTATGCTCGATTTACCAACATCTTCATCGTCGTTTCATTCAAATCATGACAATTCTTGTTCATTGTCAAAGAACTCAAGTATGGATGGTAAGTTGGAAATTTGCATTTTTTCAAATTAATAAAATTATCGGGAAATTGTTTTTTTTTTTTTTTTTTTTTTTGCACTTTTCTCAAAACTTAAATTACAAAATAGTATTTACATTGCAAATGGTATATTATAAATTTATTTAAAAATATAGGAATATTTTATTTAAAGCATAAATTGTATCTTATTTTGAAAAATTACTAATGTACGAAAATATTTATGTTTCATTGATTTATAATTAAATTAATTTAATTTATTAGATAATAACCATTTTATTTATTAAGAGAATTAACAAAAATTTGTAAAAATATCCATTTAATATTAATTTGATGCAAAAAAAAAAAATTAAATGGGGAGAAAATTTAAAAAAAAGAGCATATCCTGTTTTGATAAAAAAAAATAATAATAATAAATGAACCAATTTTATAATTGTTGAAATTACAAGATTTTCTTGAAATACTTAAAATATTTACTTGAATAATAATAATTTTCGACATTTTCAGGCTTCGGATTATACGACTTTTTCGATTATTTCCGACTTTTTTTTTACATTTTTTTGACAAAATTTTTAAACAAAATACGTTTTTTTTAAGTATAAAATGCAAATCTTCTTCAGATAATCTTTATTTCAATTATTTAACAAATTTTGAACTAAAATTCTTCACTAAATTAATTATTTTTAAAAATTTCAATGAAATTCATAAGAAATCTAATTATTTTTCAACTATTTTTCAATTAAAATTTTTATGAAATTTAATAATTGTTTATAATTTTAAAAAAAATTAGCAAATAAAATTACTAAATTTTTTTAATTTAAAATCACTTGAAATTTAATTATTTGCAAAAATTTCAATTATTTTTAATGATTTTTATAATATTCTTTGAATATTCAATTATCTGAAAGCATTTTTCAATTAAAAACTTTTGAAATTCAATTTTTTTATGTAATTTCTAATATATTCTTCATCAACAGAAATCATTAGAAATTTCTCTTATTATAATAATTATTGTCTGAAATTTAACACAATCTTTTGAAATTCAATTATTTCCAAAAATGTCAATCTAAAAGCTTCAATTATTTTTAATGATTTTTATAATATTCTTCGAAAATTCAATTATCTAAAAGCATTTTGCAATTAAAAAGATTTTTAAGTTCACTTTTTGTCTGTAATTTATAATAAATTATTCAATTATTTGAAATTCAATTATTTTTAAAATTTCAATTGAAATTCATGTATTTTCAAAATTTTCAATTAAAAATCAACTAAAATTTAATTATTCTCAAAAATTTCAATTACAAATTAATTATCAAAATTTTCAATCCAAAATCAAATAAAATTAAATTATTATCTAAAATTCCAATTGAAATTCAATTATCTTCAAAAATTTCAATCTAAAATCAAGTAAAATTTAATTATTTTCAAAATTTTCAATTTCAAATTTAATAATTCAATAATTTCAATTATAACTGTCCTGAAATTCAATTGTTTTTAACTATTTTTATAATATTCTTCGAATATTCACTTATTTAAAACCATTTTTCAATTAAAAATGTTTTTCAAATTATTGTATTTTTGTCTACAATTTCTAATAAATTTTTTAGTGAAATCATCAAAAGTTTTTAATTAAAAATCACTCGAAATACAATTAATTTCAAAAATCTCAATTGCAAAATCTTTAAAAATTCAATTACTTTTAAAAAATGTTATCTAAAAATATTTGATAAATTATTTTTAATTCTGTAAAATTTAATTATTGTCGGAAAATTAACAAAATCTTTGGAAATTTAATTATTTCTAAAAATTTCAACTTTAACCCTTCGAAAAGGATTATTATTAAAAAAAAAATTTTTATTTAAAAATCTGTAAAATATTTTTGTTAAAATAAAAAACAAATCCACTTTTTTTGGAATATAAATCGACTAAAACGACTTTTTTTGTGCCTTTAAGTCGATCCGAGGCCTGCAATTAAAAAATATATATATTTTTTTTAAATAAAAATAATTAATTCTAAGACAGTAAAAAATTATTTAATTTCAACTTTTTAAAATAAAATATGGTTTTCTCTGGTTGTAAATAATGACTAAAAAAAAGAATTGAGTAAACGAACTTAAGTTTTGTTAAACTTAAGTGATCCTTTTAAAATACAACTTCTTCCACAATTTTCATTATTCTTCAACGAGAATTTTTTTCACTTACTTCTTTATGATTTCAAATCATCGTATAAATTTTTAAATTTTTGGGTTTTTTTCGAAGAATAAATAATTTAAAATGGTTAAAAGTAATTTTTTTTCCAATTTAAATGAGTAGAATAATTTTAGATTCTAAATAATTTTAAATAATGAAATTGGAACCTGTCAACATAACGTAAATTTCAATGATATTAAAATTTTAGTCCTCCCTTCTTGTAATAATTCAATTAATTATTATAATAAAAATTACAAAAAAATAAATTTGTAACATCTTATTAGTTACAATTTTTTTGTTCAATAAAGAATAATTTCTCAATTAAAATTGACCTAACAATTCTAATTTCTAAATGAATAAAAAAATAATGTCCATTTGCTTTAAGGAAATTATTATAATTTTTTTTTAATTATATATTTTTCAATTATTCTTTCGCTTTTATTTCGTCTGATTTATATTTTTAACTTTTTTCTCGAGTTTATTTTTGTTCTTTAATTGAAATTTATGAATTATTTACGTTTAAAACTGACAATTCGATATTAATCTTTCATTCTTTGAAATTATTTTCTCCTGCACGATATTCGAATTGAATTGATTTTAATGTAATCTCTAGAGTGAATATAAGCCTTTTGTTATTAAATAATAAAAAATAAATGAATTTATAGTTTTGAATTGGGTTACATTCTTTGTTACAAAAGAGTATCAGAAAATTATTCATACGACCCAGTTGTATTTTTAGTTAGTCAGTATGCCACCTTCCTATTGAATTTTTTTTACAGGCGTTAAACTAGTGAAGTAACTCAAGATTTCGTCTGACTAAAGATAGGACTCTTTATTTACTGTGTTATATCCTCGTATATTTTTGTATAAACAGGATTTGATTTCTTTTTTTGTCTTAAATTTTGTCCCTTTATAATTAAAAATTAATTTAATTTTACAATTTAAAATATATATTTTAAAAAATAAGAATAAAAAATGTTTTCAGAAATTCTAGATTTTCTTTTTCACATTAAAATAAAAATATTGTTTGCAATTACAGTGTAATGAAATTAAAAGTTAAATTTTTCCTTTCATTTTGGAAACGCAATTTAAACTTTTAAAAATAAGTCACTCTATGGATTATTGGTAAATGATAAAAAAAAATTTGTTTAAATTAAAAAAGTTTAATGAAATAATAGAAAAATTGTTTAAATAATAAAATTTTTAAAGAAATAGGTAAAAAAAAAGTAAATAATTAAGATGTATTAAATATTTTTGAATGTGACTTACCATGATGAAGTATGCAACATTTATGATTAACGATTAGAAATCAAATTTTTATTTAATATGGAAAATTATAAAATTATTTACCTAAAAAAATATTTTTTATAATTTGTTGATTAATAAAAAAGTACAAGAAATATTTTTCAGGCTAAAAATTATTTCTTTAAAAATCGTTTATCATAAACGTTGCGTACTTTAGCAAAATTGGAAAATGTAAGTTGTATTAAATCATTTGAAGTATCTGTCATTGAAAATAAATTTTTTAAATAAATTTTTATTCAATCTTCTTTTGTTTAGTATCACATCTTAAATTGTGAAATAAAGCTACGATAATGTGATGATATAGAAGAAAATTTAAAAGAATTTTTCATTTCAACAGATATGTCGATTTCCGATCTTTTTGGCTTGGGATTACCACGAGGATCATTAATGAGTGGACAATCAAACTGTAACTCAACAGGATATCGACATCATCAACATTATGGACAAAATTTTAATCAGTCACCATCGGGATCTTATCAGGTTTGATTTTTCAATTTCAGTAATTTTTTTTTTTTTTTTGTAATTCTTACGTTTACATGAGTAAGTATTGTTTACGTGAAATTAAAAAAAAATTGCAATTTGAAAAGTATGATTTATTAAATTGGTTATTTATTTTCTAGAAAAAAAAGAGAAGCTGTATAAGTATAACATAAAGAAAATACAAACGAAGAACTTTTTAAATTTTTCAAATTCGCAAAAACAATTTGAGAGTAAATTTTATACAAAAATAAAATTTGTTTAGTGACGAAAAAAGTGATGTCATTTTTGAGTGAAGTTTGTTATTTTTGGAAGTTTTTTTTTATTATGCTAGGTTCATTTGTTTTAATTTCTTGTATTGCAAATTGTGTATTATTTAGATTTTTTTTTAAATTTTTCCTTCGGCATTTAAATTTAATTACAAATCTAATTTTAATTGAGTTTCAATTTAAAATCTCATGTTTACAGGCCTCAGATTATACGACTTTTTCGATTAGTTCCGACTTTTTTCGACTTATTTTAATAAAATGCGACTATTTCGACTTTTTTTTTTACATTTAAAAAAAAAAATTTTTAAATAAAATATATTTTTTTTTTAGTATAAAATGCAAATCTTCTTCAGATAATCTTTATTTCAATTATTTAACAAATTTTTAACTAAAATTCTTCACTAAAATTAATTATTATTAATAATTTTAATGAAATTCATTACAAATTCAATTATTTCAAATTATTTTTCAATAAAATTTTTTATGAAATTTAACAATTGTTTATAATTTTAAAAATATTATAAAATAAAATTACCAAAAATTTTTAATTCAAAATCATAAATCAATTCCAAATAAAATTCAATTATTTTCAAAAATTTCAATTCAAAATCAATTAAAATTCAATTATTACCCAAAATTTCAATTCAAAATCAAAGAGAATTCAATTATTTTCAAAATTTTCAATTTAAAATCAAATAAAATTCAATTATTACTCAAAATTTCAATTCAAAATTAATTATTATCAAAATTTTCAATCAAAAATCAACTAAAATTGAAATATTATCCAAAATTTCAATTATAATTCAATTATTTTCAAAAATTTGATTTTAAAAACTTCTAAAATTTAATTATTTCTAAAATTTTCCATTGAAAATTTTTTTAAATTTAACAATTTCAATTCAGGGTGGCCGCAAGTCAGGGAAAAACTGGAAATCAGGGAATTTTGATTTAATTCAGTTTTTTTATTTAGACGTTTTTGTAATATAGCTCAATATAATATAATATAATATAATATAATATAATAAAATTTTGTTAACAAACAATGTTTAATTATCTTATCTTTTTCTTTATGAATAAAATTGTTACTTAAAAAGCATTAAAAAAATTTTCAATCAGCAATGCAGAATGTTAAATTAATTCAAAAATTTTTTAGTCAGGGAAAAGTCAGGGAATTTTGAAAATAAAATTTTGCGGCCACCCTGCAATTATAACTCTAAGGAAATTATATTATTTTTAACTATTTTTATAATATTCTTTGAAAATTCAACTATCTGAAACCATTTTTCAATGAAAAATGGTTTTCAAATTATTGAAATTTTGTCCGCAATTTCTAATAAATTTTCTAGTGAAGTCATCAAAAATTTTTAATTAAAAATCACTTGAAATTCAATTAATTTAAAAAATCTCAATTGTAAATCTTTGAAAATTCAATTACAATTACAATTACATTTTCTAAAAATTTCAACCTTAACTCTTCCAAAAGTATTATTATTTAAAAACAAAATTTTATTTAAAAATCTGTTAAATATTTTTGTTAAAATAAAAAAAATCAACTTTTTCAACTTTTTTTTGTGCCTTTAAGTCGATCCGAGGCCAGTGTTTACACAATTTATTTAATAAATGTTGATTCAGTTCTTCTTTTCAACATCAATAATATATATTTTGAACATCAAAATAATTCAAAAAGAATTATTAAAAAAAAAAATTAATGAATTCGAATAAATTTCTGAATTGATTTATTTTATTGATAAATTATTATTTTTTTTTATTAAATCATTTTTTTAGTGTAACTTTTTTTTTAATATGAAAAACAAATTTAAAATTATTTGATCTAGAAACTTTTTGTTATCTTCAAATTAAGTACCTTAAAATGTCATCTTGCAAACGTTAAGAAATTTTGTAGCCAACGCTTGCTTTTTTATTTGAACAATAAGTACCAATACATAGTTTCTTTAAGTGTCAGTCCTTTAACAAAAGTTGACCATTAACTTTTTATTTGCAGTTAAAGACCACTAAAAAAAAAAAAAAATAAAAGAAAAACAGTACGAAACTATTCCTTATTTCATATTTTTATGTCGAGCTCGAGATTCACATATTTTTCAACGATGAAGTTAAGAGACTGTAGAATTTATTTTTTCTCTGATTCTGGCAACATGTAAATATTGCATTTTTTTTCTTTTTTTTTGGTAATAATAAAAATACTAGTCGCGATATAAGCAAAAACATTTTACCTCGAAATGTATGACTTCTGCCAATGTAATAACTTGAACTATGATCATATCATTGGAGTTTCTCCAACTTTCTTTCAAAACTTTATTATATATTTTTAATACACATTCATTTACAAATATTGACAGATTTAAGAATTTTACAAATTGATATCGAAATTTATTCATTTTTATTATTTATAATTTTTTTTTTTTTTTTTTTATTTAATTACATTTAAGTGAGATGAAAAAATTTAATTGTTATATATATGAAATAAAAAATGAATCGGAAAAAAAATTGGAGATATTATAAAAAAAATTTTATTACGATTATTTTTTCAAATTTGAGAAAATAGATTTTTTTTTCTAATTGTAAATAGTATAATATTGGAAATTTTAGAAATAGAGTGGTTTTTTTTTTAATTTGAAATCTGTACTATTAATATTTTGAAAATTTCTTAGTTTGTTTTTATTTCATTTTCTTTAAATTACAATATTTTGACTCTTCATTTAAATTAATCGGAGTAATTTCCTCATTTTTGAAAATGTAACTCAAAAGATGAATATTTGTCACAGTGCCAAGTGCATATTGCCATTCTCAATTTTCTTTATTTCCTGTGTGTGTTTTATATAAAACTGTCCCAAACATTGAGTGAATGTCTATTTTATGGCATATTAAAGATGCTAAAAGGAAAATGTCATCCTAAAGAATTGCAATTTTTCACATCAAATAATTCAAACAGGAAAAACGTGTGTTATTAGGTGAGAGAGAGAAAGAGAGCTCGCGTTATCCTGTCGAGCCAAATATTTTGTTATTTGAGCCAACAAATCTCACTAAATCATAATTTCCTATAGAAAAGTTTTCCTCACTATTAAATGTAAAAAAATTTAACAATAATTTATCTTTGAATTAAATTTTTTTATTTCTTGTACGATGAAAGAAAAATGTCAAGAATAATTTACATTGTATAAATTCTCGGATTATAAATGTTTAAACTGTAATAAGAGGTAATAATTTTTTTTTACTTTTTTTTATTAAATATTCACAATATTTTTTTTTTTTAGTAAAATTTTTATTTTTTAAAATAAATCAACCTTTTTTACAATTTAAATTATAAAATGATTTATTTTATTATTATTTTTATTAGATTTTCTATCAAATTTAATTTTAGATTACTTTCCTACATTTAATCAATTAAGTATTGTATTTTTTTTTGTTTAATATAAAAAAATACATCGATGAAGTTTACAACGTTTATAATCAACGATTTAGAAGGCAAATTATTTTTCTAAACAAATAATTATGATTTTTTTGTTGTAAAAAAAAATTTTTGTAACATTACTCGATCATCAGACATTGAAATCATTTAAAAGTTCTTCAATTTTTTTAGAAACTTGAAATATCCATGAAATTCCTTGAATTTTATAATAAAACCTTGAATTATTATAAAATTTTCTAAAATAATGATATTTACTACCACCTTATTATTTTGAATCCTTTAAATTTAAATGATGGAAAAAAAGTATAACTTCCTTCAATCATTAAAATTTCAATGACTTTTAAAATATTGAAAATCCCGAAAGTGGTCCTTGAATTCTTTTTTCAAAAATTCCATAATTTTTTTTTTTTTGCAAAATTTTGAAATTAAAAAATTTTCTTAATTGAATGTTTGTTTTAAAAAAAGAAGCAATTGGACGAAAATCGTGGACACGGAAGTAATTCAACAATTGGTCAAGAAGTGTTGCATTCACCAACATCGGTGTCAACACCTGGTACACCAGGAAGTCTCTACTCGAATCCACATTCTTTTCATCCTCCTACGTCTAGCAGCTCTTATAACACTCCATTATCATCAAATCGTTCACAACATCAATATTTGGGCTCACCACCGTCTCCAATTAATTCCTCTTACTATGGAAGACCAATTCGCGGCTCTCCATCTTACAGGTAAAAAAAAAAAAAAAGAAAATTTTTCAAATAATTTTGAATTAAATTGTTAATATTTTTTGTTGGTATCGTAAATTATTAATATTATTTTATTTTAGTGATTGCAGCAGCCCAACTTTGGATTATCCACACGTGATTGGTTGCAATGGATCTCGATCAAATTCACCAGCTGATTCTGAGACGAGCGGGGTCAGTAGCATGGATGGTTCACTTTCCGATATTATGGTATTTCTGGCATTACATATTCTCTAACATTAAATATTCCTTTCGACAATTCATTTATGTCACATGAATTATATCATGAAATTGGATAATTAAAATTTTAATAATGCTAATACTATTAATATCACTTAATGATTATATATACTGCATTTTCAACGCATCGATTATCAATAGCTGGGTGCTAAAGAATTTCCAATTATTCAATATTAAAAATAGTCTTCACAATTAGTATTATAGATTTGATATTTTTAAATTTTAATTGAAACTCGATAATTTTATATATTTGAAAGAAAAATTATTAATTCATACTAACTTATAGATAATAATTCAAAAGTTTAAGAATGCAATTTGTAAATTTGAGCAAACATTTTAATTATATTACAAATAATAAATTCAAAGAAAGGAAAATTGATAATGTAAGAAAATAAAAAATGTAAGGAACTAGAAATAATTTATTAGCAATTGTTAAAAAGTGAATTTTTATTATTAAATACAGTTAAAAAAAATTCTATAATTTTGATAATTTTAAAAGTTCAGAATTTCTTTTTTTCAACTGTTTAATAATAAACATTTTTTTCTATTTTTAAGATAAAATATATATTTTTTTTATTTTACAAAATTAATGATTTAAAAAAGATTTTTATTTTTCTATAATTCACTTTAATATTGATTAAAAGGTAAATTTATTTATCATATCTATTAATAGAAAGAAAAAGTTCATCTTTTTACTTTATTTTGCTAAAATATAAAAAAAAAATTATAAATATGAAATTGTTTAAATATATATATATATATTTTTTAATTTAATTTGTCACAGACGTGTTTGTCAATAAATTCATCATCACATCAATGTTATCCACCATCGTTGAATTCTTTGGTGTCTTCGGAAATGGATTGTCCGGGAAATCGAGTTGTTGCGTTTCAACGTATGCCTGTGAAAAAATATGTGCCCCATCAGCCGCATCACCATCATCATCATTTGCACAATCATTCGCGAAATTATCATCACTCTCAACAGCATCCTGGCAGTTTTCTTAATTCTTATTTGAATTCGGAAAAGAGCTGTTGCCCAACACCAAATCAACACATGATGTCATTACGTTCACCGCAACCAACGATTCCTGATTTTTACATGTCACTCGATCGAGCAGCGCGATGCCACAGAAATGCTGCTGGTAAGTTATAATATATGAATGTGGAACATTTGAATGTTTCCTTAAACAAACTTTATATTTAGTCGCATTTTTATTTTCATGAATTTCTTGAATTTTTTCAGACATTTTGTATAGGGTAAGTGTACTAATTACGGCGAGTGCACCAATTACGGCGCGTTCATAAAAAATAACTATTATTACTATTATATTTAATATAACTGTTGCTAAATGATTAAAAAAAATTATTTCAATCTTTTTTTGATACAAATACTTATAAAGATGCACATTTAAACAATTATTAATTTAATTATTTGAGATCAAATTTTTTTCCGCGCCGCAATTGAAACATTTTTAAGATTTCCATTGGCTTCAATTTCGGCGGGCAAAGTATCTTCAAAATACACGTAATTTTGGTCACCGAAATTGATACACCGAAACTGATACAAACTCGCCGCAATAGAAAATTACGGTATTAGTTTTAATTTCTCATATTTGTTTAAATAATCGATTTTTATAGAGTTAAAATTTTTTTTTAATATCTTAATAACATAAGCTTTAAGTTTAATAAGTCTTAAATTGAGTTTATACAATAGAAATGTCGAATTTTCTATTTCAAAGGTGTTTTGACTCGAATCTCGCCGCAATTAGTGCATTTACCCTATATTTAATTAAATTTTTATTTATCTGAATTTCTATTTAAAATAATTTTCATTTGACAAAGTCTTTTATATGGTATAGAATTTTTTTTTTAACCCAACTTCTATTTAAACAAATATTTACTTTTATTCAACAAAAAAAAAAATTTCAAATAAACATTTAAAATTTGATTAAAAATTTAAAAATTTGCAGGGCTGCAATGATTTAAATCAAAAAGTTGTCTACAATAAAATGTTTTGAACATTTTTTTTAAATAAATTTATTAAATATATTTTTTGCATTTAATTTTGTACATTCTAAGATTCAAAATTCATTTATTAAGCTACTGACGAATATTCGATTGACAATTTATCGAAAGTTATTTTCTTTTTTTTTTTTTTAATTTTTATATTCGCACACCTAAATGTTTCTGTTGAATGTTTTGTTATGGATGAATATTTGTCATTTAAAAGTTTAGCATAAAATTTAAAGATAAAAATTACATTTCTTAAAAATTTTTTGTTAAATTTTATTATTTTTTCTCACTAAAAGTTCCACATTTGTTAAAAACATTTTATACTGATTTTTGCAATTAATCAATCAGAAATTATTAAGAAAACTGTGATTGATTGATTTTTAAATTTGTGACAGAATTTGTTCAAAAAAATTAGAATTTGATGATTTAAAAATTTTATATCAAATGAGAATTTTGACATTTCAAAATTCGAAGAAATAAAAATTTTGATTAAATTTAAACATTTTTTAAAATGTAATTATAGATAAATAGTTACCTCTATAAAAAAATTTGTTTAGTATTAAGTAGGAATTCAGTTTAAAAAAAACTTTATTGAAATAAAAATTTAATATTCTATTTTTTTTTTTAAATTAGTATTATTTTTAATTTTGTCATTTTTTTGTTTATTAATCTTTTGTTATCAAATTATGATGAATTTAAATAATTAACAATAATTTAGTTAATTAAATTAATTATACAAGAGAAATGTTTTTTTTTCTTAGCTTTGTGTGAGGCTACACGCACTTGGAGAGGTGTTTTACCGCCGCGAACACAAAAACCAACTGGCTACTCTCCCAAAGTTTTCGTTGGTGGCGTACCTTGGGATATTACCGATTCAATGTTGGTAGCAGCTTTCAAGCAATTTGGTTCAATTCGCATTGAATGGCCTGGAAAAGATCAACCAACACAAAAGGGATATGTTTACATTATTTTCGAATCCGAGAAACAGGTGCAAACATTTAAATTTATTTTCATTCTTTTCTTTTTTTTAAATATCTTTTTAAACGTTTTCTTTCAATTTTATTAAATTTAATTTAACTAATATTGATATTAAAATAACATGTTTTTTTATGCCTAGGTCAAGACTTTACTTTCATGCTGCACACATAAATTAGGAAACGGTAGCAGCTGGTTTTACAAAATTTCGTCAAAGAGAATGAAGTCCAAAGATGTAAATAAATGAAATTTTATTTATTTTGAAATATGTTTAAATATTTTCATAATTTTTGTAAATATTTTGGTATTTTTTTTTTTTTTTTATTGTTTGATTTATTTTTCATTTTATTTTATTTTCTGTCAATTTTTGTCATTTTTCTTTTCTTTAAATTTCATCTATTTTTAAGGTACAAATAATTCCATGGGCACTAAATGAAAGTAACTACATTATGTCGTCGTCTCAAAAACTTGATCCGCAAAAGACTGTATTTGTTGGCGCGTTACACGGAATGATGACTGCCTCTGCACTCGCTTTGATTATGAACGATCTCTTTGATGGAGTTATTTATGCTGGTATTTAATTAAATTGAGAATTTTAATTTTACAAATTTTAACTATTCATAAAAATTTATTCTATACGAGTTATTGCAAAATTTAATTTTTTTACAGTTACGAAAAATTTTAATTTTTACAAATATGTTAAAAATAAAATTTGTAGAAAATAAATTTCATGTATCTTATTTTTTTTGTTTATTTTAGAAAATTTGTCAATGCAAATAATTAAAAAACAAATTGTGATTACTGTAATTAATTGTTATATATATATATAAAGCTAAAAGGTAATTTTTTTTTTTCATTTTTTATAGGTATTGACACAGACAAACACAGATATCCCATAGGTTCAGCCCGCGTAACATTTGACAATACTTGCTCATACATTAATGCCGTGTCCGCAGCATTTATTGACATAAAGACAGCTAAATTTTCAAAGAAGGTAAATTCAAGTTAGAATTAAATGTTAACGATAATAAATAAATTAACTTTAATAAATAATTTTTCTTTGTTTTTTTTTCCATAAAGGTTCAAGTCGATCCCTACATCGAAGATGCTCTGTGTTCTGTGTGCTCAGTTCAACAAGGACCATACTTCTGTAGAGAATTGGTAAGAGTAATTAAAATTTTTTTTCTTTTTATTCAAAAGTTGTTTCTAATTTTTTTTTTTAAATTATTTTTTAAACATATTTTTCCTTCCATTTTGAAATATTTTTATTTCTTCATTCATTTCTGTAGCAATAGTTTTTTAAATTTATTGAAAAAATTATTTTCTTCATTTGATTTTTTTTTCTCAAATATTGTCGTGTGTTTTTTTTGGTAATGTTTTCCTCAAACTGTTCGCGTTTTAAAATTTTCCTTCAAATTCTTTTTATTTTAGAAATTCTTAGAATTTATTTATCATTTAATTTTTTAATTCTTAAACTGTTGAATGCAAACTAATTTGTTTAAGCAATTTTAAAAATATATGAAACTTAATAATAATCAATTTTTTTTTATTATTAATACATAATTAAATCAAAGTCGAGGAAATGCTTAGTATAAGTAAACAATCCAATTATTAGAGATAAAATGTTTTTTTTTTAAAATGAACTTTCGTTTGACAAATTTTGCATTTAAATAAATATTCATTTGACTAAATGTTAATTTATGTAAGAGAATTTTTATTTAAACAAATTTGCATTTGAAAAAAAACTATTGGTTCATTTTATTATTATTATTTTAATTGTTTTTATTTATTTTTAAATATACAATGTGTGTAAAATGTAGAGTATAGAAAGAAAAAAAAATTTTTTTAAATTAATTTTATTTATTTACTTATTTATTATTTGCAGATGTGCTTCCGTTACTTCTGTCGAAATTGTTGGCAATGGCAACATTCAACAGATGCATTGCGAATGCACGAACCACTGACGCGTAATTCAAAAAGCAACCAAATGGTTGGAATGACACCAAATTATGGTGCTATCACACGATACTCCAGCACCTTTTCTATGTGATGTAAACACGAAAACAAAAGAAAACACAAGGATAAGAAGGAAGAATTTCGTGATTTCTTAAGATTATCACGTTTTCAGTTTTGTTTTGACTAGTTATTTGTATACAGACATTGCACCGTTGAATTTTTTTCCTTTTTTTTTTTTTTTTTTACTTTATAATAATAGTTAAAAAAAAAAAAAAAAAAGCTCAGTTTTATCGCAATGAGCTGCGGGCAGCTAGTCTTGACGAAAAAAAACACAATAGGTCCTTAGAAATTGATTAGTTTTGCAAATCTTTAAAACGAGATTTTTGTTATCAGTATTGTTTAAGTGATAAAAATGAGTAAGAAAGATTTATAATGGAAGGGAGAAAAACAAAATGGTATTAAGTCGATCGACAAAAAGAAGTATGGATAATTAATCCATAGAAATTACGGTCAAGACAATATATATTTTTTTTTTTTTTTATTATGCATTTATAACGGGACAGTATCTCTCGTGGATTTTTTTTTTATACGTGAAATCGTTGAAAAGAGAAAAAAAAAGTAGAGTTGGCAAGTTCCTCACACATAGTGATTAGTGGGTAACTTGTTTATCATGCCTCATTAATTAAATTCAAGATTCGCTCGATTGTTGGCTTTTATAGTGACAATATTTTTTTTTATCTGATAATTAATGATAAATTACGCCGGATTCTATAGAAATCTTAATTCTCGATAGTTCTAATTTTTTTCTGAATTTTGTTATTTCAAAAAAAAAAAAAAAAAAAAAAAAAAAAAAAATAGAAAAAAAAAGAATGAACAAACTCTTGAAAATGAAAAAAATTTGTTTAATTGATATTTGATGATAATAATAGTTTTTTGAGATTTATAAGTTTTCTTGAAAAAAAATGTTCGATTACGAGTCGCATTTTCTTTTTCTTTTTTTTTTTTAATAATTATTTGATGAGATTTCTTGGAACTGGATGAAGTTTAAAATGAATAATCCGTATTGTCCGTTTTGAGCAGCATTATTTTTGTTTAAATTTTTTACAACAGTCCAATTGGCGTTTAAAACTACCTTTTGCGCGTTAATTTAAACATTGATCTATGTTAGTTTTTTTTTACATTTACATTATTTGAAAAAATGTATGATTGGTAGGAGATGTGCCATTTATAGACTTAGTTAATTTATAATTAGATTTTCTATTTAAGGCGGGATAAGCGGTTGCCGCTTTAATTTATATTGGACTGTTTAATCGTTGACGAAACGGAAAAGTACAATGGTCTATATATATATATATTTACGATTCATGAGCGGATTGTAGGAATTAGATTATGTTTTTATTTTTTGTTACGATCTTGCGTCTTGTAATTTGTTTGAAAAGCCATAATTTCAAAAAAAAATCGAGTTACTTATATTTTGATACATGATTTTGTTAATTGATAAAGAAACATTTATACTTTTTGCAAAAAAAAAAAAAATTTTCAATGTTTATTTATTTATTTTTTTTTTTCATTTGTTTCTCGCCAAATTAGAATTTTTCCACTTCCTATAATTCCCGCCCAGCAAAAAAAAGAAAGGAATGAAAATTACACTTTTATCTACTTATCAATTTTATCGTGTTGGGATTTTTCAATTTTATCCAAAATTTTCAATTTTATCTCGCTAATGAAAAATTTTATCTTGGAAATCGATAGGGAAAAGAATAAAATTTTTTAAGGTATTTATTAATCTGCGATTATTTTTGCCGTTAATACTTGAAATTGAAAAAAAAAATTTTTTTTATGATAGAGATAAAAATTTGTTTTACATTAAAAAAAAAAATTTCTTTATCAACAAAATTAAATAATTAATAATAAATAAATGAGTGATATAGAAAAATACTAAGTAACCAATAAAAATTATAAACTAAAAAGTTAATTTATAATTATAAATTAAATTTTTTAGTCTTTTCAGTTTCTTGTATTAACATTCTAAACTTGTATGAAACTATATGAATAGAAACCAGTTTAAAACAAGTGTTAGATATAAAAGCAAAATTGGCATTTTATTTAAATTTTAAAAATCTTAATTTTAATTATATTATAATTAAAAGAAAAAAATGGTCACTACTTGTTTCGAGCGTAAATTTGAAATTAATATTAATGCCAAAGAAAAACGTCGTTTTTTTTTTTTAAACAATTATTTTTAATTAAAATAAAAGCATTAATATAATGCTGGGACTTCTTTAATGTAACACTGAAATTAGAAGAGTTAAGTAGTTAATGTTTTTAATTATACGTATATTTAAAATTCTAATAGATAAGAAATTCCTGCATTGTTCAAATAAAGTTTCAAGTTTACATAATTTAACGAGTTTATAAAGAATAATTTATTATTAAAAACTTTATAATGCTAAAATATTCTTTAAAAAATTAAAAAACTATATGTATAATGTTTTTAAAAAAAAATATATATAACAGAAACTAGTAGTTCATGATAAAAGTTACATAAATAATTATTATATGTAATAAGAATTTAGAATTAAACAGTTATACAATGTAGTTAGATTCATTATTAATATAATAGCAAAATGCTTCCCAAATAATTCTTGTTTTAAAATAAATTACCTATTTTAATTCATGTTTAATTAATATTTTTTTCTCATAATTTAAAATGAAATCATTGAATTTGAATTACGTTCTCTTTGTGATCGATAAACTAGATTCCCTACTTGACGCGAGCAATTTCTGAAATAAAGAAGTTCAAATTTTGACAATAATAATAATAATAATAATAAAAAGTCTAATATTTATTGGATAATTGAAAATTTTTATTTTAAGTACTAAAGTATTGCTTTATTGAGCAATGAAGATATGGCATTAAAAAAGGTAATTTCCAGCGACCGTTTTACAATTTTAACAGTGTAAGCAGTTTCAAATTTTTCAAAATATATATAAATCTAAAGAAAAAGACATATATAAATATGTTATGAAAATAAAGGTTAAACATTTTAAACTTAGATTTTGTTGCTTTTTCAATTTTTTTTTTTTTAAACCCGAATAAGAAACTAACCTAACCTATAAATGTCAGCTGTCACTTTATTGCAACAATATGTATATACACACAAAGAAAATGGTGTTACGAACACAGCAGAAGGAGTGTGTATAGATGTATAGATTGTCAGTGAATGTCATACAACGGAAGCAAGCGGAAGAGAAAGAAAAACCTTTGTAGCCGTAATTTGGAACGAACGATAGTGAGAAAAATTATTGCTCCAGAAACATTCAGAAATTTGAAACATCATGGAAGTTCTCGATGCAAGTGTTTCAGAAGATCAAAATGATGATCTTCGTGAAAAAGGTTTGTTTACTTTCTACACTCCTCTACTCTCTCCGATATCATATGTTTTGAATATGCGTTTTTATTTTTATAATACCCATAACAGTAACAAAATATTTGGATGATGATTCATATATATAAATATATCATCTCGAATATATCAATTTTCAGGATTCTAATCACTTTCTTTTTTTATTATGTACATTGCATTTAATATATTTTTTTATTATATCGTATAATGATTTTGTCGAATTAAAAAAATTTCTGTTTTATTGGAAACAGATATAATGCGTCATTTCGAGAAATTTAATAATTATTCTTGAAATTCGCTTTATTTGTGTATTTTACGTAATTCATATATTTTTTAATTTCAAGTTTTGTACTCTATTTTTATTAATTTCTTCAACAAAAAAATTTCAAGAATAAATATTATCATTATTGCAAAATTTATAAATTATTTTCCTCTGTCATGCGTGTAATTAGATTTTAATTAAAAACACAATTATTGTATAAACATTGATAAGGATTTTTTTTTCATTTGTATTTTTTTTCTTTTTTTTTTTTTTTAGTGGATTATAGAGACAAAACTGGATTGATTCCAGCAGAAATTCCTGAAGATATTCGATCATGTGTCAAAGCAAGATACACTTTGGGATTTTTAGGTTTTTTAGGGTTTGCATTGGTTTACGCCATGAGAGTTAATTTGTCTGTTGCAATTGTCTCAATGGTTAATCAAACTGCAATTCCACATTCCAATGATAATGACACATCTGATGTTTGTCCCTTTAACCCCATTACAAATGGTTCAATAATTCCACCACCTGTAAGTATTTTTGTTTTTCTTGCACAAAATAGTAGAAGAATTAATTAAAAAATTTAGAAATTTTATAATTTATTTATAAATATCAAAATATTATAGACCAATTATATTTTATGATATAATGGAGGGTTAAAAGAAAATTTTCATTATAATTTTCCTTGACTTACAGACAATGTTTTATGTTTTTTTCCTGATTTTATTGAATTTTGTTTTTTTTTTTTTTTATTAAATGTGAATTCTGTTTAACAAAAAATTGTGATAAATGAAAATTATGAACCTTATTAAAGAAACAATTTAAATTCTCAAAAAAAAAAATTCAATTACATATTTTCAAAAGTTTTAATGAAATTCATTTTAAAAATTTAACTATTTTCCAAATTTTCAATCACATTTTACAAAATTTCAATTACTTACAATTCTTCTAATTCAATTTATTCGAAAATTTAATTATTTTCCAAATTTTCAATCACATTTTACAAAATTTCAATTACTTAGAATTCTTCTCATTCAATTTATTCGAAAATTTAATTATTTTCCAAATTTTCAATCACATTTTACAAAATTTCAATTACTTAGAATTCTTCTCATTCAATTTATTCGAAAATTTAATTATTTTCCAAATTTTCAATCACATTTTACAAAATTTCAATTACTTAGAATTCTTCTCATTCAATTTATTCGAAAATTTAATTATTTTCCAAATTTTCAATCACATCTTACAAAATTTCAATTACAAATTCTTCTAATTCAATTGATTCGAAAATTGAATTATTTTACAAAAATATAATTTAAATTATTATTATTTAAAAAAAAAACATAATTATTTCATAATTTTGAATAAATTCTTCGATAATTGAATTATTTTTAAAATTTATAGTTTAAAATCATTTAAAAATAGAAAAAGTCAAAAGTTTTAATTGCATGTCTGAGATTTTTATATTATAGTTTAAACTAGAAATTTTATTTTACAAAATTTGAATAATTTAATTTTTTTGATTTTAAATTTCAAAGTGATTTAAATATTTTCAAAATACATAAAATAAATTGAAGGTGAATTAAATTTTTTTAATTATTATTATTATTTATTAATTAAGCTTCAGCCTTTCGGCTCAGAAGTTGATTTGGTTTAATACAAAATTAAATATAAAAAAAACATGTTGTTCACGCGACACCTATATCAAAATTTAACATTATTTTACATTTTTTTTTTGTGTTCAATTTTTTTAATTGTCCCTGAACACTTTGATTTTTAACATTTTCCTGATTTTTTTTTTTGACTTTTGTGGCAATTTTATAAAAAATAATTAATTTTTAAAATAGACTTTTTTTTTCATTGAAAATTAAATATTTTCAGAGTCCTGGAGAATTTGCCTGGGACGAAAGAACGCAGGGTATAATTTTAGGCGCATTTTTCATTGGCTATGTAACGACAAACGTTCCAGGCGGAAGAATGGCGGAGAAAATTGGTGGAAAATTGGTTTTTGGTTTGGGAGTGTTTTTAACTGCAATATTAACTGTTGTCAGTCCATTTGCTGCATATTGGGGATTATATCCATTTTTAGCAGTTAGAATTGCCGAAGGTTTCACTGAGGTAAAATTCACTTTTTCTTTTTTTTTTTTAATGTTTTTTTTTACATTTTTTTAAATTTTTCATTAAACTGTCTTTTTGATTTTCTAGTCTACTATTTTTTTCTAATAAAATTTTGTTATCCTTTTTTCTTTTATTTACTCATTTATAAATATAAATTAAAACTTGAGAAATAATTGCATAGAATAATTTAATTTTTTAGGGTGTTACATTTCCCGCGATGCACAGTATGTTGGCTCACTGGGTTCCACCTTTAGAACGAAGCAAATTTGCAGCAATTGTTTACGCAGGTATGAAGAAATTAAATTTCACAAGAATAATTTTTTTTTTTTTTTAAATAGAAATTAGTTTGCTTAGGAAAATTTTTATATGAATTTTATTTATTTATTTACAATTTTATCAGTTGTGTCATAAAATATTATTTTATTGTTAGTATATCAAAAAGTTGAAATAGGTCATAATTTAAAAATTCTCATTAAAATATGAATTTAATAATTAATTTTTTCTATAGGATCCAATTTTGGAACGATTATTTCACTGCCATTGAGCGGATGGCTTTGTTCTTTGGAATTTTGGGGCGGTTGGCCTTTAGCATTCTATTTGTTTGGTGGTCTTGGAATTGTTTGGTATGTTTTTTGGCTGTTTTTCATCTATGATTCGCCGGCTGTTCATCCACGAATCGATCCCAAGGAGAAGGCTTACATTGAAGCTTGTGTTGAACCGAAAGACGATGTAAGTTTTTTCACATTAGTTAAAAAAAAATAAATAAATAAAAATGAGGAAATTCTCCTAATTTTCTTTTGAATTAATAACATTTTTAAAAAATTTATCATATTTAAAAATTAATTCACATTATTAAATATTAATTCGTTAAGTTGAATAAAATTTAATTTAAAACATTCAATTATATGTATTTAAAAAAAAAAAAACAATTGTTTGTTAGTGAAAAATTTCTACATTTTGTAAGTAAATTTTTTTAATATTAGTTGGAAAGATTTTCTATATTTCTATTGTTAAATTATTGCAAAGATAATGTTAATTTAGCTATGATACTGAAAATAAAAGAAATTTTACATATTTATTTATTCAAACGTATGAACTAAAGAAACTCATTTGTACAAAACTATATTATACTAGAAAAAATATCAATATTAATTAATCATGAAATTATAAAAATTAATAAAATAAAAATATAGGTATATTCAAATCGAAATAAGATTAATTTTTCTATAAAAATTAACAAAAAATAATGATTTTGTTGCGATTGAAAAATTTCTAAAATTTATTCTATTTTTCAAAATTACAGAAAACATAATCTTGTTAATTTAGGAATTTTTTTTTTTTTTGCATATCCTTAAACGATAAATGATTTATAAAAATCATTTATTTAACGTCATGTAAATAAATACATACCTAGATAAAAATGGAAAACGAGTGTAAAAAAAATTATTATCGTAATCTTGTTAATTTTAGTTAATTATAATTATTGGAGAGTAAGAAAAATTATCAAACTAATTGAATGTTTGAAAAATTGAAAGAAAAAAAAATCGTTGGCTTAATTCTCGCTTTAATTAATAGGATGACAATGGAGTGCCTTGGGGTTCGATTTTCACATCACTACCAGTGTGGGCGATAATGATAACGCAATGCGGACAATCATGGGCATTCTATATTCTTCTCACGGAATTGCCAACTTTTATGGATAGAATTTTACACATGAACATGCAAAAGGATATGTTACTTGCGGCTCTACCATATTTAACGGCATGGATATTAGGTTTAGTAATTTCAACATTTGCCGATGCTTTATTGGCGCGACGACTTATCAGTCCTTTGACGTCGTTTAAATTATGGAATACTATTGGATCATTGGGTCCTAGTCTTAGTTTTATTGGTGTTATTTGGGCAGTTTGCGATCGTTTTGCCGTGATGGTCATGCTGGCAGGATTAGGCTCACTCTATGGTGCAATTTATGCTGGAAATCAAATGAATCACATTGCCCTCGCGCCAAAATTCGCAGGAACACTTTATGGCTTGACAAATGCTGCTGCAAATGTTTGTGGATTCTTGGCTCCCTATATTGTTGGAACTATCGTTGAGGGACATGTGAGTAAATTATTATTTATTGTTGGTAACATTTTTCCAAAATTTTAGTAAAAAATTTACTTTTGAATTTTTTTTTTTACGTTTCTTTTATGATTCTAAATAATTATATGAATTTTGAAAATCCAATTGGATTAAGGCAAATATTATCTAATTTTAAATTGGTTAAAAATGAATTTTTTTTTTTTGCGAAAATTTTCCATTAATTTAATTTTTGTTTGCTCTTGACAGGAGACTTTGGCTCGATGGCATACAGTATTTTGGTTAGCCGCTGGAATAAATATGTCAGCAAGTTGCTTTTATCTTTTGTTTGCCTCAGCGAGTGAACAACCATGGAGTCGTGGTCGCAGATGATGACAACAAAATTCCAATAGACAAACTCTCATTGTGGAGAATGGTTTACCGCTTGATCGACTCGCTCTCAGTACCTTTTAGCAAAACTGATGTGAAAGAAAGTCTCAATTGAATTTTTCCGAGAGAACTCATTTACTATGCGTAGATTAAAAAAAAAAAAAGGAAAAATTCAATGGAGACCTTACTTTCACACTCATTATGATAAAATTCTAATTTTATTTTCTTTTTTTTTCTTTTTTTTTTTTTTTGAAAAAAAAAGAGAAAACAATCAACGTAGCACAAATTTTTTAATATATATATATATATCTTTTTCTTTTTATAAAATCTGAAATTTTTATTTTTAAGAGGATTGCAATAGACATTCCATCTCTATTTAGTTTTATAAATAAACCAAATTATGATATATTAAACTATATAGAATTCGAAATGCAATGCATCTCGAAAAATTGCTTGTCTGTGATCAGTTATCTGTTTTTATTAAAGAGATTTTTCAAATATCGCGTAAATTATCTGGTGCTTCAAAATATAAAAATATTAAAAAAAAAATTATATTTACTGTAAAAAAATCTTCCAGGTATGAGAATTTTTACATTAATGAGAAAAAAAGTATTTTATTTTATCTTTAAAATATTTTGTTTTTTTTTTTTTTTTTGTAATTTTGCAGCAAAGTTAAAATATCAAAAGTGCTTTTAGTTGTAAAAATTATACAACTAAATGTTTCTTAGCAGAAGAAAATAATTTTTCTCTTAATGTAAATTATAAAAGACTTCTTTTTGAAAATATATTTATTCACATTTAATAAAGAAATAAAAAAGAAACAAAAGACCTTGAAAATATTCATCGAGGCCTTGATTGATATTTAGAGCATTTATATTATAGAAAAGTCTATTGTTAGAATTTCATATCAGAAAATTGTATTTGTCTATAAAGCAAATAAAAGCTTTCTTCCGTTATTCTTTATAATGTCGATGATAATAATAACAATAATAATAATAATCTAAAATGCCTAAATTTGAGGCGTTAACGAACAATGGAAGTAGAAAATAATTAGAGCAGAATGTGAAATTCTCAGGTGTTCGTACAAAGTTTTCTGCATATTATGAATTATGTAAATGGAATTGTAGGAAAATTTTTTTTTGCTCCAAATCAATTGCAATATTTGCAAAATTTCACTATTATTTTTTCACTGCAGTTACCAAAAACAGATATTTAATTAAACGTTAGAAAATTTATTGTAAATGTTTATTTAATTATAAATGGTGAAATTTTGCGAATATACAATTTTTTTGAAGATCAATATTAATAATTGTGTATTATATTATTTGTTAATGATTATATAAATTTTTAATGATTATTACCTGTTTCTTTAATTTATTAATTAAATGAAATTTTAAAAAATCATTAAAAATATATAATAATTACATATAATATGATACTTATTAATATTATTTTACAATCAATTGTAATATGAACATAGTTTAAACAGAATAATAATCAAAAAAATTATTGTAAAGGTGCAATGTTGATAAAAGAGTAGCGATCTTGTTGGAAACTTTTTTGTTTTCCATTTATTATATTTGTTAATTTAGACAGAATTTTTAGCTGCGATTATTAGTATTTTAAGTTTTTATTTTTAGTTTAATTGTTAAGTTGTTTTTCCATAATTTTAAGAATTCGATCAAATTTTTTTTTTTCAATGGAAAAAATTTCTACTATAATTTTATTTTAACAAATTTTTTTAATTATAAAATTGATTTATATCTAGATAAGCGACTTTTGCTTTTTAAGGTGATTAAATTTCAATATATTTTAGTATACAAAAATTTTACATTTTAAAAATTAAAAATAAATAATTTTTTAATTGCGCTTTTTTTTTAAAAGTCGCTTATTTTCCAATTTTTTATTTATCTAAAGATAATTAAAAAATTGGAAAATGTAAAATAATTTTAAAAATTTACTTTCTAAAATTTAATTTACCCTTTTAAAATTAAAATGTTTTAAAGAAAAATTATTATAGAGCAATGAATTCCAAGGGTATGTGAAATAAACACAGGATAATTTTTTTACAATATAGAAAAAAATAGTATTGATATATATATATATAACGATACACAAATCAGTATTAAGTATTCGCTGATATTTTACTTATTCGTACGCAATTCACAGGAATAAATAAAACTCTTTGCGAAAATTATGTAAAGCATTTTTTTTATTTGTTATCTTATACCTATTTTATTTAAAAAATGAAACGAAAAATTTTTGTTTTCAACAAATTTCTAGTAAAAACAAAAATTTTGGTCTATTTTTTTCGTTTTTTTTTTTTTTCTTGTTTTTTTTGTATTAAAAGTGTTCTATGTTTGTAGAGATTAAAAGTAAAATATATTTGTAATTTATAAAAAAAAAAAAAATTGTAAAAAATTAATATTACGTGGTATTTAAATCTTCTTTCTTTTTTGCAGTCAATTCAAAGATCATATCTCTCATTCGACTAAAGTCCGTTAATTCAGATTTATATTTTTGAATTGTTTCCTCTTTTTCTTGGACGAGTGCCTGTAACCTGTTACATTGAACTGATAACTGTTGCATTTCCTGTTTCAATGCGTTTTTGTCTTCTTGTAGTGACGCTACTTCTACATTTTTCTCCTCAATTATCTAAAAAAAAAATATTTTAAATACGGTAATTTTGTTTTTGAAACAAGTTTTTTAATCCTAATACTAAAAACTTTGAATATGTTTGGAAAATTATCTTTTTTATTATTTATAATTAAATTTTTAATGAATGTTACCTGTTCCTTTTTTGCTAATCCTTCTTGCATTTTATGAAGTAATTTAGACATTTCATGATTTTTGGAGCTTAATTCTTGTGATTTTTTGTCCACTGTTGCATAATCATTTTCGAGTTTTGCAATTTTTTTCATAAAGTTTTCAATTTTATCCTTACAATTAGACAGCTCTTCTTTTTGCTCTCGTACCACTGAATCCAATTTCGTTATTTGCGAAGACTTTTCGAAAACTATTTTCTTCAAACTTTCGCTCTCCTGAATAATAAATTTAATTTAAAATTAAAAAGTAAAGCTTTAATTTAAAATAAATAAATTTAATTTTTAAATGAATAAAATGAAAAATTTCATTTTATGTTTTTTTAAATTCACCTGACTGTGAAGAGCGTAAGCTCGTTTACTTTCTTTCTCCACTTCTTGGATTTTTGTGGTAAAAATAGTTTTTTCTTTTTGTAAACCTTCCAACGATTGTTGAGATCGGAAAAGTAATTGATGCAATTTTCTTGATTCGGCAACAACTTGCGCTAATTGATGTTGAAGGCTTGTAACACGATTATTCGCCGCCTCTAAACTCGCTTGATTTGATCTTTCTGCATTTCGAATTGCCGCAAGCTACAAAAGCAAAAAAAAAAAAAGTAATAATTAGAAAAAATTAACGAAAAATAATTATTGATTTTTTTTTGTTAAAAATGAAATCATAAACTTGCCTTATATTCATAGAGTTCAATAACTGCGGAAGTTGTAACGTCATTAATTTTATTTTCATCGTAAGCATCTTTTAATTTATCAATGCAAACATTGAGACGTTGCTCCTGAAGAAGTGACATAAATGGCATCATTTCAATACCCGAATATTGTCCGGAATATTTATTTTTCGATTCAATTGATTTATTCGTACCTCCTCGAACTAGAACCAATGATTCCAATTCACCCATACAGTGAGCAACTGTCGATAGGCTGCGAATAGAGAAAAAAAAAAATATTCATCTAATTTAAAAAAATTCAAAAACAACATCTCAATAACGATGCAAAAAAGTCTAATGTTTCAATAATAAAATTTTAATTTATCAAAATTCAAATTTAAAAAAAATTCATTTTCGCAGACAAAATAAAGTATTTCTAAAATTATTATTAATTATTTCTATTAAAAAATTTTCTTTTATAACATCAATAGAACATTCTTGATTAAATTAAATCTCAGTGTTTTAATTCAATGTAATATTCAATCCTTACAAAGCCTCTCACCATTCCTGTGGAAAACAAACTGTCGCCGGCAATTGAAGTACTTTTTGCTTCACTTCCTCGTCACCGGTGAATAAAGCCATTGCCATTGTCATATGAATTTGCTTCTTTCGCATCAATTCCGAATACAATGTTAACCAATCCGAGTTCGTTTGAGCCATTTCCGAAGTCAACGCTAAAGCATGAACATAAAATGTCGTCGACTGATTCTAAAAATAAAATACAATTTTTATGAATTAAAAAAAAAAAAATAATAACTCAGTAAATTAATAAATAAATATTATACTCACTGAAGAAAGATTATCCGGACAATCTATATTCATGTCACGATCCTCATCGTCAAGAATTGCTTTTAACAATTTTCTCATTGTTTGATCAGTGAAAGCTTGAAAAACTTTTGATCTTAAATTATCAATTTTCACAATTTCTTGCAGCAATTGCATCAATTCATTAAGTCGTGAAATTGTTTCAGAACTAAATTCCAAACTCTGCTCCTCATATGAATTGACAATCAACATTAAAATCGAAAGATCCAATTCGGATAAAACGTCGGCTATCGTTTTTGTTCGACGCGAATCAATTACAATTGTTCTTATTAGTGCAAGTGCTTTTGAACATACCTGTGAATTTAATTTGAATTACAAAAAAAAAAATATTTACTATGAAAAAAGTGATTTTTGTATATTTTGTTTAATTTTTTTTTACGACATGAAATTGAAAAATACACTTACTTGTTCCACAGGAACATAAGAAGTTGCACATTTAATGCAAGAAGGATATAAACGGACTAAATTCGTTATTTTTAATTTCACCAATGACTGAAGGAATTCCATCATTAATGCCACGCATTCAGGATCACAGTCATTTTCTAAAGTTTCTAAAATCTTTGTCACGTCTTTTGCATAGCTGTAAAATAAAAATATCTCTAAAATTGAATAACTCGTAAATTTTAAATAATTACTAAACGAAACGCAAGAACAAATTCAGTTTACACAAAATAAAATTATATATATATATATATAAGACGAATTTTTCAAAATTTTAAGGACAAATTTCTAAAAAAAATTCTTAAAATTCCATTTTAACAATATTTTAAAGTCTGGTTTAAGCAATTTATTCAAATTAAAATTTTTGGTATACTTTTAATAGTCAAAAAAATTTCAGACAATAATTAATTTCAACAGATTTTTAAATTCTATTTTTTTTAACTGATGCTAAAGTACGCAACATTTTATGATAAACGATTTTTAAAGAAATAATTTCCAAAATGAAAAAAAAAAAATTCTATAATTTTTTTGCCTAAAAAATATTTCTTATCTTTATTAATCAACAAATTATGGAAAAATATTTTTTTTGGTAAACAATTTTATAATTTTCTGTGTTAAATAAAAATTGATTTCTAATCATTGATCATTAACGTTGCGTAATTCAGCATCGTTTTTTTTTTAAATAATTACATTCCATAAGATTTTAAATTTAAAATAAATTTTCTGCAAATTTAAACTACTGTATTTTTTTTTTTACAAATTTCTGACAATTCAGACCTCGGATCGACTGAAAGGCACAAAAAAAGTCGTTTTAGTCGATTTATATTCCAAAAAAAGTCGATTTTTTTTATTTCAATAAAAAAGTTTTACAGATTTTTAAATAAAAATTTTTTTTTAAAAATAATAATAATTTTAGAAAAGTTAAGGTTGAAATTTTTAGAAATAATTGAATTTCCAAAGATTTTGTTAATTTTCAGACAATAATTAAATTTTACAGAACTAAAAATAATTTATCAAATAATTTTAGATAACATTTTTTAAAAGTAATTGAATTTTCAAAGATTTAAAATTGAGACTTTTGAAATTAATTGAATTTGAAGTGATTTTTAATTAAAAACTTTTGATGATTTCACTAAAAAATTTATAAGAAATTGCAGACAAAAATACAATAATTTGAAAACAATTTTGAATTGAGAAAATGGTTTTAAATAGTTGAATATTCGAAAAATATTATAAAAATAGTTAAAAATAATTGAATTTCAGGAGAGTTATAATTGAAATTATTAAATTATTAAATTTAAAAATTTTGAAAATAATTTAATTTTACTTGATTTTGGATTTAAATTTTTGAAGATAATTGAATTTCAATTAAAATTTTGGATAATAATTTAATTTTTGTTGATTTTGGATTGAGAATTTTGATAATTAATTTGGAATTGAAATTTTTGAGAATAATTAAATTTTAGTTGATTTTGAATTGAAAATTTTGAAAATAATTGAATTTCAAAAGATTTTGTTAAATTTCAAACAATAATTAAAATTATAATAAAAGAAATTTCTAATGATTTCTGTTGATGAAGAATATATTAGAAATTACATAAAAAGATTGAATTTCAAAAGTTTTTAATTGAAAAATGCTTTCAGATAATTGAATTTTCAAAGAATATTATAAAAATCATTAAAAATAATTGAAATTTTTGCAAATAATTAAATTTCAAGTGATTTTGAATTAAAATTTTTTAGTAATTTTAGTTGCTAATTTTTTTTTTTTTAATTATAAACAATTATTAAATTTCATAAAAATTTGAATTGAAAAATAGTTGAAAAATAATTGAATTTGTGATGAATTTCATTAAAATTATTAAAAATAATTAATTTAGTGAAGAATTTTAGTTCAAAATTTGTTAAATAATTGAAATAAAGATTATCTGAAGAAGATTTGCATTTTATATTTAAAAAAACGTATTTTGTTTAAAAATTTTGTCAAAAAAATGTTTAAAAAATGTTCAAAAAAAGTCGAAAAGGTCGCATTTTATTAAAATAAGTCGAAAAAAGTCGGAAATAGTCGAAAAAGTCGTATAATCCGAGACCTGACAATTCAATTTTAGAGTTTGTATTTAAAACTTTATTAAATAATTAAATTTTTAAAGGAATATTAAAATTATTAAAAATAAATGAATTTTGGAAGAGTTAAAGTTGAAATTTTTAGAAAATACAGAAAAAAATTGAATTTCAAAAGTTTTTAATTGAATAATGTTTTCAGATAATAATTGAATTTTTATAAAAAATATTAAAAAGTCATTGAAAATAATTGAATTTTGAGAGAGTTCCAGTTAAAATTTTTTAAAAATAATTGAATTTCAAAAGATTTTTGTTAAATTTTAGACAATAATTAAATTTTATATAATCGAAAATAATTTATCAAGTAATTTTAGATAACATTTTTTTTTTTTTTTAAATTAATTGATATTTCAAAGATTTAAAATACAAATTTTTGAATATAATTGAACTTCAAGTGATTTTTTGGTGATTTCTGTTGCTCAAGAATTTATTAGAAATTAGAGAAAAAACTTGAACTTCAAAATTGTTTAATTGAAAAATACATCAGTGAAGTTCACAACGTTTATGATCAACAATTGAGAAGAAAAAATATTTTTCTATACAAATTATTAAATTATTTTTGATCTACAAAATTTTTTTCATCGTTTCTTGATCAAGAATTTTTTGAAAAAAAATTTGTCCGCAAAAAATTAGTTATTATTTTTTGATTGGAAAATATATATATTTTTTTTTAATCATTGATCATAAACGTTGTGAACTTCACCGACGTTGAAAAATGCTTTGAGATATGATAATTGAATTTGTGAAGAATTTCATTAAAATTATTGAAAATAATTAATTTAGAGAAGAATTTTAGTTAAAAATCTGTTAAAGTAATTGAAATAAAGACTTGAAGAAAACCATCATTGTATATGAAAAAAGGCGTATTTTTTTTTTAAATTTGGTAAAAAGTGTAAAAAAAAGAAAAAAAAAAGTTGAAAAAGTCGTATAATCCGAGGCATGAAAATATAATAATAGAAGTAATTTTGTTTAAATTTTTACTTACTTTGTGTATGACAATAAAATTAAACGTGAATGTTCAGTTTGTCGAATGTCTTCAAAAAAATCAACAACATGTCGCAATAATAAAACATCACGTTTTTCTAATGCCTCAATAATACTTTTAAATGTAACTTGAGTAAAATCAAGAATTGATTTCTCTGAAAGTTCAGTATTCATGTGCTCGAGAATTATTAATAATTTACAACATTGAACACGTGTGTTAATATTGTGACTTTGATGTTTCAATAAAGTACGAATAAATGTCTTGGAATCAATTGTACGCAGCAATGTATAAACGGCTGGTAAATTTTTATAACAAAGATTTGATAAAACACCAAGAGAAAGAGCAAGGACTTCCTCCTCCGTTGATTGTGTCACCCATTGTGTTAATGTTGTTATTAAATATGGTAAATGTGTCTCCTGCCATGAGATTTTTATTCCATACGTTAATTCCTGAAGTAGTTTTAGTGCTCTTATTCGTTTTTCTGCTGTTAAATTTTGCGCCTAAAAAAAAAAATTGGATTTTTTTTTTTTTTAATTACCATTTTTAGTGGTAAATGTGAAAATTTAATTTAGAAAAATTTGAAAACTTTCTCAAATAGAAAGGAAATAAAATTTTATATTTTTTATTTAAGTAAATAATAAAAAGAAATTAATTTTTACATTTTTTTAAACATTTATGAAACTTTTTTTTTTTTTTTTTTTTTTTTTTTTTGAGAAAGATTTCAATTTTTGTAATTATTGGAATTATCAGCGAAATATTCAAAGAAAGGGGAAAAAAAATTACTTCTAGCAGTCTGGTCAAAATTGGAGCAAATTTGTAAGTGTGTGTAAGTGCTTGACGAGCGGCAGTATTTCGACAAGCAGTTTGTAAAACATCAACAGCACTCCAAAGTAATGTAGTTTTTGATCCTAAAATATTCATTAATTCGTGTAAACTGACGTAAAAATCGGCAGCAATACAACTTCCTGGATCAAATATACTCAGGTCCATCGATGCACTTATTACCTGTGAATTTTTATTTATTTTATTTATCATTACATTTTTTTTTTAATAAAAAAAAAGTTTTAAATAAATTTACATATAAATGATAGAAAATAGAAAGAAATTAATTTAAAAATTAAAAAGAAAATTATAAAAAAACGTATATACTTTCATTATTATTATTTTATGCTTAGAAAAATAATGAAAGAAAAAATTGTGAAAAAATGTTTTATCTCAATTTTCTTTAAAGAATCTTTGAAAATTTTATTAATTTTGCAAATTTAGTTCACAATTTAATAATTAATTTCAATTATTATAAAATATTTTTCGTAAAAAAAAACTTACTCCAAGATTCATTTGAAGAGCTGAAGCCGCTGCATCACTTTGATGTTTAGAATAATCATTAACAACATTGATGAATGCTCGAATATGTTGATATTTTTCCATTTTTATATGTAGAATTTAACAAAAATTTATTATATTTATATATATTTGTATTTCAGAAAAACGTTGATTTGCTATAAAAGAATTTTCACTTTGAGGTTGGAGAAGACACGTGTTTTATTTGGTTTTTAAGACAATAATAAAACACTGAAATAAATTGAATACAATGAAAACATGCAAATTTTGTCACTCAAATGAAGAAAATATTAATTAGTTCGGTGTTTAAATGAGAAAATAGCAGTATAGAAAAACATCAACAACTTGTTAAAACGCGCAAACTGTCACTTTAACCTCCATTTTTAAAAAAAAAACTTGTTGATGTTCGAATTCACCAATAAAAAGGCAGAGTTTTCTGCACATGTGCAAATTGTCGTAAATGTGGGAAATACAAAAACAAAAAAAATTTAATTAATTACCTTATTAGTAAAATTTAAATATTATTAGATATTTAACAGAAGTAGACAATTTTTTTAATTTTAGTGAATTTTAAAAGAAATAATGTACAAAAATGTGAATTAAAGTTTCAACTCTCGTATTTGCAGTCGGTAAAAATTCAACCGTCATTATCGACTTCTGTTTGCATGCTTTGCATTTTGGATGACAGTTGCGGCTAACCTAAAGGCATTTAAACTGTAAAACGCACTAATTACAAATTTTTTTTTCAAAAATGAAAGCAATTCTGTGATAAATTATTTCTTAAATAGTTGTATATATTATTTGTGAATACTTATGAGTAATAACATACATATTATATAAAAACATGTAATTTGAGTTTTGTGCGATTAACATTTTACACCACGTGAAGTAAAAAAAAAAAAAAAAAAATTGCTTACGATTCTTTATTTGAGAATGGAGGGCGACAACACATTTAATTGCAGTGGAAAAGTGAATTTTACCGATTGGCAATTAAATAATACGAGTTTATTTTCAAAAGAAGTGGAAAATTTATTTCTTCCAAAAAGAGATTATGCATTTTCTGATGTTCAAGTTAAACTTTTTGATTGCTTTGTACCAGGTGCTACAGCAATTTTAAATCTTAAACATTTTATTAATTGTATGGAGTAAGTATATGCATTTTTTTTTTTTTTTTTTTTTTAATGTCTATATGTTGTAAAAATATTTACTGTTTAAAATATATATATAATAAAAATATCTTTATTTTATGGTGTAAATTTATTACAGAATGATTTTAAAACAGTTTAATAGAAAAGAAAAATATCAGATTAATCAATTTTCATCAAAGAGCAATGAAGACTTTTATTCACTTCGAAAATATGTTTGTGAATTTATAACTTATGTTCGCGCATATTTAAACAGGTGAGAAATATATATTTTATTCAATTATTTTATTGTGAACAAAAAAAATTTTATTTTTTAAAATTATTTCTTCTAATGTTTAAAATTAAATTAATTTCTCATTTAATTAAATTGGTTATAGTTTTATTTAATTTTCTTATATTTAATTTTTTTAATTTTGAATATAATAAAATTATAGAAAGAATATAAATTTTCCAGTGTGTCTAGTAACAGAATCCTAAATTTTTTTAAATAAAAGTTTTTAGTAAAATTTATTTTTTTTTCATTTCAAATTCTTCTTTTTTTTTTTGAAATTCCTGATATTTTCGATTTTTCTTACAATTTCCTATTTTTCGACGACTTTTTACTTTCTTAAATTTTTTATTTTCTTTTCATTTTTTTTTACAAAATTTTGTTCTTTAAAAGAATTTTTCCTTAAAATTCTCAATTTTTTCTGTAAATTCTCCCTTTATTTTTGTAGAATTAAAAAATTTTTTTAAACTAATTATTTAAAATGAATTTTCAGTATTAAATGGGACAGTTACACTTTAAAGGAAATTAGCACTGAAATAGAAGAAGATTTACAAGAACTATTATGCACAATTAGACGATTTTTTAGTCGCCTGCAAAGCATTCCAGATTCAATGTTCCATTATGCTGCTTCTCATCTCGGAAACAAAGTATTTTTACTTTAAAATTAAATTTAATTCATTGAAGTAAATTTTAATTTAAAATTTTTTACAAATTCATGCTTTTTTTATATATATATATATAAATTTCAGATAATAATTAAATTTTATAAAATTTTTTATTAAAATTTTTTTTAAAATAATTAAATTATTGAAAAATTATTAAAATTATTGATTTGACGACGAATTTTAGATAAAAATTTATAAATACTTAAATTTTTGAATAGTTCGTATTAAGATTTTTAGAATTAATTGAATTTCAGAAGATTTGAAATTGCAATTTTTTTGTAAATTTGAATTGCTGTAAATTTTTTTTACAAAATTTTTAACAACATCTAATTGAATTTTAGAGAATTTTTAATTAAACATTTTTTGCAAATAATTGCAATTTCGAAGAAATTTTGTTAAAATTTTTTTTTTTTTAATTAATTAAATGTTTCAAGTTTTGCACTTTAATTTAAAAAAAATTTTTAATCGAAAATTTGGAAAATATTTAAATTATGAAAATGTTTATTTTTTTTTTTTACAGTGTTCCCAACCCGAGTTTCACGTGTATCACATGCATTTGGAATTAAGATGGCTCTACGTAACGTTGATTTATGCTCGAAATATTTGTTGGCAAAATTCAATAAATGATCAATCAGAAGAATTGGACAGAACATTTGAACTTATTGTCAATGATTTAATTTACATGTCGATGAAAGTATTTGCAAGGGTAAATATTACACTAAAACAAAAATATCAAAAAACACACTTAGAAAATTTTTTAATAAAAAAAAAAAATTGATTACAGATTCCACTGTCAGAATTAAAAATAAAAACACCTTACAGTTGTACTTGCGTTAGAGAATTATGGCTTATGCTTCAAATTCTTATAGATGATCATGCTGTGAGAAGAAATTCAAAGGTTTTATATTTGATAATAATTTTTTCTTATTTCTACTAAAAAATTTTTAATTTTATTTATTAAATTTTTTTCAAATTATTCAGAATTTTTTATTAAATAATTTTAATAATAAATGTTTATATAATTATTTATTATATGGAAAGTTTGAATTTTTGTTATTTAAAAATTTATCTTTCAGAACTTTTGGGATTATGTAAATCTTATTTTAAATGATATTTTACTGAAAAATAGAACTCAAGGGAAAGCATCTTGGATGACAAATTTGGAGAATAATTTACCGGATTGCATAAATCCAGAATTGTTTTCAATTTGGTTGATTTATCACATGACATTGCTTTATGGATACGATATTGATGGTTTTTATTTGCTGTCTCGTTCAATACGGGTATTGAAAAGTTTTAAAGAAATATTTTTTTTTTTTTTTTTTTGACTTTTTGAGATGAACACATTTTTTTGTAATGAATAACCCACATATTTTTAATTAATAATATTGATAATCCAATATTAATTCACAGATCAAGGAGAATTATGAGCAAGTAGAAAAAATTTTAAAGGCCTACGTCAATAAAGGTGGAAAGGATGGCGAACGAGACGAAATAGATGAGGAGTTAAAAATAATGATACCATTATTAAGAATTATTTCAACAGAATGGTGGCAACCAAGAATGCAAATTCTTTCCTTTTTTTGGGATTGCTTTCATCGTCGTCTCGATCAACCATTTCTCTTGCAAACTTCCGGTCCCTGGTCAATATCTCTCGAAAAGTAATTGTTTCGTTATATCAGTTCAAAAAAAAAAAAAAAAAAAAATTATTTAATTCATTTTTCAAAATTTATAATAGAAATTTTTATTCATTTCGTTTTATTTATTTTTAAAAAGAAATTACTTAATTTTAAAAGAGGATTATTAATAAAAATTAAATTCGAAATTATACAAAGACATAAAATATTTATATTTAAGTTTTCAAAAATTTTATTTGACTATTTTATTTAAATAAATATTTAATGTATTTTTTGCCAAAAAATGTTTTTTTTTCCAGAAAGTCACCAGCCGATATTTTAAAGCAAATTAGAGAGAGATTGGAAAGTGATTGTGAACAAAACAAAGAATCTAGTTATGGCATGTTTTTACGATTTTTGGGTAAATACAATAATAATTACAATTTTTTTTTCTATTTTGAGAGATTTTAGTTTTTTTTCTACATTCAGTTTTTTTTAGTTGTTTCTATTTGTTTATTATTTTCGTCTGAATTATTTTTTTAGGTACATTTTTGCGTAAATATCAAAACGATCCAAAATATTGGAATCAAATGAAGGGTCGAATATTTTCTAAATTGACAAAGGGAAAAGTAGAAACTTATTCTGTTGCCGGAATGTATAATTTTATTTCATTATTTTTGACTCTCGCTGTAACAGTTGATACCGAAAGTGTCGTAAGTTTTCGCATTAAAAAATATTTTCGGTTCCAATGTTTTATATTTAAAATTAATTTTATTATTGACTAATAATTTATTTATTTCATAATAACAATTTTAATTATTAATTTAATTTACAATTTTTATTTTTAACTAAATATTAAATTTAATGGAAAAATAAAATAGAGATTTTTATTTAAAAATATAATTATAAATAATAATAAAAAAAAATGAAAAAGATTAATTTTATTTGAATATAATTTCACCAAAAATAGTGTACTTTCTAAAAAATTTTAATAAATGTATTATTTTAGTGTACAGTTATGTTAAATTTGTTGCCATCTATATCCGAATGGATTAATGTTGATGGAAAAAAGTGCAATTTAATTTGGAAAGCACAACTTGCTGTTCTGATATTATTTAAGGAACAGAGAATTAATATTTGTGGATTTGCGGAAACTTTTACAACCGGGGTAAATTATTATTTTCAAAAAATTTTATGTAATTTTTAATTATTTTGCAAAAAAAAAGTACTGTTTATTATTGTAAAGATAAATAATATAATGAATAATAAATGTAATAAATAATATAAATAAAATATTTTTTTTTTAGCTGAATCTCATATGTTGTCAAAAAGATGATAATTCAGCATCAATGATGACATGTTATGTTGATGTTTTAAATATGATTTTAAATACAAGTGAAAAATTAGATCAAGGCGAACATATTTTGATTGGCGGTTGGATTGATCGTTATTTTTCTGATTGTTCGAGAAATATGTTTGGTAATTTAACACAAATACTCATAGATGTTTTTCAAAAATGCCATCAACTCATCAATATGGATGTTAATCATGGTAAAAATTTCAGATTTATTTAATTAAAAAAGTATTCTTGACAAATTAAAAAAAAAAAAAAAAAAAAAAAAAAACAATACTTTTTACACGTTAAAAAAAAGTCAGTTATTATGTTAATTTTCTTTTTTCAACTTGTTTACTAGGCTAAATAAATATTAATAGTTAATAATTTGTTGTGATTGTATTTTAGGAGGTGTTAAATTAGTATTGGACGCCTTGTGGTGTCACGTTGCTTGTAGAATTCGACAATTAGTTCTCGATCCCTCTATTAGTGATTTTTATTTAAATTTGACAAAACTTGCGGTATTTTTTACCATTGATGCTTTAAAAGAACCAGCGATTGCAAAAAAATATAAACATTCAGCTACGACTCTTTTTAAACATTTCACATCATTTTATGTTAAAGATGCAAGGTATTTTCCGTTTAAATTTTCATTTCACTTTTTTTTTTGTTTTTTCATTTAAGAACAATTTTTTAACAAAAATAATATTTCAGATTGTCTCGTTTGTATCTTTCGTTTATTTTGAATAACGACTCCGCAGTTCGTGCACTTAAAACAGAAATTCTGGATTTTGATCTTATTACTGTCCAAGTAAGTAAAACAGTAGATAATAAAAAAAAGGATTTTTATATTCTTAAAATACAGGGAAATAATTTTATTTAAACTTTTAATGATTTTAAAATTCATGAATATTAATTATTGTTTTAGATTTGGATTCGCAGTAGTATTTTAAATTTTTCACCTGAAGACGATTCAAAAATTTTAATGCAATACATTCAGAATTTGGAGATGGTGAGGGAAATATTGAAATTTAATCAAGAGTCAAAAGAACCGATTATTGACTTTATTATGGCATTGGCTGCAAAACGAAATAAATTAAATGTAAGTAAACTCATATTTTTTAATTTAAATGTAAATGTAATTGTAATTGAAAAAATAAATGAATAACATGAATTTTATTGAATATAATTCAGAGCGAACAAGAAAAAATGCAATTTGACATGAAATGCAAAGAATATTTTAAAAACATCGATAAATGGATTCTTTTGCCAATACAAAAGGAAAATATCACATCGAAACATTCCTTTTGGATATACAGATGTGTGGGAACATTAATTATTTGCTGCGCTCCAACAATGTACAATCGAGTAAGTTAATAAATAAAAAAAATATTTATGTGATTATTATATTACATTTAAAATATCATGAAAATCGAAATTATTAAAGGAAAAGGAAAATTAATCGAATGATAAAATTAAAAAATCCAAATTTTTTACAAATTCTTAATTTTCATTTAATCAAATTTCTATTAAACACAATTTTTATTTGTCGAAATTTTCAGTGTAGAATTTTCATAATAACAAATTAGAAATTTGGGAAAATACAAATTCTATCATTTAAAAAATTCGATTTCATAAAAATTAATATTAAATAAAAATTTATTCAAATTTTAATTCTAATTAATGTTCTGTTAAATTAAAATTTGGTTAATCTATAATTTTATTTAATGAAAAATATTGACAATTTATTATACAATTTATAATATAATTGATGATTTTTTTAGAATCAAGGGAATAATATGCTTCGACTTTTAATTAATAAAGTTGCATTACCTGCGGAAAATTCACCACACAGTTATGTGACTGTTGTGGCAAAACAAATATTTTCTATGATTATGTTGGGAATTGAAAATCTTCATGTTAATTCTGATATGGCGTTGCAAGTTTTAATTAGAGATCTTTTCGATCAATATTTACCATTATTGATCACTGAATTGAGTTCAAATAATTTTAAAGTCACCGATTCATTATTAAAATGTTTTTCCGAGGTAAAACTTGAATTTAGTCGAATTATTTTTGAAAAATTATCCGATCATTTTATCGTTGTACCTGCTGATAATACAACGCACAAACATTGTTTCTTGGTGAGTTAAAAATTAGTATCTTATTTTTAAAATAATAATAGTAATAAAAATTATTCTATTATTAATTAATTATTAATAAAATTAATTGTTAACATTTTCATAATATTACAAAATTTAAATTTTTATCTAAATTTAAATATGAAATAAAAATTATTTACAAGAATTTTAATTTTTAAATAGTCAGATGAAGAAATATTTGGAAAATTGTTTATAAATAATTATATTTTAATTTAAACACCAGGTAATGATTCTATTGAGGAATTTATTAAAAGGAGGTATTGCCTATCCAAAATATGTATCAGAACAAATAATATCGATATGTACACCGAATGTGATTCGTTGTTATTTGAAAGTTCACACATTACATCCTCATCGAAAGCAAACAATCGAATTCATTCAAAATGTTTTATCGAATTATCACTACAAACAAAATCCAAATATGAGGTTTGTTAAAAAATTAATTATTCAAATAATTTTATTTCTATTTTATTATATTAATTATTCAATTTTTGTATTATTTTTAAATAAAATAATAATAATTCAAATGATTTTAGTGAATTATTTTACAATGTCATATTGAATGGTGTGCAAAATTCTCTTTTGGCGAGTGTAAAATCGTCATTTGAATTTTTAACTTCCGTTGCGGATACTAATGTCGAGTTGATAAAATCCTTGTTACCACATATCGAGAGAATTGTTGTGGATCAGGAAAAAAATAAAAGACAAAATGCAGCAGCTCTTCGGTAATATAAATATAATTAGTTAATAAATTTTAAACACATTTTTATTGAATTTATTAATTTTAATTTTTTTTTTTTTGATTTCATTCGATTGAAAAATAATTCAATTTTGTTTCAGATATTCCTTGAGTCAACTTCAGCAAAGAATGAAAAGTACTTAGTTGCTTTCATTGTTAAAATGTTAATATTTATATTTAAGTTTTACTTTTTTATTTATTTATTTATAAATAATATTTTAATTTGAATAATTCTGAATTAATTTGATTTTTAAATACATTTTTCTTCCGAGACTGAATGAATTAAAATAATGAACTCTGTGGAAATTTTGTAATTTAGTAATTTAATGCACACAGTAAATTTTTAATTACACTCGTTTATATTAGTCTATCTTAATATCTAAATTATTTATTATATATATATATGAATCGACACTTCCATGTAAAATAGTTTTGTAAATATAAGATTTTGGATTTAATTTTTTTTTTTTAAACTGATATATTTAAAAGTTTTAATTTCATTGAATTCAAGAATTTTATTCATTTGTTTCAATTGAGTTGAGTTTTTACTGGTTACAATAATTTAGTGTCAAAATGAATGTAGACATTTTTGAAATTGGAAAGTTTTTTTGTAATATCTCTCAACGATTGAGTCGAGAGAATGGAAAATTATTTTTATATCTTTGTTTTTGTAATGTTAATTTTTTATTATCAGTTTGGTGTATTTAATACTGGGTAGCGAATTATATTGTCATTTAATAAAATGCTACCCTTATTTGCGGTGCGAATGTCGTGAGCGATGATGTTTTACAATTGGAGGCGCTACGGCGGTGGGTGATTGTCATCCAATCAATTCAAGATGAGACACAGCATTGCGAACAGCATTTCGCAAAGATGGATCAATATTGCAAGACAACAATGACTCAAGTTTCTCCAAATAGCTATCCATATTTTGTAACGTTGCACCCTCATGCGTTCCTATTAATTAATTTAATCGATATATATATATATATATTCAAAAAAAAGTCGATTTTTTTATTATAATAATTGTTAATTAATAAATATTTTATTTCAAATAAGTATTGTTATTAAAATATTAAATTAATTTTATTAATTTATTTCGAATATTTCAGAATCGAATTAAGACAAATTTTCAAGATTTTAATTCAATAGGACAAAATTTATTCCATTTAAAAAATTTTTTGAAGTCAATTTAAATTAGAATTAAAAATTTTATCATATTTTTTTAATTTTAATGATTAAAAAATTTTCAGACAAAATATTTTATAGATTTTTAAAATAAAATCCTTTTTAAATAATAGAATTGCAAAAGATTTTAAATTTGAAATAATTTTTTCTGAAGTTTTTTTTTTGTTAAATTGTTGACAATTCAATTTTAAAATTTTCATTTAAAACACTTTTTAAATAATTGAATTTTTAAAAAAATATTAAAATTATTAAAAATAATTGAATTTCAAAGGATTTTATTAAATTTCCAACAATAATTAAATTTTATAGAATTGAAAATAATATAACAAATAATTTTAGATAACATTTTTTAAAAATAATTTAATTTCAAGTAATTTTTTAGTAACATTTTTGTTAATTTCTTTTGTTGAAAAATTTATTATGAAATTTTTAATTTTCAAAAAGTTTTAGATAGAATATTTTTGAAATAATTAAATTTTAGAAGATTTTAAATTGAAATTTTTGAAAATAATTGATTTTGAACTAAAACGTTTGGTAATTTTATTTGATGATTTTTTTTTTAAATTTTAATAAAATTTTTAATTGCAAAATAGTTTAAAATAATTGAATTTGTGAAGAATTTTATTAATATTATTGAAAATAATTAATTCAGAGAAGAATTTTAATTAAAACTTTGTTGAATAATTGAAATAACGGTGACCTTCATTTTATATTAAAAAATATGTATTTTGTTTAAAAATTTATGTAAAAAATGTAAAAAAAATTTGAAAAATCGCATATTATTAAAATAAATCGAAAAAAAGTCGTGTAGAATCCAAGGCCTGAATTTTAGTAAGAAATAATTTAATAATTTTTTTTTTAACTTCTAAGAATATGAAAAAAAAATTCTAATAAATTCATTGACAATTATTTTGTTTATAAATATTTGAATTTTACACTCCAGAAAAAATTTAATTTTTTCCATATAAATTTGTAGTCATTTCATATTTATTATGGAAAAATTTGCATATCAATTATTATCTTAATTTTTGAATAATAATAAACCAAACCTTGAAGGGGTATTGTGGCAAAACATCCTGTCAATTGTGATCGAAGTGAATCCAAATGTCTCTGTAGAGCTTGATTAGATGAACGTTGTTGATTGGTTTCTGATTCTAAACGATTAACGGCAGCATGCAAACTATCCACATGCCTTTGGAGAACTGCATTTTGCCCTTCATAATCGGCTGTTGCTTTTCTCAATTGTCTCAATTCTGCCTCACAAGCTGTGAAAAAGTATTTATCAAACAAATTTTAGAAAATTAAAGTAAAATATGTGACAAATACTTTTTCTTTAAATCCAATCAACTTACGTGAAAAAAAAAAAATTATATAGAAATTTTCAATTTTAAAAATTCGAGAAACAAACAAAATTGGGTAAGTCCACGTCAGAAATATCAGAATCTGCAAGTGGTTCTTCGATTTTAATGATACTTGGTAAAATTATAGCTTTATATAAGAGCAATGTGTAAGTAAAAGGAATTTTTAAAATATCTAAAATTGTAGGAGTTATATCACTTTTAATTTTGATACTGCATTTTTTTCTTTTCTTTATATCTCGGTCAATTTTCAACCGATTTTGATGAATCAAAAACGATTTTTTTCAGAAAATTACGTATTTTCAGAAAATTTTAAAATAAAAAGTAAAATTTTTTTATTTAAATAGAAAAAAGTAAAAAACAAAATTTCTTTTAGATTTTTTTTCAATTTCGACTTCTTTTTTTTAATTTTTAATTTTTTAATAATATTCCTTTTTATTTTATCTTTAATTTAAAAAAAAATTCATCCTGGAGATTTTTTTAGATCTCGTGATATCGTTCTTTAAATATCCACATCTCAAGAAAACTAGGATCCAGATTTGTGTTTCTACTTTCATTTGTTTTATAATATTATTGTTACAAACTAGAAACTTTCGCGTAATAATGTTTTTATTTTTAAATTACTTGACTAAAACAAGTGAAAATTCAAGCAAATCAATATTTTATTAATAGATTTGAAGCAAAGTTTTTATTTTTTGTAATATTTATAATTTAAAATAAATTGTAATGCAACCTGAAATTGTAGCTGAAGTTTTTAGCGCTTTCTTTTAGAGAATTCTAAAACAAATAGTTATTCATAACCATAAAAAATTTCAACAAACAAATGAAAGTAATGATAGAAGCAAGTCCTGCGGTTTTCAAATTGATGAAGACTTATAATACTTAAAGGACGATATCACGAGATCTAAAAAAGTCTCCAGGATGAATTTTTTTTTAAATTAAAGATAAAATAAAAAGGAATATTATTAAAAAATTAAAAATTAAAAAAAGAGGTCAAAATTGAAAAAAAATCTAAAAGAAATTTTGTTTTTTACTTTTTTCTATTTAAATAAAAAAATTTTACTTTTTATTTTAAAATTTTCTGAAAATACGTAATTTTCTGAAAAAAATCGTTTTTGATTCATCAAAATCGGTTGAAAATTGACCGAGATATAAAGGAAAGAAAAAAATACAGTATCAAAATTAAAAGTGATATAACTCCTACAATTTTAGATATTTTAAAAATTCCTTTTACTTACACATTGCTCTTATATAAAGCTATAATTTTACCAAGTATCATTAAAATCGAAGAACCACTTGCAGATTCTGATATTTCTGACGTGGACTTACCCAATTTTTTTTCAATATTCAAAATAAGTATAGGGTAAAGCGCTAATTGCGGCGAGATTCGAGTCAAAACACCTTTGAAATAGAAAATTCGACATTTCTATTGTATAAACTCAATTTAAGACTTATTAAACTTAAAGCTTATGTTATTAAGATATTAAAAAAAAATTTTAACTCTATAAAAATCGATTATTTAAACAAATATGAGAAATTAAAACTAATACCGTAATTTTCTATTGCAACGAGTTTGTATCAGTTTCGGTGTATCAATTTCAGTGACCAAAATTACGTGTATTTTGAAGATACTTTGCCCGCCGAAATTGAAGCCAATGGAAATCTTAAAAATGTTTTCCGCGGAAAAAAATTTGATCTCAAATAATTAAATTAATAATTGTTTAAATGTGCATCTTTATAAGTATTTGTATCAAAAAAAGATTGAAATAATTTTTTTTAATCATTTGGCAACAGTTATATTAAATATAATAGTAATAATAGTTATTTTTTATGAACGCGCCGTAATTGGTGCACTCGCCGTAATTAGTACACTTACCCTATAACTTTATGAGAATTTTTTTAGTTTTGAAAATTTTTTAAGTTAAAAATTAAAAAAAAGTTTAAAATTTATTTCTACCCTTATTATGATCCAAGAATTCTTCAGTAAAAATTGGAATGTCAAATCCTGAAAAATCGTCTTTTTCCTGTTGCGTATCCTAAAATAAAAAAAGAAATAGATATTTTATTCTAAAATTAAATAAACTTTCAAATTTTTCCAGTATCATACAAGTTTTAAAAAATAAAAGCAGAGAAAGATTATATTATAATACGATAAATACGTTTTGTTCAAGAGAAACTTCAGAGCCGTTTCTTTCCTTTTTGTTTTCATTTTGTTTTTCCAGTTGTTTTTCGGTAAATAAACGATATGCTTCCGTTTGTTTATAATCAATAATTTCCTTATTGTAACGTTCTTTATCTTGTTCCGCCGCATACAAATATTGCTAAAAAAAAAAAAAAGGAAGTAGAATATACGAAAAAAATAATTATTTATGGCATTAATAAATAATACGGATAATAAAGAAAAAAAAAAACCTGTTTCTGATCAGCTGGCAAATTGCTCCATTCAGAAGCTAAAAGTTTTGTTATATCTGCAAATGACATTGTGGGATTTTCTGCTCTTACTTTCTCTCTTCGATCATTGAGAAATCTAAAACAATTAGTTTTTTTTCAATTAAAATAATTGTTAAATTACAGTTAGAAAAGTAAACTCAGTAGTAATTATATATTTTTTGTTTCCTTTATATTATCAAATTCGAAAATATTTAAATAATTATTATAATAATAATAAAAATTGATCATATTTTGAAAAAAAAATATATCGTTACATTAACAACTCTTTAAATAATAATCTAAAAACGTTTGTTTTATAATAATAAAAAAAAAAAAATTATTAACCTGAAGTATCCTGTTAAAGGCTGTTTTGGAGCAGTTGCATCTCTCACCGGCTTTTTACGTTTTTTACCTCTGTTAGCTGGAACAGTGGGATTTGTTCCTGCACTTGCTGTCGGTGTTTTTTTATTATTATTATCAGCTGTGTCTTGTGTTTTTTCTTCTGTTATTAAAGGTGATTTAGCTGAAAATTAATCATTTTATTGTAGAATAAAAAAAAAAAATTTCTAAACATTTAAAGAGAAACTATGGAAACAAATTCATATTATTCCATGATAAATATTAATTTAATATTTATTTACCTGACTGTTCTTCTGTGTTACCATTAAAAGCTGGATGATCAATTCCTCCATTACTTTCAGTAATATTATTTGTTGATGGATTTTCACTCATTTTACTGAATATTTTAGTGTACTTTTAACTATTATTATATAAAGTACTATTTATTTTCGAAGGAAAATTAAGATATCAAAGATACACTATTGTATAGTGTCGAAGGAATTATATCATTACAATAAAGCGTTTAAGTAATCATGCTGAAATATAAATGTTAAATATTTACTTTATTTACTCAATTATTATATTTGTCAAAAAAAAACTATAATAATTAGGTTATGTTTGGATAAATGTATTTTAGGAGTAGACGATTATAAACCATATATTACGTTTCTTATTAAATTATTTAATGAAGCTATAGTTCTTTAAAGATTGAGGAACAAATACCTTTTCAGTGAGAACACAAAAATACATGAGAAAAGTAAGAAAAATACAATAAAATTCAGTAAAAATTAAATACCACAGAATACTTTTGGTCTATTCTATTCTATTGCAGTTGTGACACATGAATCTTTAAGGTTGGGTCAAAATAATTTCACAGCTCTGCAGTTAGCCTCACTTCAGGTTGTCACGACAACGTACAAGAGAAAGAGAGATAGTGAATGACTTACTCTTGAGCGTTACCATCACAACCTGCAGGCAATCAAACACAAATCTGACAGTACCTTTATGATCATGTTAGAAATTTATAGCGGAAAATTCAAAAAATTCATGCATTTTTTTTTTAGTCAAAAAATAACATTGTATATTTATTTTCCACAAATTTATGTATAAAAAAATAGTTATTAAAATTAATAAAAAATTGCAATTTATAGCAATAATTTTTATTATGATAGGCTTAATTTTTTGAATTAGGAAACAAGCCGCACTTAGCAACCTTTTTACATTATTATACGTGGTAAAAAAAAAACTATTTACAGAAATAAACAAAACTACTTATGTTTTTTATGAGAAGAAAAAGTCTAATTCATTTAAATTTTCCTATATTGGAAAAAAAATTGCATCGTCTCATATTAATATTCATAAATAAAATAATTATTATTTCTAAAAAATTCTATAGAAACTTTATATCAAACTCTTCATGCTTTTTAAAATTTTTTTATATCAAACTGCGCTGAAGTCGACTATTTTTCAAACCAAACAAAATTGAGTACAAAATTATTTTAAGTAACAAATTTGAATAAAAATGTCTCAGTGTATTTTTACTTTTCCATGAACATAAAGTTTAATTAGATGTGACGATTTTAAATTTTCCAAAAATTAGGCTTACTGATTTTGCTTTTCCAGAGGTAAATCACATGAATGTTGCTACGAGTAAAAATAACTAAAATGCGTAACTAAAACATGCAACACCATCTAAAATGATTAGAAGGTAAAAAATAAATATAATGCAAGGAACTCAATATTCACACGTAAAAATATTTGTTGGCCCTGAAAAGGGCCGATTGTTTGAGAGGATGTGGGTAGAAATTAAGCTTTTTTTTCGGTCTTCTTGGGCAAAAGAACAGCCTGGATGTTGGGAAGAACACCACCCTGAGCGATGGTGACTCCAGATAGAAGTTTGTTCAATTCCTCGTCATTCCTGATGGCAAGTTGGAGATGACGGGGGATGATTCTGGTCTTCTTGTTGTCGCGAGCGGCATTTCCTGCCAATTCCAAAACTTCAGCAGCCAAGTATTCCATTACTGCTGCGAGGTAGACTGGAGCTCCAGCACCAACTCTCTCAGCGTAGTTTCCCTTGCGCAAGAGACGATGGATACGACCAACTGGGAATTGAAGTCCAGCTCGGTTGGAACGAGTCTTTGACTTTCCCTTAACTTTGCCTCCTTTTCCACGTCCAGACATTTTCTCGATTTAGTTTAGAAGCAACGAAACGAACAACTCAATAGTTGGTTGAATAATACAAAATTTTCGTCAAAATCGCCTATTTACGTTCTTCCATTAGGGTCCCCCACCACTATTCCCCCTCCCTCAGTGCAATGAGTGGTGGGCATTCACACTGAGTGCACGCACCAATCACATGCTTGGATGGTTCAGGGGAAGAACGTAAAAGGACGGATTTTCAAATTTTTTCATCATTTCAGTTTGTATTCTCGTTGAGTTCAGACATACTGTTTCTCTCTGAAAATTGAAAATGCCTCCTAAAGCAAGTGGCAAAGCTGTGAAAAAAGCCGGCAAGGCTCAAAAAAATATCACCAAGACTGACAAGAAAAAGAAGCGCAAGAGGAAGGAAAGCTATGCCATCTACATCTACAAGGTGTTGAAACAAGTTCATCCCGACACTGGAGTCTCCAGCAAGGCCATGAGCATCATGAACAGCTTCGTCAACGACATCTTTGAACGTATCGCTGCCGAATCTTCCCGCTTGGCCCACTACAACAAGAGGTCCACCATCACCTCCCGGGAAATCCAAACCGCTGTCAGACTTCTCCTTCCTGGTGAACTCGCCAAGCACGCCGTCTCTGAAGGCACCAAGGCTGTGACCAAGTACACCAGCTCAAAGTAAATCTTGATCTTCTCTCCAGCAAAACAATCGGCCCTTTTCAGGGCCAACAAATTTTTTTACGAAGGAATAAATTTTGTTCTGTAATTTAATACTTTTTAGAGTATACAGCATCACTTTGGTTACATTTTTATATTTAATATTGTTACGTTTATTTAAATAAAACTATATTACAATCGTTATTAATGTAATAACAAATGTCAAGTATTTTGAATTCCTCAATAAATAGAAAAAGTAAACTTAAAAGTGAATTATATATTTATAGGCTCATTTTACTAAGATTGCAAATATTTAAGTACAATTATAATTTTAGACTTGGAAATATCTTTTTTTATCGAATTTTATATACGAAGTGTCTAGACGGATACGAAATTACTGTTAGTCGTCCGTCTAGATGGATAAATATTTTTGTCCGTCTATTATACTGGCAGTACTTTTAAAAGTATCCGGATGAAATAAATTACTAAAAATTTGTCCGCCTACTCTTAAGAAAAACAATTAATAATAAAAAGTCACAATCCAACTAAAGATCCCTCCTCCACGCGCAGTTTAGAAAAACTCATTCAATGAACGCTCGGTACAAACGACGTCAATTTTAAAAGTTTGCGCGGTAAAGTATACATTGAATTCAAAAATAAGAAAAAAATAGGCTGCGTCTAGTAGTCCGTCTAGACGGATGAATTTAAATTGTCCGTCTATAGACGGATAATATAAATTGTCCGTCTAGTGCCAGTATTTACTGGCACAGTAGACGGATGAAATATTTTTTGTTAAAACTGTCCGTCTACCCGTATATATTTATATAAATATACATACATATAAACATTCAGCGCGAAATTCAAACTCTTTAAAGTTTAAATCGAAATTTTTTTTCAAATGATATTACATACCATTAAATTTTGAAGTTATAAAGATGAAAAGTCATTTTTCTTAATTGACGTACTGATCGATTTTTTCAAAAAAACTACTTCCTTTTATGAAAATTTTAAGCCTAGTCTGATCGTGGGCAAACAATTTTTACAATATTTTCGTAATTTTTCAAAATTTTTTGAATATTTTAAAAATATTTTTGGTTTTTATACTACGTACTTTTATGTATTTTGATGCGCTGATTACGAAAATCTTAGTGACAATACCCGAAAATTTGATTTTTATGGTGAAAACCATAAAAAATGTCCTAAAGTTTATGGTTTTTTCCTTTATTGGGTAAAATATACAAAAAATTTAAAAAAATTCATAAGATATAAAAAAAGTATTTTAATAAGATCTATACCTTTTGTCGGGTAAGGATACTACTAAGATTTTCGTAATCAGCGAATCAAAATACCTAGTCTTAGTCCACGATCAGACTAGGCTTAAAATTTTCGTAAAAGGAAGTAATTTTTTTGAAAATTTTTGAAAAAAATCTATCACTACGTCAATTAAGAAAAATGACTTTTTATCTTTATAACTTCAAAATTTAATAGTAATATTATTTGAAAAAAATTTCCATTTTTTTTAAAGTACGTTTAAAAACATACATTTTGAAAAAAAACTTTTAAAATTGATGCATTTTTAAAGAAGTTATGAGCATTCAAAAATTAAAAGTCATGAAAATTCTGCAATTTTGAAAATTTCATAACTCAAAAATGGCTAGCTAAAAAAAATTTTTAAAAATATAAAAAAAAAATTTTAAAAGCTTCTATAGATTTTGAATTACAAAATAAGAAAAAAATTTGGTTTTTTGTTTTAAGTCAAAAACTGAAAAAGATTTTCTACCGGCCTTACACTTCTGCATAAAAAAGGGTTTTTGTAGATCGACTGTCTTTGCCGCAATTTTAATTGTTTTACCTTATGAAAATAATTTTTTAATGTATTAAAATTAAATTTTAATATGTACTTAAAAATAATATATAATTGATTTTTTAATTCTGTTCTTGAAAAAAAATCTTAAAAATGGGTCTGATTTTCGGTCTTTACAGTGGTCTAACCCCTTAATATTTTAATTAGTAAAATATTCAATTTAATGTATATAGTTTTGATTTTTTATAATAAAATTACCTTTAACGGTTAGCAGTAACTGTTTCTTATGAATATTTCTTTTTTTATTTTGAATCCAATTGGATGAGTTTTTTACAGGCGCGTGGCAGGACCTTGTTAGTTGGATCGTGACTTATTATTAATAATTATTTTCTTAAGAGTAGACGGACAAATTTTAATCCATTTATTTCATCCGGATACTGTCTGATACTTTTAACAGTAATGCCAGTATAATAGACGGACAAAAATATTTATCCGTCTAGACGGACGACTAGCAGTAATTTCGTATCCGTCTAGACGGACGACTAGCCACTTCGAAAAAAATATTCATAAGAAAAAGTTACAGCTAACCGTTAAAGGTAAATTCATTATAAGAAATTAAAACTGTATATATTAAATTTAATATTTTACTAATTAAAATATTAATAATATAATATATAGTACAAAACTTTTTTCCAATAATAGAAATTGTATATTATATAATATAAAAAAAAATATAAATTATATAAGTGGCGTGATAATTATAATAAAATAATATTAATATATTTAATGTACAATAATGTTAAATATTTGTTATAAAAATTATTTTCTATTATTTAAATGATATATAATAATAATTGAATAAACAGTTAAAGAATATTCTATGATTTATATATTTGCTTGACAGTACCAGGTTTTACACTTTGCATTTTTTTAAAAAACCTGGTTTAAATTGCTCAAAAAAAAATTTTTTAATGCCATCGACCTTATTTGCACTTGAAGTTTTAATTCAACTTTAAAATTTTTATAAACATTTGCATTTTATTTTCTGTTTAACGTATTTCAAGGATTGTTCTTCGTGACCAATGCAATGAAAAAAATGATGTGCGCTTATCCCGAAATAATTTTCATTGATGCTACCTACAAGCTCTTGAAGATAAGAGGCGTACTTTTTTTGATGTTAGTAGAAGATTCTAAGGGGGGGTCAGAAATTGTAGGAGTGTGCATTTTGATGAGTGAGGATTATGAAAGTGTCACTTGGATGATGGAAACATTTAAATCCGTACATCATTCAACCTGGAAAAACATCAAATGCGTCATGTCCGACAAGGACATGGTAGAGCGGGAAGTAATTAGAACTTGTCTACCTCACGTTCGCCTACTAATTTGCGTATTTCATACGCTAAGAACTTTTAGTAGAGAGATAACGTGTTCTAAATGTGAAATAACCGTTCAAATAAGAGAAAAAGCTCTCACGATTTTGCAGAAAATGGTCTACTCGAAGACTGACGAAGAGTACAATGAATTGTATCAACAAATACAACTTTTGCCGCACAGTATTGTTAATTACTTTGACGAAAATTAAAATGATATAAAGGATGAATGGGTTTTAAACAGCAACTATTTGCGCAATACGTTTAGCAATACTACGAATAATCGAACAGAATCGATGAATTCAAAAATTAAAAGTGTCGTGAAAAATTTCAGCACTTTAGAAGACTTTGTTCGACAATTTTTTATTGACTTAAATCATAAAATAATCGAATTTTTTTCAGCACTTTAAATAAAATATTTTTATAAGCTATTGTCTAAAATTTATTTAATCTAATTATTATAGTAGGTACGCTTATTTTTAATTATATAATTTATACTTAAATAGTTTTTTCGTATCTGATTTTATTTATTCAAATATGAAAATTAAATACACACACTGCAGCTTAGCTTTATGATTCAAATAATCAGCCACTTGACTATTATCAAATATATTTATTTGTATTAAATAATTACTATTTGAGTCAATTAAATGGTTTTTTTAATACATAAATTATTATTTGAAAAAAATAAATTTTTTTTTAAAATAAACAAATAAATGTCAAAGAAACAAAATATTCCAAAGTACGAAAATTTGGTGGCCCTGAGAAGGGCCGATTGTTTAAATGATGATGATGATGTGTATATTTAACCGCCGAAACCGTAAAGGGTGCGGCCTTGACGTTTCAAAGCATAGACGACGTCCATGGCGGTGACGGTCTTCCTCTTGGCGTGCTCGGTGTAAGTGACTGCGTCACGGATCACGTTCTCAAGGAACACTTTGAGAACACCACGAGTTTCCTCGTAGATCAATCCGGAGATACGTTTCACTCCACCACGACGAGCCAAACGACGGATGGCTGGCTTGGTGATACCTTGGATGTTATCACGCAAAACTTTGCGATGCCGCTTTGCTCCTCCTTTTCCCAAACCTTTACCTCCCTTTCCGCGACCAGTCATTTTTGCAGATAATAAAGTTCGTACGTCAAACTCGAACGAAGAACAAACTGAGAATGCGTGGAGGGGGAAGTGAGCGTTATTTTATAACATCGTGTTGCACATTTCTCCCACCACAATTCAATCTACCAATCAAGTGCCTAGAACTCCCCTTCCTGTTAACAATGGGAGGCAAAAGTCTATAAATACAGCATTTTCCCCCTCCCAACATCATTGTTGAGTTAGTCACTGAACCAACTACATCGTCATGGCTCGTACCAAGCAAACCGCTCGTAAATCCACCGGTGGTAAAGCACCGAGGAAACAACTCGCAACCAAGGCCGCCAGAAAGAGCGCGCCTGCAACTGGTGGAGTGAAAAAACCCCATCGTTACAGGCCAGGAACCGTCGCTCTCCGTGAGATCCGTCGTTATCAAAAGAGCACTGAACTCCTCATCCGCAAGCTTCCTTTCCAACGTTTGGTTCGTGAGATCGCTCAAGATTTCAAGACCGACTTGCGTTTCCAGAGCTCTGCTGTGATGGCTCTCCAGGAGGCTAGCGAGGCTTACCTCGTCGGTCTCTTCGAAGACACCAACTTGTGCGCCATCCACGCCAAGAGAGTCACCATCATGCCAAAAGACATCCAATTGGCTCGTCGTATCCGAGGAGAACGTGCTTAATTTTTTACAACACCTTCAAAAAACAATCGGCCCTTTTCAGGGCCAACACATTTTTTTACGTTGCAATTATTTTGTTCCTAACTGCTCCATTAATTGATTACTAAATAAAAAACAAATTCTCTTGTTCTGATTTTTGATAAGAAGTTTTTATAAAACTACTTGACCGATTGGTATCAAATTTATATGGTTTAGGTATTCAATAAAATGTAATTATTCGTGAATTACATCAATATATTCGCAATGAACTTTGCTTAGTAACATTTTATTGCATATTCAATATAATAAAATAAACTTTAAGGGCAGGTCAAAGTCTAACCAATTTTTACATAGAACTTCAATAATGTTATTTTTCAATGGATTACAAAAAACTACTGTTTTGATTATTTTAAGTTTATTGAAAGTTTAGGTGTCAATGAACAAAAAGTTCAACTGCGTGCGTTTTTTATGAAATAGTTCGAATGAATTTTTTTTATATTTTCTTGTTCACTGACAATAAGATTTTTTATATAAACCTGACTAATAGTAACGTTCAACTATTTTTTCAGTTTTTATACTCTTTATTATTGTTATGAATTGCTAATGTTGTCATATTTATTTAAAATTTAAATTATTATTAATTTTGCCTAATCTGAACTTACAATTTTACCCTATTCTAATTCCTCAATTTAACTTAGTTAATTTAACTAAGTTGGGGAGAGGTTTATTAAATGAATGAATTGAAAAACAATATATAAATTATTTATTTAAAAAATATATAATATTCTCAACAATTAGTGTAACAAGAAAGACAATCCAACAAACTCTTTATGTTCTATAACGTTTGGTTGAGGAATCTCCAATAAGCATCTGATGTAGTGACCTGGAGATTTGTATCTTCTTGGACGTTAAGATTTTTATTACCGCACTGACACGTATATTTTAACCTGGATCGTAACTTATGTGAACTATGATGACACTTGTGTATTTTGGAAATCACTACGACGAGTTCCGTGTGAATAATTTTTGAGACTGCTTTCATAGTGAAAGGTTTCCCTTCATATATTAATATTTTCCAATGTATTTCTCGTGGCGGTACCAGCTCACCTCTTTGGGTTCGATTCAAAATCGGTACCACACAGACACGAAAGTGTTTATTGCTTTTTTCTATGTATTGGTGACTCTATATGTTCATTTCCTTGTTTGTGTATCGTCTTTCATAACTCTAAATATCAAGAACAATATTCCCTCAAGAAATATTATAATTTTACATATTGATTATTTTTAAATATTAATTACCTACGTGATTATTTATTTACATTTTTAATATTTGTAACAATTGTTTTTTATGTATTAGTTTCAATCATAAATAATTATTTATTTATAAATAATTATCTATTTATAAATATATTTGTTTATTTAAAAATAATTATTTATCTACAAATACATTTATTTATTTAAAAAATTGATTTTAGATAAATATTTATTTGTTTTATTTATACAAATTAATTATTAATAATTATCATTATTTATTTATAACAAAAAATGTTACGGTGACGTGACACTAATATTTATTATTATTATTATTACCCGGTGTCTAAAACAAATGCAATAACAGCAGCTGAAGGTAAAAGATGACTTCCTAGTCAGAAAACCGAAAATTACCTAAAAAAGAAACTATTGATCCCGTACATTATGACTTAGACTCAAACATGGGATTTTTAAATAATTCTAGTTCCTATTTAAATAATCCGTTTAAGAAAATTTAAAAATAAATTTCAAGTCTACTTTAAAAATATTTTGATTTTTAATAACAAAAAAAAATGTATGCAAAAATTCTTGCAAAATAAAATATTTTTTATGAATTTTACAAAATTTTAAATTCATGACAAAGATTTTGGATTTTTCAAAACTTCTAACTTTTTCAGGTATAAAATTTTTTTTATGTGATAACAAAGATTGTTATATTTCACAAGGGCAACAATTCGTCTGTTAAGCATTTTAAATCGTTTAAATTTGGCAATAGTGAAATCGATACATCTTGGAGTCGTTTTTCAAAGTAATGGTACATTTTGGGAAACAGCAAAAAAGAATATTGCATCGTACAACGTAGCAATAGGCGCAACGTTGCGAATGATATACGAATCTAAGGCGCACTCGTGGTCAACATATTCTAAGCTCTGTATGGTTTGCAGTACACTATTTTATGGGATTGAGGCCTGGGGCGTAGACCTGGAAGAGCACCTTTTGGAGCGTGTTCAGTTATCATTTTTTAAGAGTTTACTTCAGCTTCCAAAAAATACACCAAATTACGCGGTCCGTCTAAAAATAGGCAGACAGCCGTTGTTCTATTTGATACTTAAAAGAGCACTGTCTTGGTTAGAAAAAATTTCCAAAATGTCTAATCCGCGGTATCCAAGACAGTGTCTTTTAAGATTAATGAAAATTTCTAATGCAGATTCTGGTCAAAATAGTTTCAATTGGTTTACACAATTAAAAGGATTTTTCTTGAAGGGTGATCTCAGGGATTATTGGTCCTCGAACGATTTGGATCAGTTAATTAATAATGCAGGGGAAATTTTATTGCATTTTTCAAATACTTTGTTGTCCAGGGACTTATTCTCTCGAGCTCGCTCGGAGAGTCTCCAGGTTTGGCCTCACTTTGATTTGCATAACTCTGTACAACCTTATTTAAGGAATGGATTGGGTCTGATTGTGAAGAAGAGCACTTTCTGGTGAAATGCCCGTTTTATAACACAATTAAAAATACTAGTTTTTCGAAAATTGCTTTGCTCAATGACCACGAGACGTTTTGGAAAAGTATATCTTGTCTACTTCAGATTTGTCAATTTTTAAAAAGTTTATTAGAATGATACATGAAATGTTAGTTGTTCGTGTCCCTAATTGCTGAGAGTCGTGTGCTATGTGTGTGATACTATAATTGTATATATATTTGTTTTTTTTTCTATTTTATATAATGTATTTTGTTTAATATTAATAAGTTTTTTAAACATGTATATGGACTGTTAGTTCCAATAAAGATGATTATTATTACTTTCCGTACATAATTCACCTTTTTTTCAAGATTAAAAAAAATGACATTTTAAAATTTATTACAGATTAGTAAATGTGCAAAAAGTAATAAATATATATATATGTATATACAGAAACTCTTTATTGGAGCGTGTAATTAGTTTTGTACTTTTCAAGTCCATAGTTAAAAATAAAAATTCCTCAATACAATAAATTAAATTTAAAATTTATAAATATATATAACAATACTAAAACAATGTTTAAATTTTTTCATTATTGATCAAAGCATTCATTCTAAACGTTTGCGTTTTCCATGTCAAAAATTTGAACTGATGCTGAACTTAAACTACTCCTAACACCTTCAATATATTATTAAAATATAAATAAATTAAATATTCACAAAGGGGAATAAATCGAGAATTAATTTAAAAACTCAAATTTTTGACAACGAAATTTGTTAACATATTTTTAACAATTTTTGAATCTTGTTACGCCTGATCATTGTAAGCAGTGCTTCTAAAAATGTTAAATTTTACCCTATAATGACATAAAAACTAAAGATATTTTTAATTAGTTAAAAAGTAAAATAATTGTAAAATTGAAATTAAAGATATTTACAACAATTTATTAAAGCGTTAACACTTAAAAGTTAACAAATTTTTTGAATGTCGTTCCCAAGTTACCGAGAATTCGAACGGCGAGCGGTGAACGAGCGGAGGGGTCTTTCTCCACCGTCCGTGCAATTCAATAGGTCACCGATCGTCAGGGTAAAAATTTACATTTCTCTTTCACCAGTTGCATTGAGAGTATTTCTAAAGTTATTAATCTTTTTCTTTCGAAAATTTAATTATCGAAATGACCGATAAAGTAGAATCACCAGCTGCGCCTGCAGTTGCAACTCCTAAAAAGGCTGCAGCTGCAAAGGCAAAAAAGCCACGCGCTAAAGCCAGTCATCCACCAGCATCCGAGATGGTTAATGCAGCCATCGCATCTTTGAAGGAAAGAGGTGGCTCTTCCCTGCAAGCCATCAAGAAATACATCGCTGCCACCTATAAAGTCGATGTCGAGAAGCAAGCCCCTTTCATCAGAAAGTACCTCAAAGCTGCAGTTGCCAATAAGGCCTTGATCCAAACTAAAGGAAAAGGAGCTGCAGGATCCTTCAAATTGAACGTCACCAAGGCTGAAGGTAAAACTAAGCCCAAGGCTAAGACTCCTGCTGCTAAACCCAAAGCTGCTGCTCCTAAGGCTAAGAAAGCAGCTTCTCCGAAAAAGGCTGTGGCAGCCAAGACCAAGAAAGCTGTTGCCGAAAAGAAGAAGACCCCGAAAGTTGCGGCAAAACCACCAAAGGCAAAATCCACCGCTGCCAAACCTAAAACCACTAAAGCTGCTCCAAAAAAGGCAAAAGCTTCCCCGAAGAAAGCTGCAGCACCAAAAGCAAAAAAGCCCGCGGCAAAGAAGGTTGCCAAGAAGTAAGAAGGTGAAAATGTTATTCTTATGACATTTTCAAATGATGATTGTAAACAAACGGCCCTTTTCAGGGCCACCACACGTTTTATACGAAGGAATTTGTTTTGATCTTTATAACAATTTATTTCTATTTTATTATATTACAATAACTTCTGTTACTTTTACGGTATTGCAGTTCACAACGCTTAGGATTAAAGAATTTTAGGGAAAGATATAAATATATTAAAACTCAGTAATTATTTTGTATGATTACTATAAATTATGTTGAAGTTCGTAAATATTTACTAAAATTTGAAAAAAAAAATGTATTTTAAAACCGGGAGAGGCAAAAATTCTAAAAATAGTGGCCAGCCTGGTTAATTTTCGTCTTAAAAATAAGTATTTCTTGCAAATTAAACAGTTTTTAGATAAAGCTTAAAAAATTATTTGAATTTGTTGATTGGTTGTCCACAATCTACTTGTTGACAGGAAATCATGTTTATGTATTTCTTTTCGATATGTAATTTATATAAGTTTAATATTTAATTTTCAGCTAATATTTTTATTCAATAAATAAGTGAAATAAACTATTACTCTTATTTTGCCAGCTTGTCGGCGAAATTTCCACTTCGTAAAAAAAACATATTACTGGTGCGCTGTTTCAAATATCAGAATAACAAAACGAGGTTTATTTCATGACCATTGAGCTTCCTCACCATGATAAACATTTATAAATTAATAGTTTTAAAAAAATTCAATTTTTGTGCATTTGTCATCTTAAAAAATTAAGTACTAGCAAATTTTTTTCATAATTTTGTATAAAAATGTAGCAATAATGCGGTCACTAAAACTTCATTTCAAATATGGCGAATTTCTTTAATTGAATAACCTATAATGTCAAAGATAAAATTAAATCCTTCGTAAAAAAATTTGTTGGCCCTGAAAAGGGCCGATTGTTTTGCTGGAGAGAAGATCAAGATTTACTTTGAGCTGGTGTACTTGGTCACAGCCTTGGTGCCTTCAGAGACGGCGTGCTTGGCGAGTTCACCAGGAAGGAGAAGTCTGACAGCGGTTTGGATTTCCCGGGAGGTGATGGTGGACCTCTTGTTGTAGTGGGCCAAGCGGGAAGATTCGGCAGCGATACGTTCAAAGATGTCGTTGACGAAGCTGTTCATGATGCTCATGGCCTTGCTGGAGACTCCAGTGTCGGGATGAACTTGTTTCAACACCTTGTAGATGTAGATGGCATAGCTTTCCTTCCTCTTGCGCTTCTTTTTCTTGTCAGTCTTGGTGATATTTTTTTGAGCCTTGCCGGCTTTTTTCACAGCTTTGCCACTTGCTTTAGGAGGCATTTTCGATTTTCAGAGAGAGAAACAGTACGTCTGAACTCAACGAGAATACAGAGTGAAATGATGAAAAAACTTGACTTGAAAATATCTTTATTATCAAATAAAATAACATTTATACATAATACAGTTAATGTCTTAAAATATACAAGGACTCTATCTTTACAATATCTGCCTTTAGTTGTTTTATTCTAATAATATTTTATTATAAATTTTAAAGGATGCTAACATATCATATATTATAAAATTTTTTATCAGTAAAAATTTTTAATAAAAACCTGATTAATTAGAAAAGTAATAAATAACCTTAAACTAAAAACTATAAACTATAAACTATTTACAACAATAACAACTTATATACTAAAAATTTACTAGGCCATATTTTAAAATTGTGATTATTGTAATAAATGCTGTATAAGCTTATACTTTATTTTAAAAGGTGCTTCGGTATATTTAAGTTTACCAACATCTTTTAAAATATCTAATTTATTTATTTGATTTTCAAAAAAGTTTTTTGTTAAGTTATATATTTGATCTTTGATCATAGGCACTTTAAGAGTATCATGTAAAATTTTTATATTAGTGCTTAGTTTGGCATTTAAGGTCATTCTAAGGCATTTATTTTGAATTTTTTGAATTTTTTTGATATTACTGACACAAGTATTACCCCATATGGGAGCGACGTACAAAGCTATTGGTCTGATTATGATTTTATAAGTCATTAATTTATTATGTTGGCTCATTTTACTTTTATGATTCATAATATGATATAAATTATTTAGTGTCATAAAGACTTTAGATCTTATTGAGTTTACGTGTTTTGTATAAGATAACTTAGAATCTAAAATTGCGCCTAAATATTTTGCTTGTTTTGTCGGTATTATTTCTTCGTCGTACATTGTTGGATTTATAAATTTATCATCACCGTCATTATGTGAAAAAATTACAAGTTCAGTCTTGTTAGTATTAATTTTAATTTTCCATCTCGCAAAATATTTTTCTAATTCGAAGACATAGTTTTGGAGTCTCTTTAAAGCTATTCTTTTTCTCCTAGACGCAGTATAAACAGCTGTATCATCAGCAAATAACGCAATTTTAACATTGTTACTTTTTGGAATGTCATTGATATAATATAAAAACAATACTGGTCCAAGGATAGATCCTTGTGGTACTCCCGCAGCTATATTCTTTTCTTCCGAGCTTTCATTATTAATTTCTACAATAAATTTTCTATTTTTTAAATAGTTATCTATAATTTTAATCAGGTACAAAGGTATATTATAATTATTTAATTTATAAATAAGTCCTTTGCACCAAACTGTGTCAAAGGCTTTTTCTATATCTAAGAATAGAGCTGCGGTACTATGCTTAATATTAAATTTGGTTGAAATAAAATCTGTGAATCTAGCTAATTGTTGAGCTGTGGAATGATCTTTTCTAAAGCCAAATTGCTCAGGTATAAGTTGTTTATTTTCATTTTCAAAAGTTTTTAATCTATTCAATAAAATTGATTCAAAAGTTTTACTTATTGTGGGAAGCAAGCTAATAGGTCTATAACTTTTAGGATCATTTTTTGGTTTACCTGGCTTATAAATAGGTAAAATTTTGGCTGTTTTCCACACCTCTGGAAAGTAGCTAAATTTTAAGCAGGAATTGAAAATATACGTCAGTTGGACTAGTGCTTTTTTAGGTAAGTATTTTAAAATTATATTTTGAAATCCATCAATACCTGGAGCTTTTTTAGGTTTAAATTTGTTTATTATTTGCTTGATTTCCAAAGGTGTTGATGAAAAAAATTTGAAAATCCGTCCTTTTACGTTCTTCCCCTGAACCATCCAAGCATGTGATTGGTGCGTGCACTCAGTGTGAATGCCCACCACTCATTGCACTGAGGGAGGGGGAATAGTGGTGGGGGACCCTAATGGAAGAACGTAAATAGGCGATTTTGACGAAAATTTTGTATTATTCAACCAACTATTGAGTTGTTCGTTTCGTTGTAACTAAACTAAATCGAAAAATGTCAGGACGTGGAAAAGGAGGCAAAGTCAAGGGAAAGTCAAAGACTCGTTCCAACAGAGCTGGACTTCAATTCCCAGTTGGTCGTATCCATCGTCTCTTACGCAAGGGAAACTACGCTGAGCGAGTTGGTGCTGGAGCTCCAGTCTACCTCGCAGCAGTAATGGAATACTTGGCTGCTGAAGTTTTGGAATTGGCAGGAAATGCCGCTCGCGACAACAAGAAGACCAGAATCATCCCCCGTCATCTCCAACTTGCCATCAGGAATGACGAGGAATTGAACAAACTTCTATCTGGAGTCACCATCGCTCAGGGTGGTGTTCTTCCCAACATCCAGGCTGTTCTTTTGCCCAAGAAGACCGAAAAGAAAGCTTAAATTTCTACCCACATCCTCTCGAAAACAATCGGCCCTTTTCAGGGCCAACAAATATTTTTACGTGTGAATATTGAGTTCCTTGCATTATATTTTGTATTAATTGATCTTTTAAATTATAAATTTATTTTTATTATTTTGAAGAATTTCATTTTAATAAAATAAGAAAATTTAATTTATGGAATTCAATTGTTATATTTTTGATTTACTTTTATGTAAGTCGTAAATCGGAATTTCGTCCAAAACCGAAAGGTGTGGACTATAGATAAATAAAAAAAATAATAAATAGAACCATAGGTTTAAGTTTTTATTAATAACACTATAAATGTTAGATGACATTTGAATTTTATTCTGACACATGGACTTTCTTTTTACTAGTTTTTTCAAAGGAATTAGTATTATAAAATGACGTACAGGAATTTTTTTTTGATACTGGAAATGTAAGGGAATTTTATGTACATATTAAAATTTTTATACTTACATTTTTCTTATAACCTTAAATTTACAGGATTTTTTTTTATAAGTATAATTAAAATTAACAGAAAAAAATTCTCAGTAGGACATCTCAAATTTAAAAAATTTTAAATTTTTCCAAAAATCCGAACTTGAGTGTAAAAAATTTATATGAATAATTTTCAACTTTTTATTAAACTTAGTATCTACAGGTTTTAGGGTTCTCTGATTTACAAATTTATAAAATAAGTCATTTATTTTATGTTATTATTATTATTATTTCAGTAGTTTTTTCATATATCAGAAAATTTGTAGTTAAAAAGAAAACTAACCTAACCTTGTCTTTCTCATCTGCTTATATAATATAGACTTAGAAACAAATTTTAAATAAAAATATATAATCGATTAAAACATTTCTTATTACTAAAATTTTATTAAATTGTGAATTACAAAACACATACATGTAAGTATATGTTATCGGTCTCTTAAATAAAAATCTTTTGATTCCACAAGAAATAAAATGAGATTTTTGCGCATATCAAAGAATATATCATCTACATTATACTCAAATATATTTACAATAAATTTCCAGTGTACAACGATATTTTTGTAGTTCATTAAAAGCTACATTGCATAGAAGTAGGAATTTATAAATTCATAAATTCCCTTTATTTTTTTTTTTTTGCAAAATTTCAATTACATTCAAATACTGTGCCGTATTTTTTCTACTCGAAAAATAAAATACAACTTATTAATCATTGGCGTGACACATATGCATAATAATCCTTTACACAATTCAAATAGTATCACAGTCTTAAGATTAAACGATAGTCTCTTCCTTTGCATCTAAATTATTAACATTTTACATTTGAAATATATACACAATAATATATATATATATTTCAAAAAGAACTTAAGAAATATTTCAAGTTCGTTTTTATATGTAAAGATTAACAAAAATTTCCTGCAGATAATAAAAAATAGAATCCATTGAAATTCCATTATTGAATATGAAAATTAGTCTTTTTATCAAACAAACACGAACCTTGGCTCATTGATCAAAAACAATAAATAGTTAAACGAGAACAAAATAAAAATTAATTTTTATATCTCTCTCTCTCTCTCTCACTTTCTTTCTAGATTCAGTCGAGACTTGAATACTTATTTAAAATATCAAGTATGTATTTTGGACCGCGAGTATTTCATTCCAAGATTGTGAAAAAATATAAATATACATATTATACTCTCCTAATATAATTATTCCCAATGCGATTTTGTGTATTTGAAAGAAACACTTTTTAATTGATCCAAGAAGGATTAGTGTTTTGTACACAGACGGGATTAGGAGAGTAAAGCAAATCCTATTGAGGCGGTCCACCCATCATGCCCATTGGTGGCATTCCTTGAATTCCATAAGGACCTTGCGGTGGTCCTTGACCTCCCGACATTGGTGAATGTAATTGCATTGCCGGACTTTGAATTTGTTGTGTCGATGTCACTTGTCCACCTCCCATTGATCCTACGACTTGCTGCAAGAAAAAAAAATTATTACATTTTAATTATTACACGGTGCTACAAAAAAAATTTTTTTTTCATATACAGTCAATCCTCCACAATGACGGATCTGTCTAAAATTTCCCCTTCTCTCATCCTTTACTTTGACGTGTGCCTACGTCATAATCCCCCACTACTTTTCCAGGGCTGTCCCTGTACATATTTTGTTTGAAACAAACTGGGGGACATTTCGTAGTAAAATTTAATAAACCTTCTTTATTAAAACATACTAATTATTAAGGCCAGGTGCAACTCGTCAAATGTAAACAAACATGAAAATGTACATAATTATTGACAAATTTGCGACAGCCTTTTTTTAAATAGAAAATAAAAATTGTTCTTTTTCTATGTGAAAATGGAAAATTCATATATAAAACTACAGCCTGACACCGTATTTGACTAATAATATGAATAATATTAATAATTATAATAAAATGAAAATTACACGGAAACAACAATTTTTAAGGTTACGAAAAATTAACTATTTGAGTATATCTGAGGCACGGACGTTGAGAACCTAGGTGGGAGAAATAGTGTCTATCTATCTATGATCTCTAATAGATTTTTTAGGTGATTGCATTTTGTAATCTATACCTTTGAGGTCTAATAATGTATATAGTTGTTATTTCATATGAATTGACTTAGTAATTAGAAAATTTAATAAAGGTCCAGGTCTAGTAATTCTACCATTCGTGGACGCCGACTTTTTGGAAGGCAGTCTTCAGGGTTGTAATTGACGGATTCTCGGATGTATTTATTGTCATGTTGCTCAGCTTTTTGAAATAACTTGATCGCTATTTCTTTTCCAAATTTGTGAATGCTTGATAAGTTGAGGTCTTTATGTAGTTGTATATTTGTTACAAACCAGGGTGCTTCAGTTATGGTTCTGAGTATTTTATTTTGAATGACATGTAGTTTGTTAATGTGAGTTTTTATCGCAGAAATCCAAGTACCAATATTGTGGGTGTAGGCTGGTCGAATAACTGATAGATAAATCATTCTTTTATGATTTATACTAAGGTAAGGATTTCTGAGAAGAGGACCTAGCTTTTGTAGTGCAATGAAGCCAATTTTCTTCATTTCTGTTGTATGATGATTCCAGATGAGTCTTTTGTCTATGTGTAGTCCCAGGTATTTTGCAGAATTTTCCCAAGAAATTTCACTGTCTATTACTTCTATTTTGTCAGGAGGTAGTTTGATTCGGTTAGTGTATAAAACAGTTTGTGTTTTGTCTTTGTTAATGGTAATTTTCCATTTGGTAAACCAGTTGATAAAGTTGTTTAAGTTTTGTTGTAGTTTCTCAATGGCTAACTTGGGGCTGCGAGATTGTGATATTATGGCAGTGTCATCCGCAAATAGAGCTGTATGTGAATAAATTTCATTTTCTTGAGGGAAATCATGCGTATATATGTTGTAAAGTATGGGTCCAAGAACAGAACCTTGCGGAACTCCAGATTCTATAGGTTTTCTGGATGAAATGCTGCTGCCAAGTTTAACCTTAAAACTTCTCTCCAGCAGGAATGAGCGTATTATTTTAATGATATTTGTGGAGACGTTTGCTTTTTTCATTTTGAAAATAATTCCTTCATGCCAAACTTTATCAAAAGCCTTGGCCACATCTAGGTATGCTACAGCAGTGCTTTGTTTAAGATAGAACCCCTTATGGATAAGTTCCATGATGCGGAGTGTCTGCAAGTTTGTTGAGTGTGCTTTCCGAAAACCAAATTGTTCAGGTGGGATTAGTTGCAAATCATCTATTTGTTCAAGTAATCTCGAGAGTATCAGTCGTTCTAGTGAGAAATAGTGTGGAAAGGGGTAAAAGACCTAGTCTCTGTCCTCTGGTGGGGGTATAATTTTAGAATTTTACCCTTTCCAAGATGTGACCATCCAATTGCTCAACTCTTTCTCCCACCAAGGTTTACAACGTCCGTGCCTCAGATATACTCAAATGGTTTTTTTCCCGTAATATAATGGGGTTTTTGAATTATTCTACCTTTTTACCCAAACAAAGAATATATAAATATTATTAAATATATAAACTTTAATAAAATAAAGAAACATTCAGATAAGTTACTTAAAATAACAAGCGCTGAATATATATCTTAGAATTAAGAAATTTTTGTATAACTTTAATGTACAACTCTCAATGATAAATAAATATGGTTTTCAAAGTCAAAGTCAAGTTTTTTCGTAATCTTGACCAATTTGACTTTAGAAAAGATCACTCCACAGCTCAACAATTAGCTAGATTCACAGATTATATTTCAACCAAATTTAATATTAAGCATAGTACCGCAGCTCTATTCTTAGATATAGAAAAAGCCTTTGACACAGTTTGGTGCAAAGGACTTATTTATAAATTAAATACTTATAATATACCTTTGTACCTGATTAAAATTATAGATAACTATTTAAAAAATAGAAAATTTATTGGAGAAATTAATAATGAAAGCTCGGAAGAAAAGAATATAGCTGCGGGAGTACCACAAGGATCTATCCTTGGACCAGTATTGTTTTTATATTATATCAATGACATTCCAAAAAGTAACAATGTTAAAATTGCGTTATTTGCTGATGATACAACTGTTTATACTGCGTCTAGGAGAAAAAGAATAGCTTTAAAGAGACTCTAAAACTATGTCTTCGAATTAGAAAAATATTTTGCGAGATGGAAAATTAAAATTAATACTAACAAGACTGAACTTGTAATTTTTTCTCATAATGACGGTGATGATAAATTTATAAATCCAACAATGTACGACGAAGAAATAATACCGACAAAACAAGCAAAATATTAAGGCGCAATTTTAGATTCTAAGTTATCTTATACAAAACACGTAAACTCAATAAGATCTAAAGTCTTTATGACACTAAATGATTTATACCATATAATGAATCATAAGAGTAAAATGAGCCAACGTAATAAATTAATGACATATAAAATAGTAATAAGACCCATAGCATTGTACGTCGCTCCCATATGGGGTAATACTTGTATTAGTAATATCAACAAAATTCAAAATAAATGCCTTAGAATGACTTTAAATGCCAAACTAAGCACTGAAAAAGGCGTGTGGCGCGCGTCGCTAATTTTTCGACAAGAGGGTGAAGGCGTATGGCGCTCATCTTCTGTCAACCATGGGTTCAGAAAAGAAGAGGAAAAAACTCTTGGATAGTGCTGATGGCTCTTTCCAATCTTATAATAAATTTGGAGTTCTGGATGAGATCAGTGACAGTGACTCCAGTTCTGAAGAAGAAATGATTACTGAAGATAGAAGTACTAAAATTGCGATAAGGAGAAGAAGAAGACTGGGAAACTTCCTCCTATAACAATAACTGACAAAATAGTCAGTTACTCGGATTGTATCAGTTCAATTAACTCTGCCTGTAAAAGTGAAAAAACAAAAATTTACTATTCTTCAAATCAAATTAAAGTGTTCACTGACAATGCCATTGACTATGAAGCCTTATTGAAAGCGTTAGGAAACAGCAAGATTGCTTTCCATACCTACTGCCCCAAATGGTTAAGATCTAAGCACTTAATCATTAAAGGACTACCAAATCTTTCGATTGAAGAAATAACTGAAGATCTAAGAAGTCAAAATGTAAACATTACTAGTATACATATTCTCAAGAAGAAGGATGCACCTGCTGACTTGAACCCGATCTTCAAAATCACTCTGGACCACAGGGCTGACTTGAAAAAAGTATGGCCAATTAAATACATATGCAGGATCAAAATTCGATGGGAAAAATATAAAAACTCCAGAAAAGCTACACAGTGTTATAGGTGCCAAAAATTTGGACATGGCACCAAGTTCTGTATGAACAAACCGAGGTGTGTCAAGTGTGACAAATCTCATCTTACTGCTGATTGCATCAAAACCAAAGAAGAACCAGCTATCTGTGCAAACTGTAAAGGACCACATACAGCTAATTATTCAAAGTGTCCGGAATATATCAACTTATATATATCTTTATGACACTAAACGATTTATACCATATAATGAATCACAAGAGTAAAATGAGCCAACGTAATAAATTAATGACATATAAAATAGTAATAAGACCCATAGCATTGTACGTCGCTCCCATATGGGGTAATACTTGTATTAGTAATATCAACAAAATTCAAAATAAATGCCTTAGAATGACTTTAAATGTCAAACTAAGCACTAAAATCACAATTTTACACGTCCCTATGATCAAAGATCAAATATATAATTTAACAAAAAACTTTTTTGAAAACCAAACAAATAAACTAGATATATTAAAAGATGTTGGTAAACTTAAATATACCGAAGCACCTTTTAAAATAAAGTATAAACTTATACAGCATCTCTTACAATAATTACAAATATCAAAATATGGCCTAGTAAATTTTTAGTATATAAGTTGTTATTGTTGTAAATAGTTTATAGTTTTTAGTTTAAGGTTATTTATTACTTTTCTAATTAATCAGGTTTTTACTAAAAAATTTTACTGATAAAAAATCTTATAATATATGTTATGTTAGCATCCTTTAAAAATTTATAATAAAATATTTTTACAGTAAAACTACTAAAGGTAGATATTGTTAAGATAGAGTCCTTGTATATTTTAAGTTATAAATAAGTACTATGTATAAATGTTATTTTATTTGATAATAAAGATATTTTCATGTCAAAAAAAAGTCGTAATCAACCGAGACTTGTATGGATGAAAAAATCTTATTGTTTTAAAAGAAATGATTACTGCAATTTATGTATGGAGACTTTGAACGAAAAGAATTATATTTTGCATATTTTAATAGAATGTAGGGCACTAATAGAAGAATTGAGGTTATGTTTTTGTTTATTAACAGCAGTTAATTTGCAATATTGTAAGTCACGACTTTACACTACACTACACGATCGTTATACATTTTTTAATCTATTGTAGACGCAGCCACAAGAAAATAAGAACACAAAAAACAAGTTGTAAATTCAGATGTTCATTACATGAACATTTTGCTTCCTCTTTACGATCAGCAAAAAAATTTGCTTCCTCGTGGAGAAAGCAAAATTTTATTGCCAAAATGTCAATTTTTGATTTTTTAACTTTCATTAATTCTTTAAATTTACTTCAAATGTATACTTTATATATATCGATCGATTCGTCTTGACGTAAGGAAAACGATTTTATTATATATAACCTTAAATTTTTCTATTTAAAAATTTTTTCGATTAAAACAAAATTTTTGGAAAAAAGACGATAAAATTTTTTTTTTGGGATATTTTTCAAAATCCTTTGGTCAGATTTGAGATATTAATATGATAAATGAGCCTACCAAATTTTATCTAAATCCATTAAAACCTGTTAAAGTTATCTTCTAAACAAAAAAGGGATCGACACACACACACACATACATCCGGACAATTGATTAGGATCTCATATAACATGTTTCTATAAAGAAAAAAATTTGTTTCCGCCACTTTGAAAAGTTTTATAAATGAAAGGACTACAAAGCTTCCTCCACGAGGAAGCAAAATTGACAATTTTTGTTGTTATTTTTTCACTTTTTTTTTTTTTTTTTTAATCAAAAAATTTAGTAAAAGAAATATATTATTTTGTGGGATTTTATTTGCAAAAAATATTTAAATCAACTTACTTGAGTAAGCACTGGGGGTTCTGAGGGTAGAGTGAGACTAGCGAGAAGATCTCTAACAGCTGGGAAAATTGAGCATTCCGAATGAATTGTAGTGTATTCAGCGAATCTTTTTAAATGCATCGATGCAGCGCTTATCCATGGACCACCAGCGTCTCTCTTCTCAGCGAGACTCAATAAATTTGTAGTCAGATCGTAAACCAATGGTAATACCAATGAAGGTGGCTCACCTTGATAAGGTACTCCAATTCTCGTTATTTGTAACTGAAAATGTAAGCACAAAAATTATTTTCCTATTTTGGAATAATGATAAAAATTAACTTTATTGAAAAAGAAAAAAAAACAAAATACTCACGAAGAAAAGAACACGATTTTTACAAATTAAAACCGAAGCAGTGCCAATTGGAATGAGAGGCAGTGCAGATGGTGGTACTCTCAAACACCATTGAACCGACCATTTTAATTGTTGTTGTTGCACCAATGACGGTACCAATTCAAGTTTCATTATTTGAATAAAGTCTTTGAGTATATTAAATGGTAAATTTAACATTTTTCCAAATCCATTCAAGGCATTTGGTTTATAAGGCGGAGCTGCTGCTCGAGTATCGAAGAATTTCTCCAGAATCTACAGTAAACAATAAAAATCAATAATTATTTTTCATTTTTTTTTTAAATAAAAAAAACAAAAAATTTTCTAATTTTCCAATATTTTTATATTGTAAACAATGTATTTTATAAATATTTGCTTTATTTTTTAAAACCGTTTTTTAAAAATTAATTTTATAATTACAAGGCATTATAAAATTGATATTTTTTAAAATTGATTTTCTCTCACCTGTAACTCTTCAAGAGTCCATTGATCTTTGTGTTCAACAACAGGTTGAACTTTAATGTGCAGTGATTGTAAATGTTGTGGATTTAATCCAACTCTACATTGCAATGTATCCACTTTAAAATGCACAACACCTGGTTCTGTACTATTGATAATTGTTAGCTGCAATAAAAAAAAAAAATTCCAATTTATCGAGAAGTAAAAAATATAATTTTATGGTATTTTTTTACTCTTTTGCTTTCTTACGACTTGAATAAATTTTTTTTTTTACTATATTTACTACTATTTTACAAAAAATTTTTTTTAATATTTCACAGAACTGTTTTTGAGAAAATCGAATTTTTAAGTTAAAAAAAATTTAATTTTTCGTTTTTTATGTGAAACAAATGTGTATTATAACAGTAAAGAAATAAACCATTTAAGTAAACAAAAAGTCAAAAATTAAAGGAAAAGTAGAGAATTTTAGGAATTTACAAAACAAAAAAAAAAATTTTAATTCTGAAACTAGAAAAAAATTTTGCAATAAAAATTGAGAATTTAGGACATTTTTTCATTTACCACAATTAAAAAGTTTATTAAATAAACAACGTTTCGGTAACAACTGTTACCATCATTAAGTTTACAATTTATTTATTTATCTAAACCTGATAAGGGTAACTGCTTTTACTGAAATTTAGTTTATTTAATAAACTTTTTAATTATTTTTTTGGCTAGAAAATAATTTTCTATTCAAAAATAATTGATTTTTAACAATTTTCGAATTTTTTTTCAAAAATCATTAAAACTCTTAAAAAATGATTAAAACTTGCATTTTCTTGTTACATTAAATCAATTTCACTGGAAAATAATTTCTAGCTTAATGGTTTTTTTTTTAAATTGTTCTTTCTTTCTAGCTTTTCCAGAAAATTAAGTAAATTCCTTAACTTCTCTGATCGTTAGAAATTCGGTAAAATTAAATTATTAAATTTAAACAATTATATACAATAAAAATGATTAAAAAATATTAATATAAATAAAATTTTATTTGAATTAAAATTAAATCATTTTTAAATTATTGTAAATAAATAAAAAAAATTCTAGAATTAAATTTAAAAAATAGTATTATGAATATGTTATTAAAATATTTTTTTTTTCTTTAAATTTTAAGTGATTTAATTAAAAAAAAAATTTCTCAAACACGACTCGATGAAATATTTTGAAATTTTTGCAAAATATTCAAGAAAAAAGTGTTCAGATTCAAGATATGGAGAGCACTGTTCATAAGAGGGAAAAAGGAAAAGACAAAAAAAAACTCACGGATTCGTCGGTTTGAATGAAACGTTGTAGTTGTCGTTTCATGTAGACGCAACCGAGGAACCTTTCGAGAGGCGACATATCCGGTCCAGGTAAACCTGAAGGATGACCGGACGGTGCACAAAGTAATTCGAGTGCCTCGTGCGTTAAGAGAGTTGGCACTGCACCGGCCCACGATCTTTGGGGAAGAACTCGTGATAAATGATTAACGGCTTTATGTTCAGCAGCTTGAGGACTGTGTAGAGCAACATGTCCAGGACTTTGGCCGGGACGCGCTGGCGAAGGTCGTGGAACACTCGGTGATCCAGGCCAATTTGACGCCGCCGGTGATGCCATACTCTGTGACGCTGGGAATGGACTTCCATCAATGTGTCCTGTAATTAGGGAAAATATTTCTCTAGAAAATTATTTCTATTCTATTGAAAATTTTTTTATTCAATTAAACAATATTAATTTTTGTTTTACTGTTTCTTTTTTACAATCGTGGATTTTTGAACTATTTTGCAGTTTTTCGATTTTCATTTCAAAAAAAAGAAAGAAATAAATTAAAATTATTGTAAAAAATTGTCTCTTTTAACTTACCAGTTTGCATAAATGAACTTGCAGGTGAATGTCCAACTTGAACGTTACCACAAGGACCAGGTGATGAGGTTGGCATAAGACCTGCGGGACTTGGAACGTGCATTTGATTCAAAGGACTGTTCGCAACTAAACCCGAGCCTGGCGATGGATGAGGCAACATATTTGGAGTATTTGGCGGCAGTGAAGGAGGCGATGCTAAATTAAATGATGTCGCTGGACTACTTCCAAAACTTTGATGTTGACTCGCCTGCAAAAAAAAAAATATTTAGCAAAATTTTAAAATTAAAAAAAGTTTTAAAGTAACTTTTAAAACAACGACAAAAAAACCAATCTTGCATTTCATTTAATTTTCAATTTAAATTGAAAATTTTTTTTAAAATTCAACTTTCTTTTACCTGAGAAATATTTGCAGTATGGGGACTCGCGGGAGTATGAGGATTGCTTCCAGATGGTGGTGTTAATGGCGGATGAAACCTCAAATTATCTCTTTGCTGAGCTGGAGATTGAGGTCCACCTCGATGATGTCCTAAGAAACCAACATTTCCACTTCCTTCACTATCCATTGCCACTGGCGATGGTGGATTATCATCTTCAGATTGCGATCTTCTTCGATAAACCGCACTTTCATCGACGTATTTTGACAAGAAGGTCTACATAAAATTAAAAAAGAAATATATATTTAAAATTAATTTCACCCAAATTCAAATGATCCAGTTGTACAATTTTCAAAAAGAAAAATTATTTGGCTTTTTTTTTTTTTAATGGAAAGAAAACAAAAAGTCAGAAATGGAAGAAAAGTAGAGAATTTTAGGAATTTAAAAAAAAAATTATTTTTAGTATCACAAGGCTGAAAAAAGTAGGTAAATAGTAGCAAACTATAAGAAAAATTGAAAATAGTAGTTTTTTTTTAGTAAATAAATGCGAAACTATATAAGAATGTAAGAAAAGAAAACAAACAGAAAAATAAAAACTTGTTTTTAATAAATTCAAATTTTACCTTCAGTCCCTGAGTTGGCGTGAATTCATCAACAACATTGCTTCGATCAAAACGACTGTAGGCACCATCGCGAAGACTCACAAGTCCTCCACCTCGTAATCTCAATTCCAAACAATACATTCCTAAATATGCAATTCTCACGAGACCCACGCGTTGTGGCATTATTGTAAACGTTTGAACGGGAATTTGTGGTCTCTGTTTTTTTTTTTAAAGCAAAAAAAATAAATGTTTATAAAAAATACAAATTAAACAAACTTACGAAAATTAGAAAAAGATATTTATAAAGAACTTACGGAATTGTGAATGCATAATTGTAAAATCGACGGCAATTTACTAATTGACGTGAGAGGTTGTAATGTTTCATTAAGAATATGAATAATTTGCGCTAAATTTCGTTGTTGATTTAAGTGCGCTTCCAATTGTTCTTTCATAATTGAATGAGCATTCATTGTCGTATTACAAGGACTTTTACCAAATGTCAATTTAAACGCTTTGTCCTTTGTGCTCCATTGAAAAGTGACCGTTGCTCCTCGATTTGCCCCATAAGCTATCACTAATTTACTATAATTGTAGGATTTAATTGTAACCATACTACGCAAATTGTATTTCTCTGAAAAATGAAGAATTCAATTATTTATTTATTATATTTTAAATTATTTTATTCTAGATTGAATTATTTTCTAAATTACATTCATTAAATCAATTATTTTTTATTATCATTCTATACCTAATATATTCTGTATTAAATTTAATGAATTATTTCCTAATAATAATAATTTATTATTTCAATTGGAAAAAAAAAATTCTATTTTACCCATTTTAAAATATTCAGCAAGATCGTGAACAATTGTATACAAATGAACAATTTGGGCCCAATCACTCAAAAGTGAATCGACGGTTCGATTAATATTTTCTGCAGTCAACATATCATACTGAAAATAAACTGGTCTTCGTAGTCCTGAAAAAAAATAGAAAATTTTTAAAACTACTTTGTTTTTATTAAATTTATTATAATAAAAAAATGTTTGAATTAATCGAAAAAGAAAATAAATAAAAAAAAAAAACAAATTAAGGAAATACCTTGTTCCTTTGGATGCGTGCTGGAAAGAGAACTTCCATAGAAAACGAATTCAGCCATCCAAGATTTGGCCATACCTTTTGCCTGAACTCTTATCGCGACACTCAATAATCGTTTAAGAAGTGCATGCCACGCAGAACTTGTAGCAATAGTCGGAGATGGTGCCGGCAATTGAACGAGTTTTAATACTAAAGCCGTGGCATGGGCCTCCACTTGAAGACCTTGATGCGCTATTTCTCTCTTTGTCAGCTAGACAACAGAAAATTAATAAATTAATTAAAAAGATTAATAGATTTTTTTTCGTTTAGCAAATTTAAAAAAAAAAAAAAAAAAAAGAAAAAACATTACCTCCTGTGCCAATGTGACAAATGGAATTCGTTCATCGCAAAATGCCACAACGTGCGCTAATTCAGGAATAAAATAAGCCGGTAATTTTGGTCGTCGATTTTGCGGTGTACCAGTGACGTCAGTACGTCCACCACTTGTGCCACTTCTCCGTTTATTGCTGCCCTTCTCCACCACTTCTGTAATGCACCCCCCATCTTGATCATTATTCCCTAAAAAATTCACCCATTAATCCCCTAAAGAACAGCAGACACCAACCAAACGAATACCAATTCACAATGTTGCCAGATGTTAATTAACAAAATTAATTGCAATTATTATTTAATATAAGTATAAGCGATTTCGAAGAAAATGTTAATTCTTTTTTTTTTGATTAGAAGAAATTAAAGAAGAAGAAGAAGAAGAAGAAGCAAAAGTTGTTAAGGAAGCGTTATTTACAATAATTATTATTTCTTCTACTTGAGAGGGAATTTTTTCTTGTTTTTACATAATTGAGATTTGTGAGAATAAAAAACAATTCAAAAGCAACAATTTTTTTTTTTTTCGTTTTTGTTTCCTCTTACCACTGTCGACACTTGTGAATGGTCCATGAGTTGTAACAAATGTATCAAATTCAATGAGACTTTGAACTTTGAGATACATTTTTGGAATTTCCGCTTCGATACTGTCGTCATGTGGATCGCCGTCAATTGAACTGTGTTTCACCACTGCCATATAGAACGAGCATTCAATTTCACAGGGTGACGTTTCTTTTTCCTTGAAAGTCACGATCTAAAAAACAATTTTCGAAAGTTTTATTTATTTTTTTTTTTCAAGAGTTTACTTTGTAAAATATAGACGATTCCACGTGAAATTTACCAACAACATTTTAAATTCGGATTTAAATATTTTGTTCTTCGTTCTTTACAGAAAAAAAGTGGTATACGTAATTTTTTTTTTATTTTTATAAGTACCTAAAATTTTTGAGTTATGATTTTTTTAAAATCTATGTTTTTCAAGGTTTTTTAAAATTAAACTTATTTTCAATGTCATACAACATTAAAAACTTAAAATTTAGGAATTTTTTCCAAGAAAAAAAAGTATCAGTCGATTTACATTTTTAAAAAAATCAATTTTTTTATTTTAATTAAATTTAATTAGTTAATAAATAACTAATGTTATTAGATATTAAATCCATTTTATTAATTCCACAATTTTAATTAAATAGAACAAATTTCTAAACAGAAAATTCTAAAAACAATTCAATTTTAGAGATTTTATTTAAAAAATTTTTTAAAGAAAAAATTAAAATTATTAGAAATAATTGAACTATGGAAGAATAATAGTTGAAATTTTTGGAAATAATTAAATTTTAGACAATAATTAAATTTTATAGAATTGAAAATAATTTATCAAATAATTTTAGATAACATTATTTTAAAGTAATTTAATTTTTCAAGATTTACAATTCAGTTTTTTGACATTAATTAAACATCAAGTAATTTTTAAATGAATTTTTTGGTGATTTCTATTGCTGAAGAATTTTTAAAAAATTAAAGATAAGAATTAAATTTTCGAATTGAAAAATTTCTTTCAGATAATTGAATTTTCAAAGAAATATTATAAAAATCATTAAAAATAATTAAATTTTAAAAGAGTTATAAATGAAATTATTAAATTTCAGAAAGTTTTAGATGGAAAATTTTAAAAATTTGTGATTTATTTGTGAATAATAAAATTTTGTGAATTGTGAGTTATTAAAAATGTACTATTGTTAGAAAGAAAAAAAAATTAAATACTCACAAGAATAATTGCAGGATGTCTATGTAGTTGAATAAACATTCGATGTTTATTGATTTTCGACATTGGATGATCCGAGTGATATAAAAGTGGTAAACGTTCATGAGGTGTTGCCGGCAAATGTTGCAAAGTTTTTTCACATCTTCTTTGTGTGATCCAGTATCTACGAAAGTAAATTAAAAAACAATAAATAATTAAAATTTCATTTGAAAATCAATTTTTAAATTAATAATTCTTTTTTTTTAATTCACAACATTATTATGTTCAATTATAAAATAAATAAAAATTATAAAGAAAAATTTGGAAAAAATATAAACAAAAAAAAAATGAATATCTACATACCTTAGTTCAGAAATTAAATTCGGAAGACGAGAACGATCCGTATTGAGGGCAATTGTAAGTTCTGGAACGAGAGGCGCGTCATATTGAGGAACGTGACATTGAAGCATTCCCGTGTGTGTATCAACAGTGACCAAAAGTAATTCGGCCCGAAGACAGGGTTGTAAAATTGGAATTGATAAAATTGCCGGAGATCCTGCCAATGTACCTGTTCAAAATATTGACATTGAAAAAATTGTTTGAATTGAAAATCCATCAAATTTGATAATTCGAAATTTCTTAAAAGAACAAAACTAAACTTACATTCAACGTCTTTTAACATAGCTTGAAGTTCCTGCTTCAAATCAAAAAGTCGACTACGTGTTCTCACATAAATCGTATGAACAAGAAGACACTCCATTGAAAGTTGATCCGATCTAATTGCTCTATCAGCTATTTCAGATTCCTGTTGCAAAAAGTAAATAATAATAATAAAAAATAGTACATTTTATAACAGATGACAATAATTAAAAATTATGAAAAATCATTAAAATAGATGGAAAAAGGTGACAAAATCAAAAAAAGATGTTCGAAATAATAAGAAAAAATTGTAATTAAGTAAAAAAAAAAAAAATTTACGAACCTTGCTGCCTAAGGAAGGAACATGAACAACAGCCAATGGCCTTGCTGGATCATGTTGATCAACTTGAATCGTCATTCTGTATCCAAGTTCCGATCGCGGATCTTTACTTGTCAATTCCCTTTAAAAAAAAAGAAAAATTATATAAATTAAAAAAAAAAAATTTTTTCTTCATTTTTAATTTTAAATATTTTACCTTCTGTAATATTATAATAAAAGAGAAAATTTACCTCCAATAGGAAACGGAAAGACATTTTCCAGGTGTATATTCATCCACATGAATATGTTCGTCCAATCGATCACGAATCAATCGCAATGTTTGAGAATAAAGAACTTCCAATTGAAGTGATTGACAGAAGAAATGTAAAATATGATAAACTTCCGAAAGTGGATCTGTACTTTCTGCAAGTCTCGCTTGAACAACCTACATTTAAAAAAAAATTGATAATCTACATAATTCAATTGAAATAATAAAAAATTTAATAAAATTAAAAATAATTAACGTTAAGAAATTTGGTTTTTAAAAACATTCTATTACCTTTATTATATTATAATTTGTATTAATATTATAAAAAATAAAATACATTTTTTTCAAAACAATTTCAGTTATTAATATTGTAAAAAAAAAAGTTTTAAAAAATTCACCTGATGAACGTAACGGGTTTGCAATAAATGAACCAAAGCTTTTCCATCTCCGGTTTCTCGATCAGAGACGAGAATTTCAAGTTCCAATAGACGCCAAGGAACGCCTTGTCCATCGCCCATAACTGTCAAAGAAACGGAAAATTCTTGCTCGACAAGAAAAGTAACTCTTCCAGCATCGATCTACAAAGAATAATTTTTAATTAAAAAAAATGTGAAAAATTAAAATCTCTATGTCTAATTAAATATTTTTCTAAAAGTATGTGAAAAAAATACCTTTAGATTTCTCATTTGTGGAAGTAAATTTCCCGTCACCAATCGATGTTGAATCACTTGATTCAATCTTTGTAGGGTACTCTTCTTTTCTGATAATGTTATTGGATCTGGAGGCACTATTCGCTCCTATTAAACATTGAAAAAAATATTTGTTTTTATTTATTTTTTTTTTTTAATAACTTTAAAAAAATTAATTATTATATTACGAAATTAGGGTTGAAAAAAAAAAATTTTCATTGTAATTTCCCCTAAATTTCAGAACAATATTTTGTGTTTTTCCCTGACATTTTCGAATTTTGTTCCTTTTTAACAAATGTGAATTCTATTTAAAAAATTGTGATAAATAAAAATTATGTTAAACATTGTATAAAGAACAATGCAAATGCTTAAAAAAATTCAATTATATATTTTCAAAAGTTTTAATAAAATTCTTTTTAAAAATTCAATTATTTTCAAAGTATTCCATTAAATTTTACAAAATTTCAATTGCTTACAATTCTTTTAATTCAATATTCTCGAAAAATCAATTGTTTTCAAAAATATAATTTAAAAATTTATAATAATAATAATTGTTATTATTATTATTATTATAACAGGGTGTCTAACAAAGATTGAGAAAAAAATTCTCAGACAATAATAAAATTTTACAGAACTAAAAATAATTTATCAAATATTTTTAGATAACATTTTCTAAAAGTAATTGAATTTTCAAAGATTTACAATTGAGATTTTTAAAATAAATTGAATTTCGAGTGATTTTTAAATTAAAAACTTTTGATGATTTTACTCAAACATTTATTAGAAATTGCAGACAAAAATACAATATAATTTGAAAAATGGTTTCAAATAGTTGAATATTCGAAGAATATTATAAAAATAGTTTAAAATAATTGAATTTCAGGAGAGTTTTAAATTGAAATTATTGAAATGATTAAATTTGAAATTGAAAATTTTGAAAATAATTGAATTTTACTTGATTTTGGATTGAAATTTTTGACGTAGTTGAAGTAAGCAACGTTTATGATAAACGATTTTTAAAGAAATAATTTTTTTAAATGAAAAATTCTATAATTTTTTGTCTAAAAAATATTTCCTGTAGTTTTTATTAATCAACAAATTATAAAAAAAAATTTTTTAGGCAAAAAATTATAGAATTTTTTATTTTAAAAAATTATTTCTTTTTCAAATAGTTTATCATAAACGTTGCTTACTTCAGCTTCGTGAAATATCGAATTTTCTTTTTTACTTTTTTCGATTTTTTTAAGTTTGAGGGTTAAAAATTGTTTTAAGTTAAATTTGGGGAAAAATGTATTTTTTGTATGTTTTTTTTCAATAAATATTGGTATTTAATTGAGAAAATTTCATTTTTTTAAAAAAAATTTTTTTCGTTTTCATAAACGTTGGGTACTTCAGGTACATAGTTTTGAAGATAATTGAAATTCAATTGAAATTTTGGATAATAATTTAATTTTAGTTGATTTTGTATTGAGAATTTTGATAATTAATTTAAAAATTGAAATTTTTGAGAATAATTAAATTTTAGTTGATTTTTGATTAAAAATTTTGATAATAATTAATTTTGAATTGAAATTTTGGATAATTATTGGATTTTAATTGATTTTGAATAGAAATTTTGGGTAATAATTGAATTTTACTTGATTTTGAATTGAAATTTTTGAAGATAATTGAATTTCAATTGAAATTTTGGATAATAATTTAATTTTAGTTGATTTTGGATTGAGAATTTTGATAATTAATTTAAAAATTGAAATTTTTGAGAATAATTAAATTTTAGTTGATTTTGAATTAAAAATTTTGAAAATAATTAAATTTTAAAAAATTTTGAATTGAAAATAATTGAATTTCAATTGAAATTTTAGAAAATAATTGAAGAATTTATTAGAAATTACAGACAAAAAGTGAACTTAAAAATATTTTTAATTGCAAAATGCTTTTAGATAATTGAATTTTCGAAGAATATTATAAAAATCATTAAAAATAATTGAAGCTTTTAGATATAAATTTTTGGAAATAATTGAATTTCAAAAGATTGTGTTAAATTTCAGACAATAATTATTATAATAAGAGAAATTTCTAATGATTTCTGTTGATGAAGAATATATTAGAAATTACATAAAAAAAATTGAATTTCAAAAGTTTTTAATTGCAAAATTCTTTCAGATAATTGAATTTTCAAAGAATATTATAAAAATCATTAAAAATAATTGAAATTTTTGCAAATAATTAAATTTCAAGTGATTTTGAATTAAATTTTTTCAGTAATTTTATTTGCTATTTTTTTTTTAATTATAAACAATTATTAAATTTCATAAAAATTTGAATTAAAAAATAGTTGAAAAATAATTGAATTTCTGATGAATTTCATTAAAATTATTAATAATAATTAATTTAGTGAAGAATTTTAGTTCAAAATTTATTAAATAATTGAAATAAAGATTATCTGAAGAAGATTTGCATTTTATACTAAAAAAATATATTTTAATTAAATTTTTTTTGTTTAAATGTAAAAAAAAGTCGAAATAGTCGCATTTTATTAAAATAAGTCGGAAATAGTCGAAAAAGTCGTATAATCCGAGGCCTAAAATAATTACTATAAAAAATAAGTGTAAAAAACTTACTTTTATACAAGTTGGTAATCGACTATAAGTTCCAGTGGTGAGAACTTCAACGGCAGCGGGAATATGAAAATTTGGAAGTCTCGCGTGAACAAGAGTTTCACGAGCCATTCTCGCCAACATATCAGCAGTATCGACAAAAAGAAGAGATTGTTTATCCAAAAATGCCATTATCCGCTGTAAAATAATTATATTGTTAAAAACAATACGAAATTTAAGTAAAAAACAAAAATATTTTCTTATTCAACTTAGAGAAAATATTCATTGAATTCTTTTATTACTAAACTATTTTATTATGAACAAATTTCTTAAAAAATTCAAACTTACAGCTGATTTGTCGACTTTCGATGCGCTATTGGCCCATTTTACCAAAGCCAAAAGTCGTACAAACAATTGTCTCGTTCTTGCAGCAAAATTGTAAATTTCTATTTTTCTTTCCATATCAGTTTTTCTAGGAAGTCTGCAAAAAATTTATTATTCTAGATAATTTATAATAATATAAATTTTCATTCCAATAGATTTATATATATATATATATATATATATATATATATATGGAATTTTTGTAATTATTTTTGTTTGTAACTAATTTTTTTTCGCTTTTTTTAAATTAAAAAAAAAAATAATAATTTTTCTCAAAAAAAAAAAATTTACTTACAATTCGGCGAGAACAGTGAGCTCATGATAAGTTCGTTGAATAATAAAATCAATTAGCATTCCCAAAGAAATGGAACCACCACGATTTCCCTCCTGTGGTATATTATTTGCCACAGGAGTTTGATGACCTTCCAATGGAACTGGTGACATTTTTATCAAAACTTATTTGCCCGCAACGGGCTCCAAAATTTCTTTATATTAATTAAATCACTTTCAATTAACATAGGTTAAAACATTCTGAAATAATTTATCATGTATACATTATCAAACACTTAAATTATTAAATAACAATATTGTCATATTCAAAGAGCAATATTTTATTTTCTCAATCTTATACAAAAAATATTGAAAAAAATATTAAGATATCAATATATTTTGATAAAAAAAAATACTCAAATTTTGAAAAACAAATTTCAATTAAAAAAATGTATATTATACTATATACAACTTGTAATATAAGAGAAACGAAAGGAAAATCTGTCAGAAAACATAACCTCTAGAAAAATTTTCTAAAATGCAAAAAATACTATAAGATAAATATTTTTGTAAAGTTTATAAATTTATAAAAGTGCAATGAAGAAATATTGTAATTATATATAATGTTTAGACTAATTTTGTGAATATAACTTAAAAATATAATGATTAGGACATATTCAGTCACCGGAAGATGGAAACAAATATTCTCAATAAAAATTTTAATTGTAAAATCGATAGAATAAAATTATAGATAGTTAAAAGGGAAATAATTATTTATTTTATTATATTTACCTGAAGAAGCTTAATTATGTTTTATTGAATACAAAAAGAAACCGATAAACAATCACCCACAATGCCTTGCACATTCACAAACACATAACTTAAGAACTTACACACCCAAAGTGTTGCAACGTTGCCACTGTCAAACAAGAAAATCAGTGTTGCCACTAATACATAATATATTATTTATTATTTTCATATTATAAAGATTTTTCACTTTTTATTCTTATATTTTGTCATCAATTTAATTTTACTGTTAAAAACAATAATATCGAATAAAAAAAACATTTATTTATTGTATTTTCGTTTTTACAATAAACAAATTTTTAAATTTCCCGGTTTTTAAAATTATAAAAGTCATTTTTTGCTTCTGCGCAGTAGTAGCCACATTCTGAAATTTGCGTATTTTAAACATTTTTAATGCTATTTTGGGTAATAAACAATTTTTATAATTAAAAATTATCATCTACAATATTATGACATGTTCTCTAACTCGTTTGAATATAATAAATTTCTTTAAATCTTTCTAATTGAGACAAAAATTTACATGATTTACATCGAGCGTGTCGTCTGCTTGATAGAAAAACTTGACATTTGTTGATGTTGACATCGCCAAATATTTTGTTTTTTTTTTTTTTATAAATAATAGTGTAAATGTTAAAGTACTAATTAAACTTATAAATCGAAAAAAATTGGCTCGTTTTATAAAATTAGTTTTTAACAAATAAAAAAACGTAAGTTCATCAATTTTTATTTTACACATATTTTTTCAAAAATTGAGACATAAAAAAATCTTTTTTTCTATTTGTTGTTAACAATTTATTGTTCTAAATTATTTAGTGAGTAAATATTATTAACAGTGATGAGTTTTTGAGTGAATTTTTATTTTTTTTATTTCAAGAAGAAAAAAAAGATAATTGCAAAATGGTCTTGAGCGAGGGTCCAGATCCTGAGAGTATGGGATGTGGTTTTAATGCTTTTAAAGAAATTGACGAAATAAATGCATTAATTAAACAATTGAGAGAGCCTGATTTACCATTTCGAACAGTGGAAAAAAATATGGAACAATTTAAATATATTTTAACACAATATCAAGATCAACATCATCTTTTGGATCCGCATTTGGAAAATATTTTGGATCCAATGTTGGAAATTGTTAAAAATGAAAATATTGCCGATAGTGTGAAACACAATGTTTTTAAATATTTATATATACTTATGTCGGTGAAAACTTATAAGAAAACTGTTACATATCTTCCACACGAGGTTATTATTTTGCTGATATTTCAATTCTTAATTTATTTGGCAAATTTTTTTTGTTTCTGTATTAAATTAATTTTTTTAAGGTAATGGATCTTTTACCGGTTTTGCGAATGTTGGAAAAACAAGATACAACTGACAATGAAACATGGGAAACACGATATGTTCTTCTTATTTGGTTATCAATAATTTCGAAAATTCCATTTCCCCTCTCGCGTCTTGAAATTGATGAACAAATTGATCCAGAGAAAACAATTATCGTTAGGTAAATATATTTTTTTTACTTTTATTATTACAAAGTACCAACAATCAATCAATAATCAATTTTTATATATTATATTTTCAAATTAAAAACAATATTTTTAATTATGTGCAAAATAATAATAATTATAAAATATAAAAATCTTGTATTTTGCAGAATTGTGCGAATTTGTCAGCTTTATTGTTTTTCCAAAGATTCTTGCTCGATTGCAGCTGTATTTTTAATTGCAAATTTTCTCACTCGATCGGATGTTAAAAAATTATTTCTAGATGAAATGATCATGTGGTGTTTGAAGGTATATTAATTATTGACATATTTTTATTTTTTTCAATTTATTCTAATATTTTTTATAATCAATATTTTTAATAATAATTATAATTTTATTTTAAATATTATATAATATAATTGTTTTATAATAATTATTTAATATAATTATTTTTTATAATTAATAATTTAAAAAAAAAATAAACAAATTCGATATTTTTTGACAAAACTAAATTTAAATTTCATTGAAAATAAAATTCACATTTAAAATAAAATATATAAAACAACTTTTTTAAGGATTAAAAATTTATTTTTTAATCTATAAATGAAATTTTTAATAAATCGATTTAATTTTAGTGCCTCGAGGAAGATTCATCAAGACATGGATCTCTGGCCGTTTTAGCGTCAATTTTAAAGCATTGCGCTCGAGAAGATTTGAAGCCATATACACAGAAAATTTTAGATTCAATTCTCAAAATTAAATTAAATGACAATCCCGATGTACTCGTTAGGAAATTTGCAATGAAAGTTATTCAACGAATTGGTAATAAAATTTAATTCTTTGTTTCACAAAAAAAAATATTTAATTTACATCAATGTAAAATGTTTTTTTTTTATTATTATTGAAAGAAAAATTATTGAACTTACTTTTTAATCAATTGTAATTATTTTTAATTTAAGAGATTTTTTGTTGAAAAAATAAAATTTATTAATTTCTATTATCTATTCTAATTTTTAGAATAATTAGTATTTTTTGTATTTATTTAAAAAAAAAAATTTTCAATATTCAAAAATATTTTAAATTTTCGATTAAAAAATATTTTATTTTAATTACTTTTTTTTTATTATAAAATTAAAATAAAGTGTAAAATAATATTAATACGCCTATAATGTTGATAGTTAATTATAAATTATTTTTTTACAACTAAAAATGAGTGAAATAAAATTTGTTTCAGGTTTCGTTTTACTGAGAACAAAATTAGCATCTTGGCGATATCAACGTGCAAGTAAACCAATTAGTTTAGTTTCCAATGTTCCTAAAACAACGATTACCGAAGTTATCGTCGAATCAAATACAACGGAAATGATTTCTGAAATTGAAGACGAAGACATTCCGCCTGTGATTGAAGATATTATAGAATATTTAATTCAAGGAATGCGTGATAAAGTGATTATTATCAGGTATATTGAATTTGATTTTACAGGTCTCGGATTATACGACTTTTTCGACTATTTCCGACTTTTTTTAAAAAAAAATACAACTTTTTTCGACTTATTTTAATAAAATGCGACTTTTTCGACTTTTTTTTTACATTTTTTTAACAAAATTTTTAAACAAAATACGTTTCTTTTTAAGTATAAAATGCAAATCTTCTTCAGATAATCTTTATTTCAATTATTTAATAAATTTTGAACTAAAATTCTTCACTAAATTAATTATTATTAATAATTTTAATGAAATTCATCAGAAATTCAATTATTTTTCAACTATTTTTAAATTCAAATTTTTATGAAATTTAATAATTGTTTATAATTAAAAAAAAATAGCAAATAAAATTACTAAAAAATTTTAATTCAAAATCACTTGAAATTTAATTATTTGCAAAAATATCTGAAAGAATTTTTCAATTAAAAACTTTTGAAATTCAATTTTTTTATGTAATTTCTAATATATACTTCATCAACAGAAATCATTAGAAATTTCTCTTATTATGATAATTATTGTCTGAAATTTAACACAATCTTTTGAAATTCAATTATTTTCAAAAATTTCAATTCTAAAAGCTTCAATTATTTTTAATGATTTTTATAATATTCATTGAAAATTAAATTATCTAAAAGCATTTTGCAATTAAAAAGATTTTTAAGTTCACTTTTTGTCTGTAATTTCTAATAAATTTTACAATTATTTGAAATTCAATTATTTTCAATTCAAAATTTTTTAAAATTTATTTATTTCCAAAATTTTCAATTCAAAATCAACTAAAATTTAATTATTCTCAAAAACTTCAATTCCAAATTAATTATCAAAATTCTCAATCCAAAATCAACTAAAATTAAATTATTATCCAAAATTTCAATTGAAATTCAATTATCTTCAAAAATTTCAATTCAAAATCAAGTAAAATTCAATTATTACCCAAAATTTCTATTCAAAATCAATTAAAATCCAATAATTATCCAAAATTTCAATTCAAAATTAATTATTATCAAAATTTTTAATCAAAAATCAACTAAAATTAAATTATTATCCAAAATTTCAATTGAAATTCAATTATTTTCCTAAATTTAAATTCAAAAATCAAAGAAAATTCAATTATTTTCAAAATTTTCATTTCGATATCTTTTAAAATTTAATTATTTTCAAAATTTTCAATTTAAAATCAAATAAAATTCAATTATTTTCCAAATTTTCAATTTAAAATCAGTTAAAATTCAATTATTCTCAAAAATTTCAATTCAAAATTAATTATAATCAATTTTTTCAATCAAAAATCAACTAAAATTGAATTATTATCCAAAATTTCAATTTAAAAGCTTCTAAAATTTTCCATCGAAAATTTTTTGAAATTTAATCATTTCAATTATAACTCTAAGGAAATTCAATTATTTTTAACTATTTTTATAATATTCTTTTCTATCTGAAACCATTTTTCAATTAAAAATGATTTTCAAATTATTTTATTTTTGTCCGCAATTTCTAATAAATTTTTTAGTGTAATCATCAAAAAATTTGAATTAAAAATCACTCGAAATTCAATTAATTTTTCAAAAATCAATATTATAAATCTTTGAAAATTTAAATTACATTTAAAAAATGTTATCTCAAATTATTTGATAAATTATTTTTAGTTGAAATTTTCTCCTTAATTTTTTGTTTCACAGATGGTCAGCGGCTAAAGGTATTGCAAGAATAACGGCTCGTTTGCCAATTGATTTAGCTGATGATGTTGTGGGATTTGTTTTGAATCTTTTTTCTGGCCGTGAATCAGATTCTGCATGGCACGGTGGTTGTTTAGCTTTAGCAGAACTTGGTTTGTATATTTTTGTTTTTAATATGAAAAAAAATAGTGAATCAAATTTTTAATTCACTTTTTCTTCAAAAGTTTTGAATAATAATTTTTTTTTTTTTTATTAATTTTCCAGGCAGAAGGGGTTTGCTTTTACCACATCGTTTAAGAGACGTTATTCCCCTTGTTCTTCAAGCTCTTGTTTTCGATGAACCGAGAGCTTATGGATCAGTTGGATCGATTATAAGAGATGCTGCATGCTACGTTTGTTGGTCGTTCGCGAGGGCTTTTGAACCTCATGTTTTTTTACCTCACGTTAAAGAAATTGCAGCAACTTTATTAACTGTCACTTGTTTCGATCGAGAGGTATGAAATTTTTTTTTTACTTTTTTTTCTTTCCTCAATTTATTTTTTTTTCAAATTATTTCAATTTATTTAAGAATTTTATTTAAAAAAAATTTTTCTTTAATTTCACAACTTTGTACACAGATTAATTTATTTTAACTACCAATTATTTTTTTTATTTATAAATTTGTTTTTTAGTAAAAATAGATGTAAATAAATATATATATTTTTTTTTTTGAGAAAATTAAAATTTAACTGCTTTTTTTAAAGATAAATTGTCGACGAGCGGCTTCGGCTGCTTTTCAGGAAAATGTTGGTCGTCAAGGAAATTTTCCACATGGAATTGACATTTTTACTGCCGCTGATTATTTTGAAGTTGGAGTTAGAAGCAATGCCTTTCTAAAAATTAGGTAACAATAATGATTTTTTGAATTCCTTTTTTTCCAAGTGAATATCTCCTAAATGTTCTTTGGTTATAATTATTTTTTTTTTAAATTTTTATTTGATATTTAAGAAATATGAGTTTTACTCAATATTTTTTTAAAAGAAAATTTACTTTTCAGTGTTCATATAGCGCAATTTGAAGAGTACACAAAACCATTAATTGATCATTTGATTGGGAAAAAAGTCAATCATTGGGACACGTCAATTAGAGAACTTGCTGCCAAAGTAAAAAAAAAAATTACAATTATATATTTTAAATTTTTGTAGACATGGAAAATTTTTTTTTTACTATGCAAATTTTTAGGCTCTTCATAATTTGACACCGAGAGATCCACATTATATGGTTGAGACGGTGATACCGAGTTTATTGAATATGATTGATTCGATTGATTTGAACGTTCGTCATGGATCAGTATTGGCAATCGGAGAAATTCTCGAAGCATTGTATATCGAATATCGCGACGACATTACCATCACAATTGGTAAGAGGAAAGTTAAATAATTTGAATTTTAATTCTCAATAAAATATATTTTTTTTATTTGTAATTAAAGGTCAAGAGGCGGTTGAACGAATTAAAAAAATGGTGCGAACCATTCGAGTCAGAGGACAATTTAAAGGATTAGGCGGTGAATTAATGAAACAAGCTTGTGCAACATTAATTAAAAAATGTGCTCTCATTCATTTTCCAGTTCATTCAACGGAAGTTGTTGGTAAAAAATTTTTTTTTTTTTTCATTTATAACGATGAAAAATATCTCAATTTCTAATTATAATTTTTGTTTTCTAAATATAATGCAGTTATTTCTATTTTGAATAAGAAAAAAATTGATACAAAAAATTTTTATTTTTATTCAAGAAATTATAGTAAAGAAAATAAATAAATTTTTAATTTTTTTCAGCTGATTGGCAAGATTTATTGGAAGAGAGTTTAAGTCATGAGGTACTTGCAATCCGATCAAAAGCTGCTGAATCGCATACAGAATTTTTTGACGAATATTATACGGATAATTATACGGATGAAAATGCTCGTAGTGTGATAATTAATCGATATTTGGGAAATTTACAAGCGAGCAATCAAATTTTACGTATTGGATTTGCCCAAGCTATTGGTAAATATATATATTTTTTTATATTTAAATAATAATTATAAAGAAAACAATTTTAATTTAAAAATTTTATTATCAAATTTTAATATTTTTTATTATTATTGTATATTAAAATTCTATAAAAACAAAATATTTAAATTATTATTGAATTTGTTTTGTTTTTAGGACACTTTCCACTTTTTGTAATTAAAGAGAGAACTGAAAATATTATAGAATCATTGATTGCTTGCACACAAATAACAGATGAAACTGGAAAATGGGCAGAAAGTAGGAAGGAAGCTCTTCATTCATTAACAATGATTTGTCAAACGCTGGGCGTTGAAAATTCTGGTGAGCAATTTTTTTTTTGTTTTTTTTTTTCTACTACTACTACTACTACTATTTAGCTATTTTTTTTAGCCATTCTACCAAAAACTACTTTTTTTAAAGAATTTTTCAAATTTACTTACAATATTACATTTCTTTAATTTATGAATTTATTATTGATTTTAATAAGCTAAAAGATAAATTTCTAAATTAAAAAACTTTTTATTAACATTTTATTTTAATCTATTTTAGTCTAATAATAATAATAATCTATAGAATTTTTAATTTATAATTTTTTAAAAATAAATTTTTAATCTTTAAAACTATTTACATATTATTTTAATCTATTTTGATTTTTAGATACATGGAAACGATTTGTTAATCAATTGTACGATTGCTATTTATTGGCTCTCAAAGAATACACGACAGATAGTCGAGGTGATATTGGTGCTTGGGTTCGAGAAGCCGCAATGACTGCAGTTAATGTAATTTAATTTTTTTTTTTTCTCTAATTTGTTTTCGAAAAAACAAGAAAAAAATTCAAGTAAATTTTTAAATTCTTCTTTTTTGTTTTAATAAATTATTTAAAATTCAATTATTATAGGTATTAACAAATTTAGTTTCACAAGCAAATCTCTCAGGAATGTTAACGGAAAATTTAATGGCAAATGTGATCGGTGGAATTGCTCAGCAAGCAGTTGAGAGAATCGATAGAATAAGAGCACAAGCTGGTGCTATTTTTAATTCTCTAATACACAGGTAAATTAAATAAAAAAAAAATTCCGAAGAAAAAATAATTCTTCTTTCGATTTTCTTTTTCTTTTCTAATTTATGTTTTATACATTTTTTTCTATAAAAAAAAAAGTTGAAAAAGAATTCATTTTTCAAATTTTTCTCTCATTTTCTTAATATATGAAAAATAATAAATTTTTTTCCCCCTAAATAGTGATCCACAATTGCCAAATATTCCATATCATGAGGAATTAATGAAAATTTTCCCCTCTGAAGATTGTAAGGATATTGATTGGAAAATGGAGTCAGTGACATTTCCAAGATTTATAAAAATGCTTACATTTACACCTTATACGGATAATCTTTTAAGGGGAATAATATTTAGCGTTGGCGGTGTTACTGAATCACTTGTAAAATATTCAAGTTTCTCATTATTTTCCTATCTCAAAGAAATTGATGAGGATACACTTAAAGATCTCACTAATAAAATTCTCAATGTTTGCGAGGAAAGTCATAAAAATGAAAGAATGATTATATCAATTTTGGCATTTTTAGATCGACTACTCAGCTCTGGAAGTATTCAAATTATTCTCGATAATAATGAAAGTGAAATACCATTGCGAATGTTGTGTCTTTTAAAAAAAGAAATGAAAGTTATGCACAATACGGCAATGACCACTAGCAGTATTAAAATTATTTGTCAACTTCTTCAGGTATTTACTATTATTATTATTGTTTTAATTATTTTAATCAATTTTTTTTTTTTTTTTTTTTTTTTAATTTAGTTGCCGCAAACTTTATTTGTTTCACTTTTAATTTAAAAATTTGTAACTTTTTATTGCAGGTGAGAAGCTCTGTTAGTAAACAAGCATTTGCACATTTGAGTCTTTATTTATGTAATAAATATAAATATTTGAGAAAAGCAACAGCTACAAGAATTTATGAGACTTTAACGCTTTATGGAGAAGATATGGATATATCAGAAGAAGATCTCACAATTTTACTCAACGAATTAAATGAAACAGATTGGGAAAAACCAGTTGAGGAATTGCGACCAATTAGAAATCATCTTTGTGAATTGATGAAAGTTCCTGCGCCTACTATTCAAAAAAAAGCACAAAAATAGAAAAATTCACCTTTATTGAAAAAAAATATATATATACAATTAATAAAGTTATTTAAAAAAAAACAAATTTTTACTACTAATAACAAATAAAAACAAATACTCATTATTGTAAATTGTTTATCGATTTATTGAAAATAATTCGCTTTTCTAAAACTGCACAATTCAACGATTGTTTAATAAAATAAAATTTTTTTTATTATGTTTTTTAAATAATTGACCAGGATTATTAATTTTTATTACAATAGGGACGTTGATAATTCGAAGTAGAAAATTATCGAAAATTTAGTTTTAAAATTGTAAAATTCAAATTATATCTTGGTGAGAAATTAAAATTATTTCAAGTTAAAAATTTTTTTAAATTTTGACTTATTGAGATTCCACTGTAATGTAAACTTTGTAAATGTAAAATTAATAAAAATAATTTCATATTTTGTTACAATTAATTATTTTCTTATTTTATATCATTAATTTTGTTTTATTATTAATTTTTCTAATTAAATTTAATAACGCTAGTAAAACAAATTTTATTTATTAAAATATGAACTTTTTTTTTATAAACAATTTTATAAATTACAATCGAAGATTAATTTTGAGCTTACAATAATTTTACAAATTAGATTTAGATTTAAAATTGTTTCTTACTTCTTTGAAAATTTTGTTGTTTCATTATAATTATTTTTTTTTTTTTAGTAATTTTAATTCTTCTTTTTATAAAAAATGTTATAAAAAATTATATATGTAATTATTTTAAAATATCGTCTAACATTTATTATTCAGGTACATTCGCGCAGTTTCCTCACTAAATATAGTTTCATTAATTTTCAAATTATTCACAACATGATAGGCTAATAATTTTGCCTCACATTTACCATTGGCCCACCAATTGTGCCATTTATTTTTTGGATTTACTTTTTGAGTGAGTGCACTTATTGGCTGTGTACAATTTAATTGTTTTCGTGTCATCATATATTTTCGATTTTTATTTTCATTATTTATTGCATTACAAATATAGCATTCAAATTCATTGAGACTATCGTAAAAATCAAATCCTTTTGGTTTATCACGATATAAACTGATAAGTCGCTCATTAGTGAGAGATGAAAATTTGTCAATTAATTTATGTGATAAATATTCATTATACAAAGTTTCATTGATTGATATTTTTTCAATGAAATTCGCCAATTCCTTTGGACTAGAGAAATCACGAACTGAAATGGCAGATTTTTCATTTGGTAGCCAATCCTGAAAATAAATAGATAAAGAATAATTATTTTTGCACTTTATATAAAATTAGATATTTTTTATAAATTAAAATTAAACAATTTCAAAAAAAATAAAGAATTTTACAATTATTCTTTTTTTTGTTAATTTTATGCACAAAAATATATTTGCAATATATTTATAAAAAATGGTAAAATACCTTGAAAGACGGCGAACCATAATAAATTGGAATAGAACCAACAATAAGTGGTCGCCAAAGTTTTTCCGTAATATAATCCTCACAATCTGCATTTTCAAAAGCTAAAGTGAATTTATATTTGGCCACAAAATTATAAAATTCATCGTCATATAAAGTGCGAAGATGATCAATTTGTAAACTATATATAACAAAAAAAATTATTTTCAACTTTCAAGGGAGAAAAATTTGAAAATATCAAAAGATCTTTTGACTATGAGCTTGATATTTTCTTACAAAATAAAAAAAGTAAAAAATGTAAAAAAAAATATCCAAATTTTGAATAAACAAATAAAAAAAGAAAATTCTTTAAAAAAAAAAATTTTTTTTTACATAAATCATAAACTAAAGAAAAAATTATATTTCAATTAGTAAATTTTTACTCAATTTCGAAAATATTACAATAAAATTACCTTTCTGGTAATTTACGATTATTTAAACAGGAACCATAGGCATCGACTCGAATATATTTCATTAATTCAGCAATATAATCGTCTCTGTCATTTGTCGTGTCACAATTCGATTGAATATAAAGCAATGGTGCTAAATCATTTTGTTTCATTAAAATCTCTTTCTTTTCAAATGAAAAATAGAATTTTTTACCTATATTAATTGAAAATTAAATACATTTTCAATATAAAAATAGAGAAATAAAAATAATTTTTCTAAAATTTTTTTTTTTTTCTTTTAAAATAAATTATTTGAAAATTTCAAAAATAATTAAAAATTTTACTTGTTAATTCATCAATTCCTGGAATTTGTAATGAGATAATATCACTGTATCGACTAAATGTTGACGAATAATTAAATAAATTCAAAAAATCATCGTAAACAAATGCTGGATTATTGCGAGGTGATTCTTCGTGCAATAAACCCCATTGTATATTTTTCCCCCTTGGAATTGGTAAATTTCGATATTCCATGGAACTGCCATAAAATATAATCGCCTAAATATAATAATTAAATAATAATATTTAAATAATTAAATAATAATTAAATTTGTTATAGTGTGTAAAATTCTCTAAAAAAAAATTATAATGATAAAATATACCTTGAGAAAGGAATGTGTTAGAAAATTTTCATCCTGTGTAAAATAACAAATAAATTGTCCACAACTTTTAAAACCATTAAATCCAAAATCATTCCACCATAAAATTATCGGTTTCTTAATATCTGTGAATAATTACAATTAATCAATATTATATCTTGATATTATAGTCACAAATTTTTAAATATTATAATCTTTAAATTCTACTCTAAATTTTTGAATATTTAAATATATTAGATTCTTTTTTTTATTAAAAATTTATTAAGAACAAATATATTTACTATTTGAATATAATTGTTCAAAAATATATCAAATATAATAAAGAAATATGAATTTAAATACCTTTAAAATTTGTATTCGCCGGTTTATTAAATAACCACATCTACAAGCAATAAAATATTTTAATGTCAATTAAATCAATAATTAACTTGAATCAAGCAATTCTTTCTATTTCTATTTTAAATATAAATAATAACAAAGAGTAAATTTAAAATAAAAAATAATTATAGAAAATAATAATTCGTACCTGAATAAATGTTATAATTAAACCAACAATCATCAAAATACAAAAACTTGTTCTTCGATGCAACATTTTTATCACAATAATTAACGATTTATGCCTTTTCTTTTCATTTAAAATTTTAACATCAAGGCTTTTTTAATTCAATTCTCTCTTCAATGTTTTTCTGGTAATAAAAACAAATCAAATTATACATGGTAATTTTTCACTTCACTGAATATTTTCTTTCGAATAAATTTTTTCATAACTCTTTTTTAAATAGTTAAATTAAAAATAAAATTAACCATCCAAAATGAACTACATTGTCGAAGATTTATTGAAAAAAAAAAAAAAAAAATCCTTATAATTTCTTATTACTTAACGATACAGTCCTTTTAGTAAAAAAATATATTTATATTAAGAGGCGTTACACATCCTGAACAAAAAAATACTGATTAAATACATCCTCACGCACATCTCTCCCACACATATATTTAATCTTTTATCAAAAATCACTGAACCGTACAATTATAACTTTCAACATGTTTTCAATGTATTTGCCAAAATTCATTAATATTCGCGAAATATATACACATACGTATTTTCAAATTTGTATGTTTTTTTTTCTTTTTTTTTTATGACTAGAGTATCTTCTCGCAAATACATGCCATTTCAAATATCTATATATTTAAAAAATTAAATTCATTTCTTTTTTCGATTCATAAATAATTTGAATCTTTTATAATAATTACAAAACTAATTTACAAAAATAAATAAATAATTTGATTTCATTATATTATATAAATAAATAATAATTAAATAAATAATCTCATAATACAAATAAATATCATTGGTTAATAATTCGCTTTAGAACACGTCCAGATCGTAAACATATGCCAGATTTATTCTGCAAAAGAGAAGGAGAATAATAATTATTTTTTCAATAAAAGTTTTAATAAAATAAAGTATATATATATATATATATATATATTATGTTATAGGATGTATTCCACGACAAAGTGTAAAAGTCCATCTGCAATTGCATTTACGATTCTATTGAGATTTTTTTTTCTTTTAGTACTAATTGAGACTAGTATCCATTAATTTTTTCAAATTTTTTTAACAAGCCGTTTTTGAGTTATGGAATTTTGAAAATTGGAGAATTTTCATGACTTTTAATTTTTGAATGCTCATAACTTCCTTAAAAATGCATCAATTTTTTTTTAAACGATATTACTATCAAATTTTTGGGTTTTAATGATAAAAAGTCATTTTTCTCATTTGACGTACTGATCGATTTTTTTCAAAATTTTTTCAAAAAAACTACTTCTTTTTACGAAACTTTTAAGCCTAGCACGATAATGGGCAAACAATTTTTACAATATTTTCGGAATTTTTCAAAAATTTTTGAATTTTGATTTTTTTAAAAATATTTTCATTTTTTTTTACACTTCGTACTTTTATGTATTTTGATGCGCTGATTACGAAAATCATAGTGACAATATCGAAAAATTTGATTTTTATGGTGAAAACCATAAAAAGGTCCCAAAATTTATTTGTTTTTTTTTCGTTTATTGGGTAAAATATTCAAAATTAAAAAAAAAACTTTCAAACAAAAGTTATAGATCTTATTAAAATACATTTTTTTATATCTTATACATTTTTTTTAATTTTGCATATTTTACCCAATAAACGAAAAAAAACCATAAATTGAAAAATTTTCATGACTTTTAATTTTTGAATGCTCATAACTTCCTTAACGACATGCGGGAGAAACCCACGTGACCTAGTATAGGAAAATGTGTTTTGCAATATTCCAACTTTCTCTAAAATGAAAAAAGATTTTAGGCTAAAATTTTGAGAATTGATAGATTTAAGTACAATGCACCGCGCTGTTCTCCTGAAAAAACTTAATTTTGCGTTAAATTATTTAAAAACTAAATTTAAAAAGTTTAATTTTAAAACGAAAATGACAACAAAGATGGCGGCGCATACACAGACGTTGCATGAGTGTAGTGTTCTAAAGACAGTAAATTACGTCAAGAAGAGAAAGAAGATTACGGTAATTTACCGGATCGTTTTTTCTCTGAGAATTTATGAGAATTTTTACTTGTACTTTTATCCTTGTCTGACACGTGCGTTGTCATGACAACGTGTATGACGTTATACACTTTGGCGTGGAATACATCATAGGTAAAGAAAAAAAAATTGTTGAACAATTTAATTTCAAATCAAACAGGCTGGACAAGAAATGAGTTGATTTTTTGATGACACGGATTATTTTGTTTGGAAAAAAATTTCTTTTTTTAAAACAAAGTTCAAGCAGCACAATACCTTTTATTTTCAGAAAGTTTAATTTTTCTTTTTGAAAAAGATTTTTTTCTCTCAAAACCTAAGTAATTAATTTTTGAAAAAAAATTAATGTAAAAAATTTACACAATATTAGGGAATTTTCTTTCCGTTTCTCCGAAAGTAATGTTTTTTGACGTTAAAATAATATTTACATTCATTATATTTGAGAAAATTTTTTTTTTATAGCTCAAGTATTTTTTTGAGAAAAATGAAATTTTTCTTTAAAAAAAAAAAATAGAGAACATTTGTTCTCCTCTCCTTTATCAGTATCGGACACAAATTAAAGTCTTATGAAACATTACTATAAAAATAATTTGCAAAAAAAAAAGAAAAAAATTGTAAACAAAGTTATAACATAAATAAAAAGTAAAAATACTTTTTTTCCGATAATTTTAAGATAAAATAATGACAATTGCAATTTGGAAAATTAAATTCGTTATTACTTCGTGAAAAAAAATATTCAGCCAAACAAAAAAAATGTTACATGTATAGAAATATTTTTTTAAAAAAACAATATTTCGAGGATGAAATTAATTTTCAACTTTGAACAATTCCGCCTGATTTGAAATAGATTTGAAATAAAAAAAATATATTTTTCATTTTTCACAATGAAAATATGAAATATATTTTCTGTAAAAAAAATATTTCCCATAGTGAATTTTAAGATTAAAAATTTTTTTTTTAAATTACCGCAATTGAAGTATTGTTTGATTCTTCGGCAACTTTGTACATTTTTTTTTTAGTTCGATTTCTAAAATTTTCCAAAAATCGATTTCTTTTCTCTAAAATAGCATTGCTTTTTTCCAATTCCAAAATTTTTGTTTTTAATTCATCTACTTGTTTTCCTAATTCTCTACAAAGTAAAATTTTAATTAGGTTTTACAAATTTGTCTTTTTTAATTAAAAAAAAAAAAAAAGACAACAAAAAATTAATTTATAGATTGAATTAATTTATTTACACTTACTCATAATCATTTATTGAATCATTAAGAGAAACATTAAAATACACTTTTGTTACCATTATACAAATTTGTCGACATTGTGGACAAGTTTGGGAACTGAAAAATTATTTCACAATAATATAGACTATATACAATTTTAATAAATATATTGTGAATATTCTATGTACGTTTATATTTTTAGATTAATGTATGTCATTTTAACAAAAATTATTTACAGTTTGTATTCTCGAAATTAAATAATTTCTGCAAAAATATTATAATTTTTTTAAAATTAATCAACTATGAATTTAGTCGAAATATAATGTGTAAATATCTGATTTTGTAAATTGACTTCAATTATTCTTTATACGATAATTTATATGAAAAAAAAAACAAATACCTTTTACACCACTCTTGAATACATACGAAATGGTACAAATGTCCACACTTGTTTGAAACTACCGTTTTTCTACATGACAAAATAGAATCCCGACATATAGCACATATGGCATTCATGTTTTGTTCAAATTTTCTTAATTTTAACGAAAAATAAAGTAATTTTTAAGAAAACATAAACAAAACTATCAATCACACGTGTTCGCGATTACGAAAACTAACCTTAAAATAGCTATTCAACGGTTTATTTAAATTTAGTTACAAACTATATCGCTAGAAGCGACATTTCAAAAGTCGATTACTAAAAATTTATCAATATTAAATTGCATATATATATATATATATACTATATATGTAATTGTTTATATTTCCAATAAATGTAGAATTATTTACATTTACAAAAAAATGACATCAATATCCTGATATTAAAAAAAAAAAAATGCCAATTGTTATCATCAGTAGATATCGCGTGATTATCTGGCAATCATTAGTACAATTTTTATCATATTGTGGCGCTGTTAATTTTTTTTTCTTTAAAAAAAAAGGTTATATGTTATAACAAAGAGTTGTTTACAATATTTACCATTTGTTTTTGCATTATAGATAATTGAAAATAACAAAAAAAACTATTTCAATTCGTTAATTGGTAAATGTAGCCGTTTACGTGTTTATGTATACATAAAAAATGCTTAATCAAAGTAATCAAAATATCCATGCTCCTCTTGACACTTATGTGCAACCACTTTTAAGTCGAGTTTTAGAAACACAACGATTTGGTAAGTTTCGTTTTTTATTTTTCTTTCATTTTTTTTTTTTTTGTGACATTTATACTAATATTATTTAGTCTCGTCAAATTTTCTATTTATTTTCGTCAAGTGTATTTTATCTTTATTTTTTTTTTATTGTCTGTATACGTTGACACAGTTATTTTCAAAGGTCAGGGAATCAATAATGTAAATATTCACAAGAAAAAATGATTTTAGCATTGTTTTTTTTAAAAAGATAATTTGCTTTATAATATTAGTGTGAAAATTTTATTTTCTCAATTTGTCATTTAGATATAATGCGAAAAACAGGCCTCGGATCGACTTTAAGACACAAAAAAAGTCGTTTTAGTCGATTTATATTCCAAAAAAAAGTCGATTTTTTTTTATTTTAACAAAATTAAATTGGTTAAAGAATATTTTACTTTTAATAACTAATATTAATTAAATTCATTTTATAATTTCTGTAATGAGAATAATTCTATAAAAATATTATCAAGAAAATTTATTTCCAATATTTCACAATTGAACTAATTGTAAGACAAATTTTCAAAATTTTATTTAAGTTGGACAAATTTCTAAAAAAAATTCTTAAAGTTCCATTTTTATAATTTTTTGGAATTTGATTTAATCAATTTATTCAAATTAAAAATTTTGTCATATTTTTAAATTTTCATGGTCAAAATAATTTCAGGCAAAAACTCAATCAAGTTTTACAGATTTTTTTTTAAAAATTTTTTTCAAATAATAATAATTTTGGAGGAGATAAAGTTGAAATTACTAGAAATGATTGAATTTCAAAAGATTTGGTTAATTTTAAGACAATAATTAAATTTTACAGAACTAAAACTAATTTATCAAATAATTTTATAGATAATATTTTCAAAAAGTAATTGAATTTTCAAAGATTTACAAATTTAGATTTTTTAATTTAATTGAACTTCAAGTGATTTTTAATTAAAAATTTTTCATGATTTCTGTTACTAAAAAATTTATTAGAAATTGCAAACAAAAATACAATAATTTGAAAACTTTTTATCTGAAAAATGGTTTCAGATAGTTGAATTTTCGAATAATATTATAAAAAAATCATTAAAAATAATTTGATTTCACGAGAGTTATAATTGAAATTATTAAATTAAAAAAAATTTTAGATGGAAATTTTTAGAAATAATTAAATTTTAGAAGCTTTTAAATTGAAATTTTTGAAAATAATTAAATTTCAATTGATATTGAATTGAAATTTTGGAAAATAATTGAATTTTAGTTGATTTTGAATTGAAATTTTTGAAAGAAACTGAATTGTAGTTGATTTCAAAAATTTTGAAAATAATGTAATTGTAATCGAAATATTGGAAAATAATTGAATTTTAATTGATTTTTAATTGAAATGTTGGAAAATAATTGCATTTTTGTTGATTTTGAATTTAAAATTTTGAAAATAATTAAAATTTCTATTGAAATTTTTGAAAATAACTGAAGAATTTATTAGAAATTACACAAAAATTAAACTTTAAAATTTTTTTCATTGCAAAATGCTTTGAGATAATTGAATTTTCGAAGAATATTATAAAAAATTATTAAAAATAATTAAAATTTTAGAAATAATTTAATTTCAGGTGATTTTGAATTAAACATTTTTTGTAATTTTATTTGCAAATTTTTTTTTAGATTATAAACAATTATTAAATTTCATAAAAATTTTAATTCAAAAATAGTTTAAGATAATTGAATTTGTGAAGAATTTCATTAAAATTATTAAAAATAATTAATTTAGTGAAGAATTTTAGTTAAAAATTTGTTAAATAATTGAAATAAAGAAGATCTAAAGAAGATTTGCATTGTATCCTTAAAAAAACGTATTTTGTTTTAAAATTTTGTAAAAAAAAAAAATTTTTAAAAGTCGGAAATGTGCATTTTATTAAAATAAGTCGAAAAAAGTCGTATTTTTGAAAAAAAGTCGAAAAAATCGTGTAATCCGAGGTATGAAAAAATTATAAACAATTTAAAACGTATTTCATTATTGCCTGTAGTTGTGAATGTTTAAATGACAAAAAAAATTAATAATTTATTAAATTAATGTACTTTTTTAATAAATTTATTGACGAAAAGAATTTGAGATTATTATTTTCTAGTGCAATTGAAAAAAAATTCAAAATAAAAAGAAATCGTAGATAAAACATAGTTTAAATTATTAATTATATTACTATTTATATGAATGTTGAATTATATTATTATAATTAACAAAATATGAATAAAATACTTACATATATTATAAAATTTTAGTAATTTTAAATAAATGAAAAAATGTCAAATTTCTTTAAAAAACGATTTCATTTTAATAAAATTTAAGTTTCAATAATTTTTTTTAACAATTCGTCATTGAATTTAATGAAATAGTTTGTTATTTTTTTTACAACAGGTGCTTTCAGACGTCAAATAACATTACATGATGTTAAAACAAAAGATGGACTTAAATCTGATTGCATTGATTTAGTGGTGCCTTATGCTGATATAAGTTTAAAATGGACTTTACTTTTTGATTCGGAATTTCCTGAATTAGGTCCGGATTTCATTTTCAATGATGAATTTCTCTCTAATCCAGATGTAAATACTTTAATGGATTATGTTCCCAGTTTATATAATTGGAATTACTGCGATAGTAATTCATTACTTCTTGTTTTAAAAGAACTCTTGACGTACTATAAAAAGAAGCAGGTAATGAAAGAAAAAAAATTTTATCTAATTAAAAAAATTAAAAGAAATAATTATTTAATAAAAAAGAATTTTGATTTAAACAGATTGAATTGATAAAATGTCGTTGTCCAGAGAAATTAATTTTCGAATACGAACAATTAATACAACTCGTCAAGGAGGAAAATGTTGAGGTTATTATTAAATCGTCAGAAGTGAAATTTTTCATAAGACTTAAAATTGATTTCTCAAGAATTCCTCAAAAAAATAAATATCATTCACAAAGTGATGCGGTGATGCTTTTGGTAACATTTTCAGGATCAGATTATTCAAATATTGTTCCATCATTATTTCTGACAAAAACCATTGAGAATATTCTTGGCAATCAGGAAAATCTCACAATTCCTCCATATCCACCAAATGAATTATTAATTGTATATGTTCCCACTATTGTAGCATTTTTAAAGGATAAAGTAAGAATTATTTTTCTCCATATTTTTAAATTATTAAAATGTGAATTTTCAATTTTTCTTTTCTTTTCAAATTTCAGGTTGAAGCATTAATTTTAAATTGCAAGAAGAAATGTGATTTTATAGCAACATTACTAACTGTTTTACGTGGAAGTATGATCGAGTATGATGCATTGGAATTTAATCAAGCGACATTTCTCGTTGAAAAAAAGGATTTTCATTTTTTTATACACTTTCGTGTACCATCAGGATTTCCACGTGAACGACCGGAAATTCTAATGGAAAGCGCTTATCATATGGATCAATCGGGTAAAATGATAACGCAAACAATTGTTAAATATCCCTACAATTCACAAGTTGATTCATTAACAATGATTCAAGCAATATTAACTCATATCGAAGAAAAAGAAGTTGAACCATTTCAACAAATGTGCACGCGAAAAAATCGATTTTAATATTATCAGCTCGATAAATCTTATTTTTTATCATTCTACCTCAAATTTTTTTCTTCTAAGTTCTATTTTTTCATTTTTTTTAACACATTCGTAAAGAGAGCACTCGCCTTGACGAAAGAAAATAAAAAAAAAAAATTGTTAACGACGAAAAAAGGAGAGAAATAAAGTCAATTGACTCAAATGTAAGATACAATTATAATTTATAAATTTACATTTACAAGGCTTATAGTATTAACTTTAGTTTAATATTAAAATAAACTTACGCAGCATAACACTATATTGGATATTCAATGGCCCACACTTGACCCCCTTGCATTGTCAATCAACAAAATACTTCTCTAAGAGGTATACACATGGGTAGATTAATAATAAACAATTATTTCGTGCCTATACTTATTCAAAAAATAATAATAATAATAATAATAATAATAATTTTCCAAAAAAAATAATTTAACAAATTGTCGTGGCAAGAAAAAAAAACCAAAAAAAAATTGTTATCCACAAAAATACGCATATATACTATGTAAAAAAAAAGAAAATGAATAAGAGTTGATTGACCCCGCGAGATATATATTTATATATCTGATTAACACTAATAAAAGATCTTTTCAATAAGTGCCCTGCCTTTCGTACTTACAAGAGCTGGTCCTGTTTTCATTTTTTTTTTTTCTTTTTCACATACAACGTCCTAAATATTTTCAAATTTGCATTATTTTATTTTTATTTTCTTTCTTCGTACTTAAGTAACGACTTATCCGTAATATTTAAGTCCTGCTGCTGATTGATAAGATATTAATTATTAGAAAATAATAAAATAATAATAAAAGTCGGTCTATCGATTTTTTTTTTTTTTTTTTTTTTTGTCAAAAATATCAAACAGCAATAAATTATTCCATTAATAAATATATATATATATATATATAAAAAAAGATATTCTTTGCGAATCAAAGTAAAAGAGGTCCTGTCAAGTTAAAAAAGAGAAAAAATTCAAAAGAAAAAAAGAAAAAAATTACCACATTTGGACACACATATTGCTTTGGCTGTTATCGCGTGAATTTAAAACAACGATTCGTTCTCAAACGTACTCGTCGTGACACCTTGATCAAGACAAACTCATGTCAAGCATCACATTCGATTCCTCCAAAGCCGGCAGGGGTAATTCATTCTTCTCCTCCTCGGTTCTTGCGTCCGACATTTTTAGGAACTTGATTACTTTCTCGGTGGCGGCAATTCCACAACTGCTCACCTCGTTCTTAAAAAAGAAAATAGACATTTCAATTAATAAATAAAAACATTTTTTCTTTCAAATGAAAAAGTTTGATTTTCTTTTTAAATGGGTCAATTCATTCGATTTTCCCTAAAATCGTTGCGGTTTTTTTTTTCACAAAATTTTATAATTTGTAATCATTATTTTTGATATTCGTATAATTCATTTTTAACAAATTATTAATTTGATCTATTTTTTTTTTTTTTTTTTAAGAAAATAATCAAGGAAATTGTATTATTTTTAACAATTAAATTAATCTTTTTTCCTTGAAATTCATTTTTAAAATCCAATTTCAAAGGTAAATATATAAAATATCAGTAAATAATTGAATAATTATTATTAAATTAATAATTTGTTAAAAATGATTACAAATTATAAGATTTTTCTAAAAATAGACCACAAACGATTATAGGTAATCGAAAATAATAAATATTTAAAAAAAAAAAAATGCTTACCGATGCCGTTAAATTCATGAAATTGAAGAACTTTTGAAGAACAGCAATCATAGTGCTAAATGTGTTGTCCGGTAATAAACTTCTAACCAGAGTTTCATAATCCTAAAAAAAGAAAAGAAAAATTTATCATGAAAATAAAGAAAGAAGAAAGAAGAAAAAAAGGAAAGTTTCACAGAACAATAATTACCTTATTATCCATAACTAAATATCCTAATAAAAGTACAACGTATGCACCTATCAAAGTGTGCTCCATGTGTCTACCTGCTTTTTGTAACACTATAAAAAGAAAACGAAATATATTAATAAAATTAATTATTAATTATTAATTATTTATATAATTCATAAATTAAAAAAAAAACAATTCAATTCTAATTGCAAGAAAGAACACAAACATTTTGTAACTGTTTCTTCAATAAATTCCTCTTGTGATTTTGTCGTAGTCGAAACAGTTTCCGTTTGTTCCGCGTCTTTTTTTCCATCTAAAATAGCGTCAGTTTTCTGCTCCTCAGCACGTGCAAGCTCCTCTTGTTTGTAAAAAAGATCAATGAGCGCTTCTACTCCACTTTCATTATCTGAAACGAAATGGAAAATTTAATTTTCATTTTATTAAAAATGAAAACAAGAAACAAAGTTGTGGCAAATAAACATTAATTTGTAGCTTTGAATAAATGACAAAAAATTTTTTTTAAAATTAATTTCCCAACTAGAGAAAAAAAATTCATTTTTGTTTGTTTTTTTTTTTTTTTATGAAAGAAAATTGAAATTTACCATCGAAAATATGTTCAGTCGATGGTGCTTTGGCCTCGATAAACATTTTCTTATTATCGTCACATTGTTCAACTAAATTAATCAAAAGAATTAATGCCAACATCATCATGTCGAATCTCTTCTCCTCGGGAATTGATTCCGGTACACGTAACAAAAGATAGAGACTGCATTCTAAGACACCGGATTGTGAACCAACTGTTTTACTTCCAAAAGCTGAAAAAGTACAAAACAAAAATAATTAATAACATAAATTAATAATCAATTTTTTTTTTCTAAATAACAGAATCAATTTATTAAATTTCGACCAACATCATTGCCGAATAATTTTGAAATGTTATTATTTACTTTAAAATATTTATTTCAAATGTATCAGGTGCTAAAAGCTGTCAGTTATTCGAAAATATCCGAGAAATCATATAATTTACCACAAAAGTGTCAAAAATATTATTTGCAATTTATTGGGACGTACAAATAAGTTCTAAAACAAATTTTTAAAAATTTTAATTTAATAGAATCTTATTCTGTAGAATATTAAATTTGCAAAATTTCCATTAAACCGATTATTATCAATGTCGCAGAAATTTTATTTAGACGAAAATTAATTTTGATCGAATCTCCATTTTTTCGAAACCTTGTCGCGAAGAATATTAATTTTGCAAAATAGTATTAATTTAAAAAAATCTTAATTTTATAGAAAGAAAATTAGAAAGAATGTTAATTTCACAAAATATTCATTTGTTTGAATATTAATGTTCTAAAAGAATGCAAATGTTTGAAAATCAATTTAACAGAAATAATTCTGCGAGAAATTTAAATTTAACCAATCACAATTTTGTTGATAATTTCTGATAGATCAAATTTAAATTTCGTGTAAAATTCGAAAATTTGCATTTTCTAGAATATTTAATATTCAAATAAATAAATATTCTTTCTAATTTCCTTTCTGTAATTTCTGGCAAATTAATTTTCGTCTAAATAAAATTTCAGCAACATTGATAATCGATTTAATAAAAAATTCTGCAAAATTAATATTTTAATTTAAATATTCTGCAAAAATAATAGTCTATAGAATAAGATTCTATCAAATGATTTTTTCAAAAAAAAAAAAAATTGTTTTAAAGCTTATTCATGCGTTCCAATAAATTGGAATAATATTTTTTATACTTTTATGGTAAATTTATGAAGATTTATTAAGAAAATATTTGAGAAAACATATTTTTCTTGAATATTTTCTACTGGCTGAAAAAGTAACATTTTTTCAGCACCTCATATATATTTTAAAGTAAATAATAAAAATGTTATTAAAATTCTTTTCATTTCGTGATCTTTGATTTCTTTGAGATCATTCCTGTAAAGTATGATTAATTTTTCAAAATTAGTCGGCAACGACTTTGGTCAAAATATAATTGATTGACTCAACAATAATAGAAAAATCGATTGAATTTAATTAATACTTTTTTTTTTTTTTAATAAGAAAATAATGAAATAAATCTTACATTGTCTATTAAATCGATGTGTTAAATTAATCAGGACTTTGATAATAGCAAAGAGACATTCTCTAACTACAGCACCAGTAGAACTTTTATCACTTGGATCTATGATTGGATACATAGGAATTTCCTTCGCGCAAAGTTGATAAAGACTAGCGAGAGTGCTCACCAAAACACCATTATCATATTTCAACAAGTACACTTGATTCTCTTCGTTCATATGCGTCACCTGCATAAATGAAAATTACAATATTGATATTAATAACTATAATAAAAAATAAGTATAATAAATAATGTACAAATATTTTCCCCTAAAATCTCAATAGTAAAAAAGAAAAAAACAAATAACAATTACAATTTTTTAATACAAAAAAGAGAACAGATTTTTGTTTAAAAAAATTAAATAAAATGTAATTTATTTGTTTAATTTTCTGTAGTTTTTTAAATAGAAAAAATGTAAAATTAAACATTTATTTAGTAAACTTAATTAAAGTATTATTTCCCCTAATATTTGAAAAAGAAAAATTTTTAATTTAGAATTTCAATTATTTAAAAATGCGCGTTTAAAAAATTTTAATTAACGAATTAACAAATTTTTAAGAAATTATTTTCTAAATAGCATTTAAAAAAAACCACGTCATTTATGAAAACAAATTAAAAATATGCATTGAAAAAGAAATTTTTACTATGTTAAAATCATATAAAATGTTTCTTTTTAAAGTGTCGACAAATTATGATAATTTAAATTAATTTAAATGTTCATTGAATGTTAAATAGATTTTATAAACAATAAAATACTTTATTTTGACATTTGACACTGGACATAAAATAAATGATTAAAATTAAAAACAATTTAGTTATAAAATATTTAAAATGAATAACAATTTCTTTTTTTTGTAACCACTTTCATAAAAAATATAGTTTTTTATATTTTGAATACAATTTTATAAAATAAATTATAAATTGAACATATTTTATATTATTGTTGCAAATTAATAAACATTTTCTATCATAGGCAAAAATAGTTTCACAAAATTGTTGTCCACATTCTCCTAATTTTGTTTTAAATAAATTTGAAAAAAAAAAAAAATTCAAAAATAAACTACAGAATTATTAATTGAATAATAATTTATTATTTTATCTATTTCTCTTTAAATTTCCTACATATGAAAAATTTGTCTTAAAAAAAATAGTTTCTAAACATTTTTTAGTTTTAAATAAAATTTTTTTTTTACCAATTTTACGTAACGGGATATAAAAATTGTGGTACTGATATGGTTTATTTAAACTACGAATAAAAATAATTTAATTGAATAACAATTGTAATTGAAAAATAATTTAATTTAGAAAAATTATTTCAACATAAAACGATAAATTTAAAAAATATGTATTATGTTTTGAATTGGAAAAAATAATATAAATATTCCTGATGTTCAATTTATAAAAAAAAAAATAATAATAATAATAATAATGAATAACAAAAATTTATAAGTATGCAACAAAATTTGCAATATAAAGAAGAAAAATAAATGTAAAAAGAAACTTACATTTTCCAAAACGCGCAAACATCGATCGACTTTTCTCAATTTGTCGAGTATGGTATCACACCATCCACGTGCAATCTCATTGACGTTTATATGTCGATGGCAATCCCTGATTGTCTTCACGATATGCTCCAAACCTCCCAATTCCCTTAATTCCTCCTTGAACCATTCGCCCGCTCGTCTTGACGTTAAACTTAACAATGTCTCCATTGCCAATTGTCCGACCTATTTATAAAATTCATTTTTCAAAAAAAAAAAAAAAAATCCTCTTTATCATAAATTAAAAAATATTACGATTTTATTTATTCATCTTCATTTTCATTATATTTTAAACAATTTCTTTAAAATAAATTTTTTATTCTAATTTCATAAAAAAAAAAATTGCAAAATATTAAAAAAGAATTCATCTCAAAAGATATTAATTTTAATTTGCATGATTACTAGAGTATTCTAATAATAAATCACGCCTTTGCTTTTTTTTCCAATTAAAAATATACAAGCCTTGGAACAATGAGAGTTTTGAATAATATTTATATATAATAATAGAAAACGATGTCACGCAATATTGATGTCATTTGAAAAAGAAGGAAAAGAAGAAGAAAAAGAAGAAAAAAAAACTCACGGTAATGTTATCAAGATTCAGGTGTTTCGCGTGTCCTTGAGCTTGAATGTCAGCGCAAAGTTGTCGGACTTTCTCTTTATTTTTTAACAATTCAGCCCGACTCAGGCCACAATCATCGAGAGCATCTTTGTGACTTGCGTCGGATTCTAATAAACTAAGCATCAGCTCCAAACAATCACGATCAAGATCCATCGCAAGACGATCTTGACTTAAAACAAACATAACTGTCGCTGTACATAAACCAAGACTCTGAAAAATAAATACATAAAATTATTTTATTTGCTTTTTTTTTTCACTTAAAAAAATGTATCTATTGAAATTCTAAACAATTGAATATCAAAAAAAAAAAAAAAAATTTAATTCTCTCCTGAAAAAAAAAAAAAATAATAAAGAAGAGAAAAAAAAAAGTCAATCAATCTTACCTGATCTTTCGTTGCATCGTGAAGAGCTTTGAAAAATTTGGCAACAGTTCCATGGGCTCTAACGTGCATTCGAAAAGCTGGTGCCATACATTTACTTGCTAATCGAATAGCCGAGAGGCAACGCGTAGCATTTGGATTATTTTCTCTCAATGTATCCAAAATATATTCAACATCATCGTTGAACTCTTGGAATTCACCACTTTCTTGAATCTGATGAGCTTTCTTCACATTCTTCACCACCGTATAAAACTGTGACACAAATAATTTTCATTAAAAAAACAAAACAAATTAACTTTTCCTAATTTTAATTAAAATTCTGCAATTTGATTACTAATTAATAATATTAAATTTATAATTTTATTAAATTTTACCTAAATCATTATTTTTGTAAATAAAATCTTTATTCGTTTCCAAAAAATATAATTTTGTTTCATTAAAAAAAAAATGTATTTTTCAATTTACATTTTTAATAGAATTTAAAATAACGAAGTAATTAATTATCGTTGAAATCATGATAATTTAACAAGATCAGTTTTAGATTCGAGTTAAGATTAGAAACTGAAATCAATAAATGGATTGTAAGCGGTTACTGACCTTATTAACTATCTACAATATATTACAATCAACTTTCATAAATAGTAACAAAAAACAAAAGAAATTAAAAATAATAATTCTATAATAATAAAATATATAATAATTCAGAGTCAAAATTAACATAAAATAAAAAAAAGTCAACAATTACAAAAAAAAATTTAATTAATATTATTAAAAAATAATTGATAGTAAATTTATGAAAAAAAATAATTAATAGAATGAAAAATTGCAAGTTATTGATCAAATAAGTCTAAAATTAAAAACGGATAAAAGAAAATAAATAAAATAGTTTTAAAAATATAAAAGTATAATGAAAAGTTGTATTATTTACGAACATTATTCATTTTGAATGACAGTACAAATTGACTAATTTTTTTTTTAGATAATACGATACGTAAAATGACTTCTCATATCCAGCAAATTAATTAAAATATCATTTTAATAAAAAAAAAAAAAAAAAATTGAAATGCTGACAACAAAGGACAATTTTTTTTTTAAATAACAATAATAATCATTATTATTATAATAATAATTTATACATATTTTCATTACAATCTTAATGAGAATATGAAAAAGAATTTTTTCGATTAAAATAATAAATGAGATTTTAATTATTCAGATAAAACACAAAGTTAATTACACTGACTCGACATTTCAAAATGTTGAATTTCAACAAACATTTTATTCATAAAATATTTAACTTTTATTATTCTCTGTTTGATGAAAGAGAAAATTTGCTCATTAACGAATTTTAAAAATCGTTATTTGTGACGTTTAGTAAAAAAAAAAAATTAATTATTATTAAATTTTAATATATATTTTTTAAATTTACCATTGTTACATAATTTTTTAATTTTGCTGAAATAAATTAAATATTTTGAATTTATTTACTTTCCTACTATTTTTAAAATAGTTAATTTTTTTCAATATCTTTTAAAATCAGGAGAATTTTTTCCTTATATTATTTCTATGAAAAAATTTAATTTTCGAAAATAAAAAATTATTAATTTACATTTTATGACGAAAAATAAAATTTAATTTGTAAGTTTATAATACGCTATAGCTATGTTTATTTATACAGAATAATCTTTTCGTAAATAATAATTTATCTTTTTTGTAATAATATATTTTCTAAAAAGAAATAAATTATCAAATTGATGGTCGTTAAGCAATATAATTACTTCAGTATATATTTTATGCAATTTTTTATTACATTTTTATAAGGCTTTAATCAATTTTTCAAAATTTTAAATTAAATTTTTCAAAAAGATTGTTAATTTTTTTTTATTAAAATGCAACTTTTATTAGTTAAAACCTTTAAAAAAATAAATAAAAGAAATTAAATTGTTTTTATTTGCAGTGAATTTTAGTTAACAGGATTGAAATAAAAAATAATTTTACAAATTTCCTTATTGCAGATAATGCATTTCTAATAGGTACATCTAATGATATGAAGTTTAAAAATAATATTTGCATTTCATTTCAATTCGTATTGAAATATAAATTGAATAAAATTTGATTAGATTGAAATTTGAATGAATTAAAAATTGAATAAATTAAAATTTAAATGTAATAAAATTTTTATAAATTGAATTTTGGGTCAATTAAAACAAACCCAGGCCTCCTATCGACTTTAAGGCACAAAAAAAGTCGTTTTAGTCGATTTATATTCCAAAAACAAGTCGAAAAATTCGATTTTTTTTTATTTTAACAAAATTGAATTGGTTAATGAATATTTTACTTTAAATAACTAATGTTAATTAAATTCATTTTATAATTTCTGTAATGAGAATAATTCTATAAAAATATTATCAAGAAAATTTATTTCCAATATTTCACAATTGAAAACTTCCAAAAAAATTCTTGAAGTTACATTTTTATAATTTTTTGAAGTTTGATTTAAGCAATTTATTCGAATTAAAAATTTTGTCATAGTTTTTTAGTTTTGATGGTCAAAATAATTTCAGCCAAAAACTTAATCAAGTTTTATAGATTTTTTATTAAAATTTTTTTTTAAATAATAATAATTTTGGAGTAGTTAAAGTTGAAATTATTAGAAATGATTGAATTTCAAAAGATTTGGTTAATTTTCAGACAATAATTAAATTTTACAGAACTAAAAATAATTTATCAAATAATTTTATAGATAACATTTTCAAAAAGTAATTGAATTTTCAAAGATTTACAAATTTAGATTTTTGAAATTAATTGAACTTGAAGTGATTTTTAATTTAAAATTTTTCATAATTTCTGTTACTAAAAAATTTATTAGAAATTGCAGACAAAAATACAAATAATTTGAAAAGTTTTAGAATGAAAAATGGTTTCAGATAGTTGAATTTTCGAAGAATATTATAAAAATCATTAAAAATATTTTGATTTCACGAGAGTTATAATTGAAATTATTAAATTTCAAAAAATTTTAATTCAAAAATAGTTTAAGATAATTGAATTTGTGAAGAATTTCATTAAAATTATTAAAAATAATAAATTTAGTGAAGAATTTTAGTTAAAAATTTGTTAAATAATTGAAAGAAAGAAGGTCTAAAGAAGATTTGCATTGTATCCTTAAAAAAACGTAATTTTATTTAAAATTTTTGAAAAAAAATTCGAAAAAGTCGCATTTTATTAAAATAAGTCGAAAAATTCGTGTAATCCGAGGCCTGCAAACCAATTGAAGATGAAAAAACAATAAGTAATTTTAATATTTTTCGAAATTCAACTTTCAATTATTTAACATATTAAAAATAATATTTTTTTTACAATTTTACTAAGTACAGAAAATCGATTGTAATTTTGAATTAATTAAAATATTGTTATAAATTTAATTTTGGGTTCAACTTTTAAATTGAAATTGATTACAATTTGTATTTTTCTAAATTACCCTATCAATTTCTTTTTCTGTAAAAAAATTCTCTAATATTTTCCTCACTTTTGGCAACCATGAAATAAAATTCTGTAATTTCAGACCTCAAATCGACTTTAAGGCACAAAAAAAGTCGTTTTAGTTTTTAGTTTTTACTTTATATATCTCATGTTATTAGATATTAAATTCATTTTATTAATTCTGTAATGAGAATAATTCTATAAAAATATAATCATGAAAATTTATTTCGATTTTTGAAATTAATTGAACTTCAAGTGATTTTTAATTAATTTAATTAATTAATTTAAAAAAAATTTGAAAATAATGTAATTTCAATCTAAATATTGGAAAATAATTGAATTTTAATTGATTTTGAATTTAAAATTTTCAAAATAATAACTGACTTTATTAGAAATTGCAGACAAAAATATAATAATTTGAAAACCTTTTTAAGTGAAAAATGGTTTCAGATAGTTGAATTTTCAAAGAATATTATATAGAAATAATTAAAAATAATTTTGAATTTCATGGAGAATTATAGTTGAAATTATTAAATTTCAACAAATTTTAGAAGCTTTTAAATTGGAATTTTTGAAAATAATTGAATTTTTAATTTTTTAGATTTTTAAAGAAATAATTTTTTAGAATGAAAAATTCTATAATTTTTTGCCTAAAAAATATTTCTTGTAGTTTTCATTAATCAATAAATTATAAAAAATTATTTTTTTAGGCAAAAAATTATAGAATTTTTCATTTTAAAAAAATATTTCCTTAAAAATCGTTTATATAAACGTTGCGTACTTCAGCTTCGTAAATTTCAGACAATAATTATAATAAGAGAAATTTTTATTGATTTCTGTTGATGAAGAATTTATTGGAAATCATATTAAAAAATTTGAATTTCAAAAGTTTTTAATTGAAAAACACATTCAGATAGTTCAAAACGTTTATAATCAACGATTGAGAAGAAGAAGAAAATAATTGTCTATGCAAATTATTATTATTTTTTATCAAAAAAAATTTTTGCAACATTTCTTAATCAATAAATTTTTGACAAAAAAATTTTGTAGGCAAAAAATTAGTTATTATTTTTTGAGTGAAAAAAAATTTTTTTTTTTTCAATCGTTGATCATAAACGTTTGTAAATTTCACCGACATAAAAATTTTAATTTAATGAAGAATTTTAATTAAAAATTTGTTAAATAATTGAATTAAAGACGATCTGAAGAAGATCTGCATTGTATTACTGAAAAATTTTGTTTAAAATTTTTGAAAAGTAAAATCAAAAAAGTCGCTTTTTTAAAAAATAATTTGAAAAAAATCGTATAATCCAAGGGCCTGAAAATATAATATGTATTATTTGTTTAAAAAATGATCAACTTACACCCTTGACTTTCTTGTCACATCGAATGCTCGTCACGGCCAATAGATCATCATCAACAAGATCCATTCCAGGTTCTGGATAAGTGACAACTCTTGTCAATTCATCAGATCCAAATTCCTCGAATGCAACTGTATTTGCGTCAGCGTGTGAACTTGATGCTGCATTTGGTATTTCATTGCCAGTATTTCCAGTATCAATGGCCGGCGATTCTTTATCATTGTCCGACCATTTATGTTTATATAAAGCTCGTCTTTTATTACTATTTGTCGTGCCAGCCGACCTACTTTTGAAAATACTGCCTTTTTTCGTTGTTGGTTTTGTAATTGAAACATCATTTCGTGGCGGTGGTGATGACGATGACGATGGTTGAACTCTAATTTCTTCATCGCGTTGAACGGGAATTTCATTTTCAACATTGCCCGTTGCACATTCGCTATCCTCACTTCCTGAGAACCAATCTTGATCAACAATTGTTTTTGCCGTTGTTGTTGGTGGTACATCATCTCTCAATGGTGTTAATTCTTTTTCTTCAATTTCTTTATTTGGCTCGGATTCATTTTCCAATTCTTCATCATCATCATCATCATCATCATCATTTTCATTTTCGTCATCTTCATTTTGTTTTGTTGATGGCTCCTCTGAATACTGTAGAATCTCCTCAAATATTTCCTCATGTTCTTCGTAATTTGTTTCCATTGGTTGTTGTTTATTATTATTTCTCTGTCCTGCATCGGGATCACTTGATAGAATATCAATGAGTTCTTGCGTTGTTGTTGGTAGGGGTTGATCGCGACCAATTAATGGTTCAACTTGTGTTTTTCCAGTGAAATTTGTTGTATCAGTCTTAACAATATCGTAATGGGCAATAACTGTGTTATTTGAATCGGTCATCGATTTTCGGAGTGTTAGTGATAAACCGGAACCATGAGAATTTGTAGTGGTGGTGGTGGTGGTAGTGTTGTTGTTATTATTAGTGGCGGTGGTAACTGGTGGTGTTGATGCAATAACTGTTGTCGGTGATATAATATCGCGGAGATTTTTCGCTCGACTACGTGTCGTTCTTCGTGTATCGGAATCGTCCAACGGAATGGAAACAGTCGTGACGACTGGTTGTTGAGCTATTGTCGATGATGAACGTGTTGTTCTTGTATCGGTTGATGTTGTTGTTGTTGTTGTTGTTGTTGTCGTGATCGTCGTTGTCGTCGTCATTGATTGTATTGGCGATGATTTTCGATCATTATTATCGATTTTCGTTGGACTCTCCTGGGGCGAGGATGAAATTCTATAGGTATCAGTTTCTGAATCGGCATCACCGCAAATTAAACGCGCTGTTCCTTTACATATTCGTAAAACTATTGGAGGTTTACCCTCGTCTTTAGGTACTTGATTAGCGTTTGTTTGAATTTCATTGTGAAGTTGTTGTTTCTTTAATTGAGCAACGGACGATGCTTTTGACAAAATTTGCTGCTTTGAGGCGGCAGTTTGTTGACTTTGCTTTGGCGGACGACCTCGTCCATAATGTGATTCAGGTACTTGTCGATACGTAATTGATTCAGGACGTGTCTCATCAATTGTTGTTGTTGTTGTTGTTGTTGTTGGCGTGGCATTTCGGCTTTTGAAAAATTTTTTTGGTTTCACCACCGCTGCCGTCTCAGTTTTTTCATTATCAAAGGAAAATGGATCCTTACTTGAATTTACGCGAGCATTTTGATTACCATAATCAAGCTTTGCTCGTTTGTTCCCATAAGTTGGATGAACGTCATCTCGTCGTCCTGGAAGAAAACAAAAAAAAAAAAAAAGAACGTCACAATATTCAAAATTCAAAAATTTGATTATTTATAAACAATCAATTCTGTACAATAACTAAAAAAGAAATTAATTTCATAAATGATTTATAAAAATATTTTTTTTGTAAAATTATTTTAATTATTACAATACGAAAATTTTGGTTCTTCACGAAAAAAAAGTAAAAAACTTCCGAACAAAAAAAAAAAAAATTTTTTTTTTTTAAATCATAGAAAGGTTTTAATTTAATTATTTACGATAATTTCCTTATCTTAACTGAATATAACAAAATTTAATTCAATCTCAAAGAAGAATTTATTAATAAGTAAAAAAAAAAAAAAAAAAAAAATGTTGACTGTGACGAAATAATTGTAACTAAAGCAAAAAAAATTCAAAATTTAATGTGAAATAAGTGTATGAAATTAAAATATAATAAATAAAAAAAACTTAAATTCCCTTTATCAGAGAGCAAAAACAATTTTTCATTAAAACAAACAAAAAAAAAAAAGATACAAATTTATTCCGACCTTATAAGTAATGATTCAATTTTAAAAAATTAAACTTTTTGATACACTGAATCTTTGTCAAGGTTAATGATTAAATGCATCGAGGGAGAAAAAAAAACCAAAGTGATTCTTGTACTTAAAAGTTGCATAAGAATCTATTATACATTACTTTGTAAATAAAAACATTCATTAGCCAAAATGTTTCATCGAATAAAAAATGTTTTATTTTAATTGGAAGCGCGTATTTTAATTTAAAAATTTTTTTTTTCAAATTTTTCTATCGACAATTAATGACAATTTCAATAAAAATAGAATTTCCAAAAAAAAAAATATATCACACAATTAAATTAATTAAAAACTTTTTTCTTTTTTTTTATTTTAAATAAGTGAGAATAATCGATGACTAACTTGATAAAGCGATTGAAGAAATCTTTAATTAGATCTATAAAAGTATATACAATTAAGAATATTATTATCGGAAAAGAAAAGAGAGAATTAAACAAAATTTTTTTAATTTCACTACAATGAAAATCAATAAAATAATTTGTTAAAAAAAATGTATCTAATGAGAAAATAATGAAAAAATACCATTAATATTTGTGCTGCGAATCGACGTAAAGGAAGTTATGCCCCATTTTCCGACGATGCCCGCTGATTTGGCAGCCGAGGGTCGATTACTGTTTTCTCGAAAGAGTTTGTCAAATTGTATACTACCTGGGGAAACAGTATTAACTTTACGACCATATGATTTTGTATAACTTCGTGACGTCATTTTGACTGTGCTATTATTTCATAAACTTTCTGCATTCCAAAAGATACACAGTTGAATTGAAGCTTCTCATACTTGTGATCACCTCTTTTTTTCTCTTCTCTTTCTCTCTCTCTCTCTCTCTCTCTCTTTCTCGTTAGGACATTTTCAACATAGATTATAATTTGTACACACAACACACTCACTTATACACAGAGTAAAAAAAAAAAGGTTCCCAACACAATTTAGTGAAACACAATATTCACGTCTTTGAAATCGTTTATAAATTTATGAAATAAAATAAACGAAAACTGCCTGTCTGCACGGAATTTAAGGAAAAAAAAAAAAAAAATCGGAGAAAAATTAATCAGCGTGCTCGATTTTCGGAACATATGAAAGAAACGCCATGTTTCATTCACTCTCTCCCGCTTTGCACGAATTTATATAAAAGTTTAAATTCAGTCTTGAGACTTCACTCACACTTAATAAATCCATTTTTTACGATTCTCAATATATTAAAGTCTTCTTTAAACTCAATATTTTGTGAAAAACAATATGATTTTCACGGGAATTATTAATCATAACATGATCTTTGCCATCTGTCGATGTTTTTCGTTTGGATCAAACTATTGAAACTATTGAGTGGAAAAAAAGTGAATTTTATCCTGTTTGCCAATAGATGGCGAAATAGTAGAATTTCCTTATTATCGATTGATGATTTTATAAATTAATTATTTTGAAAATAAATTATTGTTATCAATTATTTTACTTTTATAAATAATGTAGCTTTATTAAATAATTTATTCATTTTTGATAGCGTTCTATTTGAAAAATAATATATTTCAAACAGTTGATAAAGCAGATTTCTATTTTGACAATAAAAAGCGTCTGCTATAAAATTTTATAGTGTTTAATGTTTATCGTGTCAAGTCAACAAAAGAAAAATGATTTATACAACATTCAAGAAAAAAAATTTTTTACAAAGTTATTTCTAAACAAAAACAAACGACAAAGTAGAAAGTTAAAAATATCAAAAACTTTTATTTGTACATTTGAATTATCTTATAAGACTTGAATTTTTTTATACGCAATATAAGGGGAAAAAAGTGTAATTAAATATAAAAATATGAGTATTACAAGAAATGGTACTTGTATGGCAATGTGTCCAAAAAGTGAACGACTCATGTAAGTAAATTAAATAATAGAAAAGGAATTTTTTTTATAAAAATTCGTTTTTTTAAGAATTAAAAACAATTCGTTTTTTTTAGTTTAAAAAAAACAAGAGAAAATTTCTTACTATATGTAAGAGTCAAAATTTATGAAATTTTCCATTTTAGGAGAGAAGAAAAACGTTTATTGCATATTTTCGAGAGAAAGGAAGAAAAAGCTGATCCTACGAAAACAGTGAAGTGTTTTAATAGACCAGCAGCTGGTCGCACAATGACAGATCTCAGTGAATTAAGACCTAAACCAGTTTTGATAATGACCATGAACTATTTATTTACCAAGTAAATTATTGAAAAAAAAAATAAACTTGAAAATATCTCCAATTATGAAAATTTTTGTTCAACTAATTTTTTTTTTTTTTTGTTATTTTTAACTAATTTGAAAAATGTTAATTTATCATATGAGCGACTCCACGTCAAGTGATCGCACCGATTTAGGCTATTTTGATAAATTTTTATAATATTGATAATTTGGGTTCCTTTAAGGGTAAAAAAAAAAGAAATCCTAAGTATTTTTAAAAAATTCAAAATATTTTTCAAAATATTGCATAATTTAAATTTTTTGTAATTTTTTTTCTTTAATTTATTATAACTTCCGTAATTTTTAACCAATCGTGATGAGTTTTTTTTTAAATACTCGTATTTAGATGCTCTTTCATGGAAAAAAATTTTGAAAAAAAAAAATTTTTTTAATTTTATTTTTTATTAAAAAAAACAATTTTAATTGTTTAAATAATTTGAAAAGTATATGTTCGATTTTTTTCAAAAAATTCACGAACATTCTCTACAATGTCCTGAAAAATTTAAGACCTTGAAAAAGATGGTATGTCTTATAGTTTCCAAGAACAAAAATTATTTAGTTTTTGTAGCGCATGAAGTCGTTGTAAACTATATGAGGCATTTCATAAGAGAATACGGGGTCATGTCTCGAATTTTTCTCAAAATTCGGTAAATTGTAGTGATAGTGGTGCTAAATAAATGTACAAATTTTGAATTTAAAATTTTTAATATTTTTTGAGATATTTACAATAACAAATTAGAGCAATATTTTTTTGCTTTACTTATAACTTTTTCCCTACTAAAAATAGAGAGAAATGCTGATAATGTTTTTTATTCAAAGGACCTTAAACTTTTAGAAAAAAATTATTTTTTAAAAAAAAATATTAATTTTTAAACAATTTGTTTAAAAAATAAAATTTCTTTATAACTTTTAAAAATGTTCTCACTCATTTAGAAGCACGAAAAAAATCATGAATATTGTTTAAGTCATAATAAATCGATGGTTAAATTTTTGAGATAGCATTATTTTTTTTTTCGAGATATTAATTAATTAACTAACAAAAATTAATAATAAATGAAACATTTTACGAACAAATAAGATTAGAATAATTTTAAAAATACCATTCCAATGCTTATTGAAAATCGCATCTAACGAGCCCTATATGAACTATTTTTGATAAACGGGTGTTAAATTAATAATTAATAATAAAAATTATTTAAATAATTAATAATAAAAATTATTTAAATAATTAATAACATTTGAAGTAAAGTAAAGTAAAAAAATATTGCTCTAATTATTGTAAATATCTCGAAAAATATTAAAAATTTGTACACTTATTTAGCACCACTATCACTAAAATTTACCGAATTTTGAGAAAAATTCGAGACATGACCCCGTATTCTCATATGAAATGCCTCATATAGTTTACAATGACTTCATGCGCTACAAAAACTAAATAATTTTTTTCTCGTTAACTATAAGACATACCATCTTTTTCAAGGTCTTTTATTTTTCAAGACATTGTAGAGAATATTCGTGAATTTTTTTGAAAAAAATCGAACATATACTTTTCAAATTATTTAAACAATAAAAATTGTTTTTTTAAATAAAAAATAAAATTAAAAAAATTTTTTTTTTCAAAATTTTTTTCCATGAAAGAGCATCTAAATACGAGTATTTAAAAAAAATCATCCCAATTGGTTAAAAATTATGGAAGTTATAATAAATTAAAGAAAAAAAATTACAAAAATTTTAAATGTGCAATATTTTGAAAAATATTTTGAATTTTTTAAAAATACTTAGGATTTCTTTTTTTTTTACCCTTAAAGGAACCCAAATTATCAATATTATAAAAATTTATCAAAATACCCTAAATCGGTGCGATCACTTGACGTGGAGTCGCTCATATCACAAAAGTATCATAATATTATTAATTTATATTTTTTGTTTTAATAGAATCTATTTTCTTACCTATTTTACAAGAAACGTCCATTTCTTTTTTACTCGTAGAATTTCTGTAACAATTGTCAAGTTTTCTTCATGAATAAATTTTGTTAAATTTTTTTTTTTTCCAGAATAGCAACAAGAGCCGATTATAATTGGTCATTTATATATGATTTTATTTTTGATCGTTTACGAGCCATAAGGCAAGATTTAGTAATTCAAAGAATCAATCCACTGGACACAATTGAAATATTAGAACCAATCGTTCGATTCCACGTCTATGCGGCGCAAAGGTAATGCGGTAAATAAAGTCTACTAAAATTGATATTGACATTCATTATAATAGATAACAAAAATTGTAAACTAAACACAAAATATGTTTTAAGCTATATTGTGAAAAAAAAATTCTTATATATATATATATACATTTTTCTTTATTTTTCAGACTTTGTACACATTCTATTTCAACTTTTGATCCAAAAATAAATAATCAACATTTACTAGAATGTTTAAAACATTTACTCGTTTGTTATGACGAATGCAGTAATGTAACTTTAAATGATTTTAATATCAATGAATCATTAAGAAATTTAAATTTAAATGATAATCGAACACAAATGGAGGCAATTTACATTTTGGTTAATTTAGGTGAAATTAATTCTCTCACTAGAGGTTTAAATTTGCCAATAAAATATAAGTAAGTTTTCAATTTTATTTTTTAAATTGTTATTTATTTAATTACAAATTTTTATTCCCGCAAAAATTTACTACTATTTTTAAAAAAATTAATTCCAACATTTGTTTTTGCAAATTTTCGATTAGATGAACATATTTACAATAGTTATTTTAAATTAAAAACGTTTTTAAAAAATGTAAGATATTTTTTTTAATTTATCTTAAAAGAAACTTCTTTCAAAATTCACATCCTAATAATGACTTAAATTAAACTAAAAAAAAAACAATGATTAAACACTTTCGAAATTGAAAAACAATTTTAAATCGAATTCACGGTTTTAGAAATAGGGAATTTTTTTGGAAAATACTGAAATAACATCAAATTTCTAAAAATGCTACTAAAATTATAATTTTTGAAATTTTCAATTCAAATTTCTGGTTTAAAAAATTGGCATAATTTTTTTATAATTAAAAATCTCATGAAATATTTTCATTAGGGTTAGGGAAAAAAAAAATTAAAATTCTGACTGGAAATCAAGAAAAAACAAAATACAATTTTTGTAACAACCCTGACGAAATAATTAAATAAAAAAAAAAAACAAATTAATTTACAATTTCATGCAAAATAACAAAATTTAAATTGTAAAAATAATTTAATTTACAAAATAATTGTTAATTATGATAATGGTATTTACATAATTGAATGAAAATGAAAATTATTAAATTTATAAAATAATTGAATTTTAAAACGACTTACATAAATTTACAATAATAATAATAATAATAATAATAATAATAATAATAATAATAATAATAATAATAATAATAATAATTAAAATTAAAATTTAGAGAAATAGATCAAATAATCAAAAAGTTTGATCCAAATAGCACGAAAAAGAATTTCTAACTTAAAAATATAACTTGTGAAGTAGCTAAATAACTGAATTTGCAGAAAAAAATTGAAAATATAAAATAATTATTTAATTGTATCTAAAGTAATTGAATTTTACAATAATTAAATTTAAATTAATGGAAATTTTAATATTAATTGAATTAATTGATCAATGAAATTTTAACAAGTAATTGAATTTTTAATGAATTTCATTTTTTAAAAAACGTATTTTTTTTTTTTTAAGAATTGAAAATTTTAAATAATTAATTTTTATTTTTATTAAATTACAGGATTGTAAAAAAAATTTTATTTTTCCCTGATTTTCAGTAAGAATTTAAATTTTTTACCTTACCCTAATGAAAATATTTCAAGAGGTTTTCAATTTTACAAAAAAATTAAGACACTAATTTTTAGTAGGAAAAGTTTGAATTGAAAATTTTTTAAATTATATTTTTTCCTCTACTTTTCATAAAATTCCCTGACTTTTCCCTGACCCGTGCAGCAACCCTGAATTAACAGTATTACATTAATTTTTAAATTTGTTAAATTTGAAATATAAAGTCTCTTAATTTAGAAAACCTTGAATTTTATTTTCAAATTATTTTAATGGACATCCTGTAATAAATATTGTAAAAATCTTAAATTCTATTTTATTGTTGATGCCAAGTTTTTGAATTACAAATATTTCTGTTGTGATTATTATTATTATTATTATTATTATTATTATTATTATTATTATTATTATTATTATTATGGATTTTGTTAAAATAATATGTGTATGTTATTTTTTAGAGAATCTCGAGAAGTGAAACAAGCAATGGAAATATCTTTTTCTGCCTACTTGAATAATTATGTACGTACCTGTCGATTAATAAGTACATTGTCACCTTTATTGAAATGTGCAGCTTTATGCAATTTAAGAAAAATTAGGAGGTATGTAATTAATATTTAATGATCTAAATAAATCAATATATATCTTTCATTTAATAGAAATAAATTTTCAGCATTTAATTTGCAAAATTTTGTCATTTTAATTTTTAGGGTTGCCTTAGAAATAATGAGTGTAGGATATAATAGCAGAACATTGAGTTTTCCAGAAGAAAAATTGCAAGAAATTTTACTTTATCGTGATATTGATCAAATTAGAATTGATTCTCGTTTTTTTGGATTCATGTACACTAATGGAAATATTTTTTTTGAAAAAGAAAAATTTCAAAACACTGACAAAATTGTAAGTTGTAAAAAGCATATACAATTTAATTATTTCACATTTTTTTTTTTTTCATCAATTTAAATTATCTAATTCTGTTATTTATTTTAATTTTTCTTTTACAAGTTTATGAAATTTTTTTTATTTTCCCTATTATTACTAATAATTATTATATTTATCACAGGCAAATCCAGAAATGTTGTTCAATGAGAAGGAATTACATAAACTTTTACCAGATATTTTATTAGACTAGTGAAGAAACTTGGCAATTGAATTGTATAAAAAAAAGCAATCTGCAAGTGATATAAAATATGATGCAAATTTTCCAGGGTTATTTAAATAGAACAATTACTATTTAAATTTCAAATATATGTATTTTTTTAAGTACATTTTCTATTTATAATTAGAAAATTAAGGGAATTTATTATAAATTAAAGAAAAATTTGTAAAAACAATTCTCATCTAGAGTTTTATTTTAAATATTATATATATATATGTAATTTTGTAAATAAAATTACTTTATTATGTTTATATATATAAAAGATAATTTAAATTGATTCTTACGTGTTTAAATATTAAGCCTTATGAGAAAAACTTACAATTTGACAAATCGGGAATAATTTTTCATTTTTGAAAAATTACTTTTCTTTCCTTTTTTTTTTACTGAGAATCACTCGATGAACTACTTGACGAATCTGTTGACATAACTTCAACATCTTCGGTTTCCTGTTTGTGAGTGTTCATCGCGACACTTCCCTGTCCACCCATTGTCATGTGAATTTCGCCCGATGGATGCCATGCAAATTGATTTGCTTGCGATACTGGTGGTTCTACGAAAATTGGGTAAAAATTACATTTTTTTTTTCAATAAAAAATCTTATAATCCGATTGTATTAGAATATGTAAAATACCTGCAGGATGTCCCGCTCTATGTAAATCGGCTGGAATACCTGGATGTGAGCCCATTAATTGTCCATTTAATGGTAGATCACTTAATCTTCCCAAATATCCCAATCTCATTTCAATATCTAGAAATTAAATAAAAAATCTTAATTAATTAGTTAATAGTTAATTAATTTTTTAAACGTTTCTCATGATTTTGAACAAAGTACTCGTATGGATTTCAAAATTTTTTTCATTTTTTCAAAAAAAAGTTTCTAAAATGGTCAAAAATAATTTTTTTTTTAATTTTGAAAACGTAAAATATTTTTAGATCTTAAATAATGTCTAAAATTCTCAAAGCCCCTCCCCCTCTTAAAACCAATTATCGTACAAAATAACCACCTAATTTGTATCTATACGAATTTGGAACAATTTGATTTTTTTATGAATAATTAAAGCAATAATAGTTTAAGTTGGTAAATTGAATTTTGTATAATTTGAAACTTAAATCAATTAAAAGTTAAGTAAATTAAAGTTCTTAAATTCTTAAAATTGAAATAAATTAAAATTTGAACAAATTAAAATTAGAATAATTTAAAATTACATTTTTAGGCCTCGGATCGACTTTAAGGCATAAAAAAAGTCGTTTCAGTCGATTTTTTTAATTTAAAAAAAAAATTAATTGGTTAATGAATATTTTACTTTAAATAACTAATGTTATTAGATATTAAATTCATTTTATTAATTCTGTAATGAGAATAATTCTATAAAAATATTATCAAGAAAATTTATTTCCAATATTTCACAATTGAATTAATTATTGTAAGTCAAATTTTCAAAATATTTTTAAGTAGAACAAATTTCCAAAAAAATTCTTGAAGTTACATTTTTATAATTTTTTGAAGTTTGATATAAGCAATTTAATCGATTTAAAAATTTTGTCATTAGTTTTTTAGTTTTGATGGTCAAAATAATTTCAGCCAAAAACTTAATCAAGTTTTATAGATTTTTTATTAAAATTTTTTTTTTAAATAATAATAATTTTGGAAGAGTTAAAGTTAAAATTATTAGAAATGATTGAATTTCAAAAAATTTGATTAATTTTCAGACAATAATTAAATTTTACAGAACTGAAAATAATTTAGCAAATAATTTTAGATAATTTTTTTTAAAATGAATTGAATTGTCAAAGATTTACAATATTTAGATTTTTGAAATTAATTCAACTTCATGTGATTTTTAATTAAAATTTTTTGATGATTTCTGTTACCAAAAAATTTATTAGAAATTGCAGATAAAAATATAATAATTTGAAAACTTTTTAAGTGAAAAATGGTTTCAGATAGTTGAATTTTCGAAGAATATTATAAAAATCATTAAAAATAATTTGATTTTACAAGCTTTTAAATTGAAATTTTTGAAAATAATTAAATTTCAATTGATTTTGAATTGAAATTTTGAAAAATAATTGAATTTTATTTATTTATTTATTTATTGTAGTATTTACGGGCTAGAAGCCCTTTTGTACAAAGTACTTAACAAATAATATAAAACTAAATAACATTTTAACAGAGACAGAACAAAGCTAAGAGAAAAAAAAAAAAAAATTCAATTGATGTTACTATTATTATTGTTTGTGCCAAGTCTGTTAATTTAGATCCGCATAATTTACTAATTGATGTGGCAGAAATGTCCAAATCGCTATCAATAGTGTTAGATAATTTACAGATCAAAGTAAAAGTTGCGATTTGAATTTGGATGCATAGAAAGTAAACAATAGATAAAAATAAAAAATTAGACCAAATGTTCCATTATCACCACACCTAATTTTATACTAGAAATTATCAGGTGATGTTACATGGTCACTAAAATCCCTCTTCCACAAAATTTGAGAATCCAGTTTAGTTCCTATGAAAACGAAGGAAGAGAGGGAGAAGCAAAGGAAACAGTCTGTTCGGATAAGTCTACTGAGCCTAAGATTTTTTTTTTAATTGATTTTGAATTTAAAATTTTGAAAATAATTGAATTTCTATTGAAATTGGTGAAAATAATTAAATTTCAATTGAAATTTTGAAAAATAATTGAATTTTTGTTGATTTTAAATTGAAATTTTTGAAAATAAATAAATTTTACTTGTTTTTAAATTGAAAATGTTGAAAATAATGTTATTTCAATCGAAATATTGGAAAATAATTTAATTTTACAAGCTTTTAAATTGAAATTTTTGAAAATAATTAAATTTCAATTGATTTTGAATTGAAATTTTGAAAAATAATTGAATTTTAATTGATTTTGAATTTAAAATTTTGAAAATAATTGAATTTCTATTGAAATTTTTGAAAATAACTGAAGAATTTATTAGAAATTACACACAAAAATTTAATAATTTGAAAACTTTTTAAGTGAATAATGGTTTTAGATATAGTTGAATTTTCGAAGAATATTATAAAAATCATTAAAAATAATTTGATTTCACGAGAGTTATAATTGAAATTATTAAATTTCAAAAAATTTTAGATGGAAATTTTTAGAAATAATTAAATTTTAGAAGCTTTTAAATTGAAAATTTTGAAAATAATTAAATTTCAAATTGATATTGAATTGAAATTTTGGAAAATAATTGAATTTTAGTTGATTAAAATTAGAATGAATTTAAATTTAGATCCATTAAAATTGTAATTAATAAATGTTTCAACTAATTTAAATTTATTGAAATTTGTCCAAAATAATTTTTAAATCGATGAAAACTTTTGATAAATTCAAACTTCAATCAATTAAATCATTTATATAGAAAAGATATGAAAAATCTGTAATTTTGTATGTTCTGTAAATTAATATAAGTTCAGGAATGATAAAAAAATATTCTTTGTTAAAGTAATAAATAATTTTTCGACATTTCTGACCTTAAATCAATGTTTTTTAAATTTAATTATTATTATTATTTTTTTTTTTAATATTACACACTTAAATTAATCGAAGAATAAGAAAAGTGAAAAAGGTAAAAAAAAAATTTCCTGTCTTTATACCCCGTGGCTAAATATTTATGAAACATTTCACGTGAAGCATTTATTTAATTTTTTTTTTTTTTTTATTATCGTGAAGAAAAAAATAATGTTGACTTTACCTGTTGGATATGGTCTTCGAGGATCGCCCTGTTGCCATGTGAGAGGAGCACAAACGGCATTTGACGCACTAATTCGATGAGCAAATTTAATTAATTCTTCAGATGCAACTGGCCGTTTATTGGCGCGAGAAATTGATAGTAATTTTTGTTTAGCTTGATAAATGGCAGTGGCTAAAATTTGTTCTGCTTCCTTAAGTTGACGTTGTAATTGTTGAATTTCCTGATCCTGTCTTTCAACTTCGGCTTTTAATGCTTCCATTTTCAAATTTATTTTCCCCTGTTCCGCTGCCTTTTTCAATGTTTCTTTTAATTCCTTATCTTTAGCAATTAACAATTCGGTTAATTGTGCATGTTCGGTACTTGATAATTTAGCATGTTTTTGCGCTACTGTGTTTTCAATCATTTCCCTAAGAAAAAGGAAACCCCCCCCCCCAAATTTCAATAATGATTAATAATTTTTTACACGAATACAAACTATTTACAAAAATATACTAATTAAATTTTTTTTTTTATTATGGAAATATTGCAGTAAATACAATCGGTCATTCTTTACCATAACCTAAAAACTTCATTTCAATTTACTTTAAAAAAAAAAAAAAAAAATTTTAATTAATCTTAATATTAAAATTTAATCTAAATTGTCTTGCAATAATTGTATATTTAAAATTGTAAAATTATGTTTTTTTTTCAAAATATCGTATCATTGAAAAATTATTTTCAGGTTATTTTACAACTTACTTTGCAATTAATTCAATATCATCTATTAATGACAGAAGTTCTTCTCTAGTACTTTTATTCGCTGCCATTGCCATGTTTAATTTATACTCACTTTGATAAAAAGAAAAAATAGTTTATAACAGTTTTTTTTTTACAAGAAAAACTAATGTTTATATTTTTACACGTTCTTGTGTTGTGTCAAAGTGTAACTTAAGCATGCGCAGTAGTGATTATAAACTGTCAGCACTGTGCTCAACTACCAGGTTATGGCCGGATATGCATGGTGCAATACCTTCATAGTGCCAACGTTAAACCAAATACTACTACATACTACTGTCAGCACTGTGATTTTGTTTTATGCGCAAAAATAGTAAATACCGGTATTTATATATATATTATTTAAGCATATATAAATAAATAAATAATACATATGAAAGAAAGTGTTAGTATTAAGTATATAAAGTGTTAAACAAAAGGTATTTTTAGTTTGTAATCATAAAGTCTTTAAAACAAATATACAAATACACATTTTGATGTTAGAAACGTGTATTTTTATTCTTTTATATTAGGTTATTTTGAACATTTATTTATATAAACGCAAGTATCCAGTACTTTTATTTTTGAACAAATTCGTTTTTAAATCCATAGTAAGAATTAATTATTATATTATTTACAATAGTTTCCATTTTAGAATATTGTAAATATTTGTTGTGTTCGTAATAATATTTGACAGTGGCGTAGGAACTGGTGGGGCAAGGGGGCAGTTCCGTTTCCCAACCAATTTTTAAGGAAATACATGCAAAGTGTATGTTTATATTATGGTTTGTCACTTCGTAAAATAAAATTGTTTCTACGTCTCCGTTTAGTTTGTCTTCTTATTTTTTTCTATAGAAAAACGACTTCGCTCTTTGAATTAAATTTTATTTTTTTTAATTCTTTTCAAGATAGTAATTTTTTAATATCATTAATTGTATAGAATCTTAATATAGACATTTAAGCATTTTTTACATAAGTTTTTCCTTCAATCGAAAGAGTTCATTGAATCATATTTCTTTGATCGTTTTTGATTAATCACATATTATTTGCGAATAAAGTCCATACAAGTATAAATATATTAAAATAAGGATATTATGAGATTATTGCGTGGATTTGAAGAGAACATTAGTTACGGTCGGTGCAAGAAGTGAAGGTCATAGAAAAAAAATGTATAAATAAGCAGTTTATATGTATGATGATGCGTCAAAGTGATTCGTTTGGTATTTATATGGTGTATACATATATATAATAATAATGACTGAAAGACAAGAAAGAATGTCCTTCTTGAGTTCATTACGTGCAGATTATGCGGGTTACTCTCAAGTTGTTAATTTGGTATTGCGTGAATATATTCATAACGAGAGACATAATATTATTATGTTTCTATGTAACTTTCTCTGCGTATGTTAATAAGAAGTCAAATTTCCCTCATAAATAATATTTTATTTGTTCTTTATTTTCAAAAAAAAATAAATAAATAACTAAAAACAACTAGGGAAAAATTAAAAAGAAAAATATATAATCACACTAATTTTTTTTAATTAAAATTTTAAAAAAAATTTAATTTATTTTTTGAGAAATTCTCTGTACTTTTAATTTTTTTTTTTTTTTTGTTTAGAAATCATTCATTATGATATATATTATTCTCTACAAACATAATTTAGATAAAAAGTTGTTTTTTTTTTGAATGTCTATGAATTTTGGAAAAATAAACATAAATATAATTTAAATAGATACAATTAAAATTAAATTTTATCATATAATTTTGGAAAATTTTGAAAACTTAAGAATAATGGTGTACCTATATGAATTTTTTTTTATTTTGTTTTATGTTATTTCTATTATATTTATTTTATTATTATTTTTTGCAATTTGTTATATTAAAAAATTTTTTATTATTTTAATCTACCTGATTTTTTATCTAATATTAAAATTTTTTTTTCACGTCAATGAACTTCATAACATTTATGATGAATTATTTAGAAAAAAAAAAATATTTCTATTATGCAAATTATTATATAATTTTTTTTATCTAAAACATTTTTTGCAACATTTCTCAATCAATAATTATTATTTTTTCAAGAAAAATTTGTAAGCAAAAAATTAATTATTATTTTTTGAGTAACAATTTTGTTTTCAATTATTATTAATCATAAACTTTATGAATTTCGACGACGTTTTTTTTCCAAATTTTATTAAGTATAAAAAAATAATTTATTTCTTTTTATTATTTTTTTCTGTTTATTATAATTTTAAAGATTTTTTTAAAGATCTTTATATCGATAATGTTAAATATATTTTAATTCTTTTTGAAAAATCGAAAAAGTTTAAAAATTTTATGTATTTTGCAATAATAAAATGTTATACAATAAATTATATATTTTTGGAAATTGATATTTTTATCAAATTGATATATCTGGTATATGGAAAAATTAATAAATCAAAATAAATCTTTTTTTTTGACATTCTGTGATATGAAAAGCAAACTTTGTCTCTTCGAGTTTATTATAGAATATATATGAAAAATTGTATCACATTTGAAAAAAATTTTCAGTGATTTCGATTAAAAAATTATTATTTGTAATTAAAAAGAAAATTAACGATTTATCAAAATTTTGATATTAAAAATTGTTTAAAAATTCGAAAATTAAATAATTTTCATTGTAAAATAAAAAAAAAAACTTATTAAAAGTAGGTATGTCATTTTGATATTAAAAAAGAAGTTACTCTTTTTTTTTACAAGATTCATTAGAAACAGGTTTTTGCGGGAGAATCCAAAGACGTCACAAAATAATGATTCACAATAATTTTACAGTTTTACATCGACTGTCATAAACGTTTCATAAAAATTAATGATATTTAATATATGTATTCTTTAGTAATTGAGATGGGGGATTACCCTATTGATTTTTTCAAGTCCTTTTTCTGATATAATACAGGATCTTATTAAGAACACGCATTTTTTTTTTTTTTTTTTAATTAATTTTTTCCCTAGAAGTGATTTTATTTCTTTTGTAAAATTATAATATTTATTGAAAAATGAATTGAAAAAAATACACTCTTGAGAGTAATTTTTGCCATTGTACACTGAAAAAAAAATTTATTTGATTCAAATACTTCAAATTATTTGAAAAATATTTAATTGGTTCAAATACTTTTTATTTGGATCAAAAAAATATGTATTTGATTCAAATAATTTGAATGATTTGAATCGCATTTATTTGAACCAAATAAATCGTATTTGGCTCAATTAAATAATTAATTGAATTGAATAAAAATGAATTTATTTAATACAAATAATGAGTTACTTGAAACTATTCATTCATTTATTTCACTCAAATATTTCGTTTATTTGATATAAATAAAAAGTATTTAACACAATAAATTTATGTAATTGATTCAAATAAACTGAATTATTTAATACAAAAATAATTCGTTATTTAATGCTATAATACACTATTTTATCAAGACAAATAAAAAAATATTTCAATCAATTAAATATTTATTTGAAACGATAATAATGATTTACTTGAAACAATTTATTTATTTCACTCAAATATTTCATTTTTTTTATACAAATAAAAAGTATTTGATGCAATAAATTTATTAATTCTAATTAATTAAATTATTTAATATAAATAATGCGTTATTTAATGTTAATACATTATTTTATTAAAAGAAAATAAAATATTTTTATCAATTAAATATTTAAGTGTAATGAGAATAATGAGTTATTTGATATTATTCATTTATTTATATATATTATTTAATATTCTAAGTCCAAAAGTCAAATAGTTTTTCATCAATAAAAAATTAATGTTTACAATGATTCAGAACAACGAAAAACGCGTTTTTAATAAAATTATATATACACTTTTTTTGAAAATTCACCTGAGATGATTCATGATAATAATCATGAAGCATAATATAATTAATTATATTTTATAAATTGCATTTAATTGGAAAATATAAATTATATCTTAATATTAACTAAATGATGTTAAGAACTTTTCTGAGGTAGGTATTTTGCAAGTTTAAATGGCATCAAGAAGTTAACATTCGTTTTCACGTAGCGTGCGTAGCGTAGTTGGTAAAGCGTTAGACTCATAATCCGTAGGCCGTAGGTTCGATTCCCCCCATGGGTTAGATTTATTTATTTCTCAGTTTTGCGTTTAATCATTAATTCTAAATAAATATGAATTAGTTGAAAAATGAAAATATTCGATCATAGTATGCAGAAATTACATATTTTTTAATTTATTTATGTGAGTAAGAATTTAATTTAAAAATGGAAGAATTAGTTAATAATATTAATAAATATGTTATTTATTCAATTCAAATTTTAATTTATTTGAATCAAAAAAATTTTTACATTTTATGCAAATAAATTATATATTTGAATCAAATAAAATAATAATTGCCGCAATTAAAGAGGTTTTAGTTTCAATTAAAACAATATTACTTATGATAAATAATCGAATATTTGATTCAAGAAAATTTTTAGTTGTTTCAAGAAAAATATTTTATTAATGAAAATAAATATTCATTTGAATCAAAAAACATTCAGTTGAATGAAATAATTTTCATAATTGATTCAAATAATTATTTATTAGCTTTGAATATTACATTTATTTGATTTGAATATTTTGTATTTGATTCAAATAACTATTTATTTGATACGATAAAATAAAATACTTACGTTTACTAAATGTGTATTTGATTCAAATACATATTTATTGGATAATAGACAAGTAAATGATGTATTTGAATCAAATACTTTTTATTTGATCCAAATAAATTTTTTTTCCAATGTATATATATATATATATATATATATGAAAGTAGTGAAATAAAGATTTTATGAATCAGGAAAAATGGCAGATTTCCCTTATCTATTTTTATCTGTTTAATCACGAGTGCATTAATGTCAACTCAGTTATTGAAAATTTGTATAAATTTAAAAATGAAATTTTCTATAATAATTCAGTTTCATTGAATTTTCAAAAAAAAAAAAAAACTTAAAAATTTTTATTTATCAAGCTCGTATAAAATAATTCAAAGATAATTATAATTTATAAAATAAATTACAAAACAAACAAAATTATATTTATTTATTTATATAAATGAATTATTTAAAAAAAATTATTTTTATTCGTTTCTTTGTTATAATTATTAATTATAATATAATTGTAAAAAAAAAAATGTCAAATTATATTTGACATTTGTGTTGTAATTTCAATTTCATAAGAAAGCATAATATACACAATCTTTTAGGGAATAATACGTAAAAGAATCATGGGAATTGCATAATGTTTTTATGGAAAGCCGAAAAATTATTTACACCTATATATTAAGATTAAGATTGCTGACATTTTTTTTTTTTTTTTTTTTGCAAAACATATCCTGTTTTTATTTTTCTCTCAATGACATTGTAAGTATAAATTTTTTACGATTTACCATAAAAAAAACAAGTTTTAAAGAAGTTTAATATTTGATTTATGTATCTTTGTAATTATTAATTGAGTTTGAAAAGTTCTAGACAAAATATTGTGTCGATAAAGGGAATTTAAAAAAAAAACTAAATTTTGATTATATTAAAATTTATCAAGAACTATTATTATTATAATTAATTAATTATAATTTCAAAATAATTAACACTTATAAATTATCTAATTTATTTTTAATGATTTATAAATTATTATTAATATTTTAATACTGTTATTCTATTGTTGTAAATTAAAAAACAATTTAATATTATTATAATTATTAATTATTCTGATTAAAATTACAAAAATTATTTTATTGTTAAAATGCTTATTTAATTTTTAAATTGATAAAAAAAACAAATGAATATTTTAGCAATTGTATAAATGTGAATTTTATGATTATTTTGTCATTTACTCTTAAATTTTATATATTATCGGTACAAGATACAAATTCTTTTTTTTTTTTTGTATAATAATAAAGGTGACTGGACTTTTTATGATTAAAATATCTTTTTTAAAATTACAACAAAAATTGTATTCCTTTTAGGGAGAGAGTTATTTTTATATATTATGTTTACTCTAAATTGCCTGCAAAATAATAGTCTTGGACATAAGTATGTTGAAATTATAATTTCTTGTATATGTATTTATTCAAATTTTTATTCTACTTTAAAAAATTACATTGTAAAATTGCTGTATATAGATAGGAATTTATTTGAAGTTACAATTTTATTTTAAACGAATCGATATTTACAAATATTTTAAATTCCAAGCTACAGTATTGCTGATAAAAAAAAAAAATTGTCAAAAATTCCCTACACATTATTTATTAATGTGAAACGATAATTTTGATATAATTATAATAGGCAACTGTTAGTATAACGTAAAACGAGTGGAACAAATAAATTATTATATAGATGAAAAATAATTGTTCTACAATAAATATCTTTATATGTAAATTTAGGTCATTTAGAATTAATAAATGACCAAATTGTTAATTTCGAAAAAAATATGACATCTGTGCTATCTTCCGGGAATTCTTTGTATTATTGTATCGTGTCTTCTCAAATTTATATAGGTAAAAATAGAAAAAAATAAATTCTGTTTCTAAAAGTATTAATTATGTTTATAAAATTATTTTTATCGAATTTTATTGGGGGATTTTTTTTATCATAAATATACGAATTAAATATATAACTTAATATAATGAATAAAATGTATTTATAAAACGGCTAAAAAAAGTTAACCTATAATTTTGAGATAGTGCGGGTACTAACTGTCACTTCAAAATATAGTAAGTTTTTTTTTTTTATCAGAAGACAGCATAGTTTTACATGGAGGTATTATATCAATAAGTATTTTTTGTTAAATAATATTTATTATAATTATTTGCAATTGTTGCATAATATTTAATTTATCATTTTATATTAGATATCGTGATGCTGTCAGTTAAAGAAAAATAGGGAATATTTATAGTAAAAAATATTTATAAATAATAAAATGTATAGTAAAAATATTTTTAGTAAAAAAAATTATTTATTATATTAAAATGTGTAATAAAAATATTTAATAAAAATGTGTGATTTTTGAAAAAGAAAACACTTTCGTCTTTTTTATATTTTTAAATGTTCTATGGAAAAAAAATTCTAAATTGCAGAAAAGAAATTTAATTACATGAATTTTACTGAAATGAATTTTTTTTCTAAAATAAACGAAAGCAAATATAATTAAATATAAATAATATGCAATTTACTTGTATTTTAATCGTAAATTATTGAAATATCGCATTTATTTTTGTTCTTAAGTAACAATGACAGTTGAAAGATTAAAAATGAATAAATAATATTATTTTGAATTTATCACTCATCGGCGGTATTTAATTATTAAGATGATGATATCGATCCCTCCAAGTCGTGGAGTGATCGATATCGTCATCTTAATAATTAATAAGAATTAATAAACTTAATTAAATACCGATAGAATTAATCGAATTAATTAATTGAATTAAAAAATATTTTTTTCATTTTCGTATTTTTAAAGAGATCAACGATATTTTCAAAAAAAAAAAAAAAAAAAAAAAAAATGGAAGATTGTAGAATTAATCAGAACATTTGTCGGGGGATGAATCTCTAAGATCATAAATGATAATTTGCTATCAGGTTTTTTTTTTATATATATATATATAAAAGAGAACGATGATTTTCCGTGGTGTGGGGTACGAGTGGCCTCTACAAGATTTTTGTATAGGAGAAGGGAACAAAGTTGTTGGGAAGCAGTTCTTCGTTGTCTTTCGTCAGGTGGTAACTGCTTTAGTTGCTGAAGATTTTATTCTTCGGAACTTCTTTGACAGAGTGCCCCTCGAGCTCTACTTCCGGTGGAGAATCGACGGCACTGCATTGCAAAACTAGACGAAAACAATTTTTTTTTCGAAATTAATATTTATCATGGTTTTCATTCAAATAGAAATTATTAAATAATTTTTTTTTTATTTTCGAATGAAAGTGCTTCTTTTAATAAATTGTGGGGAAAAAAAAAATTCGCAAGTGAGAAAAAAATTTTCCTTTTTTCCTGGTGAAAATTTATTTTTTCAAATTAATTTTCTACAAAGTTAAAAAGAAAAATGTCTCATTTGTACAAAGGGATTTTCATTTTTATAATTCTCAACATAAATATTCAAATTATTCTCTCAGGTAAGAATTTTCATCATAGTTTTTCAATTTTTTTTTTTTATTTTTATTGATTTAAAATTTTTTTCATCTGCATTCAGAAATTGATTTAAATAATTTTTTTCAATTTTTTAAAAAGTGTGAGGGAAAAAATTAGATAAATAGTAAAAATTAAAAAAAAATTTTTTTTGTAAATTAAAACTTTCTCTAAAATTGATGTTAAATTATATAGTAGTGACAAAATTAATAATTGTGTATGCAAGTGATAAAATGATAAGAAAAGATATAATTAAACTATAAATTGTTCTCCGAGATAAACTTGAAAAAATGTCAATAAAAATTTTAAACCATTGCAAACTTTTGTGGGACTGTTGATGATTATAATTGAAATTGACTTATAATTATATTAAACCAACGATCAATTTGAAAGACATAATTTATAATGAATTTATATTAATAAATCTGAGAATAAAATTTTTTTGAATAAATTTTTCAATTCAAATAAAAATTAAATCATAAAGCAACAAAATTTATGAATCTCATTGAAAAATAATTCATCCACGTGATTATTAATGTTTAATGTATTTTGATTCCGGACTTTGAATATAAAAATTGAAACATAATTTTTTTTTTATGATTATTCTAATAAATTTACTTATTCGATTTTGGAATTTGAATTTTTATATAATTATTTGTAGACAATTTTTTTTAATTCACTATTTTCATTTTATAACTTCCAGTGAATTAAATAGATTAAAATTAGAACATGGAAAATAATTCTAAATAATAAATTTTTATCAACGATTATGCAAAAATAATTTATTTTTTCAAAATGACAAAAATTGATTTACTTTACTTTTATTGTAATTTGTTTTTTTTATTTAAAAATTAAAAAAAAATATATTTTGCATTTTTCAAGTTTTAATTTCACGTTTGAGTGATTCTATGATTAGAAGTTCTCTTTTTTTTTTTCTTTGACAACTTTTTTTTATAATAGTCTTATATGTTTCAATGGCATGTAATTTTATTTACGACTATAGAATTTTTTTTATCGATGCCAAGAGATAAGTCAATTTTACTAACAATTATAGTATTTACAAATTTATTACACTCTAACAAAACTTTTTCCTCGTCTTTGTAAATATTATAATTTTTTTTAGGAAAATTTTCTTATACGTATAATATTTACAAAAATAACAATTTTTCAAGTGCGTAAAGGTTATAATCAAAACAGGTCTTAGATTACACGACTTTTTCAACTTTTTTCGACTTATTTTAATAAAATTCGACTTTTTCGACTTTTTTTAAAAAAATTTTTAAAACAAAATACGTTTTTTTTTAAGGATACAATGCAAATCTTCTTCAGATCTTCTGTATGTCAATTATTTACCAAATTTTTAACTAAAATTCTTCACTAAATAAATTATTTTTAATAATTTTAATGAAATTCATCACAAATTCAATTATCTTAAACTATTTTTGAATTAAAATTTCTATGAAATGTAATAATTGTTTATAATTTTAAAAAAATTAGCAAATAAAATTACAGAAAACGTTTAACTGAAAATCACTTGAAATTAAATTATTTCTAAAATTTTAATTATTTTTAATAATTTTTTATAATATTCTTCGAAAATTCAACTATATCTAAAACCATTTTTCACTTAAAAAGTTTTCAAATTATTAAATTTTTGTGTGTAATTTCTAATAAATTATTCATTTATTTTCAAAAATTTCAATAGAAATTGAATTATTTTCAAAATTTTAAATTCAAAATCAATTAAAATTGAATTATTTTTCAAAATTTCAATTCAAAATCAATTGAAATTTAATTATTTTCAAAAATTTCAATTTAAAATCAACAAAATTCAATTATTTTCAAAAATTTCAATTTAAAAGTTTCTAAAAATTTCCATCTAAAATTTTTTGAAATTTAATAATTTCAATTATAACTCTCGTAAAATCAAATTATTTTTAATGATTTTTATAATATTCTTTGAAAATTCAACTATCTAAAACCATTTTTCACTCTAAAAGTTTTCAAATTATTAAATTTTTGTGTGTAATTTCTAATAAATTTTTTAGTAACAGAAATCATGAAAAATTTTAAATTAAAAATCACTTGAAGTTCAATTAATTTCAAAAATCTAAATTTGTAAATCTTTGAAAATTCAATTACTTTTTGAAAATGTTATCTATAAAATTATTTGATAAATTATTTTTAGTTCTGTAAAATTTAATTATTGTCTGAAAATTAACCAAATCTTTTGAAATTCAATCATTTCTAAAAATTTCAACTTTAACTCCTCCAAAATTATTATTATTTAAAAAAAATTTTTAATAAAAAATCTGTAAAACTTAATTAAGTTTTTGCCTGAAATTATTTTGACCGTCAAAAATAAAAAATATGACAAAATTTTTAATTCGAATAAATTGCTTAAATCATACTTCAAAAAATTATAAAAACCTAACTTCAAGAATTTTTTTGGAAATTTGTTCTACTTATATAAAATTTTGAAAATTTGTCTTACAATTAGTTCAATTGTGAAATATTAGAAATAAATTTTCTTGATAATATTTTTATAGAATTATTCTCATTACAGAATAATTAAAATGAATTTAATATCTAACAACATTAGTTATTTAAAATAAAATATTCGTTAACCAAATAAATTTTGTTAAAATAAAAAAAATCGACTTTTTTTGTGCCTTAAAGTCGATCCGAGGCCTGTAAAAAAAAACAGAAATTGTAAATATTTTTTTTTTGTTAGTTAATTTTTTTTTTAAATTTAGCATTAAATTTGGTAATTAGTATAGAATTTTTATCGTAGAAAAAAATATAATTTTTTTGCTGCATTTTAACATGAATGATTCAGTTTATCAATGACGAATGATAATTATTTATGACCGGATTAAATCTCGGATTAAATGTATTTGAAAAATAAATCAAAATCAATTTTTTCTTGTATATCCAGACATTAATTATTTGTCTTTTTTATAATATTAAAGACAAATATATAAAAGCAGTGAAAAATTAATTTTTTTTTATTATATATTAAATATTTACAAATGAGTTGTAGAAAAATTTTTTTATACTCTTTATACTTATATCTAATTTTTTTTTTTTACCAAATATTCTTATTGTATTTTTAAAATTATTATTATTATGATACGACAAAAAATTGATGAAATTTTCCTTGTAATGAAAATTCGTTTAAATAAAGAGAAAAATATTATTGGAATAGTTAAATACAATTGTTTTCTTTTTTTTTTTTTTTTTTTTTTATTTTAGAAACAATAATCACAGCCCATGGTTATAATTGGGATGATGATTTTGCGGTGAAAATTCCTGATGAGGTCGATTGGTCAAAACATCCATGTAAAAGACCTTGTAAGTCTAAAGAAATGCCAATGGAGTGTCGCTATAAATTTGTAGTTGAATCTTATCAAACAATGAGCAAAGCTTGTTACGATTGTCCCCGCAATATTACGGATTGTTTTCGTCCACATTGCATCATTGCAGACGGAATTCCACGGCCAATTACCGTTGTAAATCGACAAATGCCTGGACCAGCTATAGAGGTACTATTATAATTTAGAAAAAATTTTAATTCTTTAATTTTTCATAATTTTATTTTACTTTTTATTCATTTGTTTATTATTTTAGATAATTATAAAATATATATGGGTAATTCGCCCGCGTATTTTCACGATTTTCAATCTTCACTATAAACATAACCTATATTTAATTTTTTGCTTTCTATCGCATATTTCTTCAGTTATTTTATTTCAAATTTATTATTTAATTATTCACTATTCGAGACTTGAAATAAATATAATATCAATTTTCTAATTGGGTTTAAAAAAATAACGTCAAAAAACAAAATTTTTTTAGTTTCTATTTTGTAAATTATTCTGTATAGAGAATAACAGTTCCGATTTTGCAAAAAATAAATTTTCAATGATAAAATAATTATTTTAATTCTGTTAAACCTAAAGAAAAAATTTTTTTTTTAAGTAGTGGGAAATTGCACGTGTCGTTTTTTTCTTCTTCGATACTTTTGATGTAATCATTTTTATTTTTCAATTGAAAACCTAATTATTGATAAAAGGCGCATACATGAGGATAATTGTTTTTTTTTCTTCTTTCAAGAATTTTCAAGTACAGTAATTACAAAGTCCAATCGTTTAGTAGAATCGGTAGAGTGCATTGAATAAAATTAGAACAAGATGAAAAGATAAAAAGTGTATGTATGTAATAATAATATATTCACATATGTGTGTGATGAAAAATGTAAATTTAGATATATAGTCTATATTTTATTATTATTATTATTATTATTATTATTATTATTATTATTATTATTATTATTACAGAGACAATTTTCCGTGCAATTATTTGAAAAATTCTGAAAAATGTTTTAATGTATTTCAACTCATTATAAATGTAATTTTGCATTTTATATACGATTGATTATGAATTCGAATTTTAAATAAAGTAAAGGAATTCGATAATTATTTTGGAAGAAATTAAAGAAGAATTTTTAAAAAACTGGTTTTATTTTGCGTGATTTTCTGTGAATTTTTTTTTAAGGGAAAAAAAGAGAAAATTAATTGAAAGATTACAATAATGTGAAATATATTTTGCAGGTGTGTAAAGGTGACCGAGTAATAGTGGACGTAATGAACATGATGTCTTCGGAAAGTACTTCGATGCATTGGCATGGTCAACATCATCGAACAACACCTTACATGGACGGTGTGCCTTTCGTCACCCAGTGTCCAATTTTGCCAGGAAATACTTTTCGCTATCATTACGAAGCTGCCACTCCAGGAACACATTTTTGGCATTCTCATATTGGTAAAGTTTCAATTTTTTTTTTTTCTTTACTTTTTTTATCAGGGAAAACATCACAGCAAAATTTTACTTTAAAAATTATTAAAAAAAAAAAAAAAAAAAAAAAAATAATACCTTCATTTTTATTTAAAAAAAAAAAATAATTTCACGCTTTTATTTTAAATTTTTAATTATTACTATTTCATTTGTTTAAGTTTGGAAAATTTAAATTTTTATGGGTTATTATCACAATTAATTAATTTAAAGATTTATGTATTTCAAAATTTTGACATCTCGAAAACTAGTGAATATTTTGACTTAATATTATTTAGAGTGGAAACATAATCGAAAAAATGTACAATCCATAATAGACAAAAAATTTTTTTTCTAAATGAAATATTTGGAAGGTATTAAATTAAATTTTTTTTTTGATAATTAATTGTATCAAGTTTAAAAATTTTATTTGTTTCTTTAATTTTTTTTTTATAAATTTTCTTAATGCCGTAATAAAAGATTTAGATTAAATTTATTTTTTTTTTGATAATTAATTGTATCAAGTTTAAAAATTTCGTTTGTTTCTTTTATTTTTTTTTTTAATAAATTTTCTTAATGCCGTAATAAAAGATCTAGTTATCATTGATTTTTTGCATTTTTTTTTTAAGTGATCATTTTTTATATATGGCGTAAAATAGTTTCAAGGGGATTTCCAGGATTAATAATAGCAACAAGGAAAGTCCAGTTGGAGGAAAATGTCTAACTAAATACTTTAAATATAAATAGTCTTATTAAGCAGCATTGAATTAATTATAAATTAATAAAATAAAATTGATTAATTTATAATAATTTATAATAATTTATAATAATTCATAATAATTCATAACAATTTATAATAATTTATAACAATTAAAAATTAAATTTATGAATAATTACAATTTAATCTAATTAATTAATAATAATTAATTTCTATTATCGATTTACATGGTTAGTATTTTTAATTTTCCAATAAATAGAAGAAACAAAATTTTTAAAATTCTCCAGAATTTTATAAGAATTGAAATAATAAATTTAATTTTTAATTTTCCATATTTAAAAAAGAAATGTTAAATTTTTTAATTTTTGTTTTCATTATGCTTAATAAGAATCGTTGAATTATTTTTAATTCAATAATGAATGATTTGAATATAAAGGTTTTAATTTCCAAAATTATAATTTACATTTTTACATGCCATTTTGAGAACGTGATCATTTTAATAACAAAATATGTTCGTCTTATTTATTATTTTGTATTTGCAAATTATGCATCTAGTGCAAAATTAGAATATATTTATACAATTCTGCGTTTATATTATGCAAATATCGCTAAACATTAATTGCTTAAAAATTGCATTTTCGATTTGAATACATCAATGATAAAATTATATTTATCAATAATATTGAAAGTAATATAATTTAGTAAAAAATGTATTTTTTATTTTATTTTATTTATTAAAATATTTGTTTAATAATTCAACAACTATTTGAATAAAATAATATATTTTTTTTTCAGTGAACAATTCTAATCTATCATGCATCTTAATAATAATATTAAATTTTATAACGGACATGAGGTCATGGGATTGAAATCATTCAGGAAAATCAGCTTCCTTAAACGTCATTAACATCCTTTCATTAAAAATCAATTCATTAAAATGTATAGCGTCCAAAGATGAATTATTAGTGTAATTTTTAAAGTCACTTATTATCGTTTTATTGATATTTTACAGTCTGATTCATAAAAAAAAAAAAAATTTTCACAAATAAAACAAAAAGAAAAATTATAAAAAGAATTTTTGAAAAATAAAAAAGAAAAGAAATAATTAAAATTCTGTAAACTATAAAATTATTAATAATAATGACAAATATAATATATAAATAAAATAAATAACTATATATGCAAACATAATAATTATAGGAAAATTTGAATTTAGACTCCAAATATTTAAATAAATTACTTAAATAAAAAAATTTGTCTCCTTAGATAAATAAAATTTTATATATTCTATTTTATATTAAATAAATAATATTTTTCCATATCAATTTTTACTATTATATAGAAATGTAGAAAAAAAAGTTGGTGTATAAATTATTAAAAATTTAAAGAAAATTTATTTCTCTTGATGAAACGTAGAAAAAAATGTCACTTAAAATGCATATTAAATAATAGTTTTTATTATATATATTTTTGTTAATATTCAAAAGTTATTAAAAAAAAAAAAAAAAATGTATTTTAAAGGATTTCAAAGAGGCGATGGAGTATTTGGAGCAATGATAGTGAGAGTTCCATATGAGGAAGATCATCACAAGGATTTATATGATGAGGACAATTTTCAAGTGATAATAATGGACTGGGAGCATAAAATGGGTGGTGATACATTTTTGGGACATTATCACGCTGGGACCAGCAATAAACCGCCAAATATTTTAATAAATGGTTTAGGACAATTTAAAAGTGTTATCGACACTAATGGAACTTCCGTAACCTTGCCAGTAGCTACATATCCCGTCAAGCAGGTAATAAAAAAAAAAAAAAAAAAAAAAACTAATTGAAACCTTGAGTGAAATTTTCAAGGCAAAAATTTTGTGCCTTGCAATATTTAAAGCACTTTCAAAGACATAATAGTGAGTCATAAAGTGTGCTTATGTTTTTACACCTTTATGATAATAAGACTTTCCTCGTGATGATGACTTTGGAAAAAATTCTTGAATCACTTTTTTTTTAACTATTGGTACATTATTTACTTAAATTGTTTCAATTTTTATTTATTTTTTAATTTTTCTTAATGAAATTTAATTAAATTCCATAAATAAAAAAATAGTATCTAAAATTGATTAAATAATATGGAAATTAAAAATAATACTTTCTATTTATATTATTGTTTTTTGTTTCAATTTTTCAATAATGACTCATGTATTTTGTTTTCAGAATATGAGATACAAATTTCGACTGATTAATGCAGAATTTCTGAACTGTCCAATTCAAATGACCATTGACAATCACACATTCTACGTTGTTAACAGTGATGGGAATGACATCGAACCAATGGAAGGTCAGAATTTTCACAATTTCAATTTTATTTCACATTTTTTCGTAATGGGAAAGTTTTATTTCGTAATAAAAGTAAATGTTTATTTTATTTATATTTAATCAACAAAATTAAAAAAAAAAAGCCGCACGTATATAAGAAAGAAAAATAAGAATAATAAAAGAAAATATTATAAAATAATTGAGAGATTCCGTTAGCAAAATTTTTTCCATGAGCAAATTTTGACTTTTTTATATCTTGTTTCAAATAAAAAAAAAAAAAAAAAATTATCCGAATTCATTTGTTTACGTTTAAAAAATTGTAATTTTTGTCGATTATTGACATTTAAAACTTTGTGACGATTACATCAAACTTATATAAAAAATTAGTCTTTTTTGTTTTTTTTTTAATTTTGAAGATTGAGACAATTTATAAAAACCTGAAAATTTTTTTTAAACCGAAAATAAATCGTAAAAACGCCTTGAATTTTGTTTCCTTTATTCATGAAGAAATTAAAAAAAAAAATTCTAAAAATGCGAAAAAATGAAAATATTTAATAAATATTATTGTCTATTATAGCGCAATCCTTAATCTCTTATGCTGGGGAAAGATTTGATTTTATTGTTGAAATGAATCAAGAAGTGGAAAATTATTGGATGCATTTTCGAGGACTTTTAGATTGCGGCGAAGCTTTTACAAAAGCATATCAAGTTGCAGTTATTCATTACGAAGGTGCAAAAAATTCAATACCAAATTCACCGATTTCTTATGAACGACGAGTTCCTCTCAATGTTACGGTAAATATTTAAATTCACAATAAAATTTTAATAAATTTTAGTTTTAATTTTTAATTTTAATAATTATTTTTTAATAGCAGGTATTTTATTAATCATTATTGGAAAATTATTTGAAATTTCAAAAAATTTTGCTCATCTCAGTAGAGAAAAATCTTTTTTCTTTAAACATCAACTTTTTTTATTTAAACTTTTTTGATTTCATTCTGTCACTTTATTTATTATTATATTAATAATTAATAATTTACTAATTATTTTTTATTATTAAATTAGTTTCAAATGCCAAAATGTAAAATAATAATTATTTTTTTTTTTGTAGGAAATAAATGGATTTAACATGGGTACAGAAACAAATGACACTATCAGTATTCCTCTATTTGATTCAATGGATCCTGATGACGAGTCTAATAATAAAGAACCCGATTATCAATTTTACATTACATACGATTATTACAATACTAGTAATCCAGTTTATCATCGAAAGAATCTCTATGATTTTCATCAAGGTAAAATAAACTTATAAAATATAATTACATAAAACTTTTTTTTGGAATACACTCTCTTAAAATAATATTATTTTTTCAAATCTAATTTATTTTGTCTACAAAGAATTGTTTTTTTTTTTTTTTGACAAGAAACAAAAAATTAGAGAAATCAATTTTTGAAATAATTAAATTTTTTTTAAAAACGTAAAAAAGGCAAAAAAAAAAGAAAGAGGAACGATATTCTAATATTTTTATTGACAGGAATTAGTTAAGCGATAAAATTTATTATTGAAGGTGAAGAAACCTTTTCCATCATTAAATGCAATTAGGCTTGAAAGCACATGACCACGTAATGTTTATTCTCATGTCCTCTCGAAACTACATATTGAAAGTGGCCATGAGCTCTTTTTCTACCTTTACTTCTCGGCATTTGAAACTCATCTGCATCTCTATTCGTAACAATAACAATAATTTATAAATAAAAAAAAAAAATTATTACAATTTAAAAAATATTTTTTCCTTCAATTTTATTGCTTTTGTAAAAAAAAAAAGAGAGTAAAGTTCATAAATATTTCTTTAAAAATAAGAAACAAAAGTACCGAGCGAACTTAATAATGAAATAAATATTGCGTGTTGAAATATTCAATTTAAAAAAAAAAAATTCTTTTTTGTATCCTTGAAGACAAAACATGAAAACAATGAGAATTTCTTTTCATTGCACTTGGATAAATTAAAAACAAATTACGAGAATAATTATTGTTTAATTTACGCAAATCGTTAATTACATAGGAATTTATAGTTTTCAATATTTTTGTAAGATTCCCTATAAAAATACTAATTAAAAGAAAAAAAAAAAATTAAATAATTTTATTTTTCTTTAACAGTCAAAAAAGGACATAAGGTCTATACACCTCAATTGAATCATATTACAATGAAACCATCATCGATACCACTTCTTTCACAGAGAGATTCTATTGATACAAATACTTTTTGCAATGAAACAACCGTCAAGAATTGTGATAAAGATTTTTGTGCCTGCACACATGTTCTTCAAGTAAAACTTAAGAGTGTCGTGGAAGTTGTTTTAATTGATGAAGGTAATTTTCCCACGCTAATAATTCATATATTTATAAATAATAATTTTTATTTTTAAAATTTAATAGTAAAATATTATTTTTTCAAAATCAAATTTTAACATTTGACAGAATTTCTTTTTATACAAATTTTTACTTAACAAAATTTTTAGCTACCGAATTTTTGTTTGGCAGAATTTTTATTTTATAATTATTTAAGTTACATGATTTTTTGTTTAAAAGAATTTTAATTTAAACAAATTTTAATTTAACAAAATTCACATATTCAATCGAATTTTATGTGATTCGAATTTTTAAATGACAAAAATTCCAATTCACAAAATTTTAATTTATTCGAATTTTTACTTGTTCGAAATTAGAAATGTCCGAATAAACAATCGACAAAAAGATTTCGGCGCAATTTTCAAAAATTTCCAATCAGAAATTATTAAGAAAATTTTGATTGGTCAATTTTAAAAATTGCGCCATAATCTTTCTCTCAATTGTTTGTTCGGACAAATGAAAATTCGACGTCTTAAAAATTCTATCAATTAAAATTTCTGCTAAACAAAAATTCGGTAGCTAAAAATTTTGTTCAGTAAAAATTTGTATAAAAAAAATTCTATCAAATTTTAATTCGAAAATAGAAAATTCGTTTAAAAAATAATTATTTCTTATAAAATTCTTGTAAAATGAATATTCTAATTAATGATTTTTATGGTATAATCATACTTTCACTGGTTTTTTTTTTCTATTGAAGCATTTTCCTATAACTTCAAATTATTGGATTTTTAGTATAATTCATTAAATTTAATAAAATTGTTTTGTCAGTGAAAATGTCAGGAAATTGTAAAATTTATTCTTGTGGCAACTCTGATTAATTTGATTAATTATCTACTAGATTTTTTTTTTTTTTATCGAACTGTAATTGCATTTATAATTTATAGGCGCCGTATATGACGCGAATCATCCATTTCATTTGCATGGATATGGATTTCGAGTTGTGGCCATGGAAAGACTTGGAAAGAATACAACCGCTGAGGAAGTTAAGAGACTGGATCAGGAAGGACGAATTCATAGGAAACTTAAACGAGCACCGATCAAGGACACGGTCACAATTCCAGACGGTGGTTACACCATAATTCGTTTTTACGCTGATAATCCAGGTGAGTTCCGTAATAAATCATACAAGGTTATTATTTTCTGTCATTATTTAGGATTTTAAATTATTACATATTATTAAAATTTAAAAAAAAAATATTTTTGTCCATTTTGGTAATTTTAATTTTTGCAAAAATTAAATTTTGTTTAAAAATTCATACGATTGATTATTCAAAATCATGAAAGAAGGTTATAAAAAATTCTTCAATGAAAAATACTCAAAATTGTGAAAGAAGTTGAATTTTTAAAGAATCATTTGTAAAATTTAAAACAATAAAAATTTTGATTTTTGAAAAAATTTAAATTTTCCAAAATCCATACGCTTGATTGTTTAAAATTATGAAAAAAAAACCTATAAAAAATTATCAATGACAAATAAAAAAAAAATTGTGAGAGAAGTTCAAATTTTTAATTTTAGAAAATTTCTAGTTTTATTTGAAAAAATATTCAGGCCTCGGATTACACGACTTTTTCGACTTTTACCGACTTTTTTCCAAAAATACGACTTTTTTTCGACTTATTTTAATAAAATGCGAGTTTTTCGACATTTTAAAAAATTTTTAAACAAAATACGTTTTTTTTAGGATACACTGCAAATCTTCTTTAGATCTTCTTTTTTTTCAATTATTTAACAAATTTTTAACTAAAATTCTTCACTAAATTAATTATTTTTAATAATTTTAATGAAATTCTTCACAAATTCAATTATCTTAAACTATTTTTGAATGAAAATTTTTATGAAATTTAATAATTGTTTATAATCTAAAAAAAATTAGCAAATAAAATTACAAAAAATGTTTAATTCAAAATCACCTGAAATTAAATTATTTCTAAAATTTTAATTATTTTTAATAATTTTTTATAATATTCTTCGAAAATTCAATTATCTGAAAGCATTTTGCAATGAAAAAAATGTTAAAGTTCAATTTTTGTGTATAATTTTTAATAAATTCTTCAGTTATTTTCAAAAATTTCAATAGAAATTTTAATTATTTTCAAAATTTTAAATTCAAAATCAACTAAAATTCAATTATTTTCCAATATTTCAATTCAAAATCAATTAAAATTAAATTATTTTCCAATATTTCGATTGAAATTACATTATTTTCAAAATTTTCAATTTAAAAACAACTAAAATTCATTTATTTTCAAAAATTTAAATTCAAAATCAACTAAAATTCAATTATTTTCAAAAATTTCAATTTAAAAGTTTCTAAAAATTTCCATCTAAAATTTTTTGAAATTTAAAAATTTCAATTATAACTCTCATAAAATCAAATTATTTTTAATGATTTTTATAATATTCTTCGAAAATTCAACTATCTAAAACCATTTTTCACTTAAAAAGTTTTCAAATTATTAAATTTTTGTGTGCAATTTCTAATAAATTTTTTAGTAACAGAAATCATGAAAAATTTTAAATTAAAAATCACTTGAAGTTCAATTAAATTCAAAAATCTAAATTTGTAAATCTTTGAAAATTCAATTACTTTTTGAAAATGTTATCTATAAAATTATTAGATAAATTATTTTTAGTTCTGTAAAATTTAATTATTGTCTGAAAATTAACCAAATCTTTTGAAATTCAATCATTTCTAAAAATTTCAACTTTAACTCCTACAAAATTATTATTATTTAAAAAAAATTTTTAATAAAAAATCTGTAAAACTTAATTAAGTTTTTGCCTGAAATTATTTTGACCGTCAAAAATAAAAAATATGACAAAATTTTTAATTGGAATAAATTGATTAAATCAGACTTCAAAAAATTATAAAAAAGTAACTTCAAGAATTTTTTTGGAAATTTGTTCTACTTATATGAAATTTTGAAAATTTGTCTTACAATTAGTTCAATTGTGAAATATTGGAAATAAATTTTCTTGATAATATTTTTATAGAATTATTCTCATTACAGAAATTATAAAATGCATTTAATTAACATTAGTTATTTAAAGTAAAATATTCATTAACCAATTCAATTTTGTTAAAATAAAAAAAATCGACTTTTTCGACTTTTTTTGGAATATAAATCGACTGAAACGACTTTTTTTGTGCCTTAAAGTCGATCCGAGGTCTGAATATTAACAAATTAATTATTTTTTAATTTTTCATATTATAGTATACATAATTTTAAATACTCAGTGTTGACAAAAAAAAAATAATTAAATTTTCCTTTTTTTTGTAATAGGTTATTGGCTGTTTCATTGTCACATTGAATTTCACGCGGAAGTTGGAATGGCACTTGTTTTCAAAGTTGGAGAACATGAAGAATTTCCTCCGGTGCCAAAAAATTTTCCGCAATGCAACAGTTTTATGCCTTTTGCCCCACCGGAAATTGTGGACAATATCGATGCTAATCTAACAGAAAATAGTGTAAGTGAAGTGAATAATAAATTTTTAACAACACCAAATCCAAAGGAAAATGAAATACAAAATACGGAAGATGTGAAAAAATCAATAAAAAGTTGGTTGCCAATTATTCTTCAAGAATTGGGAATTAAGGCAAAATCTTCATCGTCGAGTTTATCATCATCTATCGAAAGTTTATTATTAAATATACTTTTATTTTCATTATTATTTATTATCAAAGATTAATAACTTGAAATAACACACGTCAGTTTTAGTTTAAGATTCGTGGAAATTTTGTAAATTTTTTTCTTTTTGTGCTCGAATAATTTTGTCGATTGAAAGTTAATTTGTTGCTACAGTTAAAAATGTGCGATTTTTTTTTAATAATTTTCATATATTTTAGATATAAAAACAATTGTATTGAAAAAGAATTATTGTTTTTGTTTTTTGTAAAGTTTTTTTAAATTTTAAATACTCAAGTTTTTTTTAAAAAAGATAAACTTTGATATTATACAAAATAAAGTATTTTCAATGCATTTTATAATTCGCATGAAAAAAGAACAAATAATTCGATATAAGAAGTAAAAAGAAAATTTTATGGAAAAAAAAAATTATTTCATAATTTTATTCGATAAAATAAAAAGATGAATAATTTTGATAAAGTAATAATTTATATTTATAGTTTTTATTATTATTATAATAATTTTTTGGCTGATACTTATTATATATATATATTTTTTTAATTTAATTGTATATGTTTTTTTTTGTTTCTATTGCTGTATAATTGTGATATACTTGACGATAAAAAAAAGTATTAAGCAATGTAATTGCAAAAAGTATTGTATATAAAAATATAAGAGAATAAAAAAATTGAAAACATAAGTTTTCAATTTCGGTCTCTTTTTTTTGAATGCTTGAAATGTGGAATATTTATAATAATATTATATATGCGCTTTAATCATTTTAATTGTATTCACGAGTTAAACAGACATGTTTTTGTATATATATAAAGTATTGTTTTCTCTTTCTCTGTGATAATTGTCATTCTTTGAACTTGTGAATGTAAAAATATTATATTGTAAAACACTCTAATTTATAATAAATATATATTTATATTAATAATACATTTTTTAATGAACAAAATGTTTTTAAATAATTAATGTAGATAAGATATGTGGATTATTTAATTAAATTGTTGATACGTAAGATTATTTTAGTTATAATATATTGTTTTATAATTTTTTTAGATATTATTTTATTTTTTTCTTTCAATTATTTATTTTATTTCTTTATTTTTTACTACTTCTTCATTTTTTTATATTATTTCTTCATTTTTTATTATTTTTTTTTATTTTAACTTTTTTCATAATTTATTATTTTATCCTTACATTCTTTTATTACAATTTCTTTAATTGTTTACTAAAATTAACATTTTTTACTGTAATTATTTATACAATCTTTTAATTTTCGGTATTATTTTAGTTTTACTTATTTTTTTTTTTAAATTATTAAATAAAAAATAAATTATTTAGACATTTCATTATTATATTATTATTATTATATTATTATTATTATTATTATCATTATATTTAATAATTAGTAAACTATTTAAAACTATTTGTCCGGTTATTTTCGTTTATTTTTACCTCTCTACAATAATTTTCATTTTATGCTATGGTGTTTTTTTTTTTTATTAGAAAAGTGGATTGTTACAGTTTACAGAAATTTTTTGCTTTTTACAAATTAAAAAAAAAAATGTTCAAAATGATTGAATTTTGTATTGATTTTTGTAAGAAATTTTGAAAATTGTTTTTCAATTTTTAATTTGGCGCGCTTAATATTTATAGTTATAAAAAATCTCACCAGACGTCTCTGCGTGTATTTGCGCAAGCGCAGAAAATTTGCCATAACCTAAAAAGAAGTAAAAAAAAAGAAAAAAAAAAACAACACGAAAAATTCTCTATAAAAATATTGAGGTGGAAATTGTGATAAAATACAGATATAAAAATTAAAAACAAATAAAATTAAGATACTTACGGGATAAACACAAAAAAGTATTACATAATTGACTAAAAAGTATTTTTTCCAACAAACTTGGTAAATAATTTATATATCATATAATCAATTTAATAATCATAATTTATTTTATTTACAAAAAAATAAGTATACTTATAATTATTTTGATATTTTAAAAAATATTATTATTTCAATCAATTTTTGGATATTAATCTCTAAATATATATATATATATAAAAAAATTATTTTTTCAATGACAATTTTGTTCAGATTAATTTTACGAATAATTTTATCTGAAATTGACAATTTTTTAAAGCTATTTGTTTTTTCTATAAATTCAAATCGCTAAGATGTTGTTTTGCAAATTCAAATGAACGAAAAATTTGTTCATTACTTTAAGTTCAAAATATTGGTTTTTTGTATAAATAAATTAATAATTTAATAAATGCATTTATTTATTTATTTTTGTTAATTTTTGTAAGTTTGAATTTTATTTGAAAATATTAATTTACATATTAAAAAATGAATTATTTACTTAACAAATGTTGAATTTCTTTTTTATTTCTTATTAGAATAAAAAATTTATTTGAACGTTCAAAACTTTATAGAGACAATTGAATAATTTTATTATATAATTGAATATTTATATAAAAAAAAAAAAAAAAAATTGAAAACAAAAATTTCAGATTTTCATTCATATTAAAAATGGGAAAGTGGCCTCTGGAAGTTTTTAAAATGTTCTGCTATATGGCTTTTCCCGTTGGTTGTTTTCATTATTTCAATTCACCTGAAAACTTTAGGGAGCTTATATTAAGAGAACGAAGAGAAATATTAGCGGGAGAAACACCAGAGGTAAAACAACAATTTAAAGATTTTCTCGAAGAATATAATAGAAAGAGAAGAATAAAAGAAGTTGAAGCTATGGAAGAAAGTGAAAAGAAATTTCGTGAAATTAATGTACAAAAAATTTCACAAACATTGTCACAATAATAATAATAATAATAATAAAAGTAAATTTACTTTGGCATTTTTTTTATTATTGTGAATTTAAAATCGAAATTTTTCTTTAACAAAAACGTTGTACATATAGAAAATATATATTAATTAGAAAGTGTATAAACTTTTGGATATTTTACGTTGTAAAAAAAAAAGTTAATAAAATAAATATTTATTAAAATATATGAGGTACGATTTGTGTTTAAAACAATTTTTAATATTTTAGATGTTAAACAAAATTTTTTCGATATTCTTTAACATTGATAAAAGTTCTTCTTTTTTTTCAATAACAATAATACTACTAATCAGTCATTTTTCATTATCACAGCTTTCGTTCTATTGGCATTAATCGAGACAAAAATCGCAAGAATGGAAATAATTAATCCTAAAATAATTCCACTACCTAAACCATAAATATCTTCAACTATCCCAACGATTAATGGAGTTAACATTCGGGCAATATTTGTGATACTAGTTCCCATTCCCGTTAAACTTCCACGTTCAGATTCGGGACATCTTTCAAATAAAATTTCAGCTTCTCGTACTCTTAAAATAACATTTGCAAATGCAAGTAACATACCAAAAAAGACGAAAATTTCCACTCTCTCAGTAAACGCAACAACTAAATAACATAGACTAACAAAAATATGAATCATAATATTGTGCTTTTCTAAATTTAATTTATTTTTAAATAATAATTTATTACTATAGCGAATAGATAGACCGCTTAATGCTGCAAAAAATCCCTGCAATGATAAACTATAACCAATTAATTTCGCTGAAACTTGAAATCTTTCACGTACTTTTATTGAATAATTATTAACATAACAATCTTTAGCCACTGATGTTAGAAATTTAATTAAAAATAAATCCAAATATTCATTCCAATTTATATTTCCAAGTCTTCTAATTGCATCAATTAAATTATTTGGAATAATTTTTATTAAATTTGTCAATTCAATTTTATTCACATATTTTTTATCCTCTTTCTTCATTTTATCCCTTGGAGAATCTTCTAAATAGAAGTAAACAATTGCTGAAAAATTAATTTTTAAATTTATAAAAATTGATTATTTTTTTTTTCTTTTGGGAATTTAAAAAATTTTCTAAAAACAAACCAATATTGAGCATGAAGATAAAAGAAGTAAATGAACAAATGTAAAAGAATCCATTTTTAAATTCAGCAAAATGTCCACCAATTGCTGGTCCTAAAGTGAAACTAATTCCTGCTATTGCATTTATTCGTCCAAATATTATTGTTTGTTCTTTCGATGAAATATGATCAGCAATTATTGTTCTTGTTAATGATTGAATATGTTTAAAAATACCTAAAGTAATTCGTAAAAATAACATGAAAAATAAAGAATTCGTTAGTCCCATTAAAAAATAAGAGACACATGTAATTATAAGGCAAAAAATTAAAATATTTTGCCGTCCCAATCGATCGCTCAAGCTTCCCTATAATAAAATGGAAAATTTTTTATTATTATTGTAATTATAATTATTATTAAATATCACAATTTTTGTCATTAAAAAAATTGATGTTTTAGCGTACCGTCAACCGGGGCTATTATACTTAAAAAAAAAAAAAACGCTACCTTTTTTTACTCAGTGCTTCACCAAAATTGAGAATTTAAATTAAAAAAATTTTAATTTTTTTTTAATTCTTAGTTTAGTTATATAAAATCTTTTCTGCAGATAGTTTAAATTACGAGGGAAAAAAATAGAAAATCTAAAAAAAATTTTGTATGAATTGTTTAACAAATTTGAAAATTGAACATGATCTTCCAAATAGAAAAAGAATTGACGATTTATTTTCATTTCTTCAAATGTTATTAATTATTAAAATAATTATTATTAATTATTAAAATAATTATTATTAATTATTAATTATTTTGATTTTGATAAGCATTCTAATGGTGTTTTTAAAATTATTCTAATTTTATTTGTTCGTAAAAAAAATATCATTTTTTATATTAACTTTTATTAGTTAATTAATTAATATCTCGAAAACAAAAAATAATGCCATCTCAAAAATTTAACTATCGATTTATTATGACTTAAACAATATTCATGATTTTTTTCGCGCTTCTAAATGAGGGAGAACATGTTTAAAAGTTATAAACAAATTTTATTTTTTAAACAAATTGTTTAAAAATTAATATTTTTTTTTTTAAATAATTTTTTTCTAAAAGTTTAAGGTCTTCTGCGTAAAAAACATTTACAACATTTTTCTCTATTTTTAGTAGGAAAAAATTTATAAGTAAATTAAAAAAATATTGCTCAAATTTGTTATTGTAAATATCTCGAAAAATATTAAAAATTTCAAATTAAAAAAAATTTCAAAAAAAGGTAAAATTTTTTTTAAATTAAAATTTTTTAGCTTTTTTATTATACAATGCAGATCTACTTCATATCTTCTTTATTTCAATTATTTAACAAATTTTTAACTAAAATTCTTCAGTAAATTAATTATTAATTATTTTTAATAATTTTAATGAAATTCTTCACAAATTCAATTATCTTAAACTATATTTTTCAATTAAAATTTTTATGAAATTTAATAATTGTTTATAATTTCAAAAAAAATAAGCAAATAAAATTATCAAAAATTTTTTAATTTAAAATCACTTGAAATTTAATTATTTTCAAAAATTTCAATTATTATTTTTCATGATTATTATAATATTCTTTGAAAATTCAATTATCTGAAAGTATTTTTCAATTAAAAATTTTTGGAATTCAATTTTTTTTATGTGATTTCTAATAAATTCTTCATCAACAGAAATTACTAAAAATTTCTCTTATTATAATTATTGTCTGAAATTTAACACAATCTTTTGAAATTCAATTATTTTCAAAAATTTCAATTTAAAAGTTTCTAAAATTTTCTATCTAAAATTTTTTGAATTTTAATAATTTCAATTATAACTCCTCTGAAGTCCAATTATTTTTAATGATTTTTTTAATATTCTTCGAAAATTCATCTATACAAAACCATTTTTCGTTTAAAAAGTTTTCAAATTATTATATTTTTCTCTGTAACTTCTAAAAAAATTTTTAGTAACAAAAATATCAAAAATTTTAATTTAACAATTACTTGGAAGTTTAATTAATTTCATAAATCTAAATTGTAAATCTTTGAAAATTCAATTACATATTTTTAAAAAATGTTATCTATCAGCTTTTCTTAAATTTTCTATTTTTGTTATAAATTTTTTTTTAAGTTTTAATTATTTTTCTTTTCTACTTATTTTAGTTATAAAAAAACGACTTTTTTTAGTCGATCCGAGGCCTGCAATCTTTTTAAATTATTTTAGAAGAAAAAATTACTGTAAAACATATAAATATTAATGAAAGTCACTTTTTTGAGGTTATGTTTTACCCTGTGAAAACAATTATAATTTACATATATTTCTGTTTTTTTTTACACAAAAGGATGTCAAAAATGTATGGAAAAGATGCACTATACATTTGTTTAAATTCTATAAAAAAAATTTCCGAAAAATAATTAATTAATAATAACATTTAGCGCCCTCTGTAATAAAATTATCAAGCAATATTTACACCAAGTGGCAATTTTATTAATTAAAAACTAGCGCCGAGAATAATAGCCCCTGAGTGAATAGAATCGTTCCGATTGATGATAGTAATATTATTTTTTTTCTAAGTATTTATAAATTGTAAAATAAACTTACAATAATTGGTCCACTTAAAAGTTGACATCCTGCATAAACGGAACTGAGAACTCCAATAAAAAAGTGACTAGCTCCTAAACTTTTTAAATGTCCCGAAAGAAGTGGAATAAAAATACTGATTCCAAAAAAATCCTGAATTAAAGAATTTATTTTGTTTTGAAATTTTTGTTTTCTTATCACATTACATTATTATTATTAACGAACTAATACTAATTAACATAATAATTTTTTTTTACAAAATATATTTTATTTATATAATATAAAAATATTTTTATTATTAAAATGCAGTGAAATTATATATATATATAAAATATATTTACCAGAAATGTAATAATGTAAGTCCACGCCACGTGAAACGTCATATTTTAAACGAAAATATAAATTCTGGAACCTTTTTATCTGTTGCAGTAACGCGATTCACCAGATTCTGGACATTATACCTACTATCTTTCTAATTGCATTTTGTACATAATAATAATTACATCACAATATACGTAGCATATGTAGTTATAGTTTTAAACGTCACATTATAGACAAAAAAAATAGGTTGTAGAGTGTAAATTTTCAAAGTCATGCTCATAAATAAAATGCAAAATTCATTTACATTCATATATTTATTCTAATCTCTTCAAATTGCAATCTACAGTCTTTAGAAATTTTACTTAATTTACTAAAACTATAAATCAAATTTATTTAAAAGGTTTTTACAAATACAGAATCGTGGACACATCAACTATTAAGTATTTATTGAAAAAAAGGTATTAAAGAATTTATGATTTTGAGGTTATGATTCTAACATATATAAACACATTTTTTTACTTTTATTTTTCTTTGAGTAAATATCGAATGATAAGATAAAAAATATATAAAATGATATTTACTTTATAATTGACATTCTTAAAGTCATGTATAGTGGAAGAAAAGTAAACAAAAGTATTCATATTTTTTTTTTAAATAAAAGAACTAGTTTCGAGAATTATTGTAGATGGCGAGCTGTTTAAATTCTCAACAATATGAAATGTAACTTTTTTCAAAATAAGAAAATACAATAAGTGTATATTAATATAAATTGTTTATAAACAATAATTGGTAATTGTAAGTGGTAATTGTTTATAAAAATTTAACCTTTTTATTCTTTACATCACTGACAACTGGGAATTCAGAATGCAACCCGACTTACTTGCATGATGTTTCAATTATACAGTAGTGTACAACAGGTTGCATAATTTAAAATGATAATTTGGATAAATAAAAAAATTTTAAATGACAAAATACAGTAAAAAAAAGATTGTTACAACAAGTTTAATAAAAAGACAATATAAATATTTAATAATTAAGTAAATTGAAAGAAAATTAAAAACTTGTTTATTTTAATTATTTATAAATTTTTTTTTTAAATATTAATTTTTATTTTATTATATTTATCATTTCATAAACATTGATAAAAAATTTTTGAATTTTTTTTTTAACTTAGGCTTCATTTTTACCTGTTGAAAAAGTGTACAAAATTTTAGAGATTTATTCGAGTAATCGAAAAAACAAAATATTGTCAAAAAAGAGACGAAAACAAGACGAAAGGCTTTAGACTTTATTTTCACCCTCTAAACATTCAATTTATTATTATTATTATTTTTAATTAATTAAAAAAATTCATAACTTTCATATTTTAGTCTCTATTGAAAAATGTTAGAGGAAAAAAGTGTTTGATTTTGGGAGTATTTTATGGGAAAAATATATAAAAAATTTTTTGTTCAAAATTGAAAATTTTGAATTTTTTTGAGACTCAAAAAATTCCTAACTATAACCAAAATATCACGAGTTGAAATTAAAAAACATTAAAATTTTTTGATTTCTAAAAATGCAGTTTTTTCTTATTATTTTGAAAAGGAAAAAAAATAGAAAGATGTAGAATTTTATTCTTTACAAGGAACAATATAATTAAAATTGTAAATTAAAAAACTTTTGAAAATCGACCTACTGCACAACACTTATACTCGGCAGATCAGAATCCACGCGTATCACCTTATAGCATCCAGTCCCTCAATTATTTTTTCAATTTTGAAAGATAGGGGTAAGCGGTACATCAGTTGAGGGGCTGATAGTAAAAATGGTTTAAAATAACATTGGGAGCAAAAGTGGGATAAGTGACTTGGGAGCAAAAACGGGTTAAAATGATTCGTGTAATTTATTGATAAATTCATTATATTATCGATTAAAAAATATTAATTATAATAAAATAAGCATTTTTTCCTATTGTTAATATTTTTTAATCGATAATATAATGAATTTATCAATAAATTACACGAATCATTTTAACCCGTTTTTGCTCCCAAGTCACTTATCCCACTTTTGCTCCCAATGTTATTTTAAACCATTTTTACTATCAGCCCCTCAGTTGTTGCCCCCCTCACAGTGATTGCCACCATTACATTACAAACAGAAATAATAACGAAATTTACATATAATATTTTGTTTTATTTATTTATATAAATTCCACAGAATATTCTGCTAATAGTGTAAAAAGATTTTTATTCTTCGACTCACTATTATGAAAATAATAGCGCTTTTCGAGAACAGTGTCCTTAGATCTTTGAAATTTTGTCAATTTAGTTGTAAATTTGCAAGGTTAGTGGTGATACTTTCTTTGACTTTTTAACGAAAAAATTATACATATCATTATTATTTTTTAATTATATGCATGAAAATAAGTTTAATAATAAGTAAAAAAATTTGTTTTAACGTAATTTGACTCAATTTACCGAAAATTATAGAGAACAACTACTATCTTGCAATTAATAACAAATAACAGTCATTGGGCAATGTTTAATTTTTGGTTATTATGTCATTTTTCAGTGATTAACCGTTTATTTTCAAGACTTTTTTGAGATAAGTATTTTTAATTTTTGGACGTTTTTTCATATTTGGTGAATTAATTTTTTAAAATAAAGATGTAATTAGAGCCGCAGCATGTATTAGAATGATTTGTAATATTTTATTAATATTTTTCTAATATGAAGTATGATTTTAGGCTATCGAAAAAATGCCGAAGGTAAAAAAAGGTGTTTCGTATATGCTTCTTTAAGCAATGAAAAACTTGAAAATCATGTAATCATTATATCAAATCAAAATAGCCAAAAATAATTTTTATTTTTACAATTGAGTCAGATTCGACAATTTTCCCAATTTTTTAGGTTAATAGTATTATTTACACTTAAAAGTCATATTTAATGAATCTTATTATTGTTAATAAAAGAAAATTATTTTAAAAATTACTTCTTCTTTATTAATTTCAAATTATATTCATATTCTTTAATAAATTATGCAAAATTTATAATTTACATTACTATTTTATGTCTAGTGGGCAATCATTGTAAAATTGATGGTCAATCACTGTAAAAATAATGACAATCACTATTTTTTCTGTCATGTGAAGATTTTTTTATTTTTTTTTTAAATTTATACTAATATTAAATAAACAATTCATTATTATTTTCAGATTAATGGAATATTTTAATTCCTTTACAAATAGTTTCATTTCTCATTTCGATAATTAAACATTTGTAATTTGTATAAATATATCCCCTTTTTGCTTATACTGGCAATCACTGTACCGTTTACCCCTGTAGGTAAAAGTTTGACTACTTAATAATTTACAGTCTGTGATTTTGTAAATTCGAAAAAAAAGATGTTTTACAAATTTTGATTTATTTTAATTATTTATTGGGGTTAGTCCACTGACTTTCGTCTAATAGTGGTTGCGACCAAATTTTAAAAAAATCTAGTTTTAATATATGTGAAACTCGATGATTCCCTGAGTTCATTAACCATAATATTATGGTAAAAAATTTATTCCCTTTAAAAATATTAAATATCAAAAGTAGTAGGTTCACAATGTGATTTTGTAAGCTTCAATTTTTCAATTTTTTTAAAAACGCTATTATTAAAAAACTATTAAAAATTAGATGTTGGAACTCACCAAAAACATAAATCACTTTATTCTGCACAGAGGAACGAAAGAATTATTGCAAAAATTTATTATTTTTGGATGATATACGATTTTAAGGCCATCCGAGAAAAATCTCTAACCTAAAAGTGTTTTCCCGCGCGAGATATTACTCGTAAATAACTTGAAATATCTTGTTCGGATTTGTCGGATTAATTAGATGAGGGCGAGCTGATTAAGAATCATCTCCATTTTTACAAGTAATTTTGTTGAAAAGTATTGAAAATCGTGGTTATAAAAGTTGGATTTTTGACAGAAGTGGGGACAGACATTGAATCTATGTGTCAGTGGCCCAGAAGGTGGCGCCAATTCTAGCTAGTGGCCGCTGCTGAACTAACTTACCCCAAATTACTCCACTTTAAATCTTTAATAAAATTATTTCCTCACAATATTATTGCAAAAATGGAGAAGAGTGATGAACTCAGTGACCCTTCCTCTATTATTCCTCCAAATGCCAACTCGAAATACTTTATCCTTTAAAGATGAGAAGAAATTTACGAAACCCCTTTTTGCCAATGTTTAAACATTTTTTTCAATAATTATTTATCAAGATTATGCAAAATTCCGAGAAGAGCCCCTGGCAGGGTACCTTCCTCTATTATTTTCAAAAAATTACAATCTAAAATATTCTATTTTTTTCAAATGAGAAGAAATCTACAAAACCATTATTTTCTCCCGGATGCCCTTAAATAAAATTTTGTTCGATTTTGGTGGAAAAATACATTTTTTTCATAAAATTGTCATTTTTTCTTGAAAAACTTTGATAAAAAGTTAATCTTCAACTCTAATCGTGATCGCTTTTTTCCCCTGTATTTTTCCCGTAAAAATACATTTGTATACTTAAATATGAACTGTCTGGGTTGAATATTGTGTGCGCTAGGGAGAAAAAATCAATTTTTTTTCGAAATTTTTGATTTTTCCTTGACAACGCTATGTAAATTGATTTGAATCAAGTTCGCTATATTTTTCCTGTAATTTTCACGTTAAAATACGTAAGTGTGCCAAATTTGAGCTCTTTATGTCAAAGGATGTGGCTGCAAGGGGGGGGGGGGTTACATAGTCATTTTTAGGCATTTTTCGTAAAAATTCATGGTTTTTCCTTGACAACGCTATGATAATCAATTCCTATCAGGTTCGCTATATTTTTCCTGTAATCTACACGCGAAAATACATATGTGTACCAAATTTCAGCTTTCCAGATAAATTCGTGTGGCCGTTGGGGGGGGGGGGTACACGATTTCAAAAAAACTGATATTAATAGGGTTCCAAACCGAGTACGGAACCCTAAAAAAGAAAATTTTTTTTCTTAAAAGTTAAAAGTTTCGTGGAATTGCCCATATACGTATATTATTAAAAAATTAAAAATTGATTGTTTACTTTAAATTAAAACAAAAAATATTTATCGTAATTCAGAAATGTCCTATATATGGAAAAAAAAATGATTGAGACATAGATTTTTTATTATATTGATTCTCATCTAGTTAAATACTGACTCATCCATAATTTGGTATTTCCTATGCGCTCTTATTTATTTTGGAGTTTGAAAAATAATATAAATTTTAGGAAATGATTCCACGTATGTATTTTTTTTTTTTTCATTATCAAATTGATCTACACGTCACACCTGCGTTGAATAATACTTTAAATAGTACATTGAGATAAGATAATACTTCGTTAAGCGAGTTTAAATATCAGACAGTGAAGACAGTCATTGGTTTAGTTCAACAAGTATCATTTATACATATAACATTAATTTTTACATAGTTAAGAAGAGTGAATAAAAATGCCGGGTAAGCATATGATTTCAATTTTAATTATTATTTTTTTTAAAATATCTATTTTAAAAGTAAAATTAATTTTTTTTGAATAGCAACGAATATTTCGTATTTGAAAAAATTGTTCGTCCAATATTTTATTTTTTATTATTATTTATATAAATATAAAAATTTTAAACAATATACAACCGGGGGATAATTTTTTATTTGTCTTTAAAGGCAAATAAAATGGTATTTAAATAAAATAAAAAATATTGACGCCTATAATAATTTTCAATTTGTTTTAAATAAATTATTTTATTTAGCACAAATATAAATTTTATTTAGTGTAAATAAAATTTATATTTAAATCAAATAAAAATTTAATTTAGGTATAAGCAAATTATTTGTTTAAAATATATATATTTATATTTTTATTTAAAACAAAAATAAAATAAGTAAAAAAAATAATAAAATTAAATTTATAGCTTACAAATGGTTGAGTCGATCGGCGGGAACTCCAGTTCCCCACACAGCAGTTGAAGGTAACAATATTTAAAAAATTTTTATTAATATTTCTTAGTAAAAAAAAAAAAATAATATTTTTGTTTTTCTCATCGAAAAAAAAAAATTTTGCTCTTTATATACGAAAAAATTAATTAAAAATAAACTTATTCAGGAGGACGAGATATAGATGGTAGCACTATTTATGTAGGCAGAGCATTTCACGAGGGAGACATGATTCCAGCAAAAGTAATTCCAGATCAAAACGTTGCATATGTTGCTTGGGGTGGCCAGGAACATCCAAAAAGTAGTTATGAGGTGAGAAAAAAATGTTAATAAATGAAAATCCATAATAATAATAAAAAATATAATATTTAATTCATATCTAATTAATTAATATTGTTATAATTATTAAATTAAGATTTATTTTCTCCATTGTGTACTTTTAAAAAGTTTTACAATTTTAATTCTCGCAGTTTTAAAAAATAAAACTAATAGTGAATTAAAAGATATATAATTAAAAAATAATTAGTAATTAATAATAAAATAAGTAATGATTAATTTTAAAAAAATTAATTATTTTAATTAATAATAATAATAAAATATAATTATTGTAATTTATCGATGTTACTCTAAGGTTAATCGTTAATTAATTTTTAAATTGAAAATTAATTTGAATTAATTACTAATATATTAATTAAAAATTATTGATACGTATTAATTAATGAATTTCATCAAGTTCGTTCAGTTTTTCATTTATATAATAATATATCTTTTAATTATTCTTATAGAAGTTACCTCAGCTCTTAAAACTCTTATCAAATTTTTTTATCAAAAAAAAAAAAAAAAAAAAAAAGAATCTAATCTGAAAACTTTAATCCATCTGATTCAGACCTTGAAACGTTTATCGATGAATTAACGCAAAAACAGGTTAATAATCAATCCATTCCTATCTGAAATACGTTATTATAATAATACTAATTATTATTATTATTATTATTATATATTATTATATTTATAATATTGAGTAAGAATTTCTGAAATGTGCCACCTAAACCTGAAAAAATTTATTTTTTGTTGAAATGTTATTTTTCTTATAGTATTTTCTATGCACAATCACCCCCTAAAACGATTTTGCAAAAAAAAATTTGTTTGTTGTTGTTATTAACAATTTAATATTTTTTATTTTATTATATAAATAAAATAATTTTCATTTAAAACTTTAAATAATATATATAATAAAAATTATTAAAATTAATTATTATTAATTTAAAAAAATTAATCCTTCAGAATATAAAGAAATAAAATGAAACATTTAATCCACTTTAAAACAATGATGAAGGTTATTTACTAAGAAAATTTAATAAACATAAATTTCCAATAAGTTTAACCAAGTTTTTCTTTTTCTTTCTCTCTTTTTTTTTTAAATGCAAACATTGTTATTTATTATGTAACAATAATTATCGTAGCATTGACAAGAACAAAGTGATCTATATTTTTTCAATCAATATTTCTCGTTTTGTGGTTAGTTTTATAATACTTAATTATATTATTTTTATTCTTTTCTTATAATAACTTATTAGTTTGCGTCCTTATAATTATTTTATCGTCATTTTCATGAAATATTTTCTATTTATTTATTTATTATAGGTTTTGTGTCAAGGCGAATTTGCATGGGAATTTTGTAGCAATGGACAAATTCCCTCAGATGCTGTTGTTGGAGGACAAACAAGAGAAGGTGAACCCTTGTATATTGGACGTGTGATTCACAAAGGATCACAAACAATTGGAAAAGTAATTTATTTCATTCTTTAAATATTTTATATTTCAATTTTTCATTTGTTTTTAATTTTTTTTTTAACTTTCGTTATCATAAATTTGTAAATATTAATTTATAAATTATAAGAAAATTTTATAAAAATTTATGAAAACGAAAGTAAAAAAAAAAAATAAAAGAACAATTTTTTATAAACAAATTTTATAAATAAATAACTTAATTTCATAAACAAATTAATTTTTTGTTTTAAACTTCGGGCCCAATTTTTTTTTATTTTTACATACCTGGAAATACGTAGTAAGAATATTTTGCAAAAAAGTTTTAGAGTGTGGCCTGGTAATCCTTTTTGTTTAAATAATTTCTTTCTCAAAAAAATTTTTCTTTTTTCTTTTACAAAATAAAAAGTTTTTTTGACCACTAGGATTTTTCACTTTTCTCATTAAGAAAAAGTAAACCAAAATGCATTTTATTTAAAAAAATAACAAAAAATAAATAAAAAAATTTTTAACAAATTATTTAAATAAAAAGGATCATTAGGCCCACTCTAAAACTTTTTGCAAAATATTCTTAGTATTTTCAAGTATGTAAAAATTATGAAAAAAAGAAAAATAAATCGAGCCCATATTTTTTAAAATTTTATTTAATTTACTTCTTTTGCTTGTAATAATTATTTATTTAACTATTATATAATTGGTCGAATTAATTAAATAAATATTTTAATTTATTCTTTATAAGTTTAAGGAAGTGTGTTTATAATATTTTTTTTAACTTATACTATTATTTATAAATTTTCATAGTATTCTATTTTGTTTATTTACATTTAATTTACTTCCTTTGATAAATAATTATTTAAATTGATTCAATTTAATTGTTTAATTTGTTTATAATTTAATTAAATTAACTTTTTAATTTATTCTTTTTAGGTTCAGGGAAGTCATGGTGTGTTGTACATTCCATTCGATGGAGAAGAATTGTCCTTCAACGATTATGAAGTCCTTGTTTTGCACTAAATCCAGATTATTTAGCGAAACAAATTATTTAAGAACATGACTTATTTTTTTATATAAATGCATAATAAAATTTTTTTTTATTTACATCACATAATGTATCAAATTTTTTTTTGAAATCATCTTTTTGATTTCATAAAATAAGTTTTTCTTTGTTCGTATTATTGAAAAAAAAATAAAATTGAAAATTCAATTAAATTTTGAATTCTTGATTATTTTTTTCAGTTTTAAAATGACCTCTTTATTTTTACTAAAAAAAAATTTTTTCATTTTATTAACATGGTTGCATATTATTGTTTTAACATTATTACTTGCAAAATGATAATTATATATATATAACTACATATAATTGAATTTCGTATTTTTCAATATCGAATTTTCTAATTTTCATATTATTCAGGTCATTTCCTCATTTTCTTTTTAACAAAAAAAGTAAACGTTTATTATGAAACAAAAGTTACGAAATTTTCATTCTGACAAAAAGAAAAAAGAATGAATTTTTATAAATTATACATTAAAAATCAAATTATGCATTCTTTGATAAAAGATGTGATCGTATATTATTTATCTTGCAGTTTAACAAAGATTTTAATGTATAAATTAACACAAATTTAAATAAATTTAATTAGAATATGACATTGTTGAAATATGTTTTAGTGAGAAAAATAATTAATTTTTTCAACGAAATCTCTGATCGATTAAATCTAATTCTATAAAGCTGACATCGGTGAAGTTCACAACGTTTATGATCAACAATTGAGAAGAAAAAATATTTTTCTATACAAATTAGTATTATTTTTGATCAACAAAATTTTTTTCATCGTTTCTTGATCAAGAATTTTTTTAAATAAAATTTGTCGGCAAAAAATTAGTTATTATTTTTTGATTGGAAAATATATTTTTTTTTAATCGTTGATCATAAACGTTCTAAACTTCACCGACGTTAAAGCTGAAAGTTCCACTATTAACAAAAAAAATGTTATTAAATATGACAAAATTTAGGACCAATAATGGCACAATAATAAATAAATAAATTTTCAAATAAAGAAATTTCAAATTTTCAATCACACTATACTGAGCGTCGAAGAAGTGAACAAAAAAAGCCGCACGTATAACATCATCAGCATCCAAAGGAAGTCTTCACTTCACTGTCTTCACAAGCAGATTTGGTAAGTATTTTTTATTAATTTTTTTTTTTTTTATTAATATTTCTATAATTGCAGAAAAATTTTTTGATTCAGTTCCTGGTCACGTCATCAAGGAATTTTTAAAATCTAATTCGTTTTGTATATAGTTTTTTTTATATTTCTAAAGTTAATGTTTTCTTAATAAATTTTATCACCAAATTTTTATTTATTTATTGAAATATTTAAAAATTGTTATTTAACCAAATTGTTTTTCTGAAATAAGATGTCAAATTATAAAAAAAAATTTTTTGTGACTTTTTATCACCTTTTGTCTTTTTCTTCATTTCAAAACTTTTCCTAAAATATATTTTTTCAATTTCCCAATTACGGTCAGTTGGGGTAAATGGGGACAAAATCTCTATTTTTCACAAAATACGTAAGTTTCTTCCTTTAAAAGATAATATTTGGGGGTTTATTTTTTTTAAGTTGTTATTTACATTCCCAGGATTAATTTTATGTAGCAGAAAAAAATTTAGATAAGCTTTAAACGCATCAAACTGACTCTTCCCATTTACCCTAAAATTTAGAAAATTTCATAAAATATATGAGGTAAATGGGGACAGCATAGTTTCTAAGAAAGTTTTAAGAGCATTTGAACCTTCGTGACGTCACAAATCATGGCGCATGACACGCAAACTTCTCAGGTATGTGAAAAGCACAATTTTAAATATTTTTTAAAAAAACCTTTTGGAAAATGTTCAGAATAACATAGACTCTGTCTGTTATGTGCGAAAAATTCAAAATTTTGCGTTTAAAACGTTTTTTAAACAATGTTAAGGTCACAAATCATGGCGCATGACACGCAAACTTCTCAGGTATGTGAAAAACACAATTTTGAATATTTTTCAAAAAAACCTTTTGGAAAATATTCAGAATAACACAGACTCTGTCTGTTATGTGCGAAAAATTCAAAATTTTGCGTTTAAAACGTTTTTTAAACAATGCCTACATATAAGCAATTCGTGTATTTTTCCTTACTTGTGACAACCAACTTAAACATTGTTTAAAAAACGTTTTATACGCAAAATTTTGAATTTTTCGCACATAACAGACATAGTCTATGTTTCTCTGAACATTTTCCAAAAGGTTTTTTTGAAAAATATTCAAAATTGTGTTTTTCACATACCTGAGAAGTTTGCGTGTCATGCGCCATGATTTGTGACGTCACGAAGGTTCAAATGCTCTTAATAGAAAAAAGTTTCCTTAAGTACATTACTGTATTCAGGTGTGAAAAAACTTTAAAAAAATTTGTTGTAGATACATAATAGTTGAACCAAAATTGAAATTTTTTTATTTTTTTTTATTTCAGTATTTTGTCTCGCATTTCAAAGAAAATAGACTTAAAAATCATACCAAATTTTTTTCTTATTCCTTATGACTCCCATAACAGAAATTCACTTGAATTTTTGATTTTTGTCAATTTGGTTAATAATGACAAGCTGTCCCCATTTACCCTGAGTTTTCAAATTTTTGGGGTAAATGGGGACAGCTTGTTATTATTAACAAAATTGATAAAAATAAAAAATTCAAGTGAATTTCTGTTACGGGAGTCATAAGGATTAAGAAAACAAGTTGTACATTCAGATGTTCATTACATGAACATTTTGCTTCCTCTTTACGATGAGCAAAAAAATTTGCTTCCTCGTGGAGAAAGCAAAATTTTATTGCCAAAATGTGAATTTTTAATTTTTAACTTTCATTAATTCCTTAAATTTACCTCAAATATATACTTTATATATATCGATCGATTCGTCTTGACGTAAGGAATACGATTTTATTACATATAACCTTAAATTTTTCTATTTAAAAATTTTTTCGATTAAAAAAAATTTTTTGGAAAAAAGACGATAAAATTTTTTTTTTTGGGTATTTTTCAAAATCCTTTGGTCAGATTTGAGATAATAATATGATAAATGAGCCTATCAAATTTTATCTAAATCCATTAAAACCTGTTAAAGTTATCTTCTAAACAAAAAAGGGATCCACACACACACACACACACATACACACACATACATACATCCGGACAATTGATCAGGATCTCATATAACATGTTTCTATAAAGAAAAAAATTTGTTTCCGCCACTTTGAAAAGTTTTATAAACGAAAGGACTACAAAGCTTCCTCCACGAGGAAGCAAAAATTTGGTATGATTTTTAAGTTTGTTTTCTTTGAAATGCGAGACAAAATACTGAAACAGTTTGACTTTGATTTTCAAGTTTATATGCATTGAGCGATAACTTTTTTTATTTTTATTTTTGAATGTCAATTATTGATAAAAATGAGTAAAAATAAGAGCAAAAGTACCGGAAAATTAATATTTTTAAATCAAATGATTAATGGTTAATTAATATAAAATAAAATTAAAATAATATTAAATATTAAAATATATAATCATGTGATTTTAAAATATTAATTTTGTGGTATTTTTGCTCTTATTTTTACTCATTTTTATCAATAATTGACATTAAAAAATAAAAATACAATATTACTCACATTTAAATCTTCCGGCAATTTTCCGGCTGCAGGCAGCCGGAAAAACGATGTGTGAACGATCGGCTGCCTGCTTGCCTGCGCAGGCAGGCAGGCAGCCACTCGTGTGCATGTACCTTAAGTGTCGAATCGTGAATACCCGTTTTCTACACGTATATCCCCACTCTTGGAGTTAAGGCGCTCTCACACCTTTTTGGCTGCCTGCAGGTTACCATGGCAACGCATGAGAGTGAGTGCGACAGAAAATTTAAAAATTTGAATATTCAAATTTTCTGTCTCACTCACACTCGTGCGTTGCCATGGTAACCTGCAGGCAGGCAGGCAGCCAAAAAAGGTGTGAGTGCGCCATTAGACCTCCTTGTTCCAGTCTTCTTGGTTCAAATGTTTAATTTTCGAGAATTTTTAGTTTTATTTAAGAAAATATTAACAAATTAATTGTTTTTTTAATTTTTCATATTACATTGTACTTTTAAATACTTAATATATTGTCAAAAATTCATAAAGAAAAAAATATTAATGTACACTAAAACGTCAATCGAGAACACGTCAGTCGAAAACAGAGCAAGGGAACACTTGAGGGGAAGCGGGTAGAATTTAGATTATGACTGACGCCAAAGTCGTACTTGTGATTTTTAAATTTAAGGTGGATTCAGTGCCCCACTAGTGAAAATCCCCTAGATAAAATTCACATTGTTGCGTAAGGCACTTCATACGGCCCTGAGTGTTTTTATTTTCGAGCGATAAAAATCGCGTCAATCGAGAACAGCACTGAACATTCGTCTGTTCTCGATTGACGTTTTAGTGTAAAATAATTTCCAAAAAAAATCTTAATAATTTTTGCAAAATTAACTTTTAAATATATCACAATATTATAGGAATATTTCAAAAAATTGCAATGTATATACACAGAAAAAACTTGGACTCATTTTTGTTGCAACTCATTTTCTTTTGGGTATCGAAATGAGTATGGGACAAACTTCATGTTATTCAAAATGATATTGGCTGGAATTTCAGATTTCTAAGTTGGCATCATAAGCAGAGTAATTTTGTATTTCAATTATTGTTTCTAATATTTCAACAACACCAGAAAGATTATTTTGACCAGTACGAATATTTAGAAGTTTTTAAATAAAAATTATTTATTATTATTTACGTAGATAATAATTAATTTCATAAGTTTTTAAATTTACCGCTATTATTTAAGTTGGCAGTACCGTTCCTGTTGTCAAAACACATGTTTTCATTTTTCTAACCTAAAAACATATTTCCTTTATTATTTTATTACGCGATTACAAGCAATTTTTAATCAAATATATTAAGTCTAGCGTGTTATTTACTTCTTTGTAATTATTATATTTCATGTTTTTGTGCAAAATTATTCGTTATTTCACAATATTTTTCCATTTTTCTTTTTCTCAAAATGAAACTTGCCTGTTTCATTTTGATACTTTTACCTTAGAACTCGAAATGAGACAACCAGATTCATTTTTGTTGCGAATCAAATTGAGTATAGAATCTATACTCAATTTGAATTCAGGTTTTTTCTGTGTATACCACTGTTCATTAACATTTTTAATGGAATAAAAGAATTTTTTAAATTATTCATAATGCATAATTTATTGAATTTAAATTAATAAAACTGAAAACCAGTTTATAATTAAAGCATAGGCCCAAAAAATTACGTTTTTGTAGTGATAACGAGTACGAAGGTTGTAGCTTTAATGTTATAATTATTCAAGTTAATTGCTATTATGATCTTAATTAAAAAAAAAGAGAGAGAAATCAATGAAATAAATTTTATATGTGTTATGATAGTAGAAGTTGCAAAAATGATTATATTAAAAAACTTGATTTCAATGTAAAATTATAAATGTTACACATATTAACATTCAACAGTTTAGTTCAATCAGTCTTATAAAAATGCTCTCACCGATTGGAGTGGCGGTTTGTGTTATTTTCATTTTTCTTTTAATTTTTCTTTATTTTCATAGAAATCGAGAAATTTATAAACTTGCATCTCAATTTCATGGACCACTTTCGTTGCCCATTATAGGATGCTTGTATCTTTTTCTTGGAAATTCCGAAAGTAAGTTTTAAAAAAAATATTTTTTCTTTCTATTTTCTAAATTTGAATTAGTGTAAAAATTTTTAACTAATTAGAATTAGTGACTGATATAATATACATTTTCTTTTCAATTTAGGTATTTACAGAAGAATTTTGAAATTTTACGAAACGTTTCCTTCACCTTTCCGAGTTTGGTTAGGACCTCGATTAGTAATTACAGTTTTTACGCCTGATGAAGCAAAAGTAAGTTTTAACTATACCGTCAATTATCGCCCTATAAAAAAGGCACTGAACCTGAAAATGATAATAAATATTGATTTGAGTGGCGCGGTATCGGTTGTACACAATTTAGTAGTACACAGATAAACAGTGTAACTGTATAGATATATAACTGTATATCTGTGTACCACTAAATTGTGTACACAACCGATACCGCGCCGATTTGAGTAGAATAGTCCCGGTTGTCGAAAGTTTTTCGATTTTTTACGATACTAATACATTTTTTTTAGGCAATTCTTCAGAGTCGAAAAACTATTGAAAAGGATGAGTCTTATCGACTTTTTAAACCGTGGTTAGGAGAAGGATTATTTACAGCAAGAGGTAAATTAAATTATTATTTAAGGAGGTTATAGCGGAAATAGAATTAACATTAGTAATTTAATGAAACTTAGTCACATATTAGATAAATGTTTGAAAATTATGTAGCTAAATTTTTCAGACCTCTAGGTTCTTGTGAAAAAAGTTATAAGCGTTTTTGTTTTTTAACAATTAACATTGTGTTTTATGGTACTTTCACAGAAAATTGAAAGGTATTAAAATTAGCTGCAACGCTTCTTATTTTAATCCATTTTTACTTATTTTAATACCAAAATGGATTAAAATAAGAAACATTTGATTAAAATAAGAAGTGTTGCAGCTTATTTTAATACCTTTTAGTTTTCTGTGTTTTCATACATATTTACTCACCACAAAATAATTAACATTAGGAAATTTATGAAACTTTTTTTAATACAAAACAGATATTTAATGATTAAGTATCTGTATTTAAAAAAATGTTATTAGGTTCTTGTGGCAACGTTGCACACTTGATCATGCATATTATACGTTAATTTTGCGCGCTAAATTTTAAAATGTTGATTCTGATAGCACGTATAAAATACGTTATAGAGTTAGACCATTATATTTCGACTAAAGTCGTTGCGGCCTAATTTAAAAAAAAATTGATACTTGCAGTACTAATTCTTTATGATATGCAGAGAACGAAATAAAAAGAATTATTACAAAAATTTCTTTATTTTTCTCAAAATATGAGTTTAAAGTGGAGAAGGTCCGGAAAACTGTCACTTTTTTAGCAATTATAAAATATATAAAAAAACATATAATAATTGTTAAAAAGGTAAAAAGAATTATTGTTTCTTGTTTAGAATGAATTGATTTATTACTTTCTAATGATTAGATTAGTGAAAAAATTAAAATAATGGATAAAATATGTCTTTAAAGTTAGTCTGTCAAATAACCTAATTTTTCGATTTTTATCAGTTAATTACAATTAAGTGGAATTATTAAATTAAATTTGAACTTACCTAATATGAAGTAAATGGATAGGACATTCGAATTTTCTTGGCACTTTCTATATTTTCATACTAAATATAAAAGAAATATTGAGTTGAAAGTTCGCAATTTCTGCATTTTTCCGAACTGCAACTGAATATCTCCGTTAAAGAAAAATAAAAAAAATTGGCACTTGCACAGCAGCTAAATCGGATCGAAATCTACGCGCACCATATAAATTCCATTTTGGTCCCGAAACTATTTTAGGAGATATAGACGATAAAAAATTGCACATTATTTTCAGGTTAAAACTGTACTTGCTTCTAACTTGAAGTTGGTCTACTCTCAGCGATCGCGTTCAATGTTTAGATTTTAAAGTTAATATAACTTACTTAAATATTTATTTTCGTTAATTATTTTCATAATTTATTAAAGAATAATTGATTGACATTCAAGATTGAATAATTGTGTTTTGTTTTGAATAACTTTTTCTTTTTAATTTATAATATTTGTATCTAACAGAGATTTTACAAAAATCACAAATAATTTTGAAAAGTATTTTAATTTGCGTTGTGACTAAATTGTCATAATTTTTAGATTTATTTTTTCAGCTTTATTAATAATATTAGCAGATTATTATAGTTAATTATCGATTGCACTGCGAATTATTTTCTAATTTTGAAAAATATTTTTTATTTTCGCCGTTATATCAATTTCAAAATCTAAACATTGAACGCGATCGCTGAGAGTAGACCAACTTCAAGTTAGAAGCAAGTACAGTTTTAACCTGAAAATAATGTGCAATTTTTAATCGCCTATATTCTTTTTATTTTATTTCGTTCTCTGCATATCATAAAGAATCAGTACTGCAAGTATCAATTTTTTTTTAAAATTAAGCCGCAACGACTTTGGTCGAAATATAATGGTCTGATCCTATATTTAAACAGAAAATAAAAGTTAATAAAAAAAATTGATTATATATTTTTAAAATTTTAAATAAAGTTAATTATATAGAGGGATAATTGTTTTATTAAAATAAACAAGTCATATAGCAACCATTTGCAACTTGACTGACGTAATGTGGTGTTGTCAGGCGTTTCACAGTACCGAGAAAGTCAAATCATAAAATAATGGTTTCTCTTTTGATTAGTTCAGTCAATCCCTATAACCTCCTTAATATTCTATTAATTCTGTATAGGGTCAGTTGGGGTAAATGGGGACAAAATCGCTATTTTTCACAAAATACGTAAGTTTCTTCCTTTAAAACGTAATATTTGCAGGTTTATATTTTTTTTAAGTTTGTTATTTACATTCCCAGGATTAATTTTATGAAGCAGAAACAAATTTAGATAAGCTTTAAACGCATAAAACTGACTGTCCCCATTTACCCCAAAAAATTGAAAACTCCGGGTTAATGGGGACAGTTTGTCATTATTAACCAAATTGATAAAAATAAAAAATTCAAGTGAATTTCTGTTATAGGATTCATAAGGAATAAGAAAAAAATTTGGTATGATTTTTAAGTCTGTTTTCTTTGAAATGCGAGACAAAATACTGAAACAGTTTGACTCTTTGATTTTCAAGTTTTTATGCATTAAGCGATAACTTTTTTTTATCTTGCTACCAATTGTAAAGATAAAAGCTTGGCAATTCTCAAAACCTCTTCCAGGTGATTTGAGGTTAAAACATATTGACGTTGAACTTAATTTTAAAGCTGTAAATTTAGCTCCAAAACCTCTTGTATCCCCATTTACCCCAACTGACCCTACACACAGAGAAATGGTATATTTGTTTCCGAGCCTACTAACTCATTTATTTGTTGCAAATATATTTCATTTCATTGAAATAAAAAATTTATTTGAGCCAAAAAAAAATTTATTTCTGACAAATAAAATTTTTATTTACGCCAAATAAATAAGTTAGTAGGCTCTGAGACAAATATACGTTTATTTAATTCAAATATATTTTATTTGGTTCAAATAAATCATTTCTCTGGGTGTAAATAAATTAAATTTTCAAATTTAGAACAAACCGATTTTTCTTATAAACAATTGTTCTATAAAGAATAATTTTCTTATTAGCTTAGAGTCTTTATTGATGATGAAGTAAAAGAAATTTTTTTTTTTTTTTAAATAGCCGACATATGGCGTGTTCATCGAAAATTAATTCAACCAACTTTTAATCAGAGAATCTTAAATTCGTTTGTTGAAATTTTTCAAAAAAATTCAGTTATATTGAATGAAGAATTTGAAAAAATAGTAAATGGTGAAGAATTTACAATACTAAATTACTTATCAAATACATTACTTAGCATCATACTTGGTAAGTTGAAATATTTTTTTTATTTATGAAAACGATAAGAAATTATTTATAGCATTTTTTTTTCTTGATATAAAGTTAACTATATACATTCTGTCATTCTTATAAATGCGATTCTACAAAAACAGGGCAATCATTATGTCTTTGTATTAAATTTAAATGCCATCATATCAGCAGGCATTTTATGCAAATAAATAGAAATTAAAAAAGAAATCAAATTTCTAGTTACTTTATTTTAAAAAAAAATTTCTTTCTCGAAAATTACCAGTTTCTGAAGAATCACCCATGCGTACAAATCTCTGGTACAGATATTTTTAATTAATTAATTTATTTAATAAAATTGACGGGACATTTTTAAACTTGAAAAAGGATGGAGGCCCTAACATAAATCTTAAAATTGAAAAATGTTTTTTAACTTAAATAAAATTTTAATAAAAATTAATTTGAAAACAATTTGAAAAGATGTAGCTATATATATTTTTTGGAAAAAATTGTATTCAGTTTTTTTTTTGAACATTTTCATTTTTATCTAAACCAAATAAAATCGCAATTTTTTTTTTCAAAAAAATATAATATTTTACTCAATAAAACATGTTCTATAATAGTAAATTTTTTCAGTTGTTTAAAAACATGTTGTTAAAATATTATTTAAGAAAGTAATTTTTGTATTGTGTTTAATTTTTCAATAACATTCTTCAAAAAAATTGAAAAAAATTTACGATTGCAAAAAATGTTTCACGCTATTTTTTTATAAAAAAAAGTTGAATAAAAATTGCTATTTTTATTTATTCTGAAAGAAAAAAATCAAAAAATGTTACAAAAAAAAAAAATTATTTAACAAAAGGTTTTAATAATTTTTGTAAAACTAAATATCTTTTAAAATTATTTGAAATTAATTTTTATTATGTTCTTGTTTGCATTAAAAATCATCTTTTAATTTTGAAGTTATGTTAACATTGTTCTTAATAAAGTCTACTTCACATTATTTTCTAAACAATTATCTACTTCTTAGTAAAAACTCATAATTGATTAATTAATTATATTCTTGTTTTATTCAATTTTTTGGAATTGTTTTTTTTAAATTTTGATCATAAATATTTTGTTATTAAATAATTGTTACCCTAATAACACAATATATCTTGGGATATATTGATAATATCCCGCAGATATCCTAGGGATGTCCTATGGATATCAAAAGGATCTCTTAAGGATATCCAAAAAAGCGGCGGTTTAGAGATGTCCACAGGATATCTTCTGGATATCTCTATAGACTTTCATAAATGTCCTCCAGATATCCCATAGATATCGTCAGGATATCCCACAGATATTTTCAGGATATTCTCAGTATATCTTCTAACCTTTAAAAATATATGTTGAGATATTAAATATCCCGTGAATATCCTAAGAATATCCCACGGATATCCTGAGGATATCCCATGAATATCCTGCGATATAATATCCAATAGATATTTTGTGGATGTCTTAGGGATATCCTGTGGATGTCCCACAGACCGGCGGTTTGGATATCCTAGGGATATCCCAAGATATCCTGGGGACCATTCTAGGATATCGACCATTGATATGGATATCCTATGGATATCCTAGCGATATCCTTTTGTTATGAGGGTTAATTAAAATTTTAATAAGTTAATTGTATTTCATGGTAATAATATTATTTTACAGAGAGTTCAATGGGTCTTAAATTAGATAATAAAGGTAGCAGTAGGCGAAAATTTATGGAAGCAGTTGAACAGTATGTGTATATACAATTTTTCTTTTTCTAAATCTGAATTAGTATAAAATTTTATTAATTTTTAGTAAAATACTTATATAAATTTATTCTAATAAAATTTCTATAGAAATGCAATTTTAAAATAAAGATAATTCAGTTGAAATAACGTGTATATATGTACTTTGAAAGTCACAGAAATGATAATTTATTGGACGTCACAAACAATAGAATGATTTTGATAATTTCAATGCATTAACTTGGAAAATAATATTCGACTCTCGTATGACGTTTATTATTATACCGATATTTAACAGTAGGAGCGCTACCTTCGCGTCATGTGACTATTTCCTTAATGAAAACTATCGCCATTAAATAATTATAAAAATTCTTATCACATTTAAATAAGATAAATATTTCTGAAAAATTATTCTACAATTGATAAATAAAAAATGAACCAATTCATTTATAAAATATTTAAGTACTAATTGAAAAAGTAAAAAATTCTAAGTACTATATACTTTAGATTTAGAGAGTATAAAATTATTGTGAATTCAATATCGACGCCTCCCGTTGATAAGATGCCCGTTCATTTGTCAGAATAATAAAATGCCAACTCGAGCTTAGTTCAATATGAAGCTAGTTCAATTGTCAAAATAATAAAAGGCTAACTCAGTTTCCGTATAATATAATCCTATCTCGCATTAAATTCGAATTCAAGTTTTCGTAAATTAAAAAAGAAGTTTAAGTCGATCAGAATATTAATTCATATTTTTTAATGATTAATTAGTGATTAATAATTATTAATAAAATAAGAAATAGAATAAAAAACAAATAATAAAATAAATGAAAATAAAAAAATTATTAAAAAAGAAAAAAATTAATTTAGCCTTGAATTATTTATTACTAATATTATTTTTTTTATTATAATTTTTTTTATTAATTTTTTTATTAATTTTTTTATTTTGTTAATCATTAATTAATCATTACAAAATATTAAATAATATTCCGATCGAGTTAAAAATATTCAAGTTTTCGTAAAATAAAAAATTTTTAACTCGATCGGAATATTATTTAATATTTTGTAATGATTAATTAATGATTAACAAAATAAAAAAATTAATAAAAAAAATAATATTAGTAATAAATAATTCAAGGCTAAATTAATTTTTTTCTTTTTTAATAATATTTTTTATTTTCATTTATTTTATTATTTGTTATTTATTCTATTTCTTATTTTATTAATAATTATTAATCACTAATTAATCATTAAAAAGTATGAATTAATATTCTGATCGACTTAAACTTCTTTTTTAATTTACGAAAACTTCCCTGGCGGATTCGATTTGCGTAATGTCTACTTAACTAAGCGGACTTTAGGTAGACATTAGGTAGACATGTAAAAAAACGTATAAAAAAGCTATTAATCGACTTATTATGATAAAAAAAAGTTGATAAAAGGGTAAATGAATGTTTATAGAGTAAATTCGTACAAAATTTGTAATTAATAAAGCAATAAATAATTAATAATGAATGGAAATGTGCGCGAGGTACCTGATCAGTTCAGCTGTACAATTATTTTCGTGCTATTTTCATGAAAAGAATATAAATTAACGGCAAAGACAATTGATATTTATAAAAAAGTGTAAAATTGATTTAATTTGAGTGTTTGCAATACGAATTATTAAATAATAATTAAGTTTTTATCAAATGTGAATAGTGTTGTGAAAACCTGTGAAAACTAATGAGTTACTACATTACCGATCGCATATGATAATAAAAAGTTCTCGATGAGTGTAACAAAAAAGCTGCAATCATGTCCGTAATTTTGGACGAGAAACAATTATGAAATCAATAATTATTTGTATAACTTTATTCTGCATTTTAAAATTCACTTTTTATTTTCTTTCAAAGCAAAAGCTTGGAAGAAAACATGCTCGCACTGTATTGTAAAAACTGGTGGCGCCATCTCTCATATGCGATCGGTAATGTAGTAACTCATTAGTTTTCACAGGTTTTCACAACACTATTCACATTTGATAAAAACTTAATTATTATTTAATAATTCGTATTGCAAACAATAAAATTAAATCAATTTTACACTTTTTTATAAATATCAATTGTTTTTGCAGTTAATTTATATTCTTTTCATGAAAATAGCACGAAAATAATTGTACAGCTGAACTGATCAGGTACCTCGCGCACATTTCCATTCATTATTAATTATTTATTGCTTTATTAATTACAAATTTTGTACGAATTTACTCTATAAACATTCATTTACCCTTTTATCAACTTTTTTTTATCATAATAAGTCGATTAATAGCTTTTTTATACGTTTTTTTACATGTCTACCTAATGTCTACCTAAAGTCCGCTTAGTTAAGTAGACATTACGCAAATCGAATCCGCCAGGGTTGAATTCGAATTTAATGCGAGATAGGATTATATTATACGGAAACTGAGTTAGCCTTTTATTATTTTGACAATTGAACTAGCTTCATATTGAACTAAGCTCGAGTTGGCATTTTATTATTCTGACAAATGAACGGGCATCTTATCAACGGGAGGCGTCGATATAAATATAAATTTATATTATATTAAAAAAACAAAAATTTTTTTACGCAGAATAATCAAAACAGTTTCCACTAGAGGTTTTAAAATTTGGTTGCAATCTGACTTTATTTTTAAACTGACAAGATTATCAAAAGAATTTGCCGAAAATATAAAATACGTACATAGTATTACAGAAAATGTAAGGATATTTTCTTGATTATTATAACTTCAAAGAAAATGTTAATCATTGCAGAAACAAATTATTAAATCTTTTTTTTTTTATAGATTATCGAAACAAAACGAAAAACAATCACCACAGTTAAGGAAGGTATTTAAAGAAGAATAATTAAAATAAATATATTTTTACATAATCCAACCTGATTATTATATTATAATAATGAAATGTACTATTTTTTTTTGATAAAAGCGGAAACTTCAGACGAATTTATAAAAATGAGGAAACCATTTCTTGATTTATTAATGACACTTTCTCAAGAAGGGAAAACATTCACGAATATAGAACTTCGAGATGAAGTCACCACTTTGCTTGTTGCAGTAATTATTCTAATCGTTATTTATACACAATTGCTTTATTTTTATAACTATATCGAATCAAATAATTAATTTTTTTTCAGGGTTACGATACAACTGCATTGAGTCTTTCTTTTGTTATATTGATGTTAGCTTCTCATCCACAAATACAGGTTTAAAATAATTTTTATTTTTTAATCTCATTTTTATATTTTTAAATAAATTTTTATAATTGCATATAGGACAAAGCTTATCAAGAAATTTATGACATTTATGGTACAACAGACCCAGATGAAGTTCCAGTTACATGTAAAGATTTACCAAAACTAGTTTACTTAGATAGAGTAATTAAAGAAACTATGCGACTCTTTCCTGTGTCTGCTATTATTGTACGCACATCTGAAGAAAATTTTGAATTAGGTACACCTTTTTCTCAATTTTAAATATCTCACAGCAAAGGAAAAATCAATTTTTTATTTCACTGTAAGAAATTTTTTTAAAGAAAAATTTTTTCTTAAAAATATTATTTTAAATTTTATTTAAACAAAAATTGTATTAAATTTTCTTTTTTAGGAAAATATATTATTCCAAAAGGATCTGCCATTGTTATTGGAATATCAAGAATTCATAGAGATGAAAAATTTTGGCCAGAACCATTAAAATTCGATCCCGATAGATTTTTGCCAGAGCAGATAGCAAAACGTCATCAATATTCATATCTTCCATTTAGTGGTGGACTACGAAATTGTATTGGTAAAAAAATTATATTAAAATTAAAAAAAAAATATCTAATTATTTTAGTAATTTGATTTTTAAAAAATAATTTTTTTTCTGTCACTAATTTTGAAAAATAATTTTAGGAGAGATGTACGCAATGATGATGATGAAAACAATAATCAGTGTAATTCTTCGAAAATATATTTTGAAAAAAGATAACATACAGCGTATGGAAGATATTCGATTAAAATTCGATATTTTCCTTCAGCCAGTGGAACCAATTAAAATCAGACTTGAAAATAGAATTGTAAAGTAATTTAATATTTAATTTTACTGATATTAAGGAGTGTCGATCGCTACAGTTCGATCAAGGAGTTAGTGATATTAGAGAATATTTAAAAATTAATAAAAAAAAATGTATTTTCAGTATAAAATTTTTGGAATATCAACAAAAACTATTTGAAGTAACATGAAAAATTATAATTCCTTCAATAAAACATAAGGAGTTATAATATTTAAAAGATATATTTATGTCACAAACTTTTGGCTGTTAGTATATACCAACCTAAAAAAGTAAAATATATATATATATATATATATGTTAGGCTCAAAAGCCGAAAACGGCCAATGGCCGAAAAAAACAGCCAAACCTAGTTTTGGCAAACGCATTTTTGCCAATACTAGTTGTGGACGTTTCCCAACGGCCATTGGGCGTTTTAAATTGACAAAACCAGTTTTGGCAAACAGAAATTTGCCAAAACTAGTTTTGGCAAACGCATTTTTGCCAAAACTGGGTGAGGCATTTTTAATTATGACAAAAATTTAAACAATAAATTTTCCACACAAATTTTTCTCTTTTAGCAATGTATTTTTACACAAAAATCAATTTCTGTACAAAAAATAAGAACCTAAATTGTGAATTTGAATTTTAAGAACAATTTTCTCCATTGAAAAGATAAGAAAGAAACTGTATCTGCATGAGCCTTGTCCAAAACGTGAAAAAATTCATCGACTTTGCAAAAATAACGTATTTCGCGATTTCCGTCTTCCTGCAGTTTCGTATTTTCAATCAATTTCTCTGTAGCACCAATATTAATTATGTCAAAGCGCTTTAATCGACGATAATGCTTGGTCGTCATGGGTTTTTTATTCATATGTAAATCTTTCGCTTCTATCACTTCAGATAAAATGGAGTTATACTTTTCAGTGGTGAACACTTTGTCAGGATTTAAATTTTTTAAATGCTGTTGCACTTTTTCGTCGAATTTACAAACTTTTTCCATTTTAATTAATTGACAGATACAGAGGCTATAACGTTTCAGCGAATACTAATTTACCTTGTTGACAATTTCTGATTTCATACACAAAGACATCAATACAGAGAGAAAATTGTTCTTAAATTTCGAATTCACAATTTAGGTTCTTATTTTTTGTACAGAAATTGATTTTTGTGTAAAAATACATTGCTAAAAGAGAAAAATTTGTGTGGAAAATTTATTGTTTAAATTTTTGTCATAATTAAAAATGCCTCACCCAGTTTTGGCAAATTTCTGTTTGCCAAAACTGGTTTTGTCAATTTAAAACGCCCAATGGCCGTTGTGAAACGTCCACAACTAGTATTGGCAAAAATGCGTTTGCCAGAACTAGGTTCGGCTGTTTTTTTCGGCCATTGGCCGTTTTCGGCTTTTGAGCCTAACATATATATATATATATCTAAAAGTTATTTTTAATAAGTTTAACATAGATAAATATCATTTGAATAAGCATACATAATATTATTCAAAAAAATATGCATAAATCATTCAAGACATATAAAAATAATTTTTTTAACAGACATAAAAAAGCTGTGGAAAAGTGACAACGTCGCATTTTTACATTAAAAATTTCACTTTGTAAGTTTGGCTCTCCTGAGTCTTCAGCTGATTTCGTCATTACTGTTGCTACATATATGGGTACGGTTACACTATCTCCATGCAGAAACATTTGTCTGGTCACACTTCAATGAAATCTAGTGAATGTTTAGTAACTTTCTAGTAATTTTCCAAAAATTTCGGTTGTAACTAGAAAGTTACTAAACATTCACTAGATTTTGATGAAGTGTGATAGGACAAATATTTCTGCATGCATGCACAGTGCATGCATGAAATAGTGTGACCGTACCCTATGTATTTGTACCAAAGTATCTTTGCTTGTATGTATACTATATATATTATTTTTCGTTGTTCTTTATTTAAAATGTCTAGTGAATTGTGAAAATAATACTGGTTTATTAAGTAAATTATTTTATTTTGAGGAAGTCCTTTCGTTTATAAAACTTTTCAAAGTGGCGGAAACAAATTTTTATCTATATATAGAAACATGTTATATGAGATCCTGATCAATTGTCCGGATGTATGTATGTGTGTGTGTGTGTGTGTGTGGATCCCTTTTTTGTTTAGAAGATAACTTTAACAGGTTTTAATGGATTTAAATAAAATTTGGTAGGCTCATTTATCATATTAATATCTCAAATCTGACCAAAGGATTTTGAAAAATACCCAAAAAAAAAAATGTTATCGTCTTTTTTTCAAAAATTTCTTTTTAATCGAAAACATTTTTAAATAGAAAAAATTAAGGTTATATATAATAAAATCGTATTCCTTACGTCCAGACGAATCGATCGGTATATGTAAAGTACACATTTGAGGTAAATTTAAAGAATTAATGAAATTTAAAAAATCAAAAATTCACATTTTGGCTATAAAATTTTGCTTTCTCCACAAGCAAGCAATTTTTTTTGCTGATCGTAAAAAGGAAGTAAATTGTTCATGTAATGAACATCTGAATTTATAACTTGTTTTCTTAGGCAGACTATTTTATTGCATATTCTTGCACAAAATACATCTAAAAGTGTAAGAAAAAATTGACAGCCCAATCATTAAATCTTTAAATTTACCTCAAATGTATACTTTATATATATATATATATATCGATCGATTCGTCTTGACGTAAGGAATACGATTTTATTATATATAACCTTAAATTTTTCTATTTAAAAATGTTTTCGATTAAAAAAAAATTTTTGGAAAAAAGACGATAAAATTTATTTTTGGGGTATTTTTTAAAATGCTTTGGTCAGATTTGAGATATTAATATGATAAATGAGCCTACCAAATTTTATTTAAATCCATTAAAACCTGTTAAAGTTATCTTCTGAACAAAAAAGGGATCCACACACACACATACATCCGGACAATTGGTCAGGATCTCATATAACATGTTTCTATAAAGAAAAAAATTTGTTTCCGACACTTTGAAAAGTTTTATAAACTAAAGGACTACAAAGCTTCCTCCACGAGGAAGCAAAATTATAAATTTCTGCTCATTAGTAATGTTGAAAAAAATAAAAGTATAATCGAGACGAGACAAAATTTGTCGGAAAATTGCTTATGTCCATAAGAATACATGTTAACTTTAAACATTTTTTAAATAAAAAAAATGCTTATAAAGCATGATGAAACTTTGGGAGATCATTTCTATCAAAATAATCTGTTAATTTTCCAAATTTGGGCAAAATTTTTTAATTTCAGAATTATTTCAGATTATTATGAAATTGTTGATAGAAAATTTTTTGACAATTAAATTTGTAATTTTAAGTTTAAAAATATGTTAACAATTTATAAGAAAAAGTACTAGGGTTATTACAAAAAATGATAATCCTGAAATAAATAACAATTTACAATATTTTAAATGTAGAAATTAAAATTTCGTAAATTTAAAATTACGTTTGCCATTTGTGCACTGAAAAAAAATTCTAGTTAGAATAACCAGAATTCTAGTTAGAATAGCCAGAATTCTGGTTAGGGTATATATTTAACATTTTGATTCTGGTTATTTTAACGAGAATTCTAGTTAATTCAACTAGAATTCTGGTTAACATAACTAGAAAGTAATGTTAAATATAGCCTAACCAGAATTTATTTTTCAGTGTGGTAATTAATTTCTAAAATAGAATTTAGAAATTAAACATTTCAGGGTGTGTCGTTACGTATAAAATTCACTTGCCGATCGCGGATTCACCTCGACGGAGCGATGGCAGCATCTCCTCTTCTGGACCAGTCCCCCAATGGCCCTTCTTCTTCGCGGGGAGACCGAGGAACTATGCAGGGTCCATGCTTTCTCTGCATCCTCCTTCCTGTCCTTCAGTCTGAAAAAAGAGAAATTATTTAAAAATTAAATACAAAAATAATTACAATTTTTCATTACATAAAATTCTTCATATAGCCATGTTTTTTTAAATAATTATAATTAAAAAATAAAATATTCTTACGGTGGACAGCCTTCGCCCATGCCCGATCTCCATCCCGGAGCGGCACTCGAACGGTGGTTTCCAAATTGGCAAAAAAAATTCACACACACGCGGTTTAAAAAATTTTCGTACACTCCCGGACCACGTGTTACAAAAAGAAAAGTTACTAAAAAAAATTACTTCCTAAATAACTCGATCGCGGATTTAAAGAAATTGCGAACACTCCCGGAAGTTAACACTGACTCAAAAGAATTAAAATTTTTAATAATAGCTTTATGGTGATTCTTTCAAACTAAATAATAGCCCTCGGAGATCCCTACTTTCAAGTAGATTAAAATAAGCGAAATTGGATTAAAATAATAAGCGTTGCAGCTTATTTTAATGCCTTTTAGTTTTCTGTGTAAATATTATTCGATCGCGGGTTTTAAAAAAAATACGAAACACTCCCGAAAGCTAATACACTGATTTTAAAGGAATAAAAATTTTAATTTAATTAATTTCACGAACACGTGGTCATATCAAAATTCGAGTGCGCCGAAAGATAACTTGTGAATTTTAACCGATGTCAATCACCGACACTAGAGAAATGCTCCCACCCATTGAAAATTTTGAGGGTAGAAACGCGTCTATTGTTTTCTCTCTCACTTTTATTCTTTTATTTAATTTTATATTAAATATTATAATATTTTACATTAACTATACAATTTATGCAATAAAAGCATATTTATTTTAAATAACAACGCATATAAATATGATATTACAAAATTGTCGAAAAATAGTTATAATTTAAAAAAATGAATTTATTTGAGACGCATGAATAATGCCTAAAATTGATTTGTTAAAAATTTTATTTGATAAAATATTCATGTATTTGAATTAACTTAACCGAAAATTTATTTAATAGAATTTCAATTTGATTGAATTTTTATTTGATGGAACTTTCATCGAATAAGAATTCGACAGAAACATTGTGGCGCGAATTTTAAAATTAACCAATATAAATTTTTTTTGGGTAATTTCTGAGTAATTCGAACAAATAAAAATTTCATCAAATGAAATTTCGAATAAATAGATATTCTGTGAAGTGAATTTTAGGTTTTATGAAA